TGAACTGGACCAACAAAAACTGAACCTCACTACAGCATCAAGGTCTTGCAGTCAATTTGGATCAGTTGTGACCACAACTGGTCAAGAGACCGGTAAAAAACTGGTTTGAACTGAATATTTGATAGTCTACACTGACACATTATTAACACAATGTGTATATAGTCAACCAGACAGCCAGTCTTGTGATACATTCTAGACAAAGTCTAAGAAACATCCAAAGGTTCAATCAAAGGTTAAGTACCAAAAGAGGTAACTTAGAATCAAGTCAGAGATGTCAAAGGAAAATCAGTGTAGGTTAAGCTGAAGAATCAGCATTACCTAGCCATGGTTTATATACTACCTGGGTACAGGGTGTAACATAATAATAGCTGTGTCAGTAAGCACATGTGTAAGCAATGAGGCATCTGAGTAATACCACACTAAATATGGTGTGATAAGGGACATGCATAGTAAGTGTGGATCAAAGGAAAGAAGAAAACAAGTTCATGAAAGCACAATGGTAAAAACTACTCTTCTTTACCTAGGTGTCAGAACTGTGCCTAGCAGGTAGGAAGGAGGTGTTGAAGTCTGATGGACCAGGAAAGTCAGGTGATGGACTGAACAAGATGTCAGGATGATATTGCAAGCGCAACTGCAGAGCATGACCAACAATGGGATGATATTGGGCCAATGTTTGAATATACAAAGTGTCATTCTCCTAACTACAATACATTTTCTATCACTATGCCAAGTACTATAAAGCTATGAACCTTCGTGTTCTAACGTCTCAGTTCCTTTCAAGCAACTGAGATGTACATTATGTTTTTCCCTCTTACTATACATGATCTAACGTACCTGTAGAATATTCTTACTAGGTATTAGACTGTACCATTGAGTTCCTTTCAAGCAACTGAGATAATATTCTTACTAGCTCCTGTGTTTTGCATCACCATTTGGCTATCATAACCATAGGTTATGAGCCCTGCCACAGTCATGGATTCCACACTCCCCAGTACCAACCCCGCACTCTTCAATGTCCCAAAGCTGGCCAAGGAGGGCAGCAACTGGATTACCTATAAGGAATGCATGCTGACTGCTATTGGTGCAAGAGGATTGATGTGTTATGTCGATGGTTGTGTCATGAAACCTACACCATACCCTACCAATCCAATGATGGGCACTGTCTTGAAGCCTGATGGCTTGATGCCCACACAAACAGAAATTGAGGAGTTAGACAAGAAAATCAATGAGTACTGTCAAAAGGACTCACTAGTCAAGCAGCAAATGTTCAGTACAATCACAGATTGACTACTCTTGTGTGTGCAGAAGCTTGAGGGCACTACAAAGATATGGGAAGAGATCCACATTATTCACAAGGGCAAAACTGAGTTAGTACAGATAGACCTTTGGTGGTGCCTCCAGGACATGTGATGTGATGAGAATGGAGATATTAAAGATCACTTTGGGGAACTTACATGATTATGTGAGTCCTTGGCAGGGATGGGTGCTGATATTGAGGATTGTGATTTCTACGCCATCATCCTTGGCTCCCTCCCTGAGTCCTATCATCCTCTCCTGTCATTAATTGACACAGCGGCTAAGATAGCCTAGAAACCTCTTACCCTAAATGAACTTATCAGTGCCATCTCCAAGGAGTATGAGTGTCATGTACCTGATCTGACTGCTCCTCTGATATTAATATCCGCTCCGCCCGACCTCATACTTCCCCCACTTTCCTACCATCTCCGCTCCAGTCCACCCTCTGCCTGACCCAGTCAGCTCCCACATCTGCTCCTATGGTTCCACTTAACCGCCTCGTTGGTTGTCTTCCAGCATCATCCATTCTACTGTAAACTCCTTTCCCCATTTAGGTATATACTTTCCCCATTTGCACTTAGTACTTACTTCCCAGATCACCGGTACTTCCAATAACCACTCGACTAACTGATCCGACACGTACATATTGATATCCACTCCAACTTGTGTTTTCCACTTACAAATTGTATACTTAGTACATAGCCTCATACCAAGGACTACTAGTCACTGCCTCCTACATAGAAGTATATAAAAACACCTCCTGTACATAGCTACTCCCCAGTCTTAATATTACTTGTCTTCCTGCTGTCTCTACTAGTGGGAATTCTCTGTAGGACTTTGCTCCCTCTCCAGACACAAGTTTACCTTGTTGTCACCTCTGACCCTCCACTCCGACTTAGAGCCACACTCTAAGTACTTACTCTTATCTCTCCAATCTCATCATTCCATCCCCTTACTCCCCTCCATCCCAATAAACTTCCTCCACCTCCCCTGCTCCGCTCCTAGTCAGATTACCGCTAGTAGCACTTACCTCCCAACCCACCAAGCGGACCAAAGCGGTCTGCCCGTCCTATTATCGGACCCACTCCAAATTCAGGGCACATACTCGGCTAAGGGCACAGCACAAGAGCTGAAGCCAAGCCCCAACCCCTCCGCTTCTCCATCCAAGCACGGTCTCTAACAATGAGCACCATCAGCTTACAGATTGTTGCACCAGCAAAAAGGGTGTGAACTCCACATTGATGGCTAAGTCAACTGGTGGGAAGAGTTGGAAGCCGAGTGCAGGAATGCAGGCCAATCTAGCTGTGACCTGTTTCAACTGCGATCATAAGGGGCACTATAAATATGATTGCTGGCAGCCAGAGGGAGGAAAGGAAGGCCAGGGGCCAAATCAGTACCAGAAGAAGGGAGGATGTGCACCTAGAGAGGGAGCTAATGCAGCTGCCTCTACCCCCAATCCTGAATCTAATTTCACCTTCACCACATCAGACCTTGCCAGTATTGCAGAGCAGATGCACATACCTGTCGAGTGCTGAGGTGCCATTATAGACTTGGGCGCCACCTCTCATTTCTGTCCAGACTGGTTCAAATTCCTTAATTTCATCTCCATAGAACTGCAGGATGTGCATACTGCTGATGGACCTGCCATTAGTGCAATAGGCAAAGGTGACATCAAGATAGACTTACCTAATGGGAAGAACTGCACCTCTGTCACTCTTCACAATGCTCTATACATGCTGAAAATGGTGTTTATGCTTATTTCAACTCGCCAAATCACTGCAGGATGCCTAGACGTCCATTCTTGTCCCCTGGGCCTAAGCACACTATCATCACAACTATCCCACAAGTAGAAGGTCTATATAGTGTTGCCACGTGAGCCAAGCACCACACCAACATTGCAAAGACCAGACTCACCATCCAAGATCTCTACAGAGTACTCAGACATATTTCCCATGCAGCCACCAAGCACACTGTCATGAAAGGTTTTGTCATGGGCCTTGAGCTCAATCCCACCTCCACAAATGAATTCTGTGAAGCTGTCATATCCCATACCTCCGGACCCAGAATTCCAGATTCTCCCCTATGAAAGTCTGGATCTCCGTCCTGTCGTCCACCCAGCGCTCCGCTTTCATCTCTGGACTCACACCTATCTCCTTTTAGAATACTGCTGTCCGGCTACTGGTTGTATACCTTTCTGCTTTGCTTACTGACCTGTCCGTCTGCACTTCATTTCTGACTTCATTTCTTTAATCTGTTGTACACTTACTAATAGACTTTCCATATGCTTCGGGCATAGCTTTTACTTTACTGACTGATTACTTATATGATACCTACAGTATATAAACTCCTGAAAAACTCCAGTACCTCCTCAGTTCAAATATCATCTTAGTTCCTGCTCATTCCTGCCTCTCTGGACTTGAGTCTGATCTCTTGTCAACCTCCAAGTCTTGGGTTTATTCCTTGAGACTACATCTCTGGCTCTACCTTAGGGTAGTCTAACTCTGTTCTGTTTCTACTCTGGACTTGTCCAAAGTAGCCTTACTCTATTTACTCCTAGCCTTCTAGAGTTCCGCCAAACTCCCCCTGCATCTGACCTCCGGACTTACCTGGACTTCTGTCAGACTTCCCTTCTACCTCTCAGAAATTAAGGGCATGTACTCGGGTAAGGGGCGCAGCACACAAGCTGAAGCCAAGCCCTTTGAGTTACTCTTCCCTTGAGCACAACCTTAACACTGTCCGCAAAACCACGATCAGGTACCTCATGCCTTGATGCGATTAAGAGGATAAAGAAAACTCGCAGAATATCACACAGGGTTTGCCTTGTATCACTAGTAGTGGAGGTAAGAATCTGATGCTGTGGACTGTGATTTAAACTTACACAATAGTAGGTGGACAAAGAGGAAGTACCTCAAGAACACTCATCTGAACAAGACACACCACCACATCTACAACACAACACACCTCCTACTACCACAATGGAAGATGCAATTGCAAGAGGTGTAGAAGCCGCACTGAGACATGTTCTAATCAACAAAGAATTTCCAGTTATCAAGAAGCACAGTCCCTGGTGGAGAAAGACGGAGGAAAAAGAACTCCAGCAAGAGAAGGTGGCCGAGAAAAGCAATGAAAGAGACTTTTTTTTGGTAAGTCAAAAGGTGGTATGGAAGCTGCAACTTACAGTGATGTATAGGGCAAAGTGTGGTGTCTCTTCAAAGACATTTTCAACATTTCTCAAGACACCAATTTCATACTCCATCAGGCAGCTAGTCATGAGGATGTCTACTCATATGAATACAAAGACGGCCCAGGTCCCAATTCCAAAAATCTCACCTTTGATCTCAAATGTGGGTCCAAAAGCCCCTGGAATGATAAAGTCATTGGCTTGCTGCTTGAAGAATTGCAGAGAAGGGGTGACCAAGAGAGCTGGCCATTCTGAAGGTCAGAGGCATATATGAGGGAAGTTCTTCAAGATCATTACAAACGCCTGCGTACAGTGTGGATGGCTGCACAACCCAAGGTTACAGCAAAGGGTGGATTGGAGATTCTTGCAGAGGTGTAGCAGAGGCTGATCACTAAGAAAGATGAGACATTGAAAGCAACTTGTGAAACAACTTGTCAGAAAAATGTATGGTCATGAACTCCATACTAATCTGGTACTGACACCTTCTCAGAAATATCTTCACAGAGTCAAGGTTCTTGACCATCTCGTTAAGTACAAGACTGATGAGAATGAGGAAGACCTCCCAGCCTGGCAGTGGCTTCAGCAACTAGTTGGGACATTAGGAGAAGACAGCATGAGTTTGGAGGAGAGCGATGTGGAAAATGATATTGAAACAGTTCTTCATGTCAAGAACATGACTTGGTGCCATGCGATCAAATGGGAATTGGATATTATTGATCACCAAAGGATTGTGGATGATGATATCTTTGCCCCCCAAGGTTCAAAGCCAATGAAACAGATATGCTTAGCTGGGAATCCAATGACATCCAGAAAAGAAGGGGATGGGTTGCCTAAAGCAATGTATAATGAGGAATGGCTTGCAGGTTTGACCAAGCATCAAGCCCAGTGAAGACTGGACATGGCCAGAACGGTTGAGATCAAGCGGAACATAATGAATTTAGAAGCACAATATTTCACCATAGGAGACTCACTGTGGAGACTAATAGAATATTTCGCATCTGTTGCAATCTTGTCGAATGTTGTAGGGTATGTTAAGAATATCAATATCATATTTCACCATATTTTGGTTCAGTTCGTGCGGTATGACAAAATCGATTGTATTCGGGTCAATTGTACTATAATCTACTGGTACAAATGCTTCGACACGATCAGAAAACATGATATAGGGCAATATGGTACAATGATGATAATAATAGTGCGGAACTGGAGCAAGCACAAGCAATCGGGACTCGGGAGGCAACCAGCAGGTGACAGCAAAAGAACAGGTCCCAGGAACAATGTGGACAGGCGAGGAGGGAGACAAGCAAGCACATGCAATCGGGAGGCACCCAGCAGGTGACAGCAAAAGAACAGGAACAATGTGGAAAGGCGAGAAGGGAGACAAGTGAGCACAGGCTATCGGTGGGGGGCAACCAGCAGGTGACGCCAGGCAAGCAATAGCCCAGGCAAGCTAATACATAGGACCATCGACGACATCACTGTTCTTCGCCCAGCGCCCTGCCTTTTCCTACCAAGTCTCAGCAACTCGATAATGGGAGTAGCTTGAAGGCTGTACTTACTAGTTCTCCAGCCTCCCTATCATAAGACTGTGGACAGAAGTGTTAGTAGAATCTGTGAAAGGATGTAGTGAATCAGCGATATAATACCTGGATCTGCACTTCATTCAATTTAGAATAATAGCCTGTAGAGAGAAAAGGTCAATACTATTGGAGAAAGGCAATGATATTAATAGCATACCAGAATCCACGAAACCCGCAGGCTCACTGTCACTCGGACATGCTCTGTAGGCATGCCTATTTCTCAAGCCCAGTCAAGTCCACTCAAGCCCATTCACCTCGCCTCGCGGTGAAGATGTGAGTTCAACATCTTGGTTATTCCAAATAGAGCGCATATAATCAGAGAAGGCGGCGGCAGCAAGACGTGTAGCTACCTTCGAATTAGTGGGGGAAGATGGTGGGGAAGAAGAATGGGGAACCTGGGATTCCCCAAACATTTTAACTTTGGGGTGCTACAAAACTCACCCAAACAAAAGGGCTCATAATGAATGTTGTGCGCATGCAAAGTACCAGAATGTTGCTCTGGAAGTAAGCTGTGTAACAACGAACGACAGGTGAAAATGCTGTGTGCATGGACAAAAACATGGTCGATGACGCGAGAAACGTGATGTGAAGTCGACAACGATGCAATGTTTTACAATGCGGTGCACAGACGATAAGTGCCGTTGGAGATTACACAAGATTGGACCAGAAATTATATGTCCAATCAATATTCTATGCTATTCGAACCGTTTTGGCCATGTCCAGTCTTCACTGGGCATCAAGTTGAGAGGTTATCAATCTTGGATGGAAGATTTAAGTGGATGAGAGTTGCGGTAGCATAGGGCATCATTTTGTACTTCTGGAGATATTGAACGTGCAACACAAGCGCCAAAGGTGTGGCTTGCCGAGTGGGTAGATGTCAGCACTGTGTGAGATTGAAGTCAGGATGGTGATGGAATTAATGTAAGTACATACCAGTCCGTGTCTCAAAACTCATCCCTCAAATTTGTGTTAGGGATCGATTGAAGTCGGACAGAGGAGTCGGGTGACAACAAAAGGATGACACGGCAGTACATACTGCCATATCAGGAGTCCAGTACAATGAACCCAGTTGAAGTCCAGCAGACACAACAGTACAGACCGTCATATCAGAGGAGGAGAGGATAAGGGCGCATTAGGGATCGATCAAGGTCAGAGGAAGGAAAGTTGGAGGAAGGAGTTGGAGGAAGGAGTTGGTCCAGATGATGAACCCAGTTGAAGTCCAGCAGACATGACAGTACAGACCGTCATGTCAGAGGAGGAGAGGACCAGGGATAGATGTGACAGTACAGACCATCATGCCAAGTAGAAATTGAAGTATAAGAAAGTATACATATTCAGTATACAGGATTAGGATAGAATACACTTGAGGGGACTTAGAATCAATTTGTCAGAAAGTACAAACACTTGCAAATCAAGTCACATGCAAATTCCAACCCTCCAAATCAACCAAGTTCTCATTTTCCATGTGCTATGGCCCATATACTTTATCACCTCTCTTCTCCTGGCACAACGGTATGTACTGTCGTGTTGTGTCATTGTCTTGCTTCCTTTCCATTCAATAACTCAAAGTCGCCTACCCTGCTCTGATGAGGATTAGCGCACACCACAGGTAATCCTATTGTTTATTTTCTTATTCTTATGATACTAAGAGTTGCTTTCGGTTTTGATCACCCAGCTGCTGATTTCCACTAGTGTGCAAATGATCTCTTCCTCTTCCATTGTTATGAGGAGCCTTGTTTTTTTTTGGTTTCAAATTTATGTCTTAGCATTTAATATTTATTTGTACCCCCCGCATTTTCTCTCTGCACAACCCTCAGAGACCAGAGAGCAGACAATCGAAATTTACTCTGCCATTATGATTATATTATTATAATTACATTATTTCTGGTGTTCCACAGTCTCTGTGATTCCACTAAGTCCATTGATGGGTTTGTGGCCCGAAGTCAGGCCTCTAATTTAAACCCTGCATACCACAGACTTGCTTTCCCTTTTCTACCCCTTACCTCATATATAACAGTTTCTACTGTTGTTCCTCTTTCTACCTGTCTACTACTTGCTTCCCACATACTATCTATCTGTCTTACCTGCTGCGTACAACAGTTTCTACTGTTGTTTGTATACTCCTCCTGCCTGCTGCATACAACGGTTTCTACTGTTGTTCATTTGCTCTTCTTGCCCGCGCAACACTTGGTCTGCTCTCATCCACCACCTGCTGTGCTGCTCATGGCTTCTAACCTCCATGTCTTCATAAATGAAGGGGCAATTTTCACTTCCTTCAATGCATCCTCGCTTCCTACTGTTATTCCCCCATCCCTCGACCCTGGAACCCAATGTTAGAGTCTGATTGTTCTTCCGACAACATCTGAGACACCTTAATGACCCAGTAGGCATATGAAATGTGCCCATGGTATCCTATCATCCCCCAAAACCCTATGTTTGACAGTGCCATCTTCAGGTGCCTCAATCATTCCTATTCCTCTGTGCCCATCGAGGCGATACACGATCATTGCTATATCTTATGCAAGGATGTCCAAGAAGAATGGCAGGCTCTGGAGCAGAAGTTAGCTTGGTGTCAGGGATGTCTAGCAATGAACATGCATTTTCCTTGGTATGGCCAACCCCCACGAGCTCCGAGAGATTATGGGTACTTGAGGTCTCACATCAATGTGAAGCTCGCAAAGAAGGTTGCTCTGAGATCATGCAATGCATTCATAGGTATGGAGTTCATTCTATTGTGACACATTGAGGCTTATTGGTATTTTCAGGTATTGCAACTCTCTGCACATACTTCATCATGGCTCATCGATATAGACCCCATGATGGTCTCTCAGACTGGACCTCTCTATTGACCAAAGACCCTCAATGTCCCATACCGTCTGCATGGGTGGTCAAACTCTCCTGCACATTTGTCAGGATCTCACAGATGCTGTACCATGCACTGGCATGATTATCAACAGTGCCTATGGTCTGAGTTGAGATGGAGATGTGACCATGTTTGAAAGCTTCAAAATCCCAATCTGGGTGTATTGGCCTTGTAATATGGTACACGATAAGGCCTGGAAAAAATACCTGCCTTCAACAACAGATATTGCTGCAGCAACTCAGACTCAGTGGGGCATCCAGTCAGGATGGGGCACTCAGTTCAACGATAATACTGGGGGAGTTAGGCACAATGGTAATCCATCTAATGATGATCTGTGGGGAACTCAATTGAACGATCTGTGGGGCACTCAGTCAGATGATCCAGCACCAATGTCCATTGTTCAATTGCAGCCCAACCTCTCCCATTTTCCGCTCCCCCCAAAAAATAGCAGTCAGAAGCATGGTGAAGATTTCAAGGTGTTCTTTGCCTGCCTGGGCCACACAGAACAAGGAGAAGGAGATGAAGGAATCACCCTCTCAATGGCAGGCACATCTAGGTCGTGAGCATTTGGTGATGAATTATCACATGCCTGGGAGGTCCAGCACAATTCAGGTGTTCGAATGGCGACCCAATGACGATGATGATGATGAGGATGGATTCCTGTTGCACCACCCCATCACAAAGGCTTGTGTAGAGGAAATCTGGGGAAACTACAACAAGGAAACTAGAATCTTTGATCCCTTCTCTAACCAGTGGGACTTATGTCATGCCCTCAACCCAACTAGCATCCCTGACAGTGACGATCGGGAAGATAACAACATTATCATGCCTCTGCTTCCTATAGTTGCTCCCCCTGTACTTCCACCTCCTACTCCTTCCAGTTTCTCACAGGACATATACAAATACTTCAGCAATGAGGATTCACTTGCATCAAGACATGCGAGTATTGAAGGACTTGTCCCTGTCTTACATTACCATTTTGGATATTGAACCATGGCAGCTATCTTGCCTCCTCTGAATGTATCAACATGGATGCAAGAATGGACTAGGAAGATGCAATGGGAACATACTCGGAAGCTAGTTGGCGATTTGACAGCTGAAACAGGTTTGATTGCAGAGCCACAACACCAAAGCATTATGAACTTCATTGCACTTTTGGTAAACTTCAAGCAGTCTGACTCAGGCAGCCTAATACTGTCTGATGTTTGGGATTTAGGACCCAATCCGTCTCTACAAATTTCACATGCGCATATCCAAGTTTCTTACACCCAGCTATTGCAACATCGGTTCTTTATAATTGAGCCCCACCAGTCCCCAAATCATGTTGTCTGGACATTGGCTATTCCTGACCCTGTTACCGCGGTGATGTGCCTGTGATGTAACTGGGGTTCAAACATGAAGGAGATCGTACTTGCTCTCCTTCAAAGAGGTATAGCATTTAGGACGCTGCAGCATATGACCATCACGCCCAACTTGTGGCACCCCCCTACTAAGCTTCATACCTACACCTTGGGACACCAACAATTCCCCTTCCACGTGATATATGCGGATTACGTCGTATATGAGCAGCCACATCACGAGTTTATGAACTGGCCCTGAGCAAGGGCTACTTTTCTGCACGGGGGACTCATATGGCAGTTGGCTTTGCACAGCCTTGGTTTCGACCATCTCCCATCTGTCCTTGATGGTATCTCGCCCAAAGCTGTTCCATTTGGTCTCCTATTGTGCAGCAATGATCAGACTTACTATGACAATGGGTTGTCGGAAGAAGAAATTGATTTTATGTGCAGGACATACTACATGCACCAGGGTAAGCTTTCCCTTACACAGATTGATTGATCGTAGCAATATTAATACTCACACTTTCTAGCTCAGGGCACATGTTAAGGTCGTGCTCAAGGGAGAGGTTACTCAAAGGGCTTCGGCTTCAGCTCGTGCGCTGTGCCCCTTACCCGAGTACGTGCCCTTTAATTTCCGGGGGACAGAGGGGAAGTCCGACAGAAGTCTGGGGAGTTCCGGAGGACTTAGTGTTGGTGGAGTTCGGCGGAACTCCGGGAGGTTTATACTGGGACAGAGTAAGGCTACTATGGAAGTCCGGAGTAGAAACTGAACAGAGGTTAGACTACCCTAAGGTAGAGCCGGAGGAGTAGTCCTAAGGTTTAACCCCTAAGACTCGGAGGTGGACAAGAGATGAGACTCAAGTCCGGAGATTGCAGGAATGAGCAGAACTAAGATGATATTCGAACTGAGGAGTTCCGGAGTATTACAGGGGTTTATATACTGTAGGTAACATGTAAGTAAATCAGTCAGCAAAAGGTAAGGGCTATGTACGAAGCATGTGGAAAGTCTATTACTAAGTGTAGCGGATCAAAGCAGTGAAGTTGGAAATGAAGTAGAAATGGATGGATCAATAAGCATAGCGGAAAGAACATAACCGGTAACCAGAGCAATAGCTAATCTAAAAGGAGTTAGGGGTGAGTGCAGAGATGAAGGCGGAGCGCCGGGTGGAATAGTAAGATGGAGGAACGGACTTCGATGAAGTAGATCTGGAATTCCAGATCCGGAGGTACGGGATATGACAGCACAGATGTAGTAGTATCATCCTGGTGGTGTCATATACCGGATCCGAGTACCCCCAGTACCACCTATAAGCATCCCTACTGCTCGTCCGACCCCCTGTTTCCCCATCTGCTCCATTCCTCCTTCTCCAACAATGCACGAAGTGCATCTCAGCAGGATTAGCCCTGCTACCTCCACCCGACCCAGTTCCGCTTTTCCGACACTACCCCTATGTCCTCTGACACCATGCCCCTTCCATCCGACCCTATCTGGGGTTCTGCTCCTCCACCCTATTGGTCTGCCTGATCCTACTCCTACTCCCTCCGCTTTTCTGACCCGCTTGGTTCCACTCGTCTTGTCCCACCCAACTATTAGTCCGTCCGACCGCCTCACCAGTCCCCTCCTAGACTAGGAACCACTCAACTGGTCCTATCCCCGTTTAGTATCATAGTTCCGCTTTTCGGATCACTGGTAATCTCTATACCCTAGTGATTCTGATCCATTGCGTACATACTGTTCCCCGAGCCTTATTCTCATATGTCTCAGTCATCCTATTGTAATCCTGTACACTCAGCACATAGCCTTCTGCTATGCTATGCTATGGTCATCACTTAAAGTATATAAACATATGTACATTTGTCTGTAGATACTCAGTCTGAATATTACCTTTTCTAAGCCCTGCTCTTCTGTTCTTTGACTTGGGACTGATCCTAGTCAACTCCTGTTAAGCCAGCCTAGGGGATTGACTCCCTAGGTCGGCCATCTGTCATATACCTGATCCGACCGCTCCGATACTGATATCCGCTCCACTTCCTGACCCTTCCGCCCCATCCATCCTCCACTCCATCCAATCACAAATCCACATTCCACCCTACGCTTCCGCTCAACCGCTCAACTGGTCCCCTTCCATAACCTCTCCATTCAACTGGATCTCTTTCTCCTTTTAGATATATACCTTCCCCATTGGTACATAGACCCTTACTTCCGGATGACCGGTAATTCCTATTACCGCTCGATCACTGATCCGACGCGTACATATTGATATCTGCCCTGACTTATGTCTTAACCTATGTAAAATACTTACAAACTATATCCTTGGTACATAGCTAGTTATCCTGATCACTGCCTCATACATAGAAGTATATAACATATCATGTACTTAGATATTTCTCCTCAGTCTTAATATTACTTGTCTTCTTGCAGTTATATCTTGTGAGAATTCTCAGTAGGACCTTGCCTCCTCTGGACACAAGTCTCAACTTGTTGTCACCTCCGACCCTCTGACCCTCCGCTCCGACTTAGAGCCATGCTCTAAGTCTTCCCCGTATTACTCCGCCCCTATCAAATATCCTCCTTCGCCCCTCTGCATTATCCTCCGCCTTTCCCACCCCTACCAACATTCCCCTGCTTCTATCCCCTCTCCGCATCACTCCCCACCTTCTCTGCTCCGCTCCTAGTCGGCCCACCGCTAGTAGCTCTTACTCCCCAACCCTCAGAGTGGACCAAAGTGGTCCAATTGTCCTACTGTCAGACAACACTGGACCTGCTCCAAATTTGGGGCACATACTCGGCTAAGGGCGCAGTGCAAGAGCTGAAGCCAAGCCCCGACCCCTCTGCTTCCTGAGTCGGCACAGTACCTAACACCATCCTCCGATCATCCATTCCTCTGTTCCCCCATTCCTCCACTCCTCTGTTCCCCCGCTCCCCCGTTCCCCTGTTCCCCCATTCCCCCGTCCCTCTGCTCATCCGACTTCCTGCGCATCAGAACTAGACCCCGCACTCTTGCATCCATCCCCTCTGTTCCACTCTGCTTCGGACTTCATCCAAGCAGTTCCCTCCGCTCCGCTACTACTGTTGGTTCCAACCGTAGTAGTCTCCTGCCCCCCTCCTGTCGGGCAGAACAACCCCCGCCCGACTTTCCCACACTCACCTAGTAGTCCATTGGTCCTCCTTCAGAGGACCCCCGTTCTGACACCCTGTCGGAACTCATAGAACTCGTGTTGGACTACATTCCAAATTAGAGGCACATACTCAGGTAAGGGGCGCAGCGTATGAGCTGAAGCCAAGCCCCTCAGACTCCGCTTTACCCCTGAGAACGGTCTTAACAGGTGGCCTCGGCCGCATGCTTGGAATGCATCAAGCTTGAACATCAGTTTTTGGTCTGCTCGTTGTGAAGATTGGTTCCAAACCTGTCTTGGCAATATCAGAGAAGGAGTTTCTCGTGAGCGACTTTTGTGCACTGATGATGCCAATGGTCCAATGACCTCCATGCAATGGAAGCACTCCCTCAAATTTAACCCTGGCACAACCAAGATGATGCAAAATGTTTTGGCGGCGTGTTATGATTTCATGACTAGAGCACCTGGTAAGAGTTATTAACCAAACTGCCTCATTCATACTGACAAGATTATCTAGTTTGGACTAAGTCATAGTTGTGCTGTTGTATTGCATATGTATTGTATGTATTATAGTATGATTATGAGAACGTGCTACACTCCTATTTGCATTGATAACCAGTAGACAGAGCCAGAATATATTATATGTCAGGACACGAACTGGGCTACAATTGAGTAATAGATTGATCTCAGGGGTCAACTTATCATAGATGATCACCATTTTGTGCTGCATGCTGCGGGTGATGAGTGGGCGACAATTAAGCAATAAGCAGGTGACAAGCGGGCAATTCATTCTATCAAAGGACAAAACTTCAAGTTTCGTCATCACATCTTGTCACTGGCGTAAACTTCAAAATTTTGTTGACATCTAATTGTCAGACAAAACTTAAAACAGTGGCAAGGATATATCCACAGATTAAGCTTCAGGTTTCATCTGAAGTTTTACGTGATAATTAAATTTAAAATTCAAGCAGACTGCTGAAAATCTGATTATACTTCTTATTTGTGTTGACATATGGTCAGTGGAAAAATAGCTGCGGATATTTGGATTTCGCATACAACACTGACTAAATTTGAAGTTATATGCCCATTTTTATGTCAGTTCAAACTCCAAATATTTTCTTCACATTTAGTACAACATGTAAACCTCTCCTAAATATTGATAACCCCGATGTGCTTGCGATGGGATGTTTATGTGGGGGATGTGACACTTCACCACAATCTTCACCTTATCTAATAATGCTGCTCATTTCAAATATGTACGAGCAAATATGATTCAGTAACCTGCTTGTATTTCCGCTGGATGTTGTCATAGGTAATTTGTAAATGGTTTTAGAGGAGGTGTGGTTTCTGTCCTACTGTCGAGAAGTCTGGCATCGTCATCGTCGACCCTGTCGACAGGAAAAATACTGAGTAGATCAATCCTCATGCATAACCTACGAAGGTCAGTGAATCGGAATCAAGATCTGAAACTACCGTGGGTCAAATGAAGTTCAAGTTCAAGTTTGAACGATAACACTTACTACAAGGGGTCTGACTGGCATTATGAAAGTGTCCCTTGTGCAACATTGCAGTATCTTAATCACCGTCGAGAAATCGACTGTTCTCTCGTACCGCATGACAAACATTCCTCCCAAGCGAAAAAGGAGGAATGTATGTAACTTCTTTTGCAATAGAAGTGTTAGGTCGTATCTGTCCCTATTAGCAGTCGCCACTGATATCTGTAAAAATCCTCTCGTACCGCATGACAAATATCAGACAGGGTGAACGGTTGTAACTGCATTTACAAAGGAAGTGCCAGGAGTAGTGTTGTCGCTGCCGAGATACCGCTGATCTCTATACAATTCCACTCATACCGCATTGACTCCCAAGCGAACATGAGGGATGTATGAAACTTCTTTTGCAATGGAAGTGCCAGAGCGACGTACCTGGCGGCTTTGTCGCAATGTCCAATCAGGTTACAGTAGGGTTCGTCTGGATGGGTGCTTGGGACAGCAGAATGCCGAGGCTGCACAGAACGTACATATAAAAGATGTTGCAATCGCGGGTTTGAAGATCAACTCACTCTTATTCCCTCATATCTCACCAACAACAAATCAAATAGTATCACGCCAACCGCACAAGTCGTGATCCCGGGGTTTCTTAGACATGTCGAGACCAACAGGGTGTTAACATCGGTGCCAGTGCCAGGCGGTTTCTTGGCGGAAAACCTTCTCCCCGGCGTACTTCCGGGCCCTCAGATGCTGGTAGGTATCTATTATATTGGAGAAATGATCTAGGCTTGTAGCTGACCAGATATACCGATAGTGGACGGCGGACTTCCCGGCAGTTAGAATTCCGGGCGCTGACGCGGCGGCAGGGACGATCCGCGAGCGGGCTCCCGCTCAGAGGTTCTTCGTATGGAGTGTTGCTGTTAGTCTCCACAAGATAAAACATGATAATTCAAATCTCACTGGTTTTCCAGAACCCCGCGGATCTGGAGATAAACAATGTCGCTGGCCTTTGGCGTTTTAGACCACGAGAAAACATTCTTACAGGTGGAGAGGTAACGTGTGTATCAGGTCGTTATCCAAACCTATCTCAGACTGCTGACGTGGACATTGTGATTATCTATGCAGTGTGCACTTCAGGGACCTTGCTGATGTTGATCATTACTTGAGGGTCCAAGACTTGGGCGGTGGTGTAGGTCACATGGCATTTATGCACCATGCTTTTACTGACCTATGATGCACCTCAGGATTTCGTTGTCGATACGGAAGTGGTACCGGCAGGGGGGGTAGAAGACATCCCCGCTGAAGGGCTTTGGCAGTGGACGACGGCCTAGATGCCAGTCAGATGTGCTTGCAAGTTGTCATCGATGTGTTGACTTAGGATGGAGATTAGTTAGGCTGCTGGGCTTCTGCAAATGTACTTCTATACGTTGTTTTGATGAACCATTGGGTGCTTATATCATTGGAACTCGTCAACCGCCAGCATCCACCATGCTCGAGGCCACCATCGAGCTCAAATCTCTACATCATCATGCATAGATAAAACTACAAAGCAAAGCCAAAGCCAATAAAGTAGCATAAAGCATACAGCATACACATCAACGAAATAGGATGAGACATCAACGAAATGATATCAGATATATATAAAAAAGATCAGAAATCAGACACGGATTGCAAAAGAAGCAAAGAAATAAAGTGTACGAGTACGACGATGCAATAAAATGCTGCAGTACAGTGCATGAGGGTATCGTGAAACAGATAACAAGTGATTCATCTCGAGTATGAATTTGGTGCGAGTGTGGCTGGGACTAGGAATGGGAATGGGATGGGACTGGTCTCGGCGTCAGATCAGTGTAACATCAAATAAGATACGTTCGAGCAAGGGGATGGAGTAGCCGAACGAATTAGCGGTTGGGGGTCTTCTTGGAACGGAACGAAACGGGCCATGCGAGCGAGTCAATGAGGCGAAGGAGGGAGCGAGGGAAAGAATGGAGCAAAGCGGGTCTAAGCAAACACACCCCTCCTGGGCGTCTTCATCCCAGCGCTCACATTCTCCTTCTCATCCACCTCACTACGTACACTCGAACTCACGCTTATCCTCCTCCCACCTGTTCTCCCCCCAGTAACGGGCGTCTTGACAGCAGCAGCAGAATCGACGGAACTCGTCGACACCCGCCTTACACTCGCGCCTAACCCAGGTCCAGGTCCAGGTCTTGCAGTCGTCGTTGATTTCCCAAGCGATGAAGGTGCGCGGGTAGTAGACGCTGCTAGAGACACACGTGTATGTGTCGGAGTAGGCGTAGCCAACGACGCTCGGGCAGATTTCGCAGGTGGAGGACCCATTTTCCCAGCCCCTGTTGGTGTTGCATTGATGCGGACGCTCCGTGTAAGAGCACCAAGACTCGCTCTCGGTGCTGTGCTAGGCGTGTCTGATGCTTTGGAGACGTCCGACATGGATGAAGCAGGACGGGATGATGTAGTTGTGGCGGACATGGATGGAGTTCCGATCATGCTTTCGCGTCGGATGGTGCGGGTTGGAGGGGGTGCGGGCGTTACTGGTGCTTTCATTGCTATCTTCCTCTTGATCTATTCCCCGTGAGATGAGACGCATACGAAAGAGAAATGGGGACTCACGAGTTCCAATTCCTGCTGCTTCGCATCCAACGCGATATTCAACCCATTAACATCCTCCCTATCCCTCTCCCTCTCCTTCCTCAACTGCACAAAGCTAACCTCCCTCGCAGCGCTCTCCTGCTGCATCTCATGCACCGTCCTCCTCAACCTAGCCACTTCATCCATCAAACTACTCACGCGCTCTTTACTCGTGCTTAGTCTGATATCGCTCTCTGCTTTGTCGCGCAGCGCTACCTCTAGTTGTTTGGACTGGTCTTGGGTTTGGGTTTGGAGGTCGGCGAGCTGGTGCGTTTGGGCGCTGATGGTGCGGTTAGAAGAGACTTTGAGAGAGGCGAGTTCGCCGCGGAGAGACTCGGTTGTTTCGGTGTTGGTGAGGAGAGTGGTTGTTAGAGTAGCGATTGTAGTTGTGTGCTCTAGGATGTTGGTTTCGAGGCGGGAGATGTTTTCGTGTGCGAAAGTGAGTTCGGAGGTTAGGTCTTTGATGCGGTTTGTGTGCTGCGGAGAGTTAGTACTGGATAACATGAGAAGAGGGAGACGTACCTCTTCGTTAGCGAGTTGGAGTTCGGAAATGTGGTTGATGGATTGACTCCATTCTTCTTCCATGCTTAGGATCTTGGTTTCTTGTTCTTCGAGGGAGGATCTGAGGGCTTCGTTTTCGGAGTGGAGGTCTTCGATGTGGGCGGCCCTTTCTTGGTTGGCTGCGTCGTGCTCCGTCTTGATACGCTCCAAGTCGGCTGTGAGAGCGTTCTTGTCCATTGTGTGCGCATCGAGCATTCGTGCGCGCTCTTCTGCCCATGCGAGTTCGATGGTTTGATGCCTCTCTCGTTCCTCCTCAGCTGCTAGGATGAGCGCTTCTTCTGCCATTGAAGAGCGTGCGCTATTGACCGTCAGGTGATCCATCTGTTCCTTTGCTTCTCTTATCCCATCGCGCAGCTCGCGTTCTGCATCATCCCGTGGCGTCATCTCTTCGCGCAACGTTAAGAGCTCGGCATCTTTCTCGCGAAGGAGGGAGTGTTCTTGGAGTGCTTCCTTCTCGCGTTCGAGCTGTGAGATCTGGCGATGAAGCATACGGAGTGCTTCGCCGCTGGCTTCGTCCATGACGCTGCGTTCTAGGCTTTCTTGGCGGGAAGTATCGACTTCTTCTTCGAGGGTACGACACATGCGTTCTAGTTCCCCTGCCTTCTTCTTCCAAGTACGCAAGACGGTCTTGCTTTTCTCTCTTTCCTTTTCAGCTGATTCAGCGCGCAGAGTAAGAGCTTGAACGAGCTCGTCTCTCGCCCCTAAATCGATCTCGTATTGAGCGCATAGTTCTTGAGAGAGAGCGAGTTGAGTACGAAGGCTCCATAGGATGTCGTCATCTTTGCTAGTTGTGCGGCTGTGAGTTGATGCTTGAGGGGGAGTAGGGGGGATCATTGTTCCTGGTGTGTAGTAAGTGGTGGCGTTTACGCGGAATGGGTCTGGTTCTGGAGCGAGAACGAGAGATGCGGTTGATGTATCGTTGATGTCTGCTTCTGGTGCTTGTTTTCTGAGGATTGTTTGGAATACGGTGTCGCTGAGGGCGCGGCTGCGACTGCGTGGTGGAGGTGAAGTTGGGGGAATGCTTATTTCGTCTGAGAATGTGGATGTTGTTGGGGAGAGGACGAAGGAGGGTTCGAGTGGTTTGAAGGGAGTTGAAGTGGCTTGTTCGTCTGGTGCGAATGGATTGGAGTCGTCTGGTGAGAAGAGTTCCATTGCTGATGGACGCGTCGTGCGCGCGGGGAATGATGGTTCTGAGGAAGAGTCTTGCTTGTATACATCGCGAGAGAAGAAACGAACGTTTCGTCCTGTTCCTGGTGTGTTTGGGTCACGTAGGATTGATCGTACGCTGTTGAATTCTTCTCTAGTAGCGTCTGATGATGCACCTAACCAAAAGTCAAGTCAAGTCATAAGGCAAAGGAGGAGACTCACGACTCAAGTGAAGATGAGATTTAACTTTTGATAGTTTCTTTGATTCATGGAATACCGACAAGTTTGGATGTTGTTCGTATACTTTTGATAAAACGTCTGTAGGCTCGTCCCTCTTGAGTGCGCTGCTTAATTTTGACCACATCGCAGGTGACAAGTAGAAAGTCAAAGGTTGGTTCGAGTTTTGAACAAGTCGCGTGGTCACGTGTATATAATATCCACCTCCCACTAACACCGACTCACTCATTCACTCACACCATGGTCAGATCATCACTACCAGTTCTTTTACTTCCTCATCCTTTAATTTTAATTCCGACTGCTCGTATTACGATTCAAATAAGTCGTACTTTAGCTGATTCTATACTAACACTCTTGGATGAATCAGATAAACCACTCCTCGCTGTTATCCCAACACCTTCAGAACACAATTCAGAAATCACACACGGAACAGCTGCCCGCGTAGCTCGTCTAGTCAGACCAAGATCACTTTCTTCTCCCAACCTTCTCTCACTCTACGGCCTCGCTCGTATTCGTCTCTCTTCTCCACCAGATACAAATTCACCAGACACTCTTCCTCTCCATGATGTCATTTACTCTTCCGGTGATGGAACCCCCTCAAGAGAAACAGTAGAAACATTCAAAGACGCCGCTCTCACACTCCTCGACCGTCTCGCAAAGGATTCCCTCCAGCCACAACGCAGAGACGACTGGTTAAGAGTAGCTGCAATGGTAGAAGATATCTCAGAACAACGCGCTGCGTGGATGGCAGACGTACTCGTAGCAGCAGTATCTCCTCAATACCCCGATAAACTCGGTCAGTACCCGTCCCTTTCCCATGGTTCTACTAACCTCCATTTTTAGCATTCCTGGCTGCTACAGACGTAGAAGACCGTCTCCGCCGTGCTACAGAACTATTCATCAAACAATCCTCCATTCAAGAAGTCTCAAAGAAGATAGCAACAGCCGTAGACGAATCTCTTTCTCGTCAACAGAAAGAATACTTTCTCCGCCAACAACTAGCAGCCATCCAACGCGAGTTGCATAGTCTACATGACTCTCCTGCTACAGCCGGTCCTGGATTCGGTACAGGCGGGGCTAACAGCGAGTTGGACGATGACGACCAGGCGGATGCAGATGACCTCGCTGATTTGCGTCGCAAGATAGAGGCTCTTGACGTTGGTTCAGAGGAACGTAAAGTCGGCGTTCGTGAGTGGAGGAGGCTCAAGAGAATTCCACAGGGAAGCGTCGAGAATGGCGTCATCCGTTCATACGTGAGTCCCGTCTATTTCAATGAATTGTGCTCAAAGCAATACAGTTGGAATGGCTCACCAGCGTCCCTTGGCCATCCACTACAACCATAACACCTCTCGACGTATTAAAGGACCACAGTTTCCTCACCAGAGCACGGTAAGCTCCCTCTAAACACCCGTTCAACTCTGACTCTGTGTTAGCGCACAACTGGACGCAGACCATTATGGCCTCGACCAAATCAAACGCCGTCTCATGGAATACCTCGCAGTCGTGCGTTTACGCGCTATCGCAGATGCTTCGGCTGAACCCACCTCAACGGATCTCGTCAAAGCGGACTCTCCCCCACCCCCACCGAAGAACAAAGGCGTCAAAGGTCCCATACTCCTGTACGTCCCTTTTAACTCGTGACATACCCACCCTAAGAATGTCACAGGTTCGTAGGTCCCCCAGGAACGGGAAAAACTTCCCTCGGACAATCGATCGCAAAGGCTCTAGGAAGACCCTTCCAACGGATATCACTGGGTGGCGTTAGGGACGAAGCCGAGATCCGGTTCGTACTCTACTTCTTCAAACCGAAGACTGAATTCACGTATGATTGACAGCGGACACCGGAGAACATACGTCGCTTCTGGACCTGGAGCTATCGTTCAGGCGTTGCGTAAAGCCGGTCGAAACGATCCCGTTATTTTATTGTGAGTTTCTCTCTTGCTCTGTGTTATACGATGGGGCTGATGTGGTGTGGGTGAACAGGGACGAAGTGGATAAAGTAGGACACAGCAATTTTCACGGCGATCCTGCAGCTGCGCTTCTAGAGGTGCTTGATCCGGAACAGAATCATTCCTTTAATGTGCGTCCATTTCATTTCATTTCCCTTTTCATTTCATCTCGTGTACATTTGGACTTGGGCTTGTACTCTTCTCGTATGTTGACGGCCTGACGCTGACGATGATGGACATAACAGGATCATTATATCAACGTACCCATAGATCTCAGTCAAGTCCTCTTCATATGCACGTCCAATACGCTGGAAACGATAAGTGCGCCTTTGTTAGATCGATGCGAGGTGGTCGAGTTGTCAGGTGCGTTATTCTCCTCTCCTTGCCTTTCATCATCATCTCACCCTCACCCTCTCTTTCTCCTTCTCTTCCCCTCGTCCTCTTGCCATCCCTCATCCTCATCCCTCACCCTCTTCACCATCACCTCCAACAAACCAAAGGCTACACATACGACGAGAAAACCCACATCGCCAAACGCTTCCTCCTCCCCAAGCAAATCCGCGCCAACGGACTCTCAGACAGCCAACTAACCCTAAGCGACGGGGCCCTGTTACACGTAGCCACCATGTACACGCGCGAAGCGGGCGTAAGGAGTTTAGAGCGTGCCATCGGGGCTGTTGTCAGGTTCAAAGCCGTAGAATGGGCCGAGTGGTTAGATGCGCGGGGTGTGCAGGGTGGAGAGAGGACTATTGTTACTAAAGACGAACAGGGGACTGTCACCGCTAAAGACAGGAACGGAAAAGACACAGAATGGCGCTCAACAGTCGAACCCCACGAACTCGAAGCTATCCTCGGGATCCCCCGCTTCGACATCGACGAACTCGACCGGGAAGAAAAACCAGGAATTGTATATGGACTCGTCGTAACAGGCATGGGCGAAGGCGGGATTCTCCCCGTTGAAAGCACCGCTCTCCCCGGTACAGGCCGTCTCAAACTCACAGGGAGCTTAGGAGAGGTATTGAAAGAGAGCGGGGAGATCGCATTGAGTTGGGTGAAGACCCATGCGTTTGAGTTGGGGATTACGAATGGGAGGGGGGTGGATCCTTTGAAGGCTATGGAGGGGATGGGGGAGGGCAAGGGGGTGGATGTACATTTGCATTTGCCAGCTGGGGCACAGAGGAAGGATGGGCCGAGTGCTGGGATTGCTATGGTGGGTTTCATTTTCATTTGGTTTTTTTTTGGGGGGCTGATGTGTGATGTGTGTAGATATGCGCGTTCGTATCTCTTCTAACCGGGCTGTGTGTCCCCAAGGATATCGCAATGACAGGAGAGGTACGTCCTTCCCCCCTTCCTCCCCCACCCCACTGACCCCCTCACCCCCTCATAGATAACTCTCCGAGGCCGCATAACCCCCGTAGGCGGCGTCCGCATGAAAGTCCTCGGCGCGCACCGCGCCCAAATCCGTAAAGTCATCCTCCCCTACGCCAACCGCAAAGACGTGGAGCATGACGTTGCGCTAGAGGTTAGGAGAGAGATGCAGTTTTTCTTTGTGAGGACTATTGATGAAGCTTTGGAGGCTGCGTTTGGGAGGGGGGTGTTGGGGTGGAGGAGGGAGACTGTTTTGTTGGAGAGTAGGCTTTAGGGGTAGGTGCGCGCTTTCGATGTTTGTCAGTTTCGATCTTATCGCTATGTATTCCTTTTGTACCAAGTTTCTGTATTATACCGTATATCCTGATTCGTGAATATGCCTAGACTGATTGTGATTACGAAGGATGATAACTAGTAGTGGAATAGGAAGAGGATACTTGGGATCGCCTTGCGCCAACATTTGTGCAGGAGGTTAAACAAACATATCCTCGTAAATGTAGTACGACGTGGTTGGTCCGGTCCCGGTGCAATGTACATTGAAGACAAAACGTCAAGTTGGTCGATAGTGACAAGAGAGGAACATGTATAGTGTTATATGTGCCGTTCTTGTCACTATCGACTGGCTATCCAGTCGAAAACCGCCAGCTGCATCTGTATGATGCTGCTCGCTGGGAAATTATCGCTGAACTGTAACAACTCGTTTGTGTCGGCACGACTTTGGTGGGTGAACGGAGAGGGCCCTAGTGAAGATGAATACCTATAATAACGATGGGAAGAATGTTGCTTCGAATGAACAAACCATCAGTGAAAAGTTTGACGACGCGCACTGTCGACTCCGTGCTAGATTACTCTTAGGATCTGATTTCATCAACCTAGCACGGATTGTTGGTTCGAATAAAACAGACCATCAGTGAAAAAGTTCGACGCTGCAGTGGCTGCACCCTATCAAGTTTCAACTCTCTGGGTCAGTGTTGCGATCTGGTTTTATCAGATGAGGGAGCTAGCACGTGTATACCCAGATTAATAGACTGCTGCGCTCGAGGAGACGAAGCACTAACGAGCAACTGAGTCTGACTGGAAGACAATCACTTCGAGAGAGTATGAGTCACGCACGTCTTATAGAGATGGATCTGTATTTCTTCTAGGACTGGCTTTGCATCGTGTACGCTAGTCAAACGTAGTACTGCGAGCGCGTCAGTAATAGAGCGGGACCCGGGCGAAGTGAAGGGTAATTAGGGAGCCAAAGTCGTCACTTCAAGTACGGTTGTGAGGAGCTGTGCAGAGTTACAGGTACCGAGTTGAGGATTTCCTTTTTGGTTATACATAGTCGCCGTAAAATTTAAATGACCGTACCACTTTGGTACCACTCTCTCACTATCAAAGGCAGCATATGTACTTGGGACAGCATCTCCTGAGTAGGGCGGCGGAGGTGTTGACTTGTCCTACGTTGGGATCGTATCCGTGGTATATTCCCCATACATGAGTTTATTGTCAATGTATATCGTCTGCCAGAGTTGGAAGTTCCAATGCGAGAATACTTGCTCATACTAGTACGTGCGATTCACTTTTTATAGAGGATCGGGACTTAGAGCGACGATCCCCTTTTCAGTCCACGGATCACTTTCCTGAGAGAGTTGCTGAGCCTGGTAACACCACTGTGACCACTGACCACAGAGACCGTTACTGAAGGCGACAACGAATGATCACCAAGGACTTCAGACACAGGCTCAGTCCGAGTCGAATCGCGGACGACGTCCAGCGATGTTACGCCGAAAATCATATGTCCTATGTATTGCTAACGCCGGTCATGCTGCTCGACACAATCTTACCTCTTGGGACCAAAGCTTCTTATGATAGACTGCCGTGACGATAGGAACTCGATAAGTAGGAACTGTAGAGAGGTGAGGACGATCACGATACTGCACAGGCTACAGTGTGTTGCATATAAAATTGCAGTGCGACTTTCCATGAAATCGCGATCAATCAGTGAACCTCTCTACGACCACGGTACAGCTTCAAGTTGAACTGAAATGAAGACGGTCATGAAAGCCTTCGGATTGTACTATTTCAGGCTATTTTCTTCAAACCGCCATCAATCAGTGAACCACCTACCGTACCTCGAGTCACCTTCACTCATCTTCGTCGCAGATACAGTAATGCCACCAATTCCTCTCGGAAATCGGTTATTTGCCTCAGTCCCAAACGGCGAGTACCCGGTAATTCAGCCGCCAAGAACTTGGTTTGGTATGTGAACATCACGCTTACTGATGTTAGCCAACGCCTACATTTCCCTGCCCTAGCGTCCTGGAAGACTCACTCGAAAAATCCCTCAGAAAATGCAAGCGGTGGATCATTCTCTGCACGAACATGTTACGTGCTGCACGGAATGTTGGTCGTGATACACTTTTTCCTCATTATCTCTTATATATCTCGTTGGGAACACCATCTGACTCTCGCATTCACGCCCACGAACACTGATTTTTGGCCTGTGGTACTGAGTGCTTCACTGCAAGCATTTTACACGGTATGTGCCACTGTTATCTTACCGATACATCAATGAGACTTTGTCTAGGTCTACACAGCTGTCCTGGTCTTCCTTACCCAACGGCTTGCAATGTCAAGAGCACTCGTACGCCATCTGAAATTGACTACCATCCATGACATCTCCAGTGCATGGGCAGGTCTTGGCTCTGCGCTCAGTAGTGTCTGGAAACAAATCGACGTCCCTACATCGTTGTGGGCGACTACTGCTGTGACGACTTACCTTGTATGCATTTCTGTGCTACATGTCACGTCTTCCACTCTCCTACAATTTCAAACATTCAATTCTTCTATGACGACTTATGTGCCAACAACACTTGGATGGGTAGATGTATCTACTTTTTCTAACCTGGGCCAGTGGTCTGTCGCGAACTGGGGAGCCATTACCGCATCCTTACCAGTCATCAGTCAATTTCCTGGACTTGTCATGGCAGGGTTATCCAATAACACAGTCTACGACACCATGCAAACAAGCTCTATGGTGGGAAATGCAACGGTAAATGCAACGACAGTAACCTCCAATTGCGGATTGCTTCCAAATGTCACATACATCCGGAATAACGACACAGCAGATGCTCAGTTTGGGAGCGGTGATTATTTTTATATGACTGCAAGCCCTCTATGTACGTCAACATGTGTTCAGTGATGTTTCATCACCATATTTAGAAAAGTCTACAGGGGCAGACCAGATACAAGTACTTTCGTCCGGCGCTGCGATGGATGGCGTTCGTTCCAAAATTTTTGGTGTGCGCTCTGAAGCTAATTGCTCGCTGTCCCACGTTAGCTCCAAACTTCGTCGCAGCCTTCTGTCTTGTTAATGGTCTCTACGTTATTGGACGTCGAGCCTTCAGTACAAAAGGAGGTCGCTGTACCGATGACTTGGGAATCTCTGTGTACGTGTGGCTTGTTTGGAATGTAGCCATGTTAACACACTTTCTGCAGCTTCGAACCACTCCATTGAAGTCTATTTTATACAATGTTCGTTATCAACCAATAATACAGAAGCTGTCATCGATATGCAAAACAACACACTGCGGAATCCCATGCCAACCTCGCAGCAATCCATGCAATGGGAGGAAATGCATCAGTGGTCATCTACCAAGTGGTCAAGATATGTATGTTGAACAATACTCGTTTTGAGGGGTTATTAAAGTTCGACAACCCGCTGTCTACACAAGATTGGTCAGGTTTTGACTAATTCGGGCGGTAGCAGGTATCAATTTGTAGACGCAACTGGATATATCAGCGAACCCTCGATTGTGGATGAGTTCAGACCTTACCTTCACTGCTATACTACAATGCCTCACATTTTGTTTCTTCGTCTAGGTATATCATGTCATTGGTAGGGTTGAATCTCACCGCTCAATATATTCAATACGCCAGCGGCGCTCCTGCCATTTCAAATTTCACCCTGAGCTCGGATAATCTCGAAGCTGCTATTGCGCAAGCAGTCGCACAACTCACCTGGATGGGTAAGGGATCATATGCATGGTTTGTACTTACTCATATGTGTCACTAATTCAGTGGGGCGCATGGGATCCAATGGAGGAATTCAAACCGGTGAGGGGATGGCTCTTGTCGACGAGGAGGTAATTGCCCTACGCCTCAATGTCAGTTTGAACTGCATAGAACTTCTTTTAATTTGACTGATGCACATATGTTGTAGGTCACACTTCTTCCTGTGAGTTCACGATACTATCTACGCAATGATAGGTTGTCGAAATTGATTCCAGTTGGTGTTTGCGACCTCTGCATCGGTGATCATGTTGGGATTGGCTCTACACACGACAAGAGCATTTGATACATCACACGACAATCGTGCTATCATCCCAGATACTGGTGCACTGCAACTCTTGTGGTTGGGTTATCATTCACAAACTGTCTACGAAGCTTTGGAAGATGTGGAGCATCCGACCGAGGCCAACTTGCGTCGTGCAGGCATGATAGACGTTTGTTTTGCCAAGACAACATCAGACGAAGAAGAACTGCTGGATATGGGAAGTTCAACTGATAGTCCGTCTGTTCAGGCAGTTGCCCGCGACCGTGGCGATGGGATGTGATATTGGATTTGAGAACATTGGACACGGTAAAGCTGTAACATTCTGGTGGTTAGGAAGGAACAGTCTTGAAATCTTGAGCCGGTAGGACATGTATTTATGTGTTGAGATCCAACCGCGATGTCAATCTGTTCACTTATTACTAGTGCATTTGAGAATACATCTATGTCAATATGTAGAGATGCGTCGAAGCTGTTTTATGTAAATAACTATTTGTGCGTTCAAACAGGTCAGGCTACTAAGGGCTTAGTTCAAACGAGCGAGTTAGTATCATGCTGACACTAAGAATCCTTCTTTTCGACACGCCAGTAACTATGTATATCATTGTACACCTTCACCTTCTAACAAACGATTTCTACAATATTGTATACAAGTTGGTTTCTCAATAAATTAGAGTTTAGGAGCCTCGACGAAAGCGACGCCCTGCGTATCCAGATGTTCAAGTCCCGTTCCAGTAAACGAGACAAACACGCACCTTCTCGATGTTCGCAGCAAGCTCTGGAAGAGCAGCCGCGACGAGCGCCTTCTCAGCATCAGTGATCTTACCAAGCGCATGGATCTTAGCGACACCATCAACCTAGTACAAACCATCATCAAAACCTCAGCAGCCACCGAATAAGAGTGTGCCTACCCCAAGTTCGACAGGAGCAGAGAAATACTCGAGGTCTTTGCCAAGTTCTTTCTTGAGAGCTTCACCACCCGTCTTGTCAGCAGCGAGGTTGACGAATGTAGGTGCGACGATTCCCTTTTCGCCTTTTAGGGCACGGATGACTTTCCCGGCGAACTCGGCGCCTGCGTATGCCATGGAGAGAGTTGCTGAGCCTGCGCCGTCTTTAGCTTTGACGACTTCGTCTCCACCGAATTGGATTCTGTTGATGAGAGCATCAAGGGCGCTGGTGGAGAGGGAGGATGGGAGAGGGTGGGAAGATTGAGAGAGCAGAGGAACGATCTAATCTCATGTCAGTCATTCCTTAACTTAAGCATTCAAAGCACAACTGACGGTAACACCACTGTGACCACCGACCACAGGGACCGTTACTGAAGGCGACAACGAACGATCACCGAGGACTTCAGACACAAAAGTCGAAGCGCGGACGACGTCGAGCGATGTTACGCCGAAAATCCTATCATGTCCTATTAACGCCGATCACGCAGTTCGAATCAGATCTGACCTCTTGGGATCAAAGACACCATGCTTCTTAAAAACCTCTGCGACGATAGGAACTGTGGAGTTAACAGGGTTGGAAATAACGAGGACGAAAGCCTTCGGAGCCGTGGTGGCGATACCAGTAGCGAGGTCGCGGACGATGCCAGCATTAATCTGTGAGTGTATATGTAAGTGGCTGGAAGCCGAATGTAGCTGTGCGGACTAACCTTGAACAGATCGTCACTATATGGCGCCATAAAAATCAGTAATGATACAATGGTCCGAATAGCAACACCAACCGAGTCATCTAAGAAATCGTATGAGGATTTGATTTTAGCGATGGGCATGAGAACTCACGCCAGGCTTTCTGGGAATACCAGCAGGGATAACGATGACGTTAGCACCGGTCAGTGCTTTCTTGAGTCCATCATCAGGGGGCAGGAACCCTTCAACTTTGGCGGGAGTAGCAATGTGAGAGAGATCAACGGCCACGCCAGGGGAGTTTACGATATCATAAAGAGCGAGCTGTATCGGATGTGTCGTTCAGTATCTGAGCTTGATGTGTGCCGATTACTTTACCTCTGTCACAGCAGGGTTGGCCTTCAGAAGAAGCGATACGGGCTGACCGATACCACCTGTAGGCGATTAAGAGATCTGAGTGATCGCGTAGGCAAGGACTACGATACCTGCAGCACCGAGAACGACAGCTTTCATGGCTTTGAGAATGTGGAAGAGGGGACTGAGGAAGACGAAGAGATATCGGAAGACGAGGTATTTGAGATTTATTTATCCGGCTAATATAGCAATCTCGTGCAATTCGCAAGCAGGACCTGGCTCGAAAAGGATAATCAATTTGAAATTCACAGCCAAGGTAAATCTGAGCTAACTCACCCCTGCTCATTGCATGATTGGGGTCCCAATATACTCAATACAAACTACTTGCGGGCAAGCAACACCCTAGGAAGTAAATATTGCTATAGGTGAAGAATATCATTCAATTTCCTGCCTCCAAGTCCTCCCAGCATCGCCATATTTTCTCATCAAATACCATCAACTGGGGCCCCGCATAAGTATGTGAAAGAGAGACTAGTAAGCGAATATATTTAGGTAGCCCGACGTGAACTTGAGAACGAGGGGGTCGCAACTTCATGGGAATGGATTTGGTACGTGGTTTTGCTCTGTAGAGATTCGATTTGCAAGAACTCTCTTGCTATTGAGTTAGAGTTAGTCCAATGCGGCGACCGGTGAATGCTCAAAAGGCTTACATGGCCCGCAACCCCAGGTCGGCTGTAAGAAGGTGGGACAACCAAAACTCTAAACCTCAGTGAGAGTTTCCAAGATTAGGAATGCCTGAAACGGTGAGATATGTTGCATCACGAGGGCAGCAGACATACATCAATCCACGGTCTCTGAATTCAAGTGTTCACGGATTTGTCACGGACAACAATTTCCTTCCTCACGTAATGGTTGCAAGCGAAACCCATTCCCATAGGACGCGTGCAAATGAATCATTATGCGAACGTTGGCAGCCGAGGTTGGGGCAAAGATAATTCGGATTTCAGCGAGTCTATCATCTAAGTTGGTATAACAGGTCTATGGAAAATAACGTGTAATGTGAATGTAATCACGACGGAAGGGCACCTAGATCCGCATTCTCTTGCATGGTTTGCATCCCGCGTAAGTGCGAGGCATCTCCATACTGAACAACAGTAGACCTAAACCTCTGTTCCAGCTCAGATCCAACCGTGCTGTATTCCACCAATGATAAACCAGCATTAGGTAGTCTTGGTGTGCCTCCCAACAGATCTTCGGTGCACTCAAACACCCCGGTCGCTATCATGGACTTGAAAAATGATTCTATGAGCCATCCATGCGACGTAACCAGAATGTTTCGACACCGTCCGTCGGGTTTGTCGGCAAGCGATGAGATGTAGGGAACAATCTCCCGATTATACCACTCGAGGCACCGCCCAACCATGGCTTCCTCAGGTTCAATGGAAGGTTCGCTTTTGTTTGCTGGTCCTTTGGTTCCTTGCAACTTCCCCAAAAACTACGAAGAGACGCCCATGACCATGAGCTTCAGAACAACGAGTTACGATGTATACTCACCCTCTCTCTCAGAGCTTGGTCTTTTACCAAGGTAACATCGACGTGATGCTGCAGAATTATCTCTGCCGTCTACATCATGAATCAAATTTGAGCATCTTTAGTGCCTATCAATAAACCTGGAAAAGCCTACCTTGGATGCCCTTGAAAGGTCGCTCGTGAAAGCCTTGTCGAAATGTATTGCCTTGAACGCCTCTCCAGTCATAGCGGCTTGTGCTTCCCCTAGATCGTTGAGCTGGGAATCAGCATGACCTTGGATAATTCTCGAGCGGTTCCAATCGGTCTCTCCGTGTCGAAACACATATAAACGAGCAATTATTGACATGATTATCCTAGACACAAGAATCCTCCAGTTGACAACCACTATCAAGACGCAGGTGACTCACCAGCAGAAGTACAGCTACTGCGCACTGAAGAAAATACGGACGAACAACGAACACAGGTATGAACGTAATAGTCTCACCGGAGTCATCCTGATTCCTGGCATCCTAATATTATTGGGGGATGCACTGATAGGGATTCCCTATCAGTGCATCCCGATTCCCCACCAGAAGTTAAAGTTGAGTAAAGAGTCAAAAATAATGCACGTTGCTTGCCGCTTGGATTTCTTATCACCGCACCAAACAGCATCAAATACATTCTTGTCTATTCCTGTAATTAGCAACGCAGCACTCGACTGGTCCATGGACTAGTCACAACGATGAAGGGCAGTCATACATTGGGAATGATACAAAATACAGTGTACAACACTACAAGATTACTAGGTACTTTCTCTTGTCGTGTAGAACGATTCAACAGTCAGTCCGATTTCTAAAGCTCATCACCAGCACTCTTCACCTTCTCCCCGCCCCATTTGATGCTTTCGCCTGCACCTTTCACTTTCTCATCATATCCCTGTTCCTCCGCCTTCTTCTTGGCACACTCCGCATAATCGCTGCCCTTACCTTTCACCTCATTGCCCTTCTGCGAGCACCAGTACCACGTGCTACGGGTCTCACCAGCCTTCTCGGAAGCGCAGTGCGAATGACCACTGAGGAGCTAATGAAAAGTCAGTTCGGATGGAACAACAGGAGCGTATAATCAAACCTCGAGAATTCTAGCCAATCTATCTTCCACCGCGCCTACGCTGCTGTTGACGATTTCCTTCAATTTCGTTAAGATCGTGTCAGCACGGTCAGATGCCTGAACCCAGCGAATGCGAGTCTCCTCTGCGATAGATGAACTTCAGATGACGTACAAGACAACAAGGATACGTACGCAATAACCCGGGCCTACTCGTGGGTAGTGCAGCTTCGCTGATACCATGCTCACGAAGGTAGAGACGCAGGCGAGCATCCGGCCACACGAGATATGCAGCAGTGCGCGCAGAAGCGTCGTTATATCTGAAGATTATGTTAGGTTATTTCGAAGCGCGGATAAATGGTACGCACTGTTCGTCGATCAAGATCAGGAGCTCGTCACGCTTTTTCTGTGCGGCGGTTTTATCATCAACGTATCCGTGCTCAGAAAGCCATCGGCGAAATCTCTGAATCGTTCCAGGCATCCCATACGGTATCGGAGGCAGAAGAGTAGTTGTCTCTGCAAAGCAATGAGAAATTGGTGAAAGTTGAAGGTGGACTACTTACTCGACCATCTTCACCAGTTCATCATGCTTCTTTTGGGCGTCACTCTTAAGAAGACCATGGCTGACCACCCAAGATTTTAACTTGCTGTCGGACCAAGTACTCCAAACCTTGTCGGATAAGGAGTAATAGTACTTCTTCATCTCTCCAAGCAAGGTAGAGCGGGATGCAGTATCGGAAGGTGAAAGAAGGTTATGCGAAATCAGCCATTCGCGCTTTAGGACGTGTCAAAAGAACCCCCGGACGCTAAAGCAGGCAAATACATACCATATACGAGTCGCTCCAGGTATTCCAGACCGGCTCTGAAGAATTACGGTAGTAGTCGTTGGCAAGCTTTATGAGCTCAGCACGGGTGCTAGCTTGTCCAGCCTCAACTACCCCGTGATCTTCGAGCCAAGATCTGAGACGGTTGTCATCCCAAGTCGAGTAGACGTAATCCTTGCTCTCGTCGAAAGTACGGCCAACTTCCTGCGTAGCCTGAGCTACGATGCTACTCGCGCTTTTTGACGCTTCATATAATGTATCTGAAGCATCGGAGTAGGCTGAAGTGGCGGTTGCGACCGCAATGGAAGAGTAATATGATGCAGCGTCGGTATAGGAGCGATACTTCTGTTTAGCAAGCAAAACGAGCTGCTCGCGGGGTCCAGAAGGCGCTACCACGCCATGCTCGAGCAGAAACGCTCTCAACTGGCTTTCATCCCATGTATCGAAAGAATTATCCTTCAAGTCCTGGAATGCGTGCTGGGAACGAGTGTATTTATCATAGCTCCACTGTCTGCCTGCGTCGACGTAGGCACGAGACTGTTCAGCCGAAGACGGGGGTGAAGGGGGAGGGGAAGCCCAGTTCGCCGCTACGAGATCATGAAGCTGGGATTGATCAAAACGAGAAGGAACCTTGATGTGGTGGTCTTCAAGCCAGGAGCGCAGTTCGGAATGAGACCATTTGCTGTACTCACGGTCGGTGCCAAACCAGCCCGATGCGTGTGCCGAACCGATGAGAAGAATAACATAGACTGACGACCTGAATCGCATATTTAGGTTGGAGAAGAAGGTGAGGGTAAAAGGGGAGGAAGGGAGAACTTACTTATAGGAGCTCTGAGCAAGATGACGTCAGTAACACCAATGACGCCATGCTAAGGCTCTTCGAACCGTATCTCCATGTCAGCACGTCAGCTACCGTATGTACTACTACGACTGTTATAGCGCTCCTCGATCTGATTCAGCTGAGACATGCGAGAATCTGCAGATCTAAATATTAACCACTCTGACATGCATGTCTGCGACTTCCTGGCTCAAACCTAACCCACAACTATAAAACCCCTCTCGCGCATCGCCACTGATATCACCGATAGTCCGCTCCACTTAACATTCAAGTGAATTGTCCGACGGCGCACACTAACAGGATGGCTGGAATAGCCGCACACTGTGCAGGCTTCATACCGTACGTTTGATCCTCAGCGAGACACTAGACTTCTTGACGACTACTACTTGACCAAGTCATTTGGTGTCGGCCTGGAAAAATTGGGCCTGTAATGTAGCGCAACACTGATATCGTCCAGTGACACCGTATGCGATGATTGGAAGTGTGCACAAAGCCACCAAGTTTCTCAGAGCACTTGACCATCCAAGCTGAACCATGCTCCTGCGGTAATCGATGATCGCGTTGGTGTGGAGATTAATGTGGCAAGAGCCGCACTGGACCATGGCAGGCAATAGGGAGGTGTGACGACTACGGGAGACCAGAGGATGTTTACTTAGTGATGACTCCGACTGATGGGAGAGGTGATACATCCGCTCGGACAATGCCGACGTCATATTCAGTGTTCGCAACTTCGGCCAGCCGCGTCCACTCAGTTGGAAGGATCTCATCAACTATTTGATCATCAATTGCAGCATTTTAGGCCTCTAAGGCTTACTGTGTCCTCCATCTCCAATGTCCATCCATTTTCAGTTCTTTTCATCCGCACAAGACCTTGGTCGGTATCTGCCCTTTATCTGCTCATTGATAGCTACTTGAAGTTCCTGGACTGATACAGACGGATAATGCACGCCGCCCGCGAAGACGAATCACAATAAGCCGAAGTAGTTTGGCGGCGCTAGTTCAGAAACCTTGACTATTGCATAATGTCATTCTCAATGTCACGGACTCTGGAAACAAAACCAAATGCTCTTACGGCCAGGATACTTATTCGGTATCGAGCGATTGCTGGACGGCGTGAACAAGTGTACCTCAATATTTCCAGCATGTATTCAACCCCGGCCCTCTTCAGACTGAACACCGAAGAAGGTGGTGCTCTGTGACAGGCGGGAGTCCGACGGCGTCTTCTATGTGGTTGTGGGGGTCAAAAACATGTTCCTGCCTCAAACTGGGAATGCATAGGTGGGTTGGATGTGTGTTTCCGTATCTTTCTCATGATCACGGGTGAACTTACTGTCTATGAGTCCTTACAGATCTATTCAAGCAGTAAGACCTAACTTCTAAGGTCTGGAGTAGTGAGCGTCATTCACACGCTCCCATAATGTGTATGCACTGAACGATGATATCCGGGCTTTCATTTACAAGTTAAAATCAAACAGGTCAATGCCTACCGGATATGCGGAACCAAATGTTCGTTAGGAATGACTCGTGTCCAGGTAAAAGTTGCAGGTAAAAGTTGCTACCCAAAAAAAATCTTCTTCGAGTTTTTCTGCTCCGAGCTCTGAAGTTTGCGTCCAATTGTGACCTATCAAGACCTCTCGATGGGTGTCAGATTACAGGAGGTAAATAACGTTGTATCATCTCAATTACAAAGTACTGATTGACGGGGTGTTGATTTGTACACATATCAAGGCATTGCTGTTGGAATATTCAACCTCAGGTAATGATTCATTAGAAGACACTGACCTGTCACTGCCGCTCTGTCTACTGCTTCTCATATAATCCTCACTTTACTGAGCTGTGGTGTTGTCGTCCTTATATTCACCTGGAGTAACTTCATCCGATTCAGATTGACTATCATGGTTACCCTTCTTCGTTGGCAACCTTCCTATGTAGGCAACGCAGATAAACCCAGCGCCAAAACTTAGGCACAGAAGACCAAAAGCAAACTTGTACACGCTGTAATCGGGCGATTTCCGCGAAAAGAGGAGATTGGTTAATCCACCGCAGGCGTAAAGAACGCCTGTGGTACCTGGAATCCGCAGAACGTCAGCAGTCGCTCCTTTGGGGTAGCATGAACAACTCACCGAAGCTGTAAGTCGCAAACAGAACTAGTTAGTCTGACAATCATTAAATTATCCAATGCAGTACAATACATACAATATCCTTCTCGCCCTGCTTATTTTTTCATCGCTTGTATTCGAACTTGCTTGCACTTTCGAACTCCACTCCAAGATGCTGTTTCCGGCTCGTTCTGGTGCCGCCAGTCGAAGAATGCCCCAATAGCATCCAATAATGAATACGAACGCGAAAAAGACCGCCCTTGCCCCGATGATGTAGACTAGCATACCCGGCGTATGGCATCAGTGCTGGAATGGTTAAGCCAAGATGGATGAAAATGACCACAACACTGACTCGCAATGTTTAGATCAACATAGGTCACCAAAGAATTAAAAATTTACCAGATACAATTGATGATGTGAGTGCTGTCGAGTAGGTGTGGTCAGGTTTGGTACAACGCCTTTTATCTCCATGATCTGAGGGCTTACAGTATAAAGAAACCAGCGCCGATGGCTGGAAATGCTTTCTTTACTGTCAGCTGCTCTGTGCGAGTCACCGGTGGAGGAAGCTCGGGCAAGTTTGACATGATACTGTTTAATCGCACTGGTGAGGGTGAAAAATCGATGTTAGGATCAGCGCCGAGTGATATACTTATATAACCCACGCAGGCAATGCATGCCGCCCGGCATTCAAACGCTCGGACAATGGCCCGTTGATGCTGGATGTGATTGCTATTTTGGCCATCTACGCTGTGGAACTCACGATGTCACATATCAGGTACGACACAGAATTGTGAACACAACGACTGCAGTGCCTCATCTCGCCTGACATAAGACAAGCAACTGTATCCTCACCTTGCTACAGTTCACCCTCAGGATGCAAGTCGTATACACAATCGTGATACTGCTTGGCTCAGGAAGTGTTTGTCGCGAGGCTCTTGTAAAGAAGGACGAAGCACTTCAAGCAATCAAGCACGGATATTACGCCTAAAATGTAAGAATATCCAAAATAAATACTTAGTGCGAGCTGTGACACAGCCTGGCATATACGATATACAACGGCCATGAATCTCCAACATTTGGAACGACTTGACCTTCATCTCCATCAATGTATTTTCATCCGAACAGGACAGTTGGTTAATAATTAAATTTACTTCCCCTTTACTTGCTGATACTCCAAAAGAACAGTGTGCGCCGCCAGTGAAGACGAATCACATTCATTGGCGATGCTAGTTTCGGAAGCCTTGAAGCATAATGCGCACTGACTGTTGTAAAATGGCATTCTCGATGCCATAGACTCTAGAAACAAAACCAAATGCTCAAGCTGCGGCCAAGATATTAGGTATCTAACGAGTTCGTTTATAAGTTCATCTCAAACAGATCTCGGGACAATGCACGGCGAATCTGAGGAACCTCACGTGCATCTGGGATGATTCACGTCCAGCTAGGAGTTGCTTAGTAGACAGAGAAAATTGCTCCGAGTTCTATCCACTCCGTGCTCTGAAATTTACCCGTCCTTTGGATACTAATTCTGACCCATCAAAGCCTCTCGTGGTTGTTCAGATCTGAGCGCTCAGATGCGAGGAGGTGAATAATATTGTCTCATCTCGATTACAAAGGTGTACTTATTGACGGCCGTGTTGATCTGTGCAGTATATCAAAGGCATTTCTGTTGGAACATTCAACTTCACGCATTGATTTGCTGGGAGACAGTGACTGACCACTATGCCACTATGCCACCCTGGCCACTTCCTGTACAATAACCACTTCATTGTGCCGTGGTGTCATCTTCCTTATATTCACCTGGAGTAACCTCATCCGATTCAGGCTGACTGTCATTGTTGCCCAAGGTAATGTTCTCGCCCTTGTTCGTTGGTAGCCTTCCTGCGTAGGCAATGTGGATTAACCAAGCAGCTGCACCGAGGAGCACAAGACCAGCCACAAACTGGTACGCGCTGAACTCGGGTGCTTTCCATGAGCGGAAGACAATACTCGATCCGTTGTAGGTATTAAGTGCGCCCACGGCAGCTGGGATCATAAGAACGTCAGCAGACGCTCCTTCGGTTTAGCAAATTAACATGCACAACTCACCAAAACTGTAAGTCGCAACAGAACTAGTTAGTCTGATAGCCATCAAATTATCCAATGCAGCACTCCACATACAATATTCTTCTCGCCCTGCCTATTTTTCCGTCGCTTGGATTCATGCTTGCTTGCATTTTCAAACTCCAGTCAGAGATGTTGCTTCCGGCTTGCTTCGGTGCTACCAGTCGAAGAATGCACCAATAGCACCCAACAAAGAACACGACTACGAAAAAAATCGACCTTGCCCCGAGAGTGTAGAAAGCAACATAGCCAGCATATGGCTTCAATGTTGGAACAGTCGAGCCAAGATGGATGAAGACGACCGCAATGCTGGCTCGCAATGTTCAGATCATCATAGTTAACAAGGAATTAACAATTTACCAGAGACCATTGATGATATGAGCGCTGTCAAGTAGTAGTGGTCAGGCTTGATACAACCCCAATTTCTTTCTACGATCTGAGAGCTTACATGACATAGAGACCAATGCCGACGACTCTCAATGCTTTCTTGACTGTCAACTGCTCAGTCACCGGAGGAGGCTCGTCCAAGTTTAACATGGTACTGTTCAACGGTACTGGTGAAGGTGAAAACCGATGCTAGGATCAGTACAAAGTGATATTTTTATAATTCGCACAGGAGATACAAGCCGCCCAGTGGTCAAACGTTCAGACAGCGGCATGCTGCCGGATGTCAATGCTATTTTAGCCATCTACGCTACGGAACCCACGATGTCATATGTCAGGCACGACACGGAATTGTGAACCAGACTGAGATACCATTCCAGTGGCTGCAGTGCCTCGTCTTGTCTGACATAAAACAAGCATCCGTGTCCCCTCGTTGCATTTCACGCTCAAGATGCCCGTCGTACATCCAGTTGCCGCTACCATACTCCACCTGTATGTCACCTACACTCTATGAGCTCTAGACATGTGCTAAATTTTGATGCATGCAGCCTCCGCACCGCGGCAACGCTTTGGTCAGTATCATCCATGGGGACTGGTTTGCAGGCAGCTCCTGACTATCGCAAACTTGCTGCAGCATGGGAATCATTTTCCTGTACCTCGCTCATCGCGAGCCCGAAATTAAGTTCTACGCATTCTATGCTGGAACATACGCAATCGTGATGGGCGCTCTTGGGCTGCTTGGTTCGGGAAGCGTTTATCGCAAGGCTCTTGCGAAGAAAAACGAGGCAACGAAACCCCAATCAAGCACGGAAACTGCGATCGAAACCACTCAGACGGAGGGCGTTTGGGAAGATGAGAAGCTTCAAGGAGCTTCGGTATCTGCAGACTTGTTGGTCTGATTGATGTGTCAAACCTTTTGCAGGTAACAAGCGGATAGATATTCTATACATTATAGTGCAAGACTCAAATTTCTACAAGATATCCTGCCCGTAGCTCCGAAGTTCTCTTGCTTCGTAAATCAATAGTTCTTCAAGGTATTGAGGTTGTCTAGCCGAACTTCAAACCTGAAAGACGTTGCACGTCTAAATAGAAAGGACTCTGTGAGTCCCCCAATCGAGTGTATGAGACTATATTGGATATGTACCTAAATAGAAAGGACTCTGAGTCTTATACTACATCAGTAAGGAATGTGGGTATCGTAGAAAATTACTTACCCCCAGTCAAGTGTATGAGGCTGGGGAAAAGACGGAAACGAGTGAAGCGAATATATCGTATATTGAATTACTATATATGGTAATAACTCCGCTGGCGTAGTGAACAAGTGTCCAAGTCAAACGAAAAGAAAGAGATACACTACGTTGTCGGGTTGTTTTCCAACAAAACCCAGATTTCAGAAGAACAGTTACTGAGATCCGTACACATGGCTGATAAATAGGAATTCAGATGGACCAGCCATCAAAGAGAGCACATGGGCGGGCTTGCTCCGAGTCATATCGACTGATTGAGATCCAATTTCCATAGCAGCCGGCTGAGGTGGTACAGAATTCGAATTATAAGTAATTACCACTGAACGGATGATTATGGACATCATACATACTAGACACATCGGCTGACGTGGATGCAATTGTTGGAATCCGAACCGTCCGAAGAGTCCGAGACGTCCAATGGAGAGACGACTCGGGGATAGACGAGAATACGAGCTTAACCAAAAGGAGTACGAGCGCGCTACGTCTTGACGTCGGCTCGATTCCACTATGTCTCATTTCTAAGCTACGATATATTTTTTCGTCTCTATCCTACGTACTATGAACTACGAGTCCCGCATGTACGCATCTCAGTCTTTTGTACGAGACTGAGATATGAGTAGCATTATCTTATTCCCGCCGAACGTTTTACTTACAACTCGCAGTTGTTTTCATTACTAGCCCGTTCTCCTCGCGTGCGCTCGCCTTCGTTCATAAGCAATCTAGAAATATCGTCGAGCAAGGAAGATGGTCATCCATCACTCAAAGGTCGAGTCGCATTTAATAGCACTCTCGTACGGCCTGAGAGAGTGCCTCAATAACATTCAAGCTTAGTGTAGGTCATGTATGTAAGGACAGCTTAGGACACGACACAATAGTAATAATGTCTATCTGGAAAAAGAGGATATGGAAATGTTCAAAATCAATAGTTCTGTCCGCGATTCATAGGATTCGGATTCAATGCCTCGAAGGTCGAGAACTCGATTTCCCCTAACAAGTTGGATGATAACCACTGGAGGCGGCATAGGAGAGATAATCCGCAAGGTTGGCATACGGAATAGCGAGTGTATCGCAGAACCCAGTCCATGCGCTGATGATACCCCAGAACTCGATGACATAGTCTACGCTAAAAAACCGACATTATATCAGAGTCGTGTTCTCTGGAAATCGAGATGACTCACGAGGTAGGATAAGGCCCATCATTGTTGGTTTTCGCGGCCGTCTCTGCGCCAAAAGGTCCACCGTAAAACATCCATGTGCCTGTCTATTGATATGAAAAGTTGTCAACGTGAAGTGAGCATTGCAGCCCAGAGAACAACACACCAAACCAGAGTAGTATGCATCAATTGCGTTCTGTTGAGTCATCAATGCTGCACCACCCGTCATATTATAGAACACTGCTTCGGAAAGCCTCTCCTCTTGGATAGACGTAGGGATTGGGGACACATAGGAGGGATATTCATTCAGCAGCAGGACATCAGTGTTGCTCCAGGCATAGCAGAAACTCGCGAGAACGCAATATTCATTTTGGAAGAGGCCCTGGGTTACCCAAAACTGACATTGGGAAACCATTTCGGCGCATGAACCATTGTCCGTTAGCGGTTGAGGGACACATGGAATAATTGACGCTGCTATAGTAGAGTTGCACGACATGACAGCGGGGCACACTCCAGGGACAGATGAATACTCAAGCCAGTCCTATAATTTATGTAAGGAGGGATGTCACGATCTAGGAGCAAGGAGTACACACAGCAAGATTTTCGTAAGGAATGTTTTCAGTGTCGCAGAAACCGGTCCAGGCAGCGATAGTCACCCATTGATCAATGATGAAAGAGACACTACAAAAATTATCGTTGAGAATTCAAACCCCAGTTATATAGTAGGAAGACTTACTCATCAGGGTAGGTGCCGCCGGGAGTAACGGAAATCTCGTTATAATATGCATCGATGTAGTTTTGTTGTGTCATGTACGAATTCCCATTGGACATGGCGGAGAAAGCCTGTGATGCTACTAGATCAGGAAAGGCCACCAAGAATAGAACTGATTCAAACATATTCAGTCAGTCGGGGTTGGGTCGCAGGCGCTTGGTTTTCAACGAGGACTTGCGCAGGATTTGCAACGCCATCCAAACATGCAGTTAGGAGGAAACATGACGTGTAGTTGTAAAAGTTGTTGACATCAACCGTGGTTGCGTTACAGCTGTTTCGGAGCGAGAGGCAAGAGATGGAAGACGGGCCATCATTCTGCCTTGCAACGAGTGACGGAGGAAGGGAAGTAGCAAGGCCTATGAGACCAAGGTAAAGGACAGACACTAGTGCGTTCATCTGAGAACTAGGCAGAGAAACCAAGAGTAAGGACAGCTGTCGAAACCACAGAGATGCCAGACAAACGGGCGAACCTCAAGATACTTATAAGTAAGAGATGGGGCGAATTGTTACTACCACACATATGCACATGTTTCCGTGCCTGAAGCGGATTGTTGAACCCGTACAGCCCCGCGCTCAGAAAGCCATCATGAGTGAATGCGGGGTCACTGGACGGTCGCTGTAGAGATTCCACCACGACGGTCACGTAACCCGCCTCTGACGTGGTTGCAGCCTGCAGGACCATGCCATCCAACGTCGCGATACCAACACCCAGCTGCCTATAAAATTCAGAAATTTGAACACTCTGTGATCAAGTCTATGATGAACTTTGTAGCTCTTGAGGCATATCTGGTCCAATCTAGGGGTCGTATAGAACATTGAATGGCTGTGTTCCAGTGCTCGGAGGTCAAACACGATCAGAATAGGTCAGGACTCAATATTACCTGTCATGACGTATATGGGAGTGGACGCTCTCGAGGGACATCGATGCGATCAAGGGCATCCTTTCAACAAGTTTGCATGGGAAAAAATATATGCATCAAGCAGAAGTCCGCATGCCATAGATCTCGTGGAGAGTTTTAGCCCCAGGTGGAATATATGGTTTCATACGGCTTCATCACTGGCAGATGGAGAGTCGTATTACATTATTAGCACCACGTAGCTCTCGAAAATATGTAACAATCAACAAACCTATTCTGTTTGAGCAAGCAACTTGCAATTTGTCTGCAAGTCAAATTCATGAGTGAGTATGATGGACTTTTAGTAAATCAAAGGTCTTAGCTCTACTCCTCTCTACTTTGAAATCAGCTGAGTCTCATACTGCGAAAGTACTTAAATACTATTTGCGTGGCTCACCAGCTACTTTATCACCATGAGGGTATCATGCCAAGGGTATGCCACATATACGTACGTACGCAGTTGCTCTCGATTTGGTTCCTACGTGGAACATTCGACAACTTGAACATCAGGAAACCCACTGCCGAGCGAAGTGACCGTGAAATTTTGTCCAAATTGCAGACGTAAACTGGTCCTTGGACCACGCATCCTCGACTCCCGCGGGAAACAACATCCACTTAATATTTCATCCTTCCGGTCATACTTGGCCACATCAAACGTCACCTCTTTATGCTCCAGGCTCGAAAACCGCTCTTGAATTTTTGCATCCCATGGATTTGCAAACAGGTTTGCCCATTATATCGATTGCAGCTGCGGCTCTAATCCAATCGAGCTCTGATGCGGACCACATCCGCCAACCTCAGTAAAGTGCCTCTAGAGTTTACTATGCAGGTGATGTGGCTCGAGCTAATGATGAACGCTATCTGCTTTTGGACGTTTTCGTGGCGCATCTGAATAAGCAGCCCGCAAAGTCCAGTTTCATCACCTTTCCAATGGCCTCCATTTTTCCTCTGTCCAAGTTCCATCTACCAATTATGCGGCTTGCATCCGACCTTTGACAACGAACCTACATCACTTACTTCTAAGGTCAGCTCTTCGGCTGCAATGGAGTAGGTTTCATCCTTAACATGTGCTCAGTTTTTGTAGACAGCTGTCCCCGACATAAACGAAGCCGAGCTTCATCAAACGCGATAAGCAGGATCCGAACCCTTGTGTCTGTACCATTCCATGAGCATCCATGAGATGTTGAGTGCTTGTGTGAGTAACGACACCGGTCATGTCATGTTCCGAAGGTACTTCTCCCTTCCGGCACCGTGTTGTTAGCGGACCCCTGGACGATAGCACTTTGCGAGCGCTCGAGAAGATTGCGTCACAGGGTAGCACAGGATTGGCACTCCCTTCCGGCACCTTGGTATGAGCGGCCCCCTGAATGGGGACACATCCCGAGGCGCTTAGGTAGACCTCAATTCAGATCAACGTTAAGATTCCTCTAGCTCCACTTTCTTAATCTCGCTCCTTTTTTCTCATGTCACTCCCTACCCCTCCCGTGCGAATTAGCCAGCTCCGACGCGATTCGCTCGCGCTACTTTTCTTCAGACACCGGGATATCCCAGTACAGTCTTACGACAGCAGCTTGATCGTAAGATTGCCAACTAGTGCGAGTAGAGTGGTTCTGCCCGTGTATCAGCAGTTACGACCACGAGGAAAAGGCACGTGTGTTGCAATTCCATTGTCTTCATCTTATCTCACGTCAATTTGACACATGCCCGCATTGCTAACAGATGCAAACGGGAAGCTTCTGTAAAGCTTCTGTAACTCTGCATCAGATCAGCATTTCCTGTGGATAAGACACGGTCCTCCAATGGTGGCATTTTCAATCACTGGAGGATCGGTTCTTCCCCTTCTAAATGATGAGCCTTGTTTCTGTGTTCCTTGGCGCATCGTAGATTCATGGTCGGTACGGATTCCGGCAAGCATCTAAGCATCTTTTGGTACCATGATAGACTATGATTACCTTGACATCGAGCCGCTCTTGAATTCGCAATTGCGCTATGTAGCGCGCTAATGTTTCAGCCACACACCGCATGTGGAAAACTGGTGGGCAACCTGGAGTACTCAGTGCCATACATGGCTACGCACCTCGGTGTTCCTGATACACAATATAAACGGACATCTTGATGCACCCATTCGTCAAACACGGATCAAAGTTCCCTGGGATTTGGCTCGAGGTCGCGCTCTTGAGTGCATGATCTGAGGTCTACTTCTTTGGCATGTAAGGTGAAATTGCGATAGGGCATCCTTCGCCGAGGCCGGAAAGGCGGTCACAATGAGATAGATCTAGTCAACCGCAACCACCTGGACAGTACTGTCTTATCTTAGCTGTAGATCAGGGAGTACAGCAAGGAAAGTAAAATGTGAACTTCTTCGAGTGACTGTCAGTGAATCAAAATACTGGCGCCTCGATGCACATTGCACGCAGGCCTGGTACTGGCTGGTAGTACTAATGACCTGAGATTAATATTCTGGAAAATAATGCGAGCCGTGACGTGGGAGGTCATCCGCCAACCCCATGGGCATCTAAAAGAAGCGCTAGAAGAGTGCCCAGTTCTAGAAGTGAATGGACGGCTAAATGTGTGCGACTTGTGTCCCACTGAGCATGTCTTAGTCGTCGCATATAAAATAACATACATGGTGGACATATCGCGGGAGGTAATGCCGTGTAGACCACTCGTTCTCGAAGAATGTCCTACGTACTGTGATCGTATGAGGGGATTGTTGGTGCCAGCAAAGGTCTGCCTAAATCATTCGAGATTCCTGCTCAAATGTGCACTCGCGGAGCAGGCATGTTCTTTAGAAGTGTCGGAAGTATTGGCAATCACCATGCAAGTGCTTGACTGCGGTTGATCAGACGGATCCAAGGGACCGCCGGGACGACAAGATTAAGGCTCCGCATCCCTACCCCTGTGATCAAATTCCAAGTCATGATATATCGTTCTCCACAGGCAAAAATGGCTCATGACGGGGCATGTTGATCCAGGATGATCACTTCCAAACACCAGGAAAATGACCCATCACACTCTTGAAGCTGTCAATATTCTCATAAGTTAACAGTTGTCACGCTAGCTTGTTTGAGGTGCAAATATGTCAAGTTTCAGAAGCACGCACCTCGAATAGGACTGAGTGTCCAAAGCCACATTCGGCGACGAATCACTTAGTACTACATATGCCTATGATATGAGAAGGTCGATGCTGTTATACATACGGCATTCAAACTTGCCTTCTTCATGTGCTGATGAGCCAGGGGTAAAGTAACTCTTCAAGCCCTTTACGAGCTTTCTTGGACTTATGGCAGGCGAGAATAATTGTGTTTCTGTTACGGAAGACCGTATCATTGCCGGCGGGGTATGAGAAAGCCCAAATTAGCTTCGAAGAGGAGAACAGAGGAGAAAAGGCGGCAAGTGGCCAAGGAACTGAGAAATTTGGTTAAGTGGCGGCCAAACAGCGATAAGGCGGAGAATAAGAACACCTGTCAATAGAGCTTAGGACGATTAGTAACTGTTGTTATTGTTGGGAGACCAAAGTCAATCGAAACCTTACCGAGCCTTACCGGGAGTAACACATGTGTTGAAGTAGAGGTAGAACGATGCGGAGGGCTCAGTGTATTCAGATATGATTCTGCGTGAGATCTTCGATGGTGACTCGAGAGTCGAGGGCCGGTTAGCATAAATGCGTTGCGAATAACAATTAATGTAAAGCTCATATCCGAAGGTTAGGTTAGATGGCATAGCCGAAAAGCAGGCACTTGGCGACCCGCGTTCTCATACACGTTTGAGGGCTGATTCCATCGAGTCGGACAACAGCATGCGGTGACCGGTGACCCTGACTAATGAGTCCACCATCAGGTTACGTTCAGGGCGTAGCAGGAAGATATGACGACGATAAAGGCGCCATTGTCAAGAAATCGAACGTTCAGAGATCGTATCGAAAATGACAAACCTTGGGCTCATCTACTTAAAGACGAGCTAAAGATAGTGTAAGTATCACTCGCGGAGTTGGCAGAAGTCACGTAATACTTACCCGGATCAAATTACATAATTAATCAAAAGCGGGACAAAAAAAGAAAAACAAAGCTTGACCAAATCCACACCAAATACATACCACAACCTTCGTCCAGCCGTGCTCCTCTTTAAAAGTCCCAATCTTCCACCATGTGGATCTCTTGCTAACATCCTGTTGGCGACCTTTGCTCGTCGGTCGACCCATTGTCGAGCTCTTGTTTGACTTTTGTATTACTTGTCTATAGCGACATGCATCATACCCATTCATCCTCGTCCTCCCAGCCTCGTCCTATTCTCAAGCATCATCATCAAACAACTCCGAACTACAGTCGTGTCATCGGGTCTCCAGAACGCCTTCATGCTGTACACTTCCCCCCGTCTCCAACTTTTGACTCGAACCTATTCTGCCTACCCCCCTTCTACATATGATCGCTCTCCCATTGTTGTGTCACCTAATACATGCGCTCTACCTGAGCGTGGGTGTCCTGGACGTACTTATACCCTGGACGGGGAGCGTCCAGTGAGCTCGTCATCTCCCTCAAAACGATCACAGCATGGCATTCATCTCCACCCCCGTGCCGTGTTCAACCATCAATCGCCGGTTTCGCCCCCCAAACCGGGTGGCGTTGATGACCGCACTCCTTGGCGCAGCTCCCCAACACAGCCTCCTTTGATTCCCGACCTGTCTTCGGAGTCGGACGAGAGTGATGGCTCCCCACTAGATTCATATAACGCTTCTTTAAAACCTGCTCCATCGATACCATGGCCCCGTACTCTTGGAGAGCCCAATGTCTACCTAATGACACCCTCATACGATCATTACGGCTATCCTAATAATAGCCCCAATGTTCACCCAACTCTGCCATTCCTCCCGTACCCTCCTCCTAACGACACGCATAAAGTCCGCCGTCAGAGACAGAGGGACCGGTCACGGGAGCGTGAGCGCGAGCGAGGAAGCAAATATGCCCTGGATGATGGAGCACACGACAAACCCAGTCACAGTCCCTTTGCGCTATGTGGAGGCTTTTCAACCTCCGCTCTTGACGGACCGGAGGACAGTTGTTTGGGAGGATTTTGATGATGAAGGATTATAGAATGAGGTGTTTATGTGGAGGTGTATAACGACATTACGACTTCAGAGATTCCCATACCGCCTGTTACCCGTATTAATGGCGTTTAGATTTCCCCTGTTGTACTGTGTACTCAACCATTCGAATGGTTCAGCATTGATATCTATTGCAGGAGTCGTGGGGAGTGATATAACAGTAGGTTTGCTGCTCTCGATCACATCCAACCCAGCATTTCCATAGACCACCCCGCTACGTTTCCGGACTCGTCGGGCTTATTGCATATGCGCTGATTTCTTTCAAGCCCATTGATGATCTGCACATCCGCTTCTGATAGGTTGAAGATCTGTGGAAATTAACGCCACCATCTCAAATAGTAGATGCTGTACCACTTGCCTGGCAGTTCTCCTTCTGTCGTGCAGGGTCCGCGCTCTTTGGAACAACAACCACGCCTCTACTCACGTGCCATGAAAGTATTACTTGTGTAGGTGTAGCGCCGTAGTGACCGGCTATCTCAGCCACCGTCGGATCTTCTCGTACGGTCGCATAACCTAGATAGCAGAAGTCAGACTAGGACGCTTGCTTGAAGGATCCTTCAATGGACCTGTCGGAGCATATGCCGTTACAACGATTCCTTTCTCTTTGCAATAAGCTAACAGCTCATTCTGTGCCAGATAAGGGTGCATCCTGATGTCATGAGTAAGTTCCTTCTCCCGGATAGGTCGTATATGCGCAGTGCTCACTCGACTTGAAGCATGGCCGGTGTTACTTTAGCAGTCTTGAATAGTTCTTCCATCCTGTGACATCATTCAGAGAGCAGCAGCCATCCAGACGAAGGTGCGTACGTCTTGATGGAGAAATTGCTGAGTCCAATCGCTTTGACCTTCCCACTGGCCAGGACCTTCTCCATCTCAGCCCAGGTATCATTGAAGTTGCCTGTTTCATCTAGTTTAATCTGACCATCAGGGTTTCGTGGCCTAGAATCATTTTCTGCACGCGCACATGCGCCACTCGGTAAAAATGACTTCTTATGAACCAAGCGTTTCTTACCATCATATGCGACGCTATGAGGCCAGTGTATCAAGTACTGCCGCGGTACCATGATCAGAAGGCACGATCAAGTAGCAAATGAACCACAGTTCACGTACAAGGTCAAAATAGTCCAGCCCCGTGTTCTTCAAGCTCTGATCGATAGACCACTGTACCCGTTTCGTGTGGTTCCAGCTAATAGAAGCCAGAACGTCCGAACACGTTGAAGGGAGACTTGATGGGAACAGACTTACGGAAGCTTCGTGGTAACGAAGAGTTCTTCACGGGGAATACCAGAGGCCTTGATCGCATCTCCAACAGGTTTCTCTGTTCCGTAAATCCATGCTGTGTCAATGTGTCTGTAACCTGCTTGCAGGGCGGTGAGGATCCAGGGAGCCGCTTTAGCCTGTTCAACAGGATCTCTGCTAGCAAATACTCCAAGACCTATATTTTCATGAGTGCCTGCGTGCTAAGGCTGCCCGCGACAAGTGCTAGGCTTACCCACAATGGGAACCTTGGCCCCTGTGTTCAAGGTCAGTGTGTTCGTTAGCCATTCAGACATGTCGGGGTGAATAGTAGACCTCCACGCTGGATTGGCTTCACAAATCGTCAGAGTCGTGAGATGTTCACAAAGTTACACAGTGATAGTACTCAAACGGCCCGGCACCACTATCACAAGACAGCCTGGGATTTCCCCGCGGGGGGCTACTCACCAGAAGATGATAACACAATGACACTTACAGCAAGTGGGGACAAATGACAGACGTTTATCAGCTCAAATGAAACCTAGTCAATTCCAGTTCCAGCGTGATTCCATTGGAATCCACCTCTAAAGTTTTGCTTCTGCCTGAGGTGTCCTTTCTTCTTGCCATCCCAGGCGATCGAAAGTCCACCCAAACACCTTTCCCTGCTTATCAGGCTTTATACAAAGCCTTCTATTCTTGTCCAACGCATCAATCCGTCTTGCGTCCCCTTCATGTAGTTTAATCACCTATAATGCACTATCAAGGAGAGAAGCTGGGAACCCCATCTCTAAACTTACCTTCAAGTTCTCTTCTTGCCTACTGGCGTTCTCACTCTTTGTAACGAGGCCCGTCCCTCGTCTGATGTGCCACGACAGCACTATCTGGGTTGGAGTGACGTTATACTTTTTCGCGAGCGCCACAACAGTCGGATCTTCGCGGACAACCGCATAACCTGCACATTGTAATAATCAATGACCCCATTCTCATTGATTAATGCAACGTGGATTCTTCTACTCACCGGTGGCAGCGTAGGCGACAACTGCTATGCCATTTTCCTTGCACCATTGCAGAAGCTCATTCTGTGCCAGATATGGATGTAATCTGTGTCATGGTGTCAGCTTGATGACCAACCGCAGCTGCTCAGCTTTTGTACCGTAAACACGCATCACTTACTCAATTTGCAAGACAGCCGGCATAACTTTGGCCGTCTTTAGAAGCTGTTCCAACCTGCCATACAAAAGCAGCCCTCACAGTCAGTCATTCGAATACAGGATGGCAGGGTCAGAATTCATTCCTACGTTTTTATCGAGAAGTTGCTGACGCCGATTGATCTGACTTTACCACTGGCAAGAACTTTTTCCATTTCCTTCCAGGTATCATTAAAGTCACACGTTTCATCAAGCATCAAAGATCCATCCGCGTTCAAGGGAGCAGGATGATCATCTATGGACAGCCATCAACATCGATAGCTCAGTTGAAATCATGGTAGTTTTACAAACTCACTTTCGTAAACCACAACTTGAGGCCAGTGAATGAGATACTGTATCGAGTCACACAGCTATCCAGGGGAAACTAAGAGACCGACTTACCAGGTCGAAGTAATCGAGTCCAGCGCGTTTCAGGCTTTCGTCGAGAGACTCACGTACGCGTCTAGTGTGATGCCAACTGTCAAATCGATGGAAACCGCAGTTAACTCCAGTTCACCACGAGTACCAGATATCAAAGTAGCTTACGGAAGCTTTGTAGTAATGAAGAGGTCCTTCCGGGGTATACCAGATAGCTTAACGGCCTCACCAACAGCGCCCTCGGTACCTACATTGCCGAAAGGATTGTAAGTAGCTTAGGTCGAAAGATACCTTTTCAAACGTACCATACAATGCTGCTGTGTCGATATGCCTGTACCCGGCCTCGAGCGCAGTTAACAGCCAAGAAGACGCTTTTGCACGCTCTTTGGGGTGAGTCCCTACCCATGATCCGAGTGCTAAAATGAAGCCACGGAGCATTAGTTTTCATCTTTTTTGAAATCATATCATGTTAATGCGTCCATAGTACACGCACCGATACATGGCATACTTGCCCCGCTTTTCAACTGCAGCGACTTCATCGGATCAAAATTGCTTCAAGTAATTTGAAGGTGAATCGAGCGTGTTGTTGCAGGTACAAGGGTGGTCGCCCAATTGTCATCCGCGCCACGGCGTAACGGGGATGACCAACGCGTGAATCTGATCACCGCTCACCACGGCACATTACTTATTATACTAGAGATGCCCGACGCTTACGTGAAGTGAAAACTGACCTGCATTGCACCTGCGTGGCAATGCATGCCGCTACCACATTCAAATTTCTGCAACGTTATTCGGATGTAGTTTCGGAGTGGGAAAGTATGTAACATATTCAAATGCAAGCACGTATCAGACGCGCTGCGGTATAATACCACGACTAACGGCTGCGGCGATGAAGGTGCGCATAAGTATCCAAACTTTGAGTACTCTTCCGCCCAATGGAATAGAAAGAGGGAAAAAAACTACGCAGAGTCCAAAGATATGCGCACTGGATCTTTCTCCTTTTCACTGATGGACGGCGCGTCGGGCCGAACCTCGTTCACCAAACCGAGCCGAGCTTTTGCTTCGGCATCAAGGTTGGACGTAGGTCCGTGATAATGTCGATGCGCGCTGGGTGATCGTGGTTTGATGACAATGTTGAATATTAGCGAATTTAACAACTCACCTGATGATGTACCAAATCCTAGTCATTATGCGACGCTCAGTTACTCCAAACTTGGAACAGAAGTAATTCGTACTCACCCACTAAGAACAACAACACCGATGGCAATCACGGCTGCATAATTCATATTATCCTTTGTAACGGGGAACACGGTGGGCAGCGAGAAAATGATGCAGACAAAGAGAGTCCAGCTTATGCAAGCAATATTTGCTGCCCAACCTAGGAGCCCTGGTCCCATGTAAAACGGTCCTGGGCGGAAATCTACTTCCGGGTGATTTGCGTAGAGGCGACGCCTGCAAGTGTGCCCTCGATCAGTCAAGCGATAAGAACGACAAAACCCTCTCACAAGAATATTGGAATAATGTAACTCAGATCGAGTGCAATGGCGGTCAGCGCAAATATTGCATTCGCGGCAATCGGGGAGGCTAGATCGAGTAAACCTGGAAGAATGGACAGGATAGTAGTAAACCAGATAGCACGCAGTGGAGTTCTCGTGGAACCCGCAATATGACCAAAGTATCCGTTATCGGGAAGACCTGAGGATCTAGTTAGGATACGAGATATTTACTAGACTCTGTTGCTTGCCATGATCACGGCTGAAGGCGTAGACTGTACGAGAGCATGCTTGTAGCGCCGTTTGGGAAACAAAAAAAGCTGTAAGGCAAACAAAGCTCTTATCACAAAGTCAGTCCGATCTTGTGCATATGAAGCAGAACAAGATAACTACCCAAAGGAAGAGCGCTGCCGGTGTGCCCATACGCATAACCATAATCTACGGTGTAGTGAGCTCTTCGCTTACACTCGAAGATAATCCATAGCTTGTGCCATACCTGCAAGAACGCGGATCCAGATATTCCTGGGAGATTTTCTCTAATAGTATCTATAAGAAGTGGCGGGGATAAATAACATGTGGAGTAACTCACATTGGTCCCGAACACAGCATGAGGACGATATTCAATAGCCACCCCAATATCCCGGTCCCGATGACTGAATTTTTGTTTGATAATATCACGAATTATCGAAGAGCAAAGCTTACCAGCAATAAATATCGCAGCGGGCGCTGCAGGGAAGGATATGAGAATCTCATAACATGAGCTTTGCAATGATCCAACGTACCTGCGTACGCAGCACGACGAACTTCTTCGCTAAGATCAAAGATGAGTTAATTGGGTACTAAACGTTCAGGAAGAGTACATACGAAATGTGAGCCGTCGCATCGTAATCCTGTCACGTCATTCAAATCCATATCAACTTTTGTAAGCCGTCTGAATCTTACCGTCATCTACTCATCTTTTGAGATAAGTCAACGCTATGAAGGAAGATCATCCTGTCACGTACCGTCCATTGGACACTCAACAACCCCAGCAAAAAAGCGATCCCATTATTCCAACCCCCTGTTTGATTCACAATTCCTTGACTTCCAAACACGTAGTTCGCTGCATGCATCTCTGAACGAGGTGTTGTCGCTAGCAAAACAATGATGATAACGACAGTTGCACCGAGATTCACGAATACAAAACCTCTCGTAGCAAAGGCCAGGTACCGTGTCGCCACCGAATTCAAGAGTCCATGGACAATGAGAAGTCCGGCGAATAATCCAACCGTCTTTCCTTGTGTCAGTACAAAGGTCGGATTAGATATTGACACTGCAGCCCAAATCATGTTCGCGAGTCCAAACTCCGTCGATGATAGCCCCGCGACCTGACCGAGGATGTTTAACCAGCCAACGATCCAACCTACGACTGCACGATTCGACTTTGGACAGAGTCGAGCTGACGCCGTATACAGCCCACCACATGTAGGAAATGCAGAGACTATCTCCGCGATGCTGGATCCAAGCGTGAAGCACATACATGATCCGATTAACCAGCACCAAGTAACCTGGAATTGAGGTTCTTTCCACGTTGTGAAAAGTATTAAGTTATGACGTACGGAAGCGGGACCTCCAAGTAACAGTGGAGTGTTGAGAGTCGTCGCGATACTGGAGCACAATCCCTATGTTTTCAAGTGAGGTTGGAACAGCCGTGGAAAGGACAGAACACACCATGATGCTGAATGCAAAGCTAATGGTGGCGAGATTCGAGAACTCACGCCGGAAGGAAGGCTTGTACCCAAGTGCCTCCAGGCGGTGGTCATCATCGTCAATCATGCTGGACATTGAAGCGCGTGAACGTGAAAGCCAACAAGGGTACAGAGGAGCCGTAATGTACCTTGCTCGCGGCAGCTGTTGGTTCTAGCCTTGGCAAATATAAGTACCAGTGACCGGCGTAGCCTTGGTCATCCGATAAGGTGAAAAATGATTACCATGTGCATAGGTTAGATATCATATATTATCACCGAGGACAACGGTTGACAGCGCTGATCAACAGCACATCACACCCCCCTGATTTGACATCACAGTCTCCAGAAGTGCTCATTGACCAATGTGTACCTAGACTAAAACAATAGCTCGCTAACGCCAACCCGGGGGGATGGCACATCAGGATGAGGCTTCGGCGCAAGGAGCGAGTGTCGCACTTGAAATGACCGCTTGACTGCCTCCTATAGCGCTGGTAAATTTCAACAGATACGTTACTATGTCTTGAGCAATGAAAAACCGGTGTAAGTAGAAACGGGCCCCAAGATGGTCGAAGCAGCTTCCAAAACATCATAACACACACAAACAAGGAATATGCAGAGTCAAGCTAGTCAAGTTTTCAAGACTATATAATATAGTACATGGACTGGAACTTGGCTCTTCGGACTCCGGTGAAGATACCGTCCTAGGACGTTCAAATTGGAAGATGAGCAGGATCCTAGGTGGTCACTATAAGTGCCAGGATTTGGAGGCACGCTGACCAGCTACTGCGCTCTACTGCGTATGGCTGACTCTGGCAGACCAACCTCGAGTTGCCCTCTGAGTCTGATTGTTACCCGGGAGCGGTGAATGAGCGATTGCTGCGCCGTAACCACGCTGTCATCAAGATCCTGGTAATGGGAGGATAAGTGGCACTGCAGTCGGACCGCAGTGCGAGTCCGTAACGTTCGTTGCTCCCAGCAGCAAGAGCAGCCAACCAGCAGCAGAGTCCAGATAGCAATTTTAAAACGCGACATCAATCTTCATTTGTGAAGACAAATTCAGAGTACATACCGGACTCCATTCAACACAAGTCAAAGCTTCCTCATTAGACCCCCTCACGCGGAAGAGTATGACTCTAGTTCTGCCGGACGGGTGAGCCCAAGCACGTACATCCGAATTTACCATGCACTGATAGTTTGTTTACTCAGTTACCAGTATGTGGCTGGCTCGATGTTATCGGCTGCCTGGGTCATCCTGTGGCAGATCTTACGTGTCTACCCTGCTAGGGATGCAGCTGGTATTCCATATCCTCAACGTTGGCTTTCCGTTAGCCTTTGCGGTTCAGTTGCCTACTCAACTCGGCCCAGTGTATGCGGAGAACGCTCAACTAAAAGATAATCCAGCTGCCCTTCGGTATAACTGCGTCCAGCGTATGTCTTTCAGATCTTCGACACTGACACAGTATTAAATCGATCCCCGGGTTTTAGGTTGCCATCAGAACACTCTCGAAAGCATGCCGTTGATCCTTATTTCGTGAGTCAATCGGCACTCTGGCCCCAGAACTCGCGTGCTCAGTGAACATGCATTTGCAGCACTCTCATAACTGGACTGAAGTATCCTTACATAGCTGCCGCTGCGAGTTTCTTCTGGGTGCTCACTCGTGTCGCTTACACCATTGGGTACTCCTCAGGTGTGCCACAAAAGGCAAGTTACTCTGACAAAATGAAGATGTCAAAGTTTGTTGACATTGATGATAACAGCGTGCGGCAGGTGCTGTTAGTGGTTCTCTTACTTTGATTGGCTTATTGGCAGCTGCTACTGTCACCACCGTGCAAGTCTGTTTTTTCTAGGGGGTGTTGTGCCAGATGAAACACCATAGGAGATAAAACCGCAAATACATAGCATGTCATCCTTGCATATTCGCTGAATCCAAATTGGCTAAAGGGGCATCCTAAGAGATCCTAAGGAAATTACCGAAGCAATGCTTTATTTAATGATACCCAAGATGATGATCACCGGTGTTATTCTCTTTGTGGCCCCAGTGAGTTGTCATCTCATTGAATACGTATGTCTCCGAAATTTCAAAGGACTGTACCACCTTGTGTGACACAGAGTCATCCCAGGCTGTGTTCAGTTTCCTGGTCCCGTCTCCTCGAAAGGGGGGGGGGCATGATTGTGATACTATCGCACGCACCGTCCATCTTCGGGTAACGCGCGCTCGTCTTGTAGTGCTCTATCGTCTGGGGCATACAGCGATATTTTATCCGCCTCTGTAGTATCTCTGAGGTACGTATAATGGTGGTATCAGGACTCGACCATAAATGTACAAAATTGACCAGGACGCATAAAGAAAAAATGGGATCACTTCACTCCCGTGTTCTATCCCAGTAATGCTGACAGTAGTGACCCAGGGCGTCGCAATAAAAATGAACCCACAAATCGCCCACGCATACCCCATCACGCGCGTCCATCCCGTCTCTTCCAATCCCGCACGCCATCCAGCAGATATAACCATATCCTCAAACGTGATGGTGATTTCCTGATAAATGAAGAAAGGGCATAAAATGCTAATGCGGGAGGAGTTGACCACTGCATTACCTCCTAAGTGAGCAATGCTGGAGACGAAAATTAGCGTTCCAGGTCTGAGGGCACATACTTCTGTATAAGTATTGTGTTATAGTATCGCTGAGGTACGTGTTATCATGGCCTATCATGGCACCAGCATGGAAACCGCCGTCGACATTGGACGATAACATACGTAGTAAGATACATCAACAAGTAACGTGGGTATATGAGAACAGAAAATTGACAGATTAAACGCACACAGATATCGTAAGACGTCCAATCGGCGTTGACGCGACGTGTACCGTACGTGAGTAAGCAAGCCCGAGCTTACATAAAACTCGACTATACACCCAAATATTTGACTAGAACATCGCATAAAGAAGGTGGAAAATTGGAGGGGATTGGTTGACCCCCACCTTCCACCCCGGCAACGCCAACAGCAGTGACCCACGGCGTCGCAGTAGCAACGAACCAACAAATCACCCACACATACCCAATTACACGCGTCCACTTCGTCTCTCTCACTCCCGCGCGGCGTGCAGCAGCTATAACCCCATCCTCAAACGTGATGGCCAATGCCTGATAAACGAAGAAAGGGGAGGAAACCCCAATGCGAGAGGTGTTGAGTATTGCGTCACCTCCTAAGTGAGCTATGGCGGAGACGAAAAAGGCGGTGTAAAGTTGAGTGTAGGACGATCCGTTTGTTCCGGATTGGAAGCCGAGGAATGAAGCCATTTTTTGGCCAAAGGGGCTCAGAAACTAATCCGATCGAGCATGCATGAGGTAAGTATACTTAGTCGATAGTCCTCAGCAAAACAATACTCACGCGTCGAAGGAATTGGTGCCAAGTCCGGCTGTTCAACGAACAATATGTCAACGATAGCCCATGTGCAAGGCGAACCACTTACCCCCAGAATCGTCTGATCGTATACGCGTCCCCCCATTTACCAAACAAATCGGGCCAGGAGCTTGGCTCAGACGACGTACAACTCACGACAAGAGCTGATATGAACGAGTGTATAATAACACCGATGCAATAATTGAACACCAAAAATGCGCCGCAGGCAAGAATGCGACGGGTGAGCATCTGAGATGCGAAGGCTGCAGCAGACTGAAACGCCGGGTCGTGCCTTATGTAGAAGTGTGCGAGGTCGAACCACAGGAAGTGCTTAGCTGCATTCATTAAACGCGAAAGGACAAATTCTTTTCTTGACTTTGCGGAGTGTTCAGGGAGGTTTTTCACCTACAAATGAGAATCATCAGGCTTGTGATCGACTGGTGCTTCAGGGTGAACTTACTTGATGATTCCAACCTACTCCTCTGGGTGAACCGCACAACTGCGAAGCCCATATAAACCTCTTGAACCAAGGGAGTTCATATGCTGATTGTGTTTGCTTCTGATGGCGGAAGATGTGAAGGGGTTGGACTAGCAATGTCATATGTATGGCATCCATAGCAAGGCCAGTGATTCCCATGCCGATGAAATAATCAACAAAAATGATATTAGTCCTGGCATGCTGAATGCAAGTCAAGCAGACGAAGAGAATCACAGCGCAAGTTGCAAAATTCCAGGGAGCCCGCGAGTCAAATGTTATACCGATCTGTAGGACGAAGGCGGGGATCTGTGTGTAGATCAGGGGTGCAAGAAGTGGACCCATGGCGGCTTGTAGTCTTACTTCCCTCAGACTCTTGGATTCTTATACTCGAAGCCTGGGAGTGTGGCAAACGCGATCCATGACATGAATGTCACTTTCTATCGTACCTTTCCTTCGCGCTTCTGGTCTGCCAAGCGATCCTGAGCGTGTCGCCTAGTATGTCGTAGACCGATTGACGCAAACGGAGCCGCATTGTACTCATCCTCGAACAGGACAGATGGGACAGATGGGATGGTCGAACAGCGCTCGTCATAGAGATTCATCGACTCCCTTTGAGACACGTGTTCACCGAAACGTTCTGTATTTTCAGTAAAAATGACCATTCCCATCAATGTTATTTAAAGTACTAGTAATTCCGACCTTATGCAAGACATTGCGGTAGAGAGAAGTCTCTCAGAGTCTCTCCTACCGATGTCATTGACGTCATGGATCATGCCTAATGATACTATTATTAGCACTACGACAAAAACGCGAGGCCAAGACTGAACTTTGTGCAGACACGCAAAAAAAAAGTGGAACCAGTTTACCCAGACCAAAAAAGGTGGAACAGGTTTGTTCGACTTTGGCTACATATACTAGCCGGTGTACATGGAGAGTACTTTCTGGTTGAAAATTCGGTTTGCCATAACAGATGCCTTCAGCTCCTACAGTAAGTACCGCAGGCTTCGAACGAGCTCACCTCATAGCACCAACCTGATCTCCAAGAGCATATCCCATCGTTTCATGGGCTTTCCCTGTGCCTGTCCCTTTTGCCTAATCTCTGCAATTAGCCTGTGAGTAAAGCCCTCGCAAAGGGGAACTTCGGAAGGAGGGAATGCCACGAAACATTGATATTGAGATAATATAGACACTTACCATTTCACGTTGCCTGCACATCTCGGAGCACCGTATGAGTAGCTTCATTATGAGCCCCATTCACGCCCTATTGCCCACATGGTGAGTGGCACTATTGGTGTCCCCCTCGTACAAGACCTTTGCCGACTACTGTTGGGCCATGGCAGTGGTAGGGTACGTACACACCGCGGGAGCATACACTCAGCTGACATATGCACAGGAACGTACTACACTGTACGACAGCTTTGAGAAAAAAACTGATGCGGTTGATGGCAAGGTGTATAATACAATCCTGACCGGAGTTTGAAACCTAGTAAGTATATGACTACGACACGATTCATCGCGTCAACAACACTTACTAGTAGTAGTACTGTACTTGGTACTGGTATTCCTTATGCACCGTGATGGTCTACGCAATGAACGTTAATGAACACTGACCAGTACTGACCCCCTGAAACGCGGTGTTCGGCGCCAAAAGAAGTAGCTCGCCTCCCAATGATTAGAGAAAGATAGCCTTCCGCATCTCGAGCTGTCCAGCTTTCACTGCCGTCATGGCACTATGTGTGAAGTTTCGTGTTGCTTCTAGCTTTGTCAATTGCAACTCACTCGACACATCGGATCCAGCAAGCGCCACTTGACCCTAGGCATCATAAAATATCGCTCAGGCAACTCAAGCTACCATTCGCAAAGACTCCCGCAGGCTCAGGTGGGTGCTTGTGCTCTGCTTTTTCAATCCCATCTCAGATGTACCACAAGCGCCGTCACAACATGTGACTCGCCGTGTAGTTACACAGGTAATGGACAAAGTTGTCGTCGGTGGAAGCTCATTGTTTAGCGGCTAGCCCTTATCACTTACCATGGACCCGGCGTTGTTTAGTAGGAGGCAAAACCATGTACATAGTTCTGGTTCTCGCACTGGAAATCGCCAGTAACCTCACTATTATAAACTCAAGGGCATGTTGGCCTCACGCTCAGCCCGTTACATAGCAATCGGAAGACGTATTTAAGGAAGTAGATATGTTTTGCCATCGTGCTCGTACTAAACCTTTGGCATGGTGCCACTGGGTGCGACAGATGATGCTCTTTGTGACAATTCGAAGAAGTCCAAATTCGTTTGATCATACTCGGTCGAGTCTGATGTAGTGGCCGCCGAGAGGCGATCAAGGTTCGATAGGTCAAGTTGCATTCGAGTTGCAAGAATACCCTGTGCCACGATCTGTGTCCTACAAACAATAAGAGTGCATGAGGAATCATTCATTCTCGTTGGAAAAACCTCACGCTTCAAACACTGGACCATAGTCACCCTGTAGAACCACGAGTTTATAGATTTCATGAGTCGAGAAAGCCTAGATGTTAAGGATACATACCGGAACAAAGCAGATGGTAATGACATTGATTACAGTGAAGACTGTAAAACATTAGTGTGTCGCATTAAAATTATTGTATTCGCTCACATAGCCCACCAAGGATATAGCCCACGCTATATTGGGTAACTAACGTTAAAAGTCGGCAGCGTGTGGCACGGTAGTATCTTATCATTCTGTAGAAGGTGAGACAGACAACCTCTGCGCGATAGTTGCGGCTTTAGTTGAATGTACAGATTGGGCAACAAACGACAGACCAACCTATTTCGAGGAGTAACAAGATGATGTAGGGTACAAGAATGAAGTTGGCTGGTATCGAAGCAGAGGAGTAGCAACCTCGTGTGACTGCAACTCCTGCTCCAGACATGCAGTGACCTCAACTTGGAAAGACGTACAAATAGTGTTTTTCAATCGCATCCCGCATGCTACTAACAATATTATCACTCCACAGAGAAGTGCCTAATTAGAGTTGGAATTGTGAAGACGAAGGAGGTTATCTTTTTTGCGTACTCACGAGAAAAAAAATCAACAGCGCTTTTCGAACACGTTGGTCACGGTTCCACAGCGCATATGTTCGTAGGACAAAAATACCTATGCGTACGTTGACTTCAGTGATATTCGTCTAATAAACTGTATCCCTTACACTCTGCGCATAATAGGAGAATCCCAAGGGACACTACCAATATTGGTCAGCGGGTGGGCAGGTCATGGAGACTCCGCACACTGACGTAGGTTACTTTGAACAAGCACTGGGCAAGCCTTGTGCGATTGTAAGTCAAAAAATTCGAGTGTTTCGTGGTCGCATGCATACCTCAACGCTCCGTGAGAGGGCCACTGCAAACAAGTATAAGTATTTTGTTTAGTCAGTCATGACATTAAGATAGCCCCGACCGTACTCGCAGCGTGCAGGGCACATATCACGAAGGGTATATAACGACATCCAAGAAATAGCCCTTTTGCTAATGTCGTTCGAGAGTTTAAGAGGTAGTTGATCTGTTTGGGCTCTAAACAAACTACCTCACCCTGGGCATGTGATTCTATTACGCACCTCGTCGTCCAGGTTAGACGCGAAGTCGTACACCTGGTGTGTATTGTCGTCTGTCCCAGTCCGTAAATATCACAGTATAACGCACCACGATCGTAACAACAACAACTTTCAACACGTTAAGGTGTGGTGCAGTGGCTGTCCAAGATAGTGACTTACTAAAGACATTCTGTGCGACAATTTTTCGGATCAGTTAAGGTGCCACAGGACAAACTGAAAGCCTTTGAATGGCATTTACGTTTATACCTCGAGGTGGCAGCAGTGCAATCGCCGGAGAGGAGGCGTGAATACTAGTCCATGGAGATAGAATGGAGATAGAATGATCCGGGAGTATATGATGCTTTGCACGGAACTTTCGAGGGACACTAATACCGACACCAATGTTGAACTGTTGAGGTGCAACATGGAACGTTCTTATGTCAAGAAGTTATGATGCTGGTGGTAATATAATGTTCGGTCTTAGTAGCAGAAAGGCCCGCACTGACATATGTGAGTTAGCACTGTCAATGGACCAGTTGTCTGATCTAAGTAGGGAAGCCCACCTTGTGAACTGTGGGCCTTATCATACTAGTAAGTTTAGCCTACGCTATACCGGACCCACACTTGACATATTCGACCGCCTCTGCCAGGCTCAGCAAATGACGACTCAGGAATACTAGTAAGTAGACCAACCGTGACAGTCCTGCGAATAAGACGCCCTGCCAGTGCACTGAGGATGGCGCCAATCACGAAAACCTGGTGGCACTCTGCCTTTGATGAGATCCTGTAGACTACATGCCTGTAGAACGCGACGTTGCGACTCGCAGGCAAGGCAAGCATTGAACATACTAAGTTCGAACGTCAAGTTCAGGTTCAATGTTTCAATGCATGTCCGTTAAGTTGGGATATCGTTGAAACACCATTTCAAAAACACCTATTAGAAATTTGGTTCATGTACCTCATGCCAGGATCGTTTGATCATGGGTTACTACAAGAATCCCAGTGACAGGGACACTTTGGTAGCTAGGCATTGACGAGATACCAACTGATGGCTCAGGAAACTATGATATGAGTCCGTACCACGAGTTCCAATTTTCTCTGAGGCGCGGGAAGGAAGCTACGGTATACCGTAATGCTACCTTCCACAGAGAAGTCTTCTCCACAAGTGATGAATGTGCCGTAAGGAAGTAGATGACTACTGCGCATGCAGGAAGATGCAGGACCGCCAGCTGATGTGACTGCCTTTACCGAAATAGTACTTATATGATGGTACACCACTGCCAATCATACATCACGCCGGCCAGATCGTTAACTTCAAACTTGTTATGATACAGTGTATCCGGTGGCAGTATACCTGTAAGAAGGTTTCAGCGCTGGTGAGAATTAAACCAACTACTTATCGTCGCGAATCTTAAACAATTCGTGTAGCTGCAGCTCATACAATTGAATAGCTCGCTGAACGCCCCTTGAATCCGTTGGCAAGGAAATTAAACCATAAACTGATCACCCTTGCATGCACAATATTGTGATCATCGCAATTAGTTTTAAAAAGATATGGTATGCATGATAGTTCCCTCTCACTGGACATCCTCTCCTACGGGGACCCGCGCTCCAAGTACAGCTTCCCGACGTGTTCTTAGCGCTCCCTCATACGCCTTACACGCCCACTTGAGGAACCCCACTTCTTTGCCCCTGCCCTGCTCCACTAAACGAGCGTGTAGCAGTTCCACATCCGCGAAACTCAGCAAAGGTGGGACACGTTCGTCAGGTGGGCCAATAGCCGATGTGAGCCGCACGAGGGGGCGAGGAGTGGAAGGAGAATTACTGAGAACCGTACGTGTCGAGAAGATGGGTGGTTTTGCAAAAAGGGTAATTGTGCGTTTGTTCGTGACATCTTGACTAGGAGCGTCTACCTGAGCAGACGATGAATTATGGGCTGGAGGAAGCAACGCGGTCGGAGGATACCGTGACATGAACGTGCGGACCAGTGCAATTGCACGGTCGACATTACCAGTTCTGGACGACGGCATTAGTGTGATCATAAAACTTGAAAAAAACAGAAGACTGACAACAGATGAACTCTCCTGACGGCAGTATGGGCTCTCTCTACTAGCCTGGCAGTCACTGTCGTCTTTGTATCCCCATTGATCCACCCGTGCTCAAGCTCCTCCCAGCGCGTCCATAGCTCATCAACCCATTTTCCTGCAACTTCACGTTCATGCGACTTGGAAAGTGCACACTTCTCGAGAGCATCGACGTAAGTTCGTGAATCGCCCATGAGGCCAATATCACCAGAAGAGAAGAGTCTGTCAAATAAATCGCGCGCAGTTTCAATACTCGCGTGCGAGTAATATACGGACATGTACGCATTGAGGAGACGTGGTGTAAGTGCGATATTGAATTTGCCAGCGAGGGGGCCGGGAGGCACATCAGACGGAGGATGAGAGGTCAAGTTGGTATCTTGAAGAATTCTATCGAAAAGAGCCCTGGCCTCTGCAAGGACTTCGCCTGGTGATTGGGGCGGGAGGTGCGAAAATGAGGGCATGGTATCCATGTCCGACAAATCAGTCGGAACTGCATTGGAGTCGGGAGAAACATCTCCAGACACTGAAGGCAAGTCTGAGCCTTCAGTAGTGCTTGCTCGCTGTTCCTCTTGATTTGAAAGGGCTGCTGGTGCTACATTCGCCCCGTCGTTGTCCACGATTCCTAGTTGCACCCCTCTTGAATGGAGGTCGATACGCGGCATAAGCGTGGAACATGTGCTGCATCATCTCCTCAGTTAGACCCTGCGCTCTTACAGCCTCTGCCAGAATCCATCTAGCACGCCCCAAATCACCCACACGTTTACACCCGTCCAACTAGAGCTGTCCAAGTACGCGGCCCACCAAGCCCCTGAAGGTCCTCGCCACCAAATTCAGAAGCGCCACCTCCAAAACTGGTTGCGCATTTCCCGCGCAAACCTGATGGCCTCTGATACCCATTCTCCTCCAGCCTTCGCACAAGCGCGGATCACTGCATCGTACGCCCCTTCGGTCGGCACAATTCCCGCGTCGAGCATCTCAGTCCATAGGTCCAGGGCGCGTTCTGGTTCAGGAGATAAGGGAGCTGAAGCACAGGCGCGGATCATCAGTGAGTATAGATGGACATCGGGGGTCGGGTGCGCAACGTAGCGCATGTGTGCGAAAAGGTCCCAAGCTTGTGAATGTGCAGCCAATCTTCCCAATGGTACCTCCGGTGTGGAGGATACCGAAGGAGATGATGGAGAGGGGCGGACGGAGAATAGTGATGAGATAACGCGTGTATAGGACTTCATGGGGGCATGGAGTCCAGACGCCTCGTACTTGTGTAGAAGGTCAATTGCGCGGGTGGGGAATGCGCGTGGTGCAAAGACAGCTGGGTCGCGCAAGTATGACTTGATGTGCAGGTCTCGTTGAGTCTCGGAAGGTTTGCCTACACATCAACACATTACATTAGCAGTATCAAGTGCTGTGAACGGAATACGAACCAGATAGAAGATTTGCCATACAACCTTCGAATCGCTCTATATTTCCCTGCAACGCATGATGTCCGAGCACAATATTAATAATATCCTCGGGTGGTGCGTCACCGGAAAGCTGAGTTATCCATGAACATCTGAACGCGAGATGAAATCATAGTAATGACCTTCATAAGCTCTATTGCTCTTTCCGCGCTACCCAAGTCCCCCTGCTGCATCTATAAAGACAGTAAGATGCTTGAAATCATCTTCAAGTTCGAGAGACGTACACAAATGCGGACGCGCTGTCTCATTTCAATGATAGCCTGTGTATCTCCGTCTCCTTCAGAAGGTTCCGTAGCCTCTACGGGTTGTTGTGTGGGTGCTGTTTCCAACAAGTCTTCATAAAATGAGAATAACTCTTCGTCCGTGTAACGAGGAAAAGCTGCGGACTCTGGCCCCGGACTTGCCTCCAACTGCGCAAAATTTGACTCACATTAGCAAGCGAACAGGAAGGGTTACAATCAAAAGCAAAAGGCCCACCGACTGGGAGTCTATCGCATCCAAAGGCACTGGGATATTTTGTAACGCAAGGACTCTCCCTTCAAGCTCGGACATTGGCGATGTAAAATTTGTGGGTAGCTTGAACACAGAGGAAGACATTGACGCCCCAGAGTCCCTGATCGTCAATGCGCTGGGTTTTCTGCGGCGTCCGCGCCGCCTGGGCTGCATTAGCTTGGACAACTGATATAGAACGACGACCCACCTAGAGAACACACTTTTGTCCTCAGCAGACTCGAATGGGGGCGGAGGAGATGGTGCAAGGGCTACCGCCTGGTGTAAGTTCCGCGAAGAAAATCCCCATTTTATTGATTGGACATGAGCAAGGCTATACTCGAGTAAACCGAGGGGAAGAACAGTCCTTTGCATGATGGAGGTTGCGAATATTCCGACTGCACCTTAGAGTGGAACGAGCTTGGTATTTCAGTCGCAAGGACCTTATGTGGTGGACACAGTGACCGTCCTCCTTCGTACTTTCCACTGCAGGCAGACGCGAAAAAGTCTGCTAGTCACGTGACTAATTCATGATCGAATGTAATCTTGACTCGCCCTTCACATGCTCACAACTTGTTCACAACGATGACCAACTCTGTACTGCAGACTGAGCCTCAGTTATATGGCGCACCTTCGATATCAACCAGAAACAGTATCGCTTGGAATGGTGAACAACCATATGAGGACTCCGATGTTCTCGTGCTTTCCTCCCGGTTCACAAGTGTCCCACTCTCCAAAGATTCCACCGTACTCTGTCTCGACTTACGTCTCCCAAAGCACTTAGTGCCAGAGAGCGTTGTCACATGGGGATTTTCTGGCATCCGTCTCACACTCTCTTCAACCCCTCTGCGTTTCCGATGGAGTCACTATATTGATTCCCGTGGACTTGGCCCTCCTGACGAAGGCACAATGACCTCATGTGATGGGGAAGAAGTAGAAACTGGAATCGGGCTGAACCCCCAGACGGGAGAGCACGAGCCGTATGAAGAACGCTGGGTGTGAGATAATAACTTCTCCCCTTCATAGTTCATTTCATGATTTCTGGGCGATAGTGATCAACCAGTCACACCAACCACGCCGTTCGTATTCCTCACTTCATCTCGTGAACCCAGTGAATCGACCGGGTTCATTGCTGTTCTTGGAGGGCATGCGCTTGCACTGCGTCAGGACCCTCCGAACGGCACTACATTTCAAGCAGTGCGCATGCGCATCTTGACTTCATCATCGCCCAGAAGGGAAATCCTGTTCACGCAGAATGCAGACACCCTGCTCCCATTGTTAGAATCTGTGCTCTCTGAGATTGATAAATGGAATGGATCTCCTTGGCAGTGTGGTCAAGAAGTCACATTGGGGGAAGACCGCTGGATTGTGTGGGATGCTGGTGTGACGGAGGAAATAACTGCTTAATCTATGTAAATTGTTGGCTAACTCATGCCCATCTGCTGGGGTGCTTGACCTCTACTTGGCGGAGTTGCGAGAGGGGAACGCCAGGACAAGATTCATTTCATCGGAGAAGGTATGACCGTATCATGTATGTGCGACAGTCCTATGTCGGGCCGCATCTGTATTTCACTCTGAGACCCTATTCGGTTAGCTCATTGCGCATTAGCGTCGTCATTCACTTAGTTGAGGTCACAACCACCGTTCACGCGCTGAGGGCTGTTCCGTGACTTCCGTATCCAGGGCGCACAAACACCCAGTCTAATTTGTATTGGCTGCAATAGCTAGTCTTAGAGCATTACTAAATCCAATCGCTAGTGCATGATCTTGACTTGGAATAACCAAGATTAGAGAGCATGCACAGGGTTCCAACGTTCCAATCCGTGGCTCAGGGGATCGGAACAAAGGATGTTGTGAGAAACTCCGCTAGACCGACACCATAAAGTGAGTCAGGCTCAGTCCCGGAATGCACGTTGGACACTGCCTCTGGGCGTCGGTGAAGATGCCGGCAATCGAATTCGAACAAGTATGACGAGGTATGACGGTAGATCAGGGAGTGATTACTTGATCGATCGGTGAGGCCTAGGCTCCAAGGAGAGAGGCTTGATGACAGCGGTTGTCTTAGGCCGAGCCAGGTATTATCAGACAAATGCGATCGGTACTCCATGAATCATCTCTACTAGAGCCTAGGATGTCGAGCGAGACTAAAGCGAGAACAAGAAGGAACAAGATAACCGAGATTATGGCTGAGCACACTAGTGAAATATGGTGCGATGCTGATGGTACGATAGGCTAGCTGAAAAATCTAAGCCGAACGAGGTCCGATAACCAACGTTTGAGGACCCGGACGGTCACCGGTAGTTACCAATCTGATTAGAGAGACGATGCTTGAGCACGCGTGTGCGTTTGTAATTTTGCTGTCCTCAGCTGTCAGTGGCTGAGAAACTTTGAGTGCGGACATACCAACCATATGTTGCTGCGAGCGGCGATTATCAATTGCGAGAAACGATTATTGTGGGGCGGTCTTGGGGGGTTTGCCGGCGGTTGACGTTATCACTGATTAGATTGATTAGTATAAAAGGTTCACCTCCCCTACCGACATATCCGCATTTCTCCACTTCACTCCATCACCACTATCATCCATCAGCCAACATGGTGAGTACGATGTTCACCGAGCTCATGTTTTGTTGCTGATAACATCGAACGCAGGTCGTCAAAGTCGGTATCAACGGGTACGCTATTATTGTCAGTTGAGATTTCATCGCTGATCTGATTATGTTCTTTCTTGCTGCGTAGTTTCGGTCAGTATATGATCTTGATTCATTGCAAGTAAATGTCTCTTGACGTGATATCGTACGTTTAGGTCGTATTGGCCGGATCGTCATGCGCAATGCCATCGAGAACCAGGACATCGAGGTCGTTGCCATTAATGAGTGGGTTCATCTCTTAATGAATTTCGAAATGCATCTGATTCTCGTCTACAGTCCCTTCATCGAGTTAGACTACATGGTCAGTGGATGACACCGTTGCGTACCGGGTTCGCTCTGATTGGGAGTAAATATTACTGTAGGTTTACATGTTCAAGTACGACACCGTCCACGGTCGCTTCAAGGGCGACGTCCACACCGCGGACGGAAAGCTCTACATTAACAACAAACCAATCCACGTTTTCGGCGAGCGGGACCCTAGCAACATTAAGTGGGGTTCGGTCGGCGCTGAGTACATCGTCGAGTCCACTGTAAGTTTCTCGACTAGTCTTCCATACACCTCTTGAAAGCTAACCGGATCGACGTGAACAGGGTGTCTTCACTAGCATCGAGAAGTGAGATATTATCTTATGGATCGAGTGCTAAGTATTAAGATCTTTATTTCAGAGCCTCTGCTCATCTCAAGGGTGGTGCAAAGAAGGTCATCATCTCCGCTCCTTCGGCAGACGCACCCATGTTTGTCTGCGGTGTCAACCTTGAGTCTTATGACCCCAAGTACACCGTGATCTCCAACGCCTCCTGCACGACCAATTGCCTTGCGCCTCTCGCCAAGGTGATCGATGACAACTTCGGCATCGAGGAAGGTCTTATGTCCACTATCCACTCGACGACAGCCACCCAGAAGACCGTCGACGGTCCTTCCAACAAGGACTGGCGCGGTGGTCGTGCTGTTAACAACAACATCATCCCGTCCTCCACGGGTGCCGCCAAGGCAGTCGGCAAGGTTATTCCTTCACTGAACGGCAAGCTCACGTATGTGATTTCGAACTTGCCCCGCAAATCTAAGACGCTAACCACATTCTTGTAGTGGTCTTTCCTTCCGTGTTCCCACTTTGGACGTCTCCGTCGTTGACCTCGTCGTACGCCTCAAGAAGCCCGCCACCTATGATGACATCAAGAAGGCAGTGAAGGCCGCCGCTGACGGCCCTCTCAACGGCATCATGGCCTACACCGATGAAAGCGTCGTCTCGACGGATTTCCTCGGCCACCCTGCATCGAGCATCTTCGATGCCACTGCGGGTATCATGCTTAACAAGCAGTTCGTGAAATTGATCGCATGGTACGACAACGAGTGGGGCTACTCGAGGCGCGTGTGCGAGTTGCTCGTGTTCGCTGCCAAGAAAGATGCGGGTAACTGAAGAGAAACTGCAAATGTCCTGAATCGTACCTGTAATTTTCCCGTAGTCTCGAGGTATTACTCAAAACAATCCGTGTTGTATTTGTTGTACGGACGCACGCCTCAATAGATCCGCTTATTTGTAGTCTCTCCTAGGCAGAGCATAGAAGATATTGCTTCTTACGGCTGATTCCATAACTACATGTGTATGCAGAATCGCAAAACTTAAACGTGCGTGTCGAAAATGTCAGGGAGAGGACCCTGTAAGTACCTGAGAAGTTCGCAGCGTTGAGCAGCGAGCACACTTACTATCAATCCCACAGTTCTGCAAAACTTTTAGCAAAACTTTCGTTGCTCCTCAATCACTTCACATTTTCTTTTGAAACTATGTAAAATTGTAGATTCATATCCCCCCTACATAGCTCTGATTTTTAAAGATTTTGTGTTGTAGTGTCGGAGCAAACCCGAGAAAATTCGGGCTTCCTCTAATCTGCAAAATTTGGTCACAGCTTGTCACACCTCGGCAGTGTCGGCGCACTCAACTTTCGCTCTCCGCAGCTGCAAACCAGTCGAAGTTGTGCGGAATGTAGACTCGATGCCGCGTGTGCCGTGTCACAGATGAGGAGGAGATTGAATTACATATGCATCTCCCCTGTCTAGTGTCACACTTCTATACATGTTGTTAATACTACCACTGTAGCACCTCAATGCAAGAGCATAACCTCTATCGAACCAGTGTTCTTACATCTATAGAAGATATTTGTTGTGCTCCAGGTAAAACTTAATGAATACCTTTGCAGGATCTTTGGGATCTGGGTAATTTGTGTTCGACCAAGGTTGCAAAATACCACCATTTCATCTCTCGTAGCTACAATATCCAAGAAAATTTTATTCTACTTATACAATACATCATCTATAGGCCCTCTGTATATGCTTGAATTTTTTCAGCGCCGGCCGACCATGGCGTTGAAGTGCTATGAACATTTTGCATATTAGGTACCCTTTGCATATTGGTGAGAATGATAGTATCCAAGAACCCACGACGAGCGTTTTCTTTGCCATTTTCTTGCGAGCACAATGCATACAAACTTATGCAAGCGCCTGTATTCCCCTCGCACAAATTTTGCAACTGTGTGGATCCCGCGACACTTTATGTACGCTGTTCGCACCGGAGCCTCTTGCTATGATTCAACCCCTTTCAATTTTAATGCTATGATTCATATTGCTAGCATTGTATCGTATTTTGCAGTAGCTACGAGCAACATGATGTGTACCATTCTCGCATGATATCAAACGGTGGTAAGAAATGCAACAGAATGCCGCATTTTTTGCGACGCAACAACTAAACGAGCCTCGCACGAGACCACTTTTGCATATGCATTCACGCGAAGGCCGTTTCAGCCCGCAAGGCACGACACGGCAGAATCTCTCCGGATGAGTCTCTTGAAGTCTCTCGCACTGTCCGCATCAATGTTCAATGGACTTGTGCGAAGGGGATTAAGGCTGAGACACCGACCTCAACTACTGTTAGCTAGTAGCTACTGTTCCTGTATGATCAACTCGGAAAGAGCTGCAAAACTAGTACTTTGTACACAAGAGTATTACTTCTTGACTCCACGTATAATATTGACTCAATCAGAGAACTCGTAAGTCTACCCAGGGTACTTTACGGCGATTACGGCGTTTTACATGACTTTACACGACTTTATATTCTAGTATAAAGGAAAGAAGTTCTATATATGACGATATATCGTCATATAAGATTTTATCTGCGGCTCATTATTAGTTCATTGATCCGGGGCATAGATGCAGCAGATGTGCAGCATGTGCTTGACCGAGTGTCCGCGTTGAACGTTGACGTAGTAGCAGGACATGGATTTGAGCTTCGAAATCTATTGAAACAATGCGCGGCAGCATCATGCTCTCAGTTGTAAAAGCGAACTATAACATCACTCGCCTAGCTGAGCTCAATCGGTTCTGCTCTCAGGTGCCTACAGGTTCTCACCCGGGCGTTTCCGTCATGCAAGTTCTGGTTTTGCGATTGGAATCAGTGGTCTTGGTGTGTCATTGACTGATGTCATGATAAGTACTTAGGCTTTGCACGTCTGGTAATCGGCTCGTGAATGTACCAAACCAGGAACTAGAAAGAATCGACAGGGAAGGGGTTTGAAATATGATTGCCTAGAGTTTCTAATTGATTGCAGTCTGCCTTCTGGACTATCACGAGGGTATGACCCTAGACCTGGATAATGAAAGCATTTGATAACAGATTCGTGAGTCCGGAGATTGAGAGTCACGAGTCTTGTAATTGACGCGATAGCATCACAACTTACATAGTCAAAGACGCAACCATGCGTACACGTGCCTGAGCGGCGCCGGCTGGCCTGGAGTGGTAACGGCACATTTTTAAAGCTTCCAAACAATTGACACTCATCGACCATATCATGAGTATGAACGGAGGAATATTCCTGTATCATACATCAAAGGCCATGAAATACATTTCATTGTTATGCCTGATCCACTTGCCGAAGAAGTTCTTCGGGGGACGAGAATTGAAACAATTACAATGAAGTTAGAGTCATAACAAAGATACAAAAATATGGCTAGAATACACCTGGAATGAGTCTATATCGCACCCTTTTCGACCACCGATCCCATTCTTCCTCAAAATGCTTGCGAAGCATTGCATCTTCGTGGATGGACCGGTCGCGGCTTAGCACCACGGACAGTAGGATTTGTATCACCCACAACCCAAGTAGGCCACGCCCGAAGCGAGTGGAGAGCCACCCGGATGTCCGCATGAACGATCCGGGGCTTGCGAAGATGAGCGAGATGCCCAACGAGGCGATGCAGCTAGATGTATAGCTAGGATGTCGTACGATGTCGTACGGACCTGTGGTGACAAGTGCATGGTTCTTGCGTATGGTGAGCTGGTGAGTGAATTGTTGTCCCATGACGCGGAAACACCATAGGCGCCCCAGGCCACCGATGGTAGTGAGGGTTGTTCCGAGTATGAAGTATCTGTTTGGCATCATATCTAGAAGCTTTCCGGTATGAACTAGAGTCGATAGGATTTTGGATGAGAGAGGTGACGGAAAATGAGCTGCAAGTATGACAGCTATTTCCGCAACACAGGGTATCAAAGCAGATAACTGTAACAGGATGTTCAACAAGGTGTACAAAAGTTGGAAATTTACTTACCCGCTGTAATATTGGGTAAATAGCTGGGCAGATACGCTCGTAGAGCGGGCCGCCGCTCACAACTTCATCATCGCGGGGTGTCGAGGCTGGAGAAATGAATGCATTATTGAATACAAGGACAGATGGCACTAGAAAAGGAAGCTTCATAAGAGTCATTGGGACCATTGTTCGTAACTATCGTGACTTGTCGTGCAAATGTTATGGGCCTGCTAAACTGCTCACACACCTCTTATATGTGAGGCCTCGCATAGGCGCGCACCCACATAACCTTATCGGTTTTGACCAACTGTCAAATTCCAGAAGCGGGTGGCTGCACGTGAGCCAATAAACATTGGAGATTGATCAAAGAAGAAGGCCTAACATAACGCCGGACCTGCAACCGAACTTAACGCTACGCCGAAAATTGATGTCCTCTTCGGAATGCTAAAAAGTGGATGAGTCAAACACGCCAGGTAAGTTGCCTCACGTTACGTTATGGCCACAGGATTCAGCCTGCAAGTTGGTGCCACTGATCATGATTGGGCCAGCCTCCTGCATTTACGTTCACGACTACCGGGCCTTCAAACAGTATGACTGAAAAGGTTAGGATATTCGTGTAAGTAGGATTAGCATACTGTGTGATGCAGACGGAGATTACGTTATTGTTCAACCTTCAATTCAGTCAGGAACTTTACAGACTCTAATTGGGGTTGTTTTGGGAAACTAACCGAAATTTTGCGGGTTTCAAGTGTGTTTCAAGAGAAAAAACTGTGGGGGCTAGTAATTAGCGCTCAAGATGAGTTTCATGATCAGTCTCAGATCAATGATCTTGTGTAGCAGCCTGCCATAAACAGGTGGAGATGCGCCACTCGTCTGATCTCTTTCATTAGGTGTTGACACATCCACAATATTAATGATGACATCGACCTCGAGCTCGTCGGCAGTAGGTCCTGGCTCTCAGGCTGTCTGTTGACTCAGCAAAGTACATCCAGAACCTACACAGATCTGTCATTAGAAGGCGAACTAACAACGAACTAAGTAATGTCATTATGCTCATAGGCCTGGTCACACGCACCATGCGGTCTGGCAACACCTCTTATCGACATACACAATCGCAAAGTCTCGTACCCTTTGTGGACGCTGTAGAGCAGAGATTCAGTTCCCTGTTCTATCTACTTCCTAGGCGCCAGCGACAACAGCCCATGTATTCTGTGTATTGTTATGCACATATCCCCTATTTATTTCACGCTAGGCTCAGCGTTGTCTCTACTTCTCTCTCCGCCTCCATGGCTCTACCAAATAGCTCTTGGTGGTGCCAACGACCGTGCATAATTTACATATGTATATTGCTCATGACTTAACAGTCCTGACTCCACCGCCACTCGCAAGCACACCCGGCCAATGCATCCACCATTCAGCTATGTTTCTTAGGTCTAGTCCTCAGAGCAATTCTCGATTTCTCGGATCGACCCTTGTCACGGGCTTAATATTCGTAGGTGCATCGTGTCTGCCACGTTGTTGTATTTGCTCCTTATGTCCTTTTTGCAAGTGCCTTCTTGAACTTGATGCGGCCAACTCAATCAAGGATCAAACGAGTGCTGTTAAGTGTACGCTTCGACGTATTACCGCACTCGCTAATGTTCGCTGGTTTATGTATGTCGGTAAGCGCCACGCCTTTGTTCCCAAATACATAATTAAATCTGCTTTCCCGCAGGAATCTGTCCCTTTCCACGTGCAGCAGCACGATACGTACAACCGCATTGCTATCGGGGGATAACCTCCTTGGATAACAAGTTACCAATGAGTCCGCATTGCGCAAACATCTGATTGGCCCATGTGCTAATCTGCGCCATAGTCTCCCAGCACCGTCGACCACAGCTCTCTCATTGGTCTTCAAGATGTGTGGAACTACCGGATTTGTGCAGACTTACTCGCTGGGTGCTTTCGGGGGCGTGGAACATGAAGTCTCATCGCAAAACCTCAACTTTTCATACATTGAATTCAACTACACTATTCATAATTGCTTTGCGCAGCACGGTGTCGACACACCGTCCGGTCCCCAAAACGAGTTCTCCACCTACCCCACAACTAAGGCAAGGAACCCGTCCAGCCATATCTCAACTCGCACAACAGCGGGGAAAACCTTTCTGGATGTTTAAGACCGGCAGTGCATCTTTTCCCGGCGTTAGCGATAGCTTTTCTGCGGAAGTACTGCTGGGACATGCCATCCCCTTTGCTTCACGCCTCAGCAGCTCTCTATCCTGACGCATATGCTACTTAAACCGTATGTATAAATTCATCACGACAATGAAACCGTTAACCTTATAAGTCAAAGCTAGGTGGTGTACAGTACCAATGCGGATACCTCCATCCCAGGAAGATAGCCATGCTTCGAATTTCCTGATCTGTGTTGAAAGTATGCTGGACAATGATCATGATGCAGATGCTACTATCATCACGCGAAGGTAGCTGAGATCGGGGTGCCAGCACATGGGAGCCCCTGTCGTTCGGTCTTACATGCAGGCAATCGTGATTAGTATATAGTGCTGTCAGTGTCACTATGAAACTAAAAGCAGACGAAGTTTACTGGCTGGATCACCCATTGCATGGGTGATGACGACGAGCTTACAGGGGGCGATCGCCATCATCCGGTTGGATTATCTGGGTGATCATGAACGGAATATTTGCCCATCCCCTCGAATGGCCTTTCGGGTGACGAATATCCTGGTACATACTTTTGACTGTTCGCCGGTAGCTACATAATAGACCGCATTTTCTGGTGATAAACGTCAAACTGCATCAGGTTGGAGATAGGGCACAAATTTGATTATATTCCAATCAGAGCTAAGTTACTAGCAGCACTCCAAACGCCACTGGTGCATTACTACCGCTGCTTCGTTTTCGTCCACCGGGCGCTTTGTTCCCGTCGGGCCCAGACTCGCTGCTGTTCTCTTCACCTTCTTCTCGTTCTACCTTACTGCTGCCAGTCGATGAATGGGGATGCCGCTTGCGCCAGCCATCGGGAGTTCGAGGTAAGTGTATTCAAGGCGAGTCCATAATCATGCACAGTTAATTAACGAAGTTTGAACCGATCGATCGATCGGAAAGAGCTTGTATCAGGAACTAATCAAGCTCTGCAATAGAAATGCGCTTCTTCTGCCCAACTCGGAGGCGTTTTCAACAACGGTATTGCGTGCGTGGTGCAGCTCGAGGTTCCTGATACGGATGTCGACAATGGCGTGATTGAACCACTCATAGGATTGATCGGTGAACCGCGTACGTGGCATGCGGGTTTACGAATCGATAAGCTTCAGTTTACCATCGTTCGATGTAATTGGAAGGAGGTGAAGGTGACGCAAAATCACCCAGTCCATCACCCGTCACCGTCTCCCAAGTTTAGCAGGTGAAACGGACATATTATCAGCGCCGGTGGTGATAATAACATTTTTCCGGTCTCATAGTGTGTGCAGACATCACATCTTGTGCTTGGGGCTGCATGGAAGTGTTGTCCATTGTAAGGCCATAGAGTACTTCTAAAGGCTATGTCAGGGGTTAAATCGTCCTTTTTGATGAGGCATGATTGAACCCGTTTTGGAACTTACGCATCCATTGTAAGTTCGTCAGTGGTCACGCGCACGTCTATGTTGTCTTGTCATTGTCAATGTCTTGTGACTTTTTTTCTTAGGAAAGATCCGAAAGCCAATTACATTCCAGTACATTGCGAATCGCAAATGCGCACCAATCGTTCCGAAGGAACCGGACCGCTGAGCCGTTGTCATTCATTTCCGTCGCATACACTATGATTCAGGCTGCCTTCCCACTCTCACAGAGTCTCACTGTCAGCAGCATAGTACGCCGCGGCTATGTCAAATGCTGAAGCTAGTGGAATGCAACAATCAGTTACGGTTGGGTTACCCGGGTAAGAAACATGTCTGTAAACCATATGTAAGTTGTTGTTGATTCGCTATGGACTTTGACGTCGGACTGACAACTGTCACGGATCCCAAAGTCGACGTTCTTCGTGGCGCATTCCGGTAAATTTAACTTTGATTGGCATGACACACCGTTAATGCGTTTGATGACTATCCAGCACATCTTTTGGCTTGGCCTATCTCGACGAAGGCGTTTTACATGTCACTGGTGTGCTCGCACCTTTGTGACAGTAGTCTGACGATGGGCAGGCTTGCAAGATGTCATGCTCATCTCTGCATTCACCTCCGAGAGAGCCCAACGTCGTTTCTGAGGTGAGGTGATGCGCGAGTGCGGGTAAGCAACACCGTTGGATTTTGAATGGCGGGTGTGCCCGGTGTCGGTGCGGATGACCGCACCCTGTCTGGCTGGCCCAGTCTTCTATTCCTGCAGATCTTTAAGGTAGACGCAATTCAAAATTTCTCACAACTCTTATTGACTCAAATCTCCTTGCAGTTTAGTCATCCGCGATTCTGGTGTGCGAACGGAATCATCTTCTATTGTACTTGTTCTAACATGATATCTGAAGAAAAGGAGGGCCCACCTATTCGCCATTGAATTGGCGTCTCACGGTGGAGTCATCCGCAACGTCATGATAGCCAGTTTCCCGTCCCAAATTCAAGGCGCGCCACGTCGTAGTTCTCTTCGCATTGGGTGCATACTTATACTTCCCCCCCCCTGCATATGGGCTACTGTTTTTTTTCCTTGTGCCACCACAATGAACGTGAAAGATGAATTCGATGTGGATGCTGTCACCCGTGACGGGCTGGAGAACCTGGGCTACAAGCAGGAGATGACCCGGGTTTGTGCTTGTGCTTGTTCTTGTTCAATCTGTGTTTCATGCTCATGGTCGCTGCTAGTCTCGAGGACTAGTACATATATTGTTCAGTGAGTAGACTGCTCCCTTCGCTGTGTCGCAGAAATTAAACGCATCCAAACAAGTGACACTAGGTTAGTCTGACAGCTCGAGTGAAGACGCCCACTAAGCTATTGATGCAAATTAGCAATCATGGCAATCCGTACGTTTGAGCAACGATCTCAATCAACACCGCAACTTACCCTGCCGTAGCATATGGTCTTTCAGCTCCTATAGCGACTTCGCTCGTTGGAGGTGGTCCAGTGGTAATGATATGGGGGTAAATGTACCCTTTCCAACTTACCTCACACGCGTTTTGACATAGTGTAGATGGATCTTGGTGGCGGTCCTCACACAAACCCTCGCTCTTTCAATGGCCGAGATATGCTCCAAATACCCCACATCCGCAGGGACATATTACTGGTGTTATCAACTTGCATCCCCCCACACGAGGCTTCTTGCCTCCTGGATCAATGGCTGGCTGACAGTCGTTGGTGTGTGGACGGTTACTCTGAGTGTCACCTTTGGTATTTCTTCCTATGCATAACATCTCCGAGTATCATTGATGCAATTTCCTAGGAACTGCTGAACTTATTGTCGCTGGTGTCGGAATATATCTCCCGGAATGGAACGCAACAGCATCGGAAACATGCAAGCTTTCTTCCATGTAGCAACGTGTTCTTCTGACCAGTTCATGTTTCATTCTAGATATGATTTTCCTCGGGGTGACGGCTGTTGCCTGTGTATTCTGCCTATTCTTCAACAAGTACCTACCGACCATCGACGTAAGTACTTACCTGTTTGTTGCTCTGAAAGTATCACGTGTTGCCAGATTATTTGTGCTTGCTGGACTGGCTTAGGCATCATCGGTACGTTTTGCTGCAACTGATTGCCGTATATAGAGTTGAGTCGTTTGAAGTTACCTTGATATGCTTGTCCACCAAGGCCGCGGCAGGGCGTCGTCCTGTCTCTTTCGTGCTCGGGAACTTCGATCCATCATTTTCAGGATGGACGCCTGGGTGGTCGTTTTTCATCGGTCTATTGCCGGTATGGTTGCTGCCAGTTATTGATAACTATTACTTAATATTACTATATTGTATCCAAACAGCCAGGTAAGATGTTACCATTTATTTAGCAGTTGGATTCGAAGCTGAACCATGTCCTAGCATACACATTCTCTAGTATAGGCATGAGTATGACCCCGATGACCTTGACCAAGTTCTCTCGACTGACATCCAAAAACCAGTTGCAAACATGGCCGAAGAGGTTCATAACCCTTCTGAAATTCTTCCGAAGGCCATGATCTGGTCTATACCCATTGGCGCGTTATCTGGTGTGGCATTCCTTCTGTCAATTCTTTTCACGCTTCCGGATGTTGCTACATTGCTTCAAGGTCAGTTTCGCCCTAAGGGAATTCGGTGCTTCTGATGTACACACCTCAACAGTTTCTTCCGGTCAACCAATCGGTGTGATGTTTACTTTGATCATGGGCTCCAGGGCCGGTGGTTTTGGGTTGGTAAGTTTTTCATGACCTTTCATCCGGCGCTGCATCTCTGACTTGGCGGTATATCCAGTGGTCCATCAGTACGTCATGACTGCCAAGTAACCTAGCTTTCTCATACCACTTTCCCAAGTATTCGGTATCGGTATGTTTTGTGCAATCTCCGTATCCTGCGCCGCTTCTCGGGCAACATGGGCGTTCGCACGTGACAAAGCTATCCCATTCCATCAGTCCTTCTCCAAGATCAGCCCTCACTTCGACTGACGTCCCTGCCAATGCACTCCTGCTCTCCACCTTCATTCAGATTGTCCTTGGACTTATCTACCTCGTCTCCTCAGCTGCGTTCAATGCCTTCGCAGGGGTCGCCGTCATGTGTCTCGGGGCATCCTACGCCATGCCTGTCGCGATCTCGCTCTTGAATGCTCGACAAGACATGCACGATGCCCCATTCAATCTTGGCAGGTTCGGTACTGTGATCAATGCAGTTGCGGTGCTGTGGATCATGTTCGTCATCGTGCTGTTCTCGATGCCTGCTGTCATCCCAGTCACGAAGATTTCGATGAGTGAGTGGCTTTTTCCTCCGTTACTGGGCTGAGGCGCTGAATGGGGGTGGGTAGATTATGCTTCAGTCGTATTTGTGGGGTTTGGGATGATCAGTGCAGCGTGGTACATGATCAGTAGGTTCTTTGCTCTTCGTTTGGGAACTCGACTTGATTTCTGTGGTTCAGATGGCCGATTTTACTACAGAGGGCCTCCCACCCTGGAAGAACCAACAGGTTCCTCGGAATCCTCAGCCTCTGATCTGTCGGCCTCCCCACCTTCGAAGGAGATCTGAAAAACTGAAGGTCTGCTATGCCACATTCTCGGACTTGTTTTCAGCATTACCCACAACCTATCGTGGATTTTCTACTGTTAGCTAAGCTTTGATTTGCATGGATTATTCAAATTCCTTCCAAGTGGTTGTAAGAGGCATATTATAGAGGGTATGAGATTTAGTCTACATCATCCTCATTACACTAGATGCATCACCTCAGCCATCTGATCAATATTAATGTTGATGAACTGCACCCAAGCTTTAACCCCTTTGCACTATCATGCCAGATAAATTTGGACTCCTTGAATTGTGCCCTGAAAAATATGTACTGGGGCACATGTTGTCACTCTATGACGAAGCGAGGCACGAGTGAAGTCTTAGAGTTTGGTCTTTGGACGAGCGGAAGAAGCCGTCGGCTCTTGTTTCGGCTCTACCACTAGCAAAGCCGTCAACACATTTGTCGTCGAGCTCTTTTCTTTTCTTCAAACTAATACACCTTCCCTTTACTTAAATCTCTCAAATTTAAAACCATTCCTTTACCATCTCCTTAATCCTGTCATATCCCAGTACCTCCGGATCCGGAATTCTGGATCTACTTCATTAAAAGTCTGGTCCTCCGTCCTGCTATTCTGCCTGGCACTCCGCCTTCATCTCCGCACTCACCCCTAACTCCTTTTAGATTAGCTATTGCTCCGGTTACTGGTTATGTCCTATTCTGCTATGCTTACTGATCCATCCATTCTTACTTCATTTCCTGACTTCACTGCTTTGATCCGTTACACTTAGTAATAGACTTTCCACATGCTTTGTACATAGCCCTTACCTTTGCTGACTGATTTACTTACATGATACCTACAGTATATAAACCCCTGTAATACTCTGGAACTCCTTAGTTTGAATATCATCTTAGTTCTGCTCATTCCTGCAATCTCCGGACTTGAGTCTCACCTCTCATCCACCTCTGAGTCTTAGGGGTTAAACCTTAGGACTAATCCTCCAGCTCTACCTTAGGGTAGTCTAACCTCTGTTCTGTTTCTACTCCAGATTTCCAGTAGTAGCCTTACTCCGTCCTCACATAGTCTTCCGGAGTTCTGCTGAACTCCACTGACTTCTGTCCTCCTGGAATTCCCCAGACTTCCATTGGACTTCCCCTCTGTCCCCTGGAAATTAAGGGCACGTACTCGGGTAAGGGGCGCAGTGCACTGAGCTGAAGCCGAAGCCCTTTGAGTAACCTTCCCCTTGAGCATGACCTTAACAAATCCCCAACATGGCCCGTATTGCATCGGATCTAGTGCTGGACATTGAACCTGACTTTGTGTCTAAAACCTTCCAAGGCATAAGAAACTGCATCATCGGAAACACACAGGTAACCCATGACAAAGCCGCCAATGAGCTCATCACGGGCTGGCGGCAAGACCAAGACATCCGCCTCGCAGCATGGACCCTGCAAGTAAATGAACAAGCCCAGTTAACAGCAAAAGCAAACCAAGCTGGAACACGAACATACCGAGCAAGAACAGCTCGCCCAGGAGCAGGAAGCTGAAGATGAACGCTGAGAGGCTGAAAAGAAGAAACCAAAGATCAATGATTTTAAGGCAGGAGTTTCTGTTAATGATACTCTCACCCATTGCCCATCTCAATATGCCATTCACAAGCTCAAGTCTTTCGAGTGTGTCGAACTGTGGTACTTCAGCCCAGACAGCTGCAAGGACACCGCAGATGAAGCCAAGTCTTCAGCAGACAGCACATTTGGATTTACAAAAGTCAATGACTTCGTAGCATTAAAGGCAGTCACTGCTTTCAAACCCTCTCGCAAGGCCATCCAAGACCATAGTCTTGAGTGGAGACAGTTTGACATGGCAAAGAATAGCTTCTTGTTATACATCAATAAACTGAACTGGTTGGAGAAGCACCAATGCACTATCACCATGTTTTTCATGAATGTTGTCTCCCACCCACAATGCGCTGAACCCTTCGGCAAACATGCTCTACTCCTTTATGCTGCCTGTGTCCACTGGGATTGGCATGACACCCTTACCCTGGACAACACCTTCGACATCGGCGTTTTCAATGCCATGCTGTTGAAAAACCTAACCAAAGAAGTTTGGAACAAATCTTGCATTGAAAGCCTGACGGAGGTATGTACCCCTCCTCAATTAAAATCTTTGAATTCTAATTATTCTTTCTTGTCCCTCTCTGCCACAAAACATGCTACCACCGCTTCTGCTTATGCTCCCACCTGTTAGATACCGTGCTGACTCAGGAAGCAGAGGGGTCGGGGCTTGGCTTCAGCTCTTGCGCTGCTGCCCTTAGCCGAGTACGTGCCCCAAATTTGGAGCGGGTCCAACATTGTCCGACGGTAGGATAATTGGACTGCTTTGGTCCACTCTGAGGGTCGGGGAGTAAGAGCTACTAGCGGTGGGCCAACTAGGAGCGGAGCGGAGAAGGCGAGGAGTGATGCGGAGAGGGGATAGGAGCAGGGGAATGTTGGTAGGGGTGGGAAAGGTGGAGGATAATGCAGAGGGGCGAAGGGGGATATTTGATAGGGGTGGAAGTAATAAGGGGAAGACTTAGAGCACTGGCTCTAAGTCGGAGCGGAGGGTTGGAGGGTCAGGAGGTGACAACAAGTTGAGACTTGTGTCCAGAGGAGGCAAGGTTCTACTGAGAATTCTCACAGGATATAACTGCGAGAAGACAAGTAATATTAAGACCGAGGAAAAATATCTAAGTACATGATATGTTATATACTACTATGTGTGAGGCAGTGATCAGGATAACTATGCAGTAAAGCTATGTACCAAGGATATAGTTTGTAAGTATTTTACATAGGCGAAGACATAAGTCAGGGTGGATATCAATATGTATGCGTTGGATCAGCAATTGAGCGGTAATAGGAATTACCTGGCCATCCAGAAGTAAGGGTCTATGTACCAATAGGGAAGGCATATATCTAAAAGGGGAAAGAGCTCCAGTTGGATGGAGAGGTTATGGAAGGGGACTGGTTGAGCGGTTGAGCGGAAGTGTAGGGCGGAATGCAGACTTGTGATTGGACAGAGCGGAGGATGAACAGGGTGGAGGGGTTGGAAAGCAGAGCGGATATCAGTATCGGAGCTGGTCGGATCAGGTATATGACACCACCAATGCTTCCGCTTCCTCTTCCTCCACCACTTCCACTTCCACTCACACCCTCTCCATCACTTCCTGCTTCCCCTACAACACTCCCACTCCCGACCCCATCCTTGCTGCCACTGCTACTCATCTCCTCCTTAAATACTGTCCCTGGTGTCTCCTACCCCACTTCCCTCTCTGAATCAAAACCCTGCTTCCTCAACCCAGCTCCAGCTAGCAATGTCAGCCCAACAGAAAATGCGGGACTCACAGACTCCATCCCAGTGCACCACCAATCTTGCATGCCACCTCGTCAGACACGCTCCCACTCTCATTCTCCTGCTTGAAACCCCTCAGGATGCTTGCCACCTCACTGCTGCCTCCCCCAGTCAGCAACCGGCCCCAACAAGATAACAAACAAATGGGACAAGACAGGCAGTCTTTTCAGAGCAGCGCAGCCCCGACTGGCCTTCACGCCTGTGCTTTATGCCTCAGCCACTTCACACACAATGTCCACAAGTGCAAGAGCAAGTTCCTCTGGGACAACAAGACACCAACCTCCTGCTGAAGAAGCCCAGAGGGATGCCTCATCAACACCCAAGGCTTACAACTGTGCTACGACTGGCAATGCCCCAATGGTTGCTCAAGCACCAGCAAGGACCACATCCACAATTGCTCTGGATGTGGAAGCTCGGATCATGGCGCTCAAAAGTGTCCTCGAGGCCAGGAAGCTTAGCGCTCTCACACCATACCATGCCAATGCCTGACACCTTTTACTTATTAAATCCGGACTCATTCTTACATACCCAAGCATACCTCATTCTTTACAGTACGGTTTTACTGGTAGCATACCTCCCATCACATCTACTTACATTCCACCTAATAATCCATCCATTCGACGAGCACGCCGATGCTTTCGCCTCAATCCTCGATCAAGAATTTAGCTTGGGACAGTACCTGGGTCCTCTTTCACAAGCTGAAGTTGAGGCGCTCATCGGACCATTCCAAACTGCGTCGCTATCTATTATTCCCAAGCCAGGGAAACCCAGCAAATTCCACATCATCCAAAACTTATCGCATAGCTCTTCCTCTCTTATACACCCCATATCCTCCATTAATTCCTCTATTGACTCAAACCTCTATCCCTGTACTTATGGTACATTTGCTACTATATGCTTACTGGTATGGCACCTACCCCCAGGCTCTCAAGGAGCAACATGCGACGTGGCAGAGGCATACAGAACCATTCCCCTCCACCTGTCCCAATATGTAGGTCTTGTCGTCCACACAGGCAAGGACCTCTTTGCCATTGATATGAGCTTCTGCTTCGGCTGCTCATCAGCAGCCAGATCTTACAGGGGACTTGCAGATGCAGGGCGCTGATATCTTCCTGCAGTGAAGGGATCAGCCCCCTGTCAAAGTGGGTCGACGACCACTTATTCTTCCACATATTATGAGAGTACCTGGGAAAATACAATGAACAGCACAAAGCTTGGGCCTGGAGCATCCACGACCAAGGTGGTCTCCATACAGATGGTGGTCAAAAGTGGTATCGAGGTGCCACTCTACCAAACAACCAGCCAGAAGAATATGACAAAGACTGTGCTTTCCCCATCCTCAATCTCTCCCAAAGATCAGCACAGTCCACCGAAGACTGTCAAATTCTCTTACTGCATGGACAACATCAACTCCATATCTACCAAGACAGGCACCCTGTGGGAGATCTCCAAGGACATTTCATTTCGCTCCAGCCCACCATTCATGGGCTTCACTTGGGATCTTGACAACCGCACCATTGAGATCCCAGACAGCAAAAAGAAAAAATACCTGGAAGCCATATTGGCATGGGAATCCCAACCCTGCCACAGTCCTACTCGAAGTACAGAAACTCCATGGCAAATTACTTCACGCTTCGCTTGTCATTCCTGCAGGTAGAGCCTACATCACCGAATTGGAAGCCATGCTCTCCATTTTCGGTGCCCATCCTCTCAGTGCCTCATACCCCACCTAGAAATTGTGCTGCTGACCTTAGATGGTGGTCCACGACTCTTCACCAACCCTCCATCAGCAGGCCCATGCCAGGCCCCTGCATTCGTCACTGACCCCAACGCCTTCTCTGATGCTAGCTCAGGCGTGGGCGTCACAATTTGGATCAACGGATGGTGGCGCGCCTAGGTGTCTCTTACCAGGATGGAAAGCCGACAGCCGCTGACATCGGCTGGGCTGAAGCTGTCAGGATTCAAGTTCCTCGTCCTCAGTATCATACAAGCCTCCCAACCCAACCTGGTCCCTTGCTTCAAGGTTTACAGAGACAACAGAGGAGTTGTGGAAGGATGGTGGAAGGGCCTGCAGCCGCAACTGCCCCACCAACTCTGTCTTCAAGCACGTTCACAATGCCACTCAGTCTGCTTCATGTCGTGTCCTCACACACTATGTCCCTAGTGCTCTCAACCCTGCAGACGGCCCATCACATGGAAGATACCCTTCTTGCACCCTTCTTTTGCCCCCCCATTCCTATCCCTCCCGCTTTCAGGGACTTCATCACCAACTTTGACACCCCTCTACAGACAAGCGAGTGCACAAGTCCCCATCGCCCTATTGCGGTTCTCACGCCCCCCAAAGCGCTGTCCTATCTGCCAAGACACTGAGCGAGCCCTCGAGAACCGAACACTCGAGTGGCAAGGAGAAGAGCTCTTCCAAACATCGCAAGTATAGTACGTTCCCACTTGTCCTGAAAGAACATACAGATACCACTCACTAACCCGCACCAGCTCATCTGCCTGATCTCAACCCACTGCCCTCCACGTTAGGCCCGCATTGCACAGCAAAGCACCACCTTCACCTCTGGGTTCCACTCTCATCAAGGTCCAGACCAAGCTCCCTCACAATGGACGACATATCCCACATCCAGGATGCTAATGTGCCATGCATGGGCCAAAAGCACCCACAAGTCATATGGCTCTGGCCTCCTCAGTATACCATGTATATTACGATTCTCACACAATCCCAGAACTGGACTGCACCCCCGCCTCCTCAGTCCTCATCGCTGCTTTCATCACCTTCAGTAGCCGGCTCATACTCGGGAAAAATGATCTCAAACTACGTGATCAGGTGTTCAAGCATGGCACATCCTCCATGGCCTAGACTGGGCCCCTCAACGATGTACAAATAGAAGCCCTACTCAAAGCTTCAGAAAACCTCATGCCTCACACTTCGAAACACAAGAAGCATCGACCTTACACCATCAAATTCATCTGTTCACTTCGCAACCAACTAAACCTAGACTCACCGTTGGATGCCTCAGTCTTCAGCTGCCTGACAACCGCCTTCTACTGCACTGCTCGGCTAGGAGAGTTCACAATTCCTACTCTCCCCTCATTCAATGCAGAAATTCACATTAAACCATCAAATATGTGCATCAAACGAGACCTGCAACAACCTCGAAATGAGGGTCTTTCGCATTCCCCACATGAAGACCTCTAGAGAAGGCGAAGATGTATCCTTTGCATGCCAAAACGGACCTTCAGATCCCAAACAGGTGCTCCTCCAACACTTAGAAGTCAACAGACCCCCTCCCAGAGGGCCCCTGTTCGCATATCACTTCAAAACCTGGCCACCGCACATTAACAAAACAGAAATTCATCAGCCATCTAGCCCAAGCTGCCAGAGCAGGAGGCATGGATCCCTTGGCAAGGTCACAGGCATCCGCATAGGATTCACGCTCAAATATTTACTTTGCAACATCCCCTTTGAAGTCGTGAAAACCAAGGGACGCTGGGCTAGTGATGCTTTTCAGCTATATCTCTGAAAGCACGCGCAAATCATGGTGCCCTACATGCAAGCTATCCCAGACATTCACTGAAGAATTTGTTCACTTCTCAATGCCTAGCAACCCTTAGTACTTTGCCTTATGGTGAGTCCCCTCCCTCCTACTTTGACGGGTATCCACGGCTTTGCTGCGATGCATCGTCACGGACTCCTACTTGTTCGAGGGGATTCACAGCTCACCTCTTTTTCCTGGGCAGATCTCCAATCAGGGCCAGTTAGTGCTATGTGCTTTTGCCCATTAGCTTAGTACTCGTACCATGCCTTGTAGTTCCTGTCCCAAATATATTTGTTCCATGAATATCCTCATTATAAAGCGATAGAGCAACAACCAAAGACTACTTCAATCATAGGCATGAGTTTCGGCAAATTCTTATATTACAAGCCAAGGTCGAGCCAAGGCTGGCCTATTTGATCTATCCCAGGTATCATTGAAAGGATACTGGAGATGACTGAGATTGGGGCAGCCTGGAAGCTCTTGTCTTTTGGCAATTGCGATTAGTGTAATAGTAGTTAACGTACATAACAGTTCAATGGGCCTAGTGGTTCTGTTGGTCATAGACAGGGGTTTAAATTTATAATATTTCCTATTAGTAGGAGTGAACCTTCATCAGTAAAACGACCGGTTGCTTTTCTCACTTAATTTGTCACTTAATTACGTGAAAAGGAGCATTAAGTCATTTGAGAGTGAAAAGTGTGAGTCACTTTATTAAGCCCACTCAATCTCTGAATTTTCGCTTTTTGCACACTTAATTCACTTAAAAAAACCAGAAAAAGCGGAAAAAGCATGTCATGAAAAGGGGTAGTATTACACATGAAAAGCTAATTAAGGAGACTCCCAAAAAGGGGACTTGCAGGGATAAAAGAGCAATAGCGACTCGGATATTCATGTAGATACAATGAAAACAAATCCTGTAGTAGTCATGGATGTCAGTACTAGTAGAATGAAACCTAAATAACAAAAACTTATGTGGCTTGCTGTCAGCGACAGGAGACTGAGGGGGAGAACATATTGCAGATGTACTGCACAGCAAGCGCGATATGCAGTAGGGTAAGTGTGGTGCTGGAATGACAAGGCGACTGAGGGCGTTCTAACGCATCCAGAATCGAGGGAAACGGCACAGATACGGGCAAGATATGGTCAAAAGTGTGATAAAGGAGGGGGAGAACACATTGCAGGTGTACTGCACAGCAAGCGTGATGTGCGATAGGGTAAGTGTGGTGTCGGAATGACGAGGCGATCGAGGGCTTTCTAACACATCCGGAATCGAAGGAAACGGCGCAGATATGGGCGAGATATAGTCAAAAGTATGATAAAGAGCCAGAACTGAGGGGGAGAATGCATTGCAGGTGTACTGCACAGCAAGCGCGATGTGCGGTAGGGTAAGCGTGGTATTGAAATGACGAGGCGAATGAGGGCTTTCTAATGTATCCGGAATCGAGGGAAACGGCACAGATACGGGTGAGATATGAGCTAGATATGACTCTGATAAGGTTGCAAGGAGGGGAAGATGAAATACACACTGTGAGAGGAGAACTGCACTGATTGTGTCGAGTAAGGGCTTGAAATGATGCTGACGAATGGGGCTTTCGAACTGCTAGAAAATGGTAGACATGGCTGAAGAGATGAGGTTATGAGTCACAAAGGATAATACTTTTGCTGGGGCGAGAAGGAATGGGTTTGAAAGTTGAAAAACTCGTAAGCCCCAAAAAAGTATCGACTTGCACACACTAATCGGACTTTCAAGTTGTTACATAGTACATCGAACTTATTCATTTTCGGCACCACATCCTCCCCAACTGCTGCATCTGCTGCCACTGGCACTTCGATGTGGTACATATCAGACTAATTGCTGTCAATCGCATCAGCAATCAATGATCTACACAGCATGTAAGTTACTTACAGGATTTTGAGGGCCCATCTGCAAAGTTTTGATGGCATTAAGATGTATATGTGAGTCAATAGTGTTTTAGTTTCGAGTTCAAGATACTTACTCGATAATTGGTGTCTACTGGCAGTTTCTTTTTTTGGACAATATAGGTGACTCTTACTAGTACAACAGTATATACGACTCTTAGTAGTACTACTTATTGTGCTGAATTCACTTTTTTTAATTATCTAACTTGCGAGTTTGAGATGCACTGAATTTGCTTTTTCAAAAGTGTACTAAGTTGAAAAAGCAATGTTTTTAGCTACTTCGCTGAAAATTAAGTAACATAAGCGGGAAAAGCAACCGGTTGTTTTACTGATGTTGTATCCATACTAGCATGGAACACCTCAAGCACAGAACTTAGTACCAAGTACTACTTGTAAGTCAGTCTCTCTAACTGTTTTCTAAAGATCCAAAAGCCACTTGCTTCTGCTAGTTTACGATACCATTGCTGATCAACAACTTGAAGGTGCAGTATCATATAGGGTGCGAACAGAATCAACTTCACACAAGTTGTCTTCACGCTTATATCAAGGATGCGCATGGCACTACTCATAGACGCTGACAAGGTGTTGCTCTGTGGTATATATATATAGCCTAGCGTCCCGTGGAGGCCTATCCCCAAAGTGCATCAATATGAAAGGCAGTTTCCCTTCCCCAGGTGGAGGTGTGCCACGGGTTCTGTTCGCATCCGTTGCACACGCTTCTCCCTTGCATATCGGTTCCCGCTTTCTTTCCTTGTGCCATCACGATGAGCTTGAAAGACGACTTCGATGTGGACGCTGTCGCCCGTACCGGGCTGGAGAAGCTAGGCTACAAGCAGGAGATGACCCGGGTTTGTGCCTATTCTTGTTCTGATTTGATCCGAGTTTCATGCCCATGGTCGTTGCTAGTCTCGAGGCCTAGTACATATATTATTCAGTGAGTACAGTGCTCCTTTCGCTGTATCGCAGAAATTGAATGTTTCCCAACAAGTGACGCTAGGTTCATCTGTCAGCTCGAGTAATGACACTCTCTAATCGATTCATCGATTTAATTAGCGATCATGGCAGTCCGTACGTTTGAGCAGCGATCTCGATCAACACCGCGACTTACCCTGTTGTAGCATATGGTCTTGCAGCTCCTATAGCGACGTCGCTCGTTGCAGGTGGTCCAGTGGTGATAATATGGGGGTAATTGTTCCATTTACAACTTACCTCACACGCGGTTTGACATGGTGTAGATGGATCTTGGTGTCGGTCCTCACACAAACCCTCGCTCTGTCACTGGCTGAGATATGCTCCAAATATCCCACATCCGCAGGGGCATACTACTGGTGTTATCGACTTGCATCTCCACGCACGCGACTACTTGCCTCCTGGATCAATGGCTGGCTGACAGTCGTTGGCGTTTGGACGATTGCTCTGAGTGTCACGTTTGGTATTTCTTCTCATACATAACACCTCCGAGCATCACTAACGCAAGTTTCCCAGGAACTGCTCAACTTGTTGTTGCTGGTGCTGGAATATACCACCCGGAATGGATCGCAACAGCGTGGCAAACATGCAAGGCTTCGTCCATATATCGACGTGTTCTTCTACCTGACCTATTCTACTAGATGTGATTTTTCTCGGTGTGACTGCTGTCGCCTGCCTATTCTGCCTATTCCTCAACAAGTACCTACCGACCATTGACGTAAGTCCCGCCTATTGACATTTTTAAAAACTCATGTGTTGCCAGATTATTTGTGCTTGCTGGACCGGCTTAGGAATCATCGGTATGTTTTGCTGCAAGTGGTCCCCCTCAGCTGAGTTGAGTCGTTTGAAGTGATCTTGATATGCTTGTCCGCCAAGGCCGCGGCAGGGCGCCGTCCTATTTCGTTCGCACTTGGAAATTTCGATCCGTCTTATTCAGGATGGACGCCTGGGTGGTCTTTCTTCATTGGTCTATTGCCGGTATGATTGCTGTTAGAGATTTAAACTCTTACTCAATGCTATCGTAATCTATCCAACAGCCTGGTGAGAGGTTATCATTTATCGAGTAGTAGGATTCGGAACTGAACCATATCCTAGCATATACATTCTCCGCTATAGGCATGAGTACGCCTCCAATGACCTTGACCAAGTTCACTCGACTGACATCCATAAACCAGTCGCAAACATGGCCGAAGAGGTTCATAACCCTTCTGAAATTCTTCCGAAGGCCATGATCTGGTCTATACCCATTGGCGCGTTATCTGGTGTGGTATTCCTTCTGCCGATCCTTTTCACACTCCCAGATGTTGCTATACTGCTTCAAGGTTAGTTTCGCCCTAGGGGAACTCAGTGCTTCTGATGTATATACGTCAATCAGTTTCTTCCGGTCAACCAATCGGTGTGATGTTTACTTTGATCATGGGCTCCAGGGCTGGTGGTTTTGGGTTGGTGAGTTTTCCGTGACCGTTCATCCGGAGATACGTATCTAATTTGACGGTATATTCAGTGGTTCATCAGTACGTTGCAACCGGTCTCTGCGAAGTAGCTTAGCTTCTCATTCTACTTTCCGTCCCAAGTATTCGGTATCGGTATGTTTTGCGCAATCTCCATATCTTGCGCCGCTTCTCGGGCAACATGGGCGTTCGCACGTGACAAAGCTATCCCATTCCATCAGTCCTTCTCCAAGATCAGCCCTCACCTCGATGACGTCCCTGTCAATGCACTCCTGCTCTCCACCGTCATCCAGATTCTCCTTGGACTCATCTACCTCGGCTCATCAGCTGCGTTCAACGCCTTCGTGGGCGTCGCTGTCATGTGCCTCGGAGCATCCTACGCCATGCCTGTCGCCATCTTGCTCTTGAATGGCCGGAAAGACATGCACGATGCCCCATTCAACCTTGGCAGGTTCGGTACCGTGATCAATGCGGTCGCAGTGCTGTGGATCATGTTCGCCATCGTGCTGTTCTCGATGCCCGCAGGTCATCCCAGTCACAAGAGTTTCGATGAGTGAGTGACTTTGTCTTGTGTGAGTGGGTTGAGGCGCTGAACGGGTATGGGTAGATTATGCTTCGGTAGTGTTTGTGGGATTTGGGGTGATTAGCGCATTGTGGTATTTGATCAGTAGGTTGTTTGTTTGCCCTTTAGAACCTTGCTTATTGGGGTTCAGACGGCCGGTTCTACTATACAGGACCACCAATCACGGAAGAGTCCGCGGGTTCCTCGGACTTTAATCGGTCAGACTCCCCATCCTTCGAAGGAGAATTGAAAAGCCGAAGGTCCTGTATGTCATAGTTCCCAGTCTATTACAGCATCATGCACAACGTGTTTTACAAAATGCCTTTGACTACCTTGCGCCAGCTTTAATTGCATTCAAACTCCTTCCTAAGTAGTGATGATAAGTATTAGACGGTATGAGATATCATACAAAAGGTGTCAGCAGAAAACATGGTATAACGATAGCAAGCACAGTGAAATGATAAGGTTCAAGGGGTCTCACTAGGCACGCAGTTTCGGAATCACCTTGACCATCTGGTCAATGTTGATGAACTGCACCCAGGCCTCTAAATCCTTCGCATTATCATGCCAAATAAATTTAGGACTCCTTCGTGCCCCTGAAAAACGCGCACGCGCACTGATACGACTCTTCGAGCATGACCCCGCCCATGCGTTGTACGCCGAGTTGCGCCTTGAACACGCGGAATTCCCACCCCTGCAGCGGGTGGTCAGTCGCCACGCGCAGACTCGGAGGGAATATTGAATTCGAGGCGTGACCAGTCGAAAGCGGTGCTCTGGCCAACGGCTTTGATGTACGCCGCTTTGAGCGACAGGAGGATGGAGAGGCGCCGGAGGACGACATCGTCCCCAAGTTCAGGGTTGAGGAAGGTCATCTCTAGCGGGGTCAGCTATGGCGAGTTGCCTGTCAGCCTTGGTGACGTTTTATGCCTGCCTTAGGGCTTACTTTATGTGCGAAGGACTCAGCGTAAGCTGCTACTGAGACGCCTTTGGGCTCTACGGATATTTGTTTGATGCCCAAACCGATATTTATTACTTGACGCTGCCGTCCCTGCGTCATCACCATGCCGCAGAGTGAGTTGTCAGTATGCAAGGTGGTATCCAATCATGGATTGGAGGAATTTTTCTGGGGGCATGTCATCCGGTGACTGGAAAATACAATAATCGTCAATAATGTTACACCGCTTAGAGTCGGTAACGGGCACCCACCTGCTCGATCCAGTGCTTGCCATTCGAAGTAACGCAGTCCTTCCATTTTGCACGAGATATTCGTCGGTGGCGCATCATAAGCAGCGGTAACATGTGGCAAATTAGCTGTCCTGCTGAGCATCAGAACCCGGACCAAGCGAGTAGTGGAGTGCGCTCACGGAAAGAATCTATAGAGGTAGGCTGGTACGGCAGCCTGGCATGAGGGACGCAATCCTGCACAAGGTGGAAACACTTGTCGTACTCCTGCAGAGACAAAGTCAGACGTTGGTTTATCAGGGACAACGCGCCTAACCTCCGTCAAGACATCACGGTTCAGTGAGAGCATCCAGACGAGAAGTGGGCAGTCCATGGCCATTGTTTTACAGAGTCTGAGGGAGAATTCAAACAGGTTTATTACTACAGGCTGTGGGGTAGCGAATGAATGATTGCGTGCAGCGCACCTGGGTATGAAGTTGGGCCTACTTGGGCAGTAAATTACAGAATTCCTGGATAGCCACGGTACAAGTCTTCAAGTTTGTCTAGGAAGGAGGGTGGAAGCTACGGAGGATACACAGCAATTGCGCACGCCCTGGCACAGTTGGCTCATTATAAGGTGTTCACTAGCCTAACAAGCAAACCGCACCATTTAGGTAGCCACGTGGGGCCACCGGAATTCTGCTTTTTTCTTTTCATCTTTTTTTCTGATGAAGTTTCGTTTCACGTGAACACCTCGAAGGCACTCGAAAAAATCTCATCGGCCGTGCTGATCAGACTACGTGATTGACATCTATCGTTGAAAATGCTCGGAGATGAAGGATGTTACTTTTGGCTTATCTCTTGGGTCTGCACTCGACCGCGTGTTCCATGTTGAACTGCGCTGTCCCCATCGGTCAGATCTCATTCCAGAAGGCTGTCATCTAGAGGGACATGTCATCCCATGATTCCCACTCGCAGTTTGAACTCCAGCGCTCCCCGTTACGGGGTATCAAATACTAGCTATAATACACTCAGGTAGAAGAGGGTCACTGAATACCCAATGCAAACAGGCTGGGTCAATCTCCTGCCTGCAGAGCACCCAAATGATTTACTCCACTATCTGCTCGGCTGGAAAGTTTAGAAGCTGCATGCACTTGATGCATGTATGATAAAAAGCACCTAAAATGGTAAGATAGGGTAAGATGGCTAGCTGCATGCATTATCCCCAAGTTCCAAGTAACCACGTTGTTTTAGAAGCAAAGTACAGGGATTTACGGCGACTTACTCCTTCATTGAAACATCCCCGCCGCCGCCCAATAGTTCACCCACTGTACTGCATCTGCCGACGACAGCGGCTCTAGCTCCTTGACCGTCGGACTGACGCGCTGAGCCACTTCCGTGGCAAATGGAGGAAAGCTACCCGCTTCTGAGCGCATCTCGCCAGACGCCCTGATTGCGATGTCTGATCGAGTTATAGAACGCATGAAGTCCAGAAGCTTGATAGCAGGCTGCAATCGAAGATCGGGTGGGAAAACGTTCTGCTAACCGTTGAAACGCACGTACGATGCACTGGATATTTTCCTCGCTCGCAGTCCTTGGCACTCGATTCGAGCTTTTCAAGCCACTTCGAGAATGGAACGAGAGGCAGCGGGATACTTGTGACCTTATACCTAGCCATGGCGTCCGCAATAGGCCGCATTACTGCCCCCCACGTTATCGGTCTCGGATGCACGAGATTAACCGCAACGGGAGGTTTTTCTTCCGCGAAAGCCACATCAAGAATAGCATTTGATACGGCGTGGGGAGGGATCCAGGTTAGAAGCTAGACCGTGTGTCATTGATGGGTACCCCCTGGGTACCTTTGGGAAGGATGCATATATCTCAACTTACCCACTGGGCTTCAGGAAGCGCACCTAGACTAACACTCGACTTAACGATGATCGGCAGCCATTCCGTTGTTGACCAAGCTCCTCGTGGGGGCCCTCCAGTTATTTGCCCGATTCTAAATGAGGTTGCCGGCAACTTGCTGTTCACGAGGACCTTGTTGACGGCATTGTTCGTCAGAGTTGGATACTCCCCCAAAGCAGCATGCAACTTACCCTTTCACAAACGTATTTGCTTGCGCTGTAGCCCAAGCCTTCTGCGACTACGCCCGCATCGTACTGCACTTCTTCCGGGAAAGGTCCCTTTGCTCTATCCCAGCCTTGAGCAGTTGAAATAGAAGAGGTGAACATGAAACGTGGCTTTGAGTGGCGCGGAGAAGATAATGCGAGGTCTATAAGATTCCGCGTTCCCCGTACTTGAGGCTCCAATGATGACAGCGCCAGGTTGAAGTCGAGTCGCCAAGCGTTGTGAATGATGATGGTGACAGACGCGCAGATCTACATTGTGTTGAGAAGTCTATTATAGTCAGACTGGCAATGAAGCAAACCTTCTGATACAGATCCTTATCCAGACCCAGGTCATCATGAGAGGTATCAGTTGTTACGTACACCAGTTTCTCCGACTGCAGAAGGGTAACATCCAAACCGCGACCGTCGAAACCACTTTTCTGTCGTTGTTCGATGGATGCCGCGTCCTTTGATGGACGATTGAAGGCATATACCACAGCCACGTCCTCGCGCTGAAGCAGAGATGAAAGCAGGTATGAGCCGAGACCACCCGTGGACCCAGTCAAGATGACCACATGACCGCCTTGAGTGCGTCCGTCAACCAGAGTGACGGAGTTATCTTTGGCAGAGCTCCCAAATCCGACTGAATACTTCTCAATCATATTCTCGATACAAGTCTTGGCATCGACAGCGCTTGGACAATTTCGCGGTGATACTGCACTGATGACGCTCCTCGCGAGCTGGCGAATCGAAGGATTTGAAAAAATGATGTTCTGGTCGATTCGTGATGCTGATATCTGGACGTCGTGATCTTGTGACGACCTGAGGGAACCGAGGATGCGGTTTCTGAGGAATGTCGCGGAGAGACTGGAGGTATGGGGTCAGCAGAGCACAAGCGTTGATCCCCCTTCAACCCACCTGTCGAAGCCTTGAGCAAAAAAGTCAGCATCAGGATCGACGGACTTGTCGGCGTTCACAGCAGCGGCGTGAACCATGAGCCAGTTCTCGACGTCGTCCGCAGTCCAGTTCGTAGGCAAAGGCACATCAATGCCTGCTCTGGTGCTGCCCTCTACCTTTTCGTATCTGTCGCCCATAAATGTCACGTTCGCGCATTTTAGCGGATGTATGATGTACTCACAAGGTATTGATCTCTTCCTCATACCACTTGACGGTTGCTTTCTTAGTTACAGTTCCCTTTCCAGCTCGAAGCATGGGCTTCTCGCTGCGTGTCACGAGAACCATCTCCTTAAAGATCCTGCTGAAGGTAGGAGCCTCTTGATTCGCTTCCTCTATGTCCGGCCTTCACGGGCATCGTCAGACTCGGCGGCAGCAATTTTGTAGGACGAGCTTACCATACGCGATTCCTGAACTCAGCAAGCTGTTTCTCGTCATCGACGTCGATTTCATGCCCCTGGTCGTGGCTCTATGAGGATTCCGACGTGGTTGCGTCCACGGCCGAACATGACCGTGCCGTTCACACAGGGGTTGGCGCCGATGATACTCTCCATGGGAGCTGGTACTGTCTTTTCTCCAGACGAGAGTACCAATACATCATCCATCCTTCCTACGCTGCAAGGAAATAATCAGGAAGTGCATGAACGTAAATAACACCCGTTTCAGTCTTACATCTTCCACATACCCTCGACCGTCGGATGCTTGATAAATACATCCGAAGAGGCAAACCCCTTGATGTCCGGGAGATTTTCTACTGACACTTGATGCGTCGGAATTGTCTGCGAGGGAGCGTTCAACAGCTGAGAAGGAGTATGAAGACTTTTGACCTACCAAAACTTGGCATTCATATGTACCATCGTCCTGAGGAACCCACCTGATCTTTGAGTTTGGTCCAAATCGCACCCAGTCCCACAGCTTTTGCTCGACCTCGTTTCGGAAGAAATATGTGATGTCCCCGAATTCTGTAGCACCGTAAAGAGAAGACAGCTTGACCCCTGCATCCACCAATCTGTTTCCTATCTTAGGTGCGAGCGGACCGCCAGCAAAGACCTGTCATTAAAGACATAGTGAGCCATTCCGTATCGGAATATACTATTAATAATGAACTTGTGACATACAACATATTCTAGCGGCTTCAAGATATTGACAGCATTCGACGATAACACCCATTGCTCCAGGAAGCTGGGCACGACCACTATAGCATTCGATTTCGTTTTGACTACAGAGTCCAAGATATTTTGCGCGTTGGGTATTATAGGGGCCGCCGAAGGGTCTTGGAAGGATGTGGGTGGGTAGATAGACACACTACTCAGGGAGGCGACCGGCATGAGTAGCTGAATATATAAACCAAGGATATGAAATGATGGCAAGGACGCAGAACCAACGCGGATTGGACGAGGAAACTCGATCTGGTCGAGAATGCATGCTAATAATCATCTTAGATTTTCATGTCGCACAAATTGTTTCACTGACTTACGGCTTAAGCACCAGTGGATGACAGTCAGGTTAGTAATCGGAATGGGTTTCGGGAAGCCAGTGCTGCCCGAGGAATGTAGGTAAAATAGTATATCGTTCTCAGACGGCCGTGAAGCTGGGGAAGGATATGGGAGAAAAGCCTTGTTTGGAGAACCCCTGGCGAGTTCGGGGTACAGGTCTTTTAGCGCCGGGAACTCGTCGATCTGCAGCTGACTCCTTTCAGTGTCCTGAGACACGAAATCCGCTGTGATCCCATCAATCAGGGTACCGAGATTTTGGCGAGTCGTCATCAAACGATGGCAGTTTGTTTTCTGCATCATGTTGACCACTGCCGCTGCTGAATTACGTGGGGACATGGGGAATGGCTTAAAATAACTGTGATCAGAAAGCTGTTTAAGAAAAGCATTCACATACAAGCAACCCAGATAAGATGATACCCATGAATACTGTCTGGTACAGGAGGGTGTCTGTATTCCCAATAAGGGCGACGATTTCTCTGTCTGCGCCTGCACGATCTGGTCTGATTCGCTGGGCGGCACGATGGCAAGCTTGATAGAAGTCCAAGTGGGAGATAGACACTAATTCATCGCTGCCAGGTTTGTCATAGACAAAGAAAATGACATCCGAATTATGCTGCGCATTGAATTCCAGCAATTCAGGGAGTAACAGAGATCCATCAAGGGGAGGATATGCATGGTGTGAAGAAACCATGGTGAATACTATTTTTACAGTGGTGCAAGTTGACCGTTGGGAAGAAAGAAGTGGGTGAGAATGGAGGCGGAAGAGAGTATTTATGTTGTCACGAAGAAGAGTCTTTTTAAGAAAGGGGCACGATAGCGGAAGCTTCATTACGCCCGAGCCTGAACCCTCAAAAAGAAATGTTTGCTCACTGGATGAGGTATTTAAAAGCAGCTTTTGCCCGTCAGGTTACAGCACTACGGGCAAACAACGAACCTAGTATTTATGAAAGAGCAAGTGTCAGCCGTCGTCTGGAAGCGTAGCACCATAGTGCATGAGGTATCTCCCCCCACCCGTGCCTCACGTGTGTTGGAGTAAACGAGCTGTTATTGCGATTTGTAACTGCTGGAATGGATGGCATTAAAACGACACCTGAGGGCTATGAGGAATACAACCTTTGTGGATACTCGGAATCCCTCTTAGTTGACTGTTCATGAACGCCTTCAAAGTCACGGGAATTATGGCCCCGCCAACCTTTGATTTGAAATCAACATTGTAACGCACCATCATCATGGTGGCTAAATAACGACCGCATCTAACCCTTCCATACTGCAGAGGTCATAAATCAGGGAGGAGGGAAAGCACACCTATAGATCTAAGTCGTCCGTGGAGTTCAATGTTGCCAATTTGTTGATGCCTTGTAGCAGTCAGAATATTCTCATGGTGAAGTGCAGGTGCTCATCTTGCCACTGGGGAGATGTGTGTGTCCATGAGGTAGTTTCGCGATCCAATCCTAGTCCATCACGTCTCTTCATGTAGAGCCTAGCTTATATGATACGAAAAATAGCTGAGGGACCAGGTGTAGGTACAACTTAGTATTACTAAGCAAAACAAATATAGCTTGATCGCTCTGTGTGCGGCCGCTGTCCATGACTCATCAATATCCTTGACCCATTCGTCTCCGATCTGCATGATAAGTGAGTGGTACCTGAAATTATCCACAGGTACAATACTGTACAATATTGTATTCGGATCTTTGTTTTAACCGTTTGAAGTGTTTTGCCACACATGTAATAGGGTCAAAATGTTTTCTTTTCTACAGTACTTACTTATTATGCTGTTACCTGCATCTTCAGGCCTATGAATTCTACCACATGCATAGGTGATTTATCTTGCTGGCAGGACATCACTCGCCACCACGCAATATTCTACGGCAGCACCATGACAGCGCAGTAAAGACCCACGCATCATGGAAACGATCGAGATGCAGTCGGGTCACATTGTATTAGTCCTACTCAATAACGATTTTATTTCGCCAGTTTATTTTGTGCGCGAGATGTCAGACAACAAATAAATCAGGCACGCTATTGAGTGGTCATTTTATTTGTCACAATTGGCAACAAGTTTAGCATTTGGAGTCGTTCAGTTCATTTTATCTCGGAACTTTTTGCGACGACGTTCGTGAAATAAACTGGCGAAACAAAATCGTTATTGAGGAGGACTAATGTTCTGACCAGCCATTGAAATACACATACGATTGTCGTACGATGTGCTTGATACTTTCCCCAAGTTAGTACTTGATTCCAGTTTCTCGACTCTCGAGTCACTCCACGAATGGAACGAGAAGCAGCGGAACATTTGTTACCTGACGCTCAACTATGGCGTCCGCCATAGACCGCCTTAAACTCCTCTACGGTATCAGTATTAGTATTTGGTGTACCGATTAGTTGCGATAGGAGGCTCCGTGAATGCATGTGTTGCGGAACAGCCGACAACTTGGCTTGTTGTAGAGATAAGTAACTGTGGAAATCCCGCGCACTAATACTTGACAAGCACAAACAATCTGCCAGAAAAAACATGATGAATATTACAACAGATTACACGTCACGACCTGAAGATGCGTCTTCTACACACTCCACCTTGTGTGTTGATGGTAGGTCATGGTTCCGTATGCTGTGTATCGAGGTACCATCATTGTGCGTAAACTGGGATATATGAACCTGCAAAGGCTCCATAGGATATTGTCGCGAGTCTCCTCGTACCATTCCACCGGATATCTCTCCATGGACAGCCGAGAGGTAACTGGAAGTATTTGTATTTTGACTGATGGCGACGCGAATAAGCACCATGTAGAAGGCAATTGAGATGATCGGCACGAGCTAGATGATCGAAGCTCAGTAATCCTCGATAACAGGCATTAAAAACTGAATCACCATGTCCAGCATAACATACTGCCCATTGTTCGAACGGACGAAACAAATAAGTGTGGGGAAGAGCACCACAGAATACAAAATAGCGGCATCCACAAGCACGCGCAATATGGGCGTCAAAGTCCTGTTCGAAGTGCGTAATGTGGAGACATTGCGTTCGACCGTCCAGATACGATATGCAAGTAACCCTGAACACATTCGAGTTAGTATGTGGCACTCGGCATCACGCCGACATAGAGATGTGCTTACCTGAACTTATTAAATTGGTTGAAAGTGTCAAGGCAAAGAAAGACTGTCCAGTCGCTTTTGTGAAGATGTTTCCGGCGTCACTAGTGGCTTGCGAAACGCTGTAGACTGCAGAAAAACCAGTCACTTCGAAACAACATTAGAGCACATAACTTCCTGAGCATGTCCGTAAACTAACATGCGCCACAGCACCACAGCATACTTGGTAGGATGATGATTCGGATAGATTGCCAAACAATATAGCAACGATATATCTTTGGTCAGAAAGACATTTCTATGAGCCAGAGGGTTCCAGATTGGCAGACAAATATTTGGACCTACCACAACTCCATCACCAAGTAGAGTGTGCAATATGTATATCGCATTCTTGATCATATACGTTTGCTCGGCAACATCTGCGAAAAACGCTGATGGCCCGGCTGGGAACGTGTCACGATACTTCACCAATCCATAATCAAGACGAATGATGTCTACGACTACGTGCTTGGGAGACCTCAGCAGATGGCATGGGATGTAAGAAGTAAGAAGCTAACTGCTGTACTCAGTAGCAACAGCAGGATGGATACTGCAGCGCTTAGGCGATTGACGTCCCGCATGCGACGTTTGTAGGTTAGAACCCAGATGGTACCCATAAACATGAGGACCGAGAACCCTGAAGAACCATAGTTTGTATGGGTATATGAAGGATGGACCCAATGTTGATATTTACCGTATAAAATGCTTTCCAGCGCTGTTGACATTATAGCAACCGTATCCAGCGGGATGCCTCTTGAAGTCATGTCGGTGATGTGGGGATGTACAAGGGTGTGGACACTTTGACCAGCTCCATGTATACGTCTTTCATGTCGAAAATCATTACAACAAAAATCCGGGGCAATCGGATCAAACGTTGGCTCGAGCTGGCGCGGATACTGTTGGCACAGAAGTGGGTTACCTATGCCGCGTACAAGAAAATCTATGACAAATTAAGCATTGGGAACTAAATATCCAGCTGCGATCAGCTGTGAACAGTCGAAAAACTTACTGAATTGACTCAGTACCTGTGAGACGATATATTCCTGCCACGTTACATGTATTTCCGTCGTCAAGTTGTTGACCTAAGTGAGTCAACAGCTAGAACCGGTGCGGCATTCTGCAGCCCATTGCGTCAGACCAGAATCTCAAAAAGACAAGTACGCATCAATGTTGTGACCATAGGTCGCTGGTTAAAGAAGGTTGTATCAGTGTTGTTCCCACCGGTCAGGCTGAGCAGATTATATTTCACGCATTCATGGTGCCCCCTTCTCTAGCGCTCAGTCGCTCCTCCGCGGATGACTTGCAACTTGCAGAGTTGAGTACAATTTGATTACAATATCATATTTGAAGTCCGCGACTCCGACAACTCGCCGAGGAACTATCGAGGCAGCTCGCTCAATCGCAGTACTTATTATTTGTCAGTATTGAACGGAATGATTTCTCCAATTCTTGAGTCCAATGCTTACACCATTAGTAGATGATGGGACTACCGTCGCTGATCTGATTCTCCAGTCCTTCAACTCTGAGAGTGATACAGCAACACCCCAGAATGCCCTGCGGATCAAGAACTGTTTCAATGCTGCTTCCCTCTGAGCTAAAGTCCATTGTCTGTATACCCCATACTTAGAAATGTCGTAGAAGCGGACGTCCTTCACAACTCATCAACTCTGTCGAAATCGAGAAATGGTCAATGCAGCGCTTGTCTCGAATGTTCACCGACTACTAGTGAGCAAACGTCTGGTCATTCACGACCTTGAAGGTTACGGCAAGAAGGCATGTACCAGTGACAAACCGTACATCCATTATCTGCGCCCCACCGTATACCGCAGATGACCCATTAGTATGCTACAAAAGGCTTTGTAGCAGTGCTTCTGGGTACTTCGATCTCATATTCCTGCAATCATCGCCGACCATAAACTTAGCTTGTGGACCTCACAGACATGTACTGCAACGTGAGTCACCAGTGACATTCTATGTACATTGATATGCATGGTAGGTCTACCGATTCTTTCCCAGACTCAGACTCATGAGACACTACAGAACGAACGTTTTAGATTTGACCCCACGGAATAAATACTCATCGGCCGTGGTCTAAATGGGTCTATTTACTAGGTATAATGACGCGATGGCGATCCTCGCGCATAGCCCTCCACAATAGACACGCAGTTTCTCTTTTCATTGTTATGTACAGTCAAGACTGCTGTCACAGTGGACTCAAGCTGGGAGCATCGTGGTTCCCTATGACGACTCGCTGATTTACCATAATGGTCGGTGGGAATCCGGTGACGAGTCAGAGGCGTGGTGGTACGTTTCGAGTCGTTCTTAACAGCGGGTTCTGGTTCGATTTAATACTTGATCGTAGAACCGGCTCTGGCCTCCAAGATCAGCGTGTAGAACCTTTCCAACTTGACATTACACGTCCAATCCCGTTTTTCTGGGTGTATCAGTACGCTACAGGAGTTTTACAGGCTTCAACGCCACAAGAGGGACCAATATGATCCCTTTGGGTAGCCTCACCCATCTCGGATACAGTAGTGACGGTCAACTCGGACAACCGCATAAACCTCAAGAGCATCGACCTCAATGCGGTGAGCTCGCAAAATTGGCGGCGGTGTCTCGTTGTTAACAATATCTTGTCTAACCAGGGCGCCAGTCTTCTGCCTTATGAACCTTCTCAAATAGTTCATTGGAGACCCACTGTCTGTTCTCCTTGAGGTATCATGCGAGTTGAAAACACGCACACTTGCCTCACAAAGGGCCAATACCTTCCTTTGACCATCGAGCAGGCCTGGTCGTTCCTCACCTCTGAGTACTTCAGAGGTGAACATAACATTCAGGCTCAGCCTTGGATCGCCCTATCAGTCAGTCTACTTCGCATCCATACCAAAATGGTGTTCCGAACAGTGCACTCTGATGTCCGGTTCAGTAGGATATCAATTCGTACGGAAACATTCACTGAATATCATTTCAACTCTTCCTAGTTTAGTCTTCCCTTTGTCTCCTTTGAGCTACTTCCTATGACCATGCGGTGATCTGGAAGACAGAGGGTACTCAGTACTACTATGGTAAATCTTCTCGAATCAATAATGTTACGCAAATCTCATGAAAGATAACAGATTCCAAACGCAACTACACAACCCCCTGGAACTTCAAGCCAAGCGAGACTACCCCACCGCCGCCCATATCGTATGCATGATCGGATGAATTCCAATCTAGATCCTGCCAGTTGCAGCTGTTTTTTGCAATGAGGCCGCTAAGTATTGATGATCCTGATCCTGATGCGGCTCCGGTTAGCGCTAACGCCAGCGGAAATAACATTACGGCGTCTGCTTTCCATCAGATTCTTACCTTCTACTCGCCCTCACTGCCGTTGCGTCGTTTAAAGACCTACATAAACGTCTTGGCAAGCATCGCATTATCTACCCTGTGCAGCCCCTGTTTATCATTCTGCCGGTATGATTGATCTCGTTCTGTCGAACCCTTTATTTATGTGGACACCCTGGATTGACTTAGTGGGGTTGCCCTAACCCTGAAGGTCCTGCCTCGCTTTACTATGTTGGTACATACCAGCAGGTCGCAAACCACCGGTGGGTGCTTGATGCCTCAATTTTATGTTCATATAACCGATAGGCTAATCTTGCTGATTCATTAGGAAAGAAATTGGAGATAAGACTATATACTTGGTGAACGCGGGGTGGATCGATTACAGTGGTGTGTACTCCTCGTGAGTATTTCATTTGGAACGATATGAAGTAACTAGCAATTCGGATCCTACTGTTGAGGGTCGCCAGAAAGTGGCAGGTTACTTTGAGAGCTGGCCTGAAGAATGGTGGTGGCTAAGCCTGCCTTGGCAGCCCGAGCTAATGCATAGAAGCTTCAAACTTGCCTAAATGGTACAACGTACGATGCATCGCTTTTCATATCCCACCGCTATCGTCTACGAGTTTATCGATCATTGAGAATACTGCAGTTACATGCGATAAGCTGGCTGCACCAGAGTATTCGCCATGTGGATGACTTCATTGCCGGCTCTCTGTTCGTAGTTTTACAGATTCACACACCGGGTGCGAAGCAATGGATTGAATACCCGAGCACCACTAGCTTGATCACTGTGATCAGACTTACCAAGATCCACACAGGTGCACACAGGCACTAGTGGAGGCAATGAATCCAAGCACCGTATATGGCACGCCTTCGCTCACGGTTTTTAGCTAGTTCACATCCGTTGGCATGGCGCATCCAATAAGCATGCCGCCTTCCAGCCCCCAGTATATTGACAGAAGAAATCTCGCACATCGTATGAGAAACTCAACCGGCGATGGCATATCCAATCTCATGTTCCCGTGTCCGTGAGCTTGGGACTTCCCCCTGCTCAGCTCGGTGCCTCTTCTCTCCCTGCCATAAATCCCCAAGAACTTAGGTTCTGGCGTTGTCACACTCATTGATCATCCACCACCATGTATAGCAGAGAGCCTCACTCACCAAACAGTATTTACTTAGGGGAGTCCCGCCCTGGGTCGTCAGCACCGACTATTGACATATCGCTGGGAAGCCCAAGCTTTGACTACGCTAGCTTGAATGCGCCACTATGGCCACACCGTCTCTCGGCATCATTCTCAGCGATGGCAGACCAAATAGCAGCTGCGTCGCAAGCACTCGCACTTGTACCTTCGACGGCGTTCAGCGGCAATGACATGTCAGCTGAATTGGTGTCTCTCAAATCGAAACTCGCATCGATTGAGAGCACGCAAGAACGCCTCGCGGCTGAGTTTGCTGCTTTGAAAGAGCAGTTTACGGAGCTGAACACGGATAAGGGACCTGCGTTGGAAGAGTTGGACAAGAAGATCGAGGCACTCAAGAAGGTCGTAGGAACTTGAGTACGTTGGTTTTCTCGATGAACGATATGGAGACTGACATTCCCTTTTTGTAGCCAACAGCGACTTCCTGCGCGTCTGCATAACTCTCGGTGTACAGTTTTGAAGATGCAACTCAAGGCGCCCGTCGCAAGCGATGGCAAGCCACCGCCAAACTTCCCTGCTACCAGGGGAGAATTCGAGCATATTACGAGTCAGTGCAGTTTGTCTCTTCGGATTGCAGAGGAATGGTGCGCTGATTATGCGATAGTTATTTAGAGGAGCGCTATGAGGCCATTCTCAAGGCTTATGGTCTGCCTATCAAGGGAGACACCAATGCCAAGCAAGATGCCGTTCGTACATTTATCCGGCATCCCTCACGATGGGCTGTAAGCTAGCACGCAAGAGGAAGGAGGGATGATCATGTGACAGCTCTAGGCCTGTTGATATGAAGTACTTGGCTGGAAGAATCTTGTGGAAGGACGGCTTGCTTGCTGGATGAGTTTTAGTCGTTTCAAGGGAATTGGAGATTGAGCGACCCATAGCTAGTTTACACGAGAACATCGCAACCACGGGATCAGATCACGTAGTCATAAGTACAAGCTGTGAACCATACTAATAAGTTAGACTAAAATACTTGTCGGAGCTTATCTCTTCCTCGTTCAACGTTTCTCCGCCCCCGCCCGAGTACATTGGTTTTACTGCGCTTACTTATCAGTCCCAACAAAGTTGCCAACAGTCACCCTGCCGCTGTCAAGATTCAAGCCCATTTTTAGGGCGTTATACCTTTGTGGTCCAACCGACTTCTTCGCCCTGCGTCTTCGCTTTCCACTCCTCCGCAGCATGTCTCACCAGTCCTATCCAAACCCTGCTCAACGCCAATCAAGAGTGGGCACAGAGCGTAATCAAGGACAGACCCGACTTTTTTGCGGAGTCGGCCGCCGGCCAGAGTCCCAAGGTATGCCCATCGCACGCTCCTCGTTTTAGCCACATTTTCGAAAATGGTTTCAGATCCTGTGGATTGGTTGCTCTGACTCGCGAGTGCCGGAATCCGTCATTACAGCGTCTAAGCCTGGCGATATCTTTGTGCACAGAAACATCGCCAAGTACGTATCAACAACAGTTCATTAAACTCTGAGCAGTCGCTTATATCCCCTGCAGCCAATTCCATCTAAATGACGACAGCGCGCTCTCCGCACTCACTTATGCTGTCAAGGCAGTGGGCGTCGAACACGGCGAGTGTCTAATTGCTCTTACGATAAGCTCGATTCTTCCTCTAACGGGTATATACGTCTAACAGTCGTCCTCGTGGGCCACACCAACTGCGGAGGTGCTGCTGCTTGCCTGAAAGCAACTCAAAGTGCAGACGCTCACCCCAGCGAGTCGACCCCACTCACTCGTTGGTTGAACCCCCTCACCGAACTCGTCCAATCCCTCGACCTCTCCACGTGCTCTGCGAGTGAGGCGTTGGCCAAGGTCGTTGAAGCCAATGTCATCATGCAGGTCGACAACATCTGCAAGTCGGAGCCGATCACCACCGCGTGGGCAGACCCGAATGCGAAGAAAGTCACTGTGCACGGATGGGTGTACGACCTCGCCGAAGGACGCATCAAGGAGCTTGTCTTCCGAGACGCTCCAGAGACACGAAACTAGTTCGTCACCCGATGTTGATGACCCGTCGTTTTTTTAATATCAACACAAGTTCCGCACCCTTGCAACCATTTCCCGTTTCTCGATGCAATATTTGCTAGACTAAATTTTCTTTAAGATAGCTATTTAGCTATAGACGTCATGGGCGCGCTGTAAATTATTGAACTTGCACCATGTTATTTCTTGTTACCACCCTTTATCTCACGATATTCTCTTGCAACAAGGGTGATTTTATCGCGTCACCGGGCTCATTACGACATCAATTGTTGAAGAACGCGACTTGCTGCGATGCATACGACCAATGCCACGACCTCGGGGATGCTTCAAGCGTGGCAACAGTCTTTCGGTTCTGTAACCCCAAGGCAATAATGGTTCCAGCGCTCAATTGGAACTTCATTGCCAGCTCGGCATCGAGCCTAGTGATCTTGTGCAACTTCGAAAGTAAGAGATGAAACTATCCAAAGACTGTCTGTTCCTTCGGATCTTGCCTAACTCCTGACGCTCAAAAGTGGTGGGAGTATATCAAGATGTAGCGCTAATCAAAGCGCCAATGTCAATTTCCTCGAATTGATAGAAACTCAATCCAATCAGGATCCGACAGCGAGAAGATTCGGATGTTTGAAAGTTATTCGACGTCTAGGTATACTCCAGTTACATTTACAGCTCGCTCGCACTGAAAATAATCTGTCATAGGTGTAGGAAAATCTTGCGTTGCGCCGCAGTTTTCGCGATGTTAGGGCTTGAAGCATATAAGCTTCACACTTTATTGGCGGGCGTCACCACCAAAGTTTATTCCGAATAGCGGGTTGAAACTTGCAATTTGTTCCAACAGGTGGTCGCATCGATCGGTGCAAATCTTCTAGTCATCATGGTGGGGTCTATATCAGTAGGGACTGACTACCCGTTCGAGGATAGATGCATGGAACTTGAAACGTCGAAGGACTCGGAATCAAGTCACTATCTATGACTACGTTTATCCGTAATTTCTCGCTCGACTTGCCTAACTTCAACGTCGAATTTCAAACCGAAAACCACATCGCGCCTAATCCAATGTATGAGGGAGTCACCCGGTGACGCTGTTATCCTGATAGACGCCTACCCTTACATAGGGGCATGTAAGTACGTCCGTAATCCCACTGTCCTCCAAAACCCCATCACCCCACCATCTTCCCCTCTCAGTCTTCCACAGGACGTCCTAATTCAATGCCACAGAGGCCCTGCTCAAGCGCAATGAGGTGTGGGTGTAAAGCGTCTGCATCATCAACAGCATCCCCAATTTCATAGGCAGTCGGCCGCCACGGACCAGGAGCCCAAGGTATGCCCCGTGGCTCGTCGCACGCCCCTCCATTTTTAGTCCCGTCTTCTCATCATCATTCAGGTCCTTTGAATTGGCTGTTCTGACTCGCGAGTGTCGGCTTCTGTCGTCACAGCATCTAGGCCTGGAGATATCTTTATACACACGAACATTGCTAAGTACATAGCAATAGCTCTAAGTACATAGCAATAGCTCTAAGAGGCTCATCATACTCACTGTCCGCACAGCCAATTTCACATCCGCGACGACAATGCGCATGCTGCTCTGGCCTTTGCTGCCGGAACGTTCGGCGCCGAACATGGTCAGTCTCTCGCTACAGGGTTGTTGATAAGTACCAGTACAAGCACCGAGCATTTGCGAGAATTCCTCTTTTTGATGTATTCGTTGTACAAAATAGCTACACCGTACACGCGTTCGACGAGACTGACTGAACTGTGTACAAAATCAAGTTACTTAGCGCTTCTGATTTATCTAGGTTTCGCCAGTGCGCAGATATTGTATGCATAAGATGCTATGTACGTATAATCCGAAGTCTAAACATGAACCTAGTCCAAGACTTAGCTTTGACATAGCGTATAGGACGAAGGCCGAACGAAACGAAAAAGAAAAAAAGTATGCTATATAGCGCTATGCATTGAACAAAAATCAGACAAATGAGATCCAGTGATATTAGCAGACTACTTGGGTGGAAGGTGAGGCGAGGCGACGTGAACAAATTAGCTCCAGACTGGAATCAAAGCGAGAACAACGCGACATATCACGTATGTGCAAGAGCAGGAGCTAGTCTGTATGGTCCATCCGAGTATAAGCCCGAAATGAGCGCGGGTAAGTGCATTCATCAGCAGACAACGCAGCACTTCCAGCTGCCACCGGTCGAGTCCCTGTTGGACGCTACACCACTACGCCCACTGCTCTTCCTTCTGTGATGAGCAGATGAAGGAACGCCCTCCCTCATGAGCATGCTTGCTCGAGTAGCAGCCTCGAAAACATCATCTACACCCTCAATCTTGAGGGCAGAGCACTCCTTGTAAGCGCGCGCGCCAATCATAGATGCCACGCGTTCAGCCTCAGTACGCGGTACGAAGTTGCCAATATCAGGAGAATCGGGGGATGGACGCAGGTCGGCTTTACACCCAACGAGTAGAATGGGGATGGTTGGGCCACATATGCTCCGAACTTCTTCGATCCACTAGGCATGACGGATCAGGGATCGACACGCGCGCCAAGAAAACGTGTCGATATGAACCTACTTTTACAGATACGTTGTCCAGAGAATCTGGGGTGTCGATAGCAAAAGCAATTAAAATAACATGTGACTTGGAGTAGGACAGTGGTCGTAAACGCTAACGCAGGGGTGATGAGCGAGCGGCAAGACCCCGGTAATGAAAATCTTACTTCATACTCTTCTTGCCCTCTGCATGACACAATCTGTTAGCTACAAGAGGATTCTGATGCCAGAAGCAAAGGCACAAACGCAGTATCCCAAAGCGCCAATTGCACAGGTTTTCCATCTAGCCTGATTTCGGCGACGTAGTTCTCAAATATAGCTGAGGGTATCAATGGGTAAGCGAGTGACGGACAACGTGCCTCTCCAAAGAGAGCTTACTCGGTTGCTTAAGATTGAAGTTAGTTGTGCTCAGTGAGCACATGCCACAACGGTGTCTAGGGGACTCACATATTCCTTTGGAAATTCTCCTAGTGCAAAAGAGCATAAAAGAGAGGTCTTTCCACAAGCACCTGTGAATGGTGCCCCGAGTTCAGCCGACATGTCCAGATACAAAGTGCTGCGGTTACGTGCCGTCACCGACGATGACCAGTTTTCTGCGAATCTACGCGAGGCAAACAAGGCGCCGGAATGTAAGACTTGCGAACCAGTCCTCACACAATGGAACAAAAGATGCATACCGGGTTTTGGGACGCCATGAATGTCGTTGGGCTGTGAGCGGTTAGATTATTCGGACTAGTGGGAGACGGAGGCAAGCCTGCGCGCTAGCCGCGATGAAAATCAACAATTACAAGGAGCGTTAGAGAAACAAAAAAGGCGTATAATGTGATGAGAATGAAGCACCAGCAAAGAAGAGAGGTGAGAAGCAGAAGACCACGGTGACTGCGTTTGACCGCTGGCTTCTTGCGCGCGGGTTGGGTCCACTTATATAAGCCATCACAGCACCGCATCCTCTAGTCTGACCATACAAAACCCAATTGCAGAGGAACCGCAGCCAACGCTACTCACACTATTCATAGCCCTCGCTGCTCAACAAAATCCGTGGAACCGAACATTGGACCGTGTGGAGCAAGCAGCGCTAATCATCCTAAGAGCCCGACTAAGACATACAAAGTGTACAATATATAGATTGTCGAAGAATCGAGAAATTAACAAACAAGTACAATGTGGTTGGCCGACTGAACTACAATCATTAGGCAGTATAAGCTGCCTATTATGAGTAGCCGTCGTCAATGGAAAGCGAAAAGCAAAAAGGTTGAAACCCACCTTAATCTCCTTCTCAAACTTCTTCGCAACCTTGGAGCGTTGCACCTTCTGTGCTGCGGTAACGAGGCCGCTTTCAGGTGTCCACTCATCTGCCGTCAGAACAACAGCTTCTAGAATCTCCATCGGTTTGAAGCCATTCTTTTTCCCGATAGCATTGCACTCCTTGAGGACGAGATCCTGTACCGCTTTCTTTGCGCACAGATCCGATAACTGTGCACTCGCATCTACAGGGACGGACTTGGCTTCGAGAGCGTGGCGCAGATTGACCTCGTGAGGGATGATGATACCAATGGGTTGTTTGGCTTCAGCATCTGCATATACACATATGTTTGCCACGAGGTTGCATGACTTGTAGATTGATTCAAGTTGTTCAAGGGCTATGTACTGAAGAGCGGAAGATCAGGAGATCAGTGACAAAAAAAGACAACTTGACACACCTCGCCACCCTGTAACTTGATAAGATTCTTAATCCTGAAATGAATGAAGCACATCAGATGAAGAAGAGTATCTGAGAGAGGTTAGATTACCTGTCGATCAGAGAAAGAGTTCCATCGGCATTCCACTGTCCGACATCACCAGTCCTAAGCCAGCCATCCTTGGTGAAGATCGACTCATCATTGTTGAGGTCGTCCCGCTTGTAGTATCCTTTGGTGACTGACGGACCCCTGATACAAACTTCCCCCTGGGGAGGATTGTTAGTCGACTTGTAGCCTGCTTCAGGGACATCCAGGAGCTTGATTTCGGCCGAAGGAACAGGCAGTCCAACTGAGCGATATTGCATGAGCTCAGGGGGCAAGATGGCGCACATCCCACAAGACTCGGTCATACCGTAACCTGCCCTCAATTACACCATGGAATGCAGATCGGCTTGGGAAGTTACTCACCTTGGAGCATGGTGACGAGTGCAACGGACAAGAACTCCTGAGTTTCTTTGCTAAGAGCAGCACCGCCGCTCAACGCGAGACGGAGCCGTCCTCCGGTAGCTTGCTTGATGCTATTGAGTACAGCAGCATCAGCCAGCTGGCTAAGACCAGGGACATCAGCCTTCTTGGCCGCCATCGCTCCGTTGAATATAGTCTTCTTCAAGGAGCCGCTAGCGTTAACCTTGCTGATAATCCCCTTACGGATCTGCTCCCACACAGCAGGTACGCCAACCATGATGCTGGGGCGGAACGTAACAATGTCGCCCTTGCAGTGGCGCACGGATGCATCTGTAAGGGTCTTGACCCGGCCGTAGCCTGTCTTCATGCCAACGAAGAATATGATAAGCTCGACGATGTATTCAAGAATGTGGGCAAGGGGGAGATACCCCAGGAAAGTGTCGTCGTTGGTGAGGTGGTGGCCAAGGAGCTTGTAAACGGCACCAACGGAGGCAATGACGTTGCCATGAGTGAGCACCACGCCCTTAGGAGCCCCCGTAGTGCCACTGGTATACATAATCAGGGCCATGTCGTCCCGAGATGGCCTTCTCTCCTTCAGACCGTCCATAGATTGCGCCGCGCCAACCTCACGCAGTTGGTCAATGGAGAGAATGACTACGTTTTCCCTAACGCTTGCGGATATCATCGAGAAGCGATGACTTGGCGTCACCGTCATAGACTATGAACCTCACTGATGGGGTATTAGGCAGCACATTCTTGAGGGTCACGAGGAGTTCGGCATTAGTGAAAACACCAACGCAGTTTGGCTCGTTCAATGAGTGCGTGAGTCCAGATTCGCCAAGGGTATCGTAAGCCGTGGCCACAGGAATTCCAATAGTTGTGCATGCATGAGACATGAGTTGCCAATTTACACTATCCTACGAGTTAGCCATAAGCGCTTCCACAGCGAATCGAACATACCTCGTCTGAGCATAGATGTTGAATATGTCTTCCCTCATGATCTGATTGTGAAGAAGACCACGCGCAAGAGCCGAAACTCGCTCTTGGACATCCAGGAAACTGAGGTACTTGTAGTCACTGAGCTGGAAATATTTCCAGGTCTTCTTCTCGGTGACTTCCTTTCCATTGACCATCTTCTTTACTTCCTTCGCTTCCTCGTGAATATCGACAATATCGCGCCAACCCATAGCATCTCTTGTGCCATGCGTTCGTGCGCCGTAGTCAATGACATCGGGAATGATGTCGATGCCCTCGAATGGTTGAGTTACAAGGTTGTCAGCAGTAATTGCCAGGCGTCGAACCAGGCTGCCGTCCTCTGTGGTAACCTCGACGGAGCCCTTGCCAAAGAAGTTGCGTTTGGAGGTCATGGTGATTGCTTCTAGTTCACTGGGGCGTGTGGCGGTGACAGCTTGTCAACTTCACCATAAAAGCATGCCAAGCCCTCAGTCACGTGACACATTCCTGGGCTTCCGAAGAGTCGAGAGAGTGAACTACATAAGTGGCATTAAAGACTCAGTAAAGAAACGCGGTGCTTGAGTATATACTATTGACTAGAAGAAATGCTGCTGACGCATGATGACTTAAACCCCTCCTATTAGAAAATCTCGAACACTTTGATAACAGATCGAGAGAACAGCTGAGGGATAGACTGGGGGACTCACTAGGACACTAGGAGTGAACTAACCTGTTTGATATCCGATGACGTTGGCAAGGATCCGTTGTAGCTTTTGACCGTAGAAACTGCACCGAAACCCCCCCAAGCAATAATAGGGATCTCTGAATGGTGCAAGCGCTAGCGTGTCGGGACGGTATATGATTTTGCCCGGTGCAATTATAATTGTGCGACTATAAATGAGAATAAGCGAAAAGAATATGAGTTACGATATCTTTCTGTCTGAGAACCAACTCTCCTTATCAGACGATGAGAAAGACAGACTTTCCTTTTAATGACGGAATGAGAAGCAAGAATGTTGCACCATTAGTACGCAACGGTGTGTGGCTATACGCGGTCAGCTCACTAATGTGGGACCATATCACAAGTCAACAGTAGCGGCCCCGCGATGAGAGCGACGAAAGGCACAGCAGGGAAGCTTCGCTAAATTAGATCATCCACGAGACACACAAGTTCATTAGGCAACACGTTGAGAATTTTAGTCTAAATAGCATCGTTGCACAGGAACCGAAAAGACCTGCAAACTCCAGTGTGGATATGCCAACGTCAGGCTGCCGTATCACATACAACAGTGAGCACGCTCGGAACATCGGCACTCGTGTGAGTGCTTTCCATATGTGCAACTTTGTGCTGAACAGGTACTTACAAACATACGATCTCGCAGTTTGGCAGCCTCTAGCGCGTTAGGGTCCGGGAGGAATGTCTCAATCCACCACCTTGGGCCCTGCGAATCCAAAAAAAGGATGAAGTATGCACGATCCGATCCGAACTAACAAACATACCATAGTGTATATTTCCAACCCGAACAACAAGACGAACTAGTATAGAGTCGCATAAGGGTGCCTGCAAGCCGGAGGCCTCGCACCTAACCGCACTGACGCAATGTAAATTTCAGGATCTTGTCCAGCCACGAGTTTGGTCGCGAGTTTGTCAGCCTTGCTTGCGAATCAAAATTACAACGGGGCACGTACGCGAGAAAGTCCTAACCCTTTAACGGACGTTCCGGATCCCGCCTGCGCATAATTTCAAAGTCGCGCGAGAGATGAGCAGCATGAAAAAAAATGTCTGCGGCAGTTTAGGCAAGGTCCTTGGAAGATGGGTACGTCAAGAGCTTGCACGGGAAACCTGTATAGGGCAACTACCGATGCGCACAATATTGATCTGTTCGTTACGATCCACAACGGATCGTTGAAAAACCCTCTTGATTCAGAGTGCAAGAGGGGACCTGCAAATTATGATTGGCTACTGCGAGCCAAGGTCGCGTTTGAAATAACGTACCAATCAACTGGCAGCCGCTTGTGCGGCAATATGGATGTATTATGGTGTAGGGACATAAACGGTCAAGGTTAGTTCAAAGAGATGGCCAGGGTGATGAAAGTAAAATTGCGAGACATACCAAGAGACGTCATATGGGCTGATCGCTTGTCACTAGTACTTAACTCCGAGTCGCACGACTTGCAAGTACGTTAGCGGATGCAGCGTTTCAAAGCTTAAGTCGGATGGACACGAGGAAAGGCACTGCAAACACACTTATTTTTAATCCATTACCAGATGTTCCAATCGAGGTTTCTGCGCCTGCCAATTTTTTACATACTACAAACTGCACTAAGCAGACTGGTCCCTTTTGGATCCCGTAAGCTTGAAGGAACAACCCAAAGACCCCAGAAGCAGAGTATTGAAAAGTCCTGCCATGCGGTAGAGTTCATAACATAACTTCGGATTAATAGTACGTGATCGCCTGATCCTTGATCAGTTGATCTTCGAACATCCAGTTGGGGTACATCTAGACTTGGGTAGCTTAAGTGCGAGGTAGCGCGAAAGTGGTACAACGATGACAGCTCACTTCTTAACCAGTGTATATACACATATGTCACGTTGGCATTTGTGAGATTGTGAAGATTACAAGCTTTAAATGGTGAGGTTCTCTGGTAACTGGTTCTCCTGAGTCCTGACAAAGCAATGTTGGCAGTTGCCGCGCGGCCATGCAATGAAATATCTATGCGACGTTATATGGGCGCATGGAAGAAGTTCAGATCTGGACTCTAGATGGATCACTACACACGAAACGATCCTAACACGCCCGCTGAACAAAGACAAACAGACCATTAATTGTGGGTAGTGAGTACATCCAGTAGTACAACAACGATGTGTTATGAGACAATTCCGCATAGTGAGCAATTATTTAACAAAATAAAACAAGACATGTCACGCGTTAGAATGCTCCTTTCTCAAAAAGTGGCACAACGAGGTTCTCGCGATTTGTGACATCAACGCCGCGGAAGTACCCTGTACAACAGGCCATGTCAAGCTCACTGTCAAGAAGGCGACGATCGGTACTTACTCGGACTGAGATAATACCACAGCACGGTCCCCTGCACGAAGTTTTCCAACGCATGAAGGTATCTTTCCAGCTCGGCATCCACATCAGCACCAAACGACGGTAGCTGACTCTTGAACTTGATATAGTCGTTCACGCGTTCATTTAACATCTCGGTGAGGATATTGATGGCTTCCTGCAAGCCGACGTCGCGTTCATGCATGATGCAGAATACAAGATTTTGGTAGTCGCCGTCAGATTGTTCTTTCTGAGAAGGAATGAACAAGTCAGTATGGTCTCGTTGATCGATATTTAATTTCCTTACATTGAAAGAACAAAGGTCCTGTTCCAAGAGTGAACGTCAGCCCTCTAAGTTAAGGGACCAAATAAATTAACGACAAACATTAGGCCATGTCATAAGGTCAGTTGTCGCGTCAGACATCGCTTTAATGATGGGATTCTCAAAGACAATGTCCGGAAGATCCAGGTCAAGCGAATACTCAACCATCGCTAAGGAGAAATTGTCGTCAACATGTAACGCCGAGGCTGTAAAGTATTCTTACCTTCAACAAGAGCGCCGCCGATAGTCGCACGACGCATGAGAATGAATTCGTCGACCGAGGGCATTCGATCTTGAGAACGGTTGCGAGATTGTGTTACTTGGGAGCTACTCCATGCCTCAAATGCCCTAATGAATCTGAGCGAGCTCCCACATCAGAATTGTCCTCAAGTTAAACAGAGTTGACTTGCCGATGGTAGGCGCCAGTGGTAGATGTCTCACGGAATCGCGTGAGCAGGCTGGATAACACGTATAAGTTACGTCACAGGGTTTAGCGACGAAAACACGCACTCGTATAACATAGCAGCATATGGATACTGTGGGCGGGAACCATCTGGGTTGGTGTACACACTGACAGAGATGTCATGTCCAGCTTGCACTGCGTCAGGTTTTGACTGTAGGTCGCCTTCATCAGAAAGGTCGTCGGTCTGCAATCCAGGATGTGAGCTGATAGAACCACACGAATCACGGGAGTCAAGCTCGTTTACCGAGAAAGCCCAAAGAAAGAACATGATACAAGTTTCAAGATGCATGCAGTCGGCATCTGGAAAGCTGAGTGTTGCAAAGAGGTCGAATTTGCCGTAGTTAAGAAACTTTGACTTCTTCCTATCATCGTACACACTTATTCTGAAACTCTGTGTTAGAGCAAAATATAACCCGCGGATGATAAACGATACACACTGATTGAACCACGAGCGCGCTGCACGGTCGGCCTCTGCTTGGTGAGGATTGGCTCTGAGCTCGCAGACCCGACCCGTGATGGCGGCCAGATCCTGAAGGTAAAATTGTGGTGGAAGGGATGCGTATCGTTGCATGATGACTATGAAAACAGTGTTGCACAGAATATACAGCTCAGACTTGCTGAGGATGGGTCCTTGGGCTACAGGTGAAGGAGGAGAGACGATCTGGCTCTCTTCTTATCCAAAACCAAAAGGGAGGGGTCCTCACATCAGTCCTATCCGAAGTTGGCCTTCTTAAACGAAAGTGTATGAAAAGACATAAATTGAGGAGGCGACGCCCACACCATCATGGTCGCTAGTATCACATCACGCGTTACACGTGAAGGATGACCCATTGACACCCTTGATTGATTTCGCATAGTTGCGATCTTTCGGCAACTGGTGGGTGTCTTGGAGATAAGAAGAGTGTAAAACCTGCTGACATATCAGTTTGTTCTAACCTGGTTTGAGTGGTGCTCTGAGCAAATGAGGATGCATGATGGAATTCTGGGACATCCTTTATTGCGAAGTGAACGGAACGGCTCACCGAACATGTCTGCGACGTTTGGGCCGGCAAGGCCATGCTCACGTTGTGTAATCCCAGAACCTTGATCTCATTCTTCGATCTCCTTGATGGATTAAAGGAGATCGATGTTAAAGGAGATCGACGACCTAACTCTTCTTGACATTGCACAGTGTTGTCACCTAAGAAGAATCTAGACCTAAGGGTGACGGGAACAGAAGCGTTGGCCCAACTTCTGCAACTTCAAACGCGGATGCTGACAAGGCTCGGTTGTGCTTTGCGCCGCACTACAGCGAGAAAGACAAGGGACAGCGCCCATCGACTAGACTTTTCATTAAGAGCAGCTGCCGGGATGTATGAACGGCATGAGAAGAACACGAGGCAGTAACGTGTCACCAACGTGGTTTTAGAGCCTTCTTTTCGGTGAACTGCAATGCAATAACAACTTGAAGTACTGGCGGTGTGATTGCTACTGGACGACGAACCTGTCGAGACTCGAGACTTGAACAAGCTTACAAATTAAACCATTATTCCGAATCCCGATTTCCCACTCGGTCAATATACGTGGAACACTTTGTCGGCGGCGATTCGGACACACACATCCTCTAGCCTTCTTGCGCACAAATTCGCATATCTTCGTACTCATCCATGCCTCCCCGTCAGGTCGAAACCTACAAGTTGCATTGAATTCTTGGATGCCAAAGATGCGGGGTCCACGCGCTAGCAGCACACGACTACATGTTTCAATCTGCAAACAACCTGTCTGCCGTCATTGATGACGGTGCCATTACCATCCGAGCACAAGGGCCTGAATGATTATTACGATGATTCAGGATTCGGGGTCTCGGACGGCGGGATCGATCTGTGGCAAATCTGTGTGCCTACGTGTCTTTGGGGTCAGGGCAGCAAAATGGAGATTGATGATGACCTCGACACCATCGGAATAACAATTCCGGCTATCATCGCCCTGGTCATTCCATAGCAGCGAGTGATCAAGTTGCGTTCGGCCTTCTTCCACCTTATTCTGATCGGTGAGCAACAACGTGAATGTTCGAATTTTGTTTACTTTTGCCACTTTTAGCCTTTACATAGTCTTTCGCTCTGTTTCATCGTTGTTTGACGATTTTGATCCGTTAATTTTCGACTCATCGAACGAAGGATGTGTGCGACTTATCCCGCGAGCCACGGGACGCAGATTGAACGTACTGGAAACGACTGAGTGATTGGCCTGCGTGCGTACCAAAGTACAGGGACATGCACTGTGTGCGGTGTTTGTAGGCGTCATGTTTGATATGATACAATATGTCCAGCCGCTCACCGGCCTAAAGGGGGGCGGGCTTCCCTCCTCGAAATGCGCTGGTCTCTGCCGTTGAGCACAATCCAGGGGTGTTGGTTCAAACGCTCATGAAACAAGGTGTTCTTACCACAACCATCTTCTCTCCGGTGTTGTCGCCCAACGAACCACTTGTGGCCGAGGGCGCATGGAGGAATACAACTAAATGACACGTACATATTATGTCTCAACCATGTTGCAACCATGCGCTTGCTTCGTGCGGAAAGTTCGGGAAGAACTAGGAAGAACTGCATAACTCGAATATGAAATATGGATGAAATCACATCCGATCCAATCAAACATTATGAGACCTCGTCAGGTGAAAATTGTCAGCCCTAGAAAGACCACCTACTACTAGTATGCAAGCGCCGGTTCTCCGCCAATCAATTGTCAAGAGCAGAGTTGACCTCCGAACGAGGAATAACGCTCGATCGAGGGTTTAACGTTTCATCCCATGAAACAAGTCTTGAACTCCTGAGCGCCGAGCTATGAGATCAAGCGTCACCCACCATACATGTGGAGGTCTCACCTAAAACCATAATCATTGCACGAGCAAGCGTTTGTGTGTTCCTGACTGACCACACTGTCACGTATAAAGTCGAATGCTAAATCACAGGCCCATCTCTCATTTCCCGGGATTCGAAACACGCTACTAGTCCCTATCAGTCAGCGCAGCACGATGAAAACGTCCGACATGAAGGGTTCACCAAGCTATTCATCATAATGATCGACTACATTTCCGCCACCATCAGTTGGTGGTGACGCAATTCATCTGTGGTTTCATCAGCTGGGTGTTCAACGTTCAGACCCTGTTAGTGCCTTTGTCAAGAAGCTACTTGCATAGCGTGCTCGGGAATATAGATCGGGTTTGTCGTCATATCCGTGATCGGATAAGATGAGATCGTACCGACGGCGCCACCCCCGCCACCTGTATGCGACGCCACATCTGAGAGAGCCTCTCTTTACGTTGACAATCCCTAGTTTTCGTCAACTTTAAGCGAGAGCTCTCATTGGTGAAGAGCCTGAGTGTACGATGGAGGTCACTGGCCTAGTCCTAAACGGGGAGTGCAGTTTGGATCAAACTGGCGCGCTTAGCTTTGTAGATCTGGCAGGGGGTACTGCTTACCCGGCGGCGCGCAATATTGAACAAAGGCCGTCCCTGGACGAATGCCTCTCGGTTATGTGCATGCTGAAGTATTGTGATAGAGCTGAGCCTGTCCCGCGGCCGCGGTGCTGTGGCGTGTGTTCTGGCTGTCATACAGCAACTTGAATAACTTAGCCCTTCGTATGGTCTATATTAAGTAGTATTAAGTTCAAAGTCCAAACTAGCACCATTACCGCAAGCCTGCCGCAACACATGGAGGGAAAGGCTGCGAGGGCCTCTGCTACTACTAGTGTCTCCAGAGGAAAGCTAGAGCGATGTGGAAGGTGGCCCGAGATGCACACTCTGCATAACTCATACTAGTGGTGACGCCAGTCATATCAGGCTGGATGAGAAATGACTAATGCTATATTTAGCCACCTATAAGATTACATACCAAAATTCCTCCATAGCTCATGATCAAGTAAGAATAAGTAACCATAGGTTCGAGGGAGCGCGAGAGGGGATAATGCCAGGGGGCGGCGCGGATCGCGAGGCACAGGAAGAGGATGCTCGAACATGCCGCTTATCTATATACACGTTCTGCGAGTCGAATGTATCGTATATACCACATACTTGTCGGGAACGGCCTAGTTTCCTCAATCGCAACAGACGTGGGGATAAGGAACCCACTTTGTACAGAGGGTGATAGATGACCCACCCGCGGGTACCCAAAAGCAACTGATTGATATCGTGACCAATGCTGTATTTGCCATCGTGAACCGAAGAAACATAGCGATAAGGGCGCCTGTCAATCGTGGACAAATATCCATCAAGCCTCAAGGCCTATTGCCGTCAGAGACCATGCCTGCTTGGGCAAGTTTGAACCAAACAGCGATGAATGTCATTGTCGATGGTCAAGGACCCTATTTTCAGTCACTTGTAGAACAAAGGGTCGAGAAGTGTCCAGGACTTACAGCGTAATCTTGGGCAGGGCCCATCCCATGTAGATGTGATAGGACCCTGCAGAAACATTCACGACATGACTAGTCATCCGATGGGCCGGTTTGTTTACCGAGCGTCGGATTGAACCGAAGTAATTCGTCAGTTTGCTAGCAAACAAACCGCGCAAATGCCCACAGTGAATAAACACAGTAGACAACTGCAGGACAGGTGTTTTGAACCCGCACTTGAACACGAGCAAAGAGCAGGCTGGCGGATCATGAGGCGGAGGCAGTTGTCGTACGACTCGCTGCAGATGCAACTTGAAATAGCTCTGCTCAACATCAGGAGAGTCATTATAGACTGGGCGTCCTGTGGAATTTGGGTACATGTAAGAGTTTTTCCATCGAAGATGGATGCTTTAATTCGAACGCTGCTTCGACAAACCACGAGCCCATTCCCCTATCTTGAAAATTTTCTGTTATAGTCTGAATTGTGTTGAGCTTACCGGGTCCTCATCCAGGTTCGAGGTTTCTTCGCGTGACAGTCACGGAATACACCTGAAATAAGTACTCTTCTAGCAGAGAACCCATCAACATATAACGTGTCCCATCAGATCTTGAAGTAGTTGAATTTCGTTAGAGGACAACATTTCAACTTGCAGCTCCAACGTGTATTTCAAGAATGAGAAGAACATCACATTGCGTGACACAATTTTACTATGCAACGACGCAAAAAAGACCAAGTGAACTACTTGGTAGCCTCGACCAACCTTTTCTCTGCCTCTTTGAAGTTGATGACGTTCCAAACTGCAGTGAGGTACTACATGTACGTTAGCCGTGATCATCGAATGGAGGAAGAGACGCGTACATCTGCCTTGACATTTTGGTACTGTTAAGCGAAGAGAAGTCAATATGAAAGTACCACTGAATTAATTGTCATATTATTGCATACCTGTAAGTAGAAAGCCTAAAGATGGTCGACGTCAGTGGCGTTGTCGTAGTCTAATAATCATTCACACTTACGTGCTCCCAAATGTCAACGCCGATAATAGGTGTATGAGCTGCGTAAATATGTCAGAGCTTGTCCATTCGGACTTACACGCCCACATACAAAGTAAAGGATCTTGGTTGGCGGTCGTAACGATGTCGAGCATTTTTGTGGTAGAGTCGAATCCCTTTGCAGGCCAATGTCAATAACGTAACATCATACAATAAGATGTCTTACGAGCCATCCCCACCCACTGCCCTGAATAGCTGCGGTTGCAGCATTGAACCTTTTCTTGAATTCTTCCACAGATCCGAAGTCACGTTCAATGGCTTTTTTCAGAGGACCGTCGGCAAGCTTGCCACCGTCAACATTGGCGGGCGAAAGATTCTTCCAGAACAGCGAATGATTGATGTGTCCTAAATAACATATAAATCAAGTTTCAAGCCAAGCAGCATGGAGCCTACCGCCGCCGTTGAATTTCAGTGCCGACTGTAGGGCAAGCTTCTCCCGGACGGAGGGTGACTGGGCATACGATTGCTCCGCAGCATTAAGTCCATTGACATAAGTCTGGTGATGCTTAGTATGATGAAGCTTCATAATTGCCTCGGAGATGTATGGCTCAAGAGCCTAAACCATCAAGCTTCAGGTACGTCCTCCGCGCTCATATATGACAAAGACACGAACATTGTAAGCATAAGGCAGGTCCGGAAGAGTGTGGAGAGATGCGCTGGTAGCAGGAGCGGCAAATGCGCGAGCCAGAGAGGGCCGTAGAGCAGATTTTGCGATGGACAACATGGTGTCAAGTGAAAGCAAAGTGAGAGTGCAGTCCCACGCCTTGCCTGCGTCATTCTCAGCTGCTGACTAAGACGACCCTCTTGCGGTGGCGCTTCGTCAGAGATCTAGACGCTGACCACCGTGGTTAATTCGCATGTCTGGACGTCGCAATGTTTGAGGCGCCAAATTGCCCATTCTGACGACGCAACAAAGAACTCACGTGTGTTACTACTGCCATCGGCATACGTCAAAATATATGTAAGATGAATCACCCCTGCCAGTGCGGCATAATTGGTGAATGACCATCATATGGCAGCATGGGCCCTGAGGCCTGAGTAGCAACCGGGTAATCATGTTCGCCTTTGCAACTCTTCTCTTTGCAACCAGTGATTCAAACTTCAAAGTCCCCATCAGAATCAGGTTGATCTTCATTTAGTTGTGCGCCAAATGCGCGCCAGACTTCACGCGCTCAATATACCCATCGACTCATGATTATCGTCCGAAGCACGGAATCTCTGGTGCCGACATACGATATTACGGACAGATCGGCGTATGTAGTAGTATATACATGCAGGGTGCTTGTTCCCTCTGTGACAAGCTCCATGTTCTCATTCGCCACGTAGCACTTCTCTGACACCGTCCTGGAAAAACACCCTCACCTCAGGCCTTGTGCGAGCTTGTGCGTTCCGATCCAACTCTGTCACTAAGGCCTCACGATGAGCATGGGGTTATGTTTGCTCTGGCCCCCACCGTGACGGCTCTGCGACGTGCGTTATCGAACGGAAGATCCACAACAACTATCTCGCGCCACGAACCTTAGTACGAAGAGTTCCACGGCTGTTGATCTGGTTAGGGGTGACTAGCTACGAACATCAAACCAGAGGCCATTGACCCCAGTTAACAGAGGTCTAGTATTTGTTTCATACGACAGGGCACACTTACTAACTACCACTGCCAAGTCTATAACATGCAATCGCAGCTTCAAGATCAGAGAATGTTGCATATGTATAAAATTACAGGGCTTCGCGCCGCCACCAACATTAATTCGCCGCCTCGGTTGAAGGGACGAGGGTCATAAGCTTATCCCCATTCGCGAGCCACCATTTTTCCGCCTCTTCATCCGCATCGTACCCAAATTGAATATTGCTCTTTTCCTTATCAGCCCACTGGTTCGCATTGCCTGCTAGCACAAGCGTGCTTTTCTCACCGCGCGCAACGCGGAACGCATCCTCCATAGCCATGCGCATTTCGTTATCACGCTCCTCTTGCTCTGGCCCATCGGGATGGTGGAATATGTGCTGGTTTAGGCTTGAGGACGTCTGTGTCGCTGTGGCACGCTCGTACCGGAGAGTTTGGTAGGCATAGAGCAGTGGCGTGATCTGCGAGCGGTCCGAGCAATGCGAAAATAAGTTGCCTAAGACGGCAGCATCTTCAACCTAGATAGATTCTAATGTCAGTGCTTGTTTTTCTGTTGATACTCCCCCTTACCGCCATGGCTGACCCTTGCGCGCGGTAGGGCTAGGGGATATGACACTCAGTATGCACTATTTATGTCGGGAATTCACAAACCAGCATCGGGTGACACGAGTCACCCAACAAGGCCAACTTGCCATCCTTGTGAATCCACCTAGGCAGTGGTTCTCGGTCCATCAACTTCCAATCGAGTGTTGACGGAACAAGCGCCAGGAGCTTTTCGACACTGTGTCCCGCGCCACTAGAGTATGAGCACAAGGTAAGCATTAAAATGGAGTTACTGACGTGATGTTCCACCCCTTGTAGTACTCTTTCATTTTGTCCGCGTTACCTGCAGCAGTCCACGATTCCACGCCCCCTTCGGTTTCATCAGGGTGTATCATGACGACGTTATATTCTTTCTTGGCACGCTGTCCAGTTGATGCTTTAGCTCCCTTTTTGACTAGTGTTGATCGAACAGCGACTTACAATATTATAGCCGACCATATGACCTCTAGGACCCATCCATATGATCGAGTCCGTCTCCTCCACCAGCACCTTCAGGTCATCGTCCTGCAGGAGTTTCTCGGTCGGGATGATGGCTCTGTAAGCAGCATCTCCCGTAGCCTTGGGTTTATCGGGCCCGCCGACCACATATTCCCGGGTGGTGCTCTTGACTCCGTCAGCACCGATGATCAGGTCAGTATATACGACCTCCCCAGAAGCGAGAGTCAAGCTAGGTTTCGACGGGTCCAAAGACACAACGCGACAACCGACACGGATGTTGCAGTGTGGCTCAGTAGCTTCGTAGAGTATACGGTGGAAATCAGCTCGCTATTCTAGCCTGGTCAGGGAGAATTGATGTATTAAGGGGAGGACTCAACGTGTATGTGGTAATAAGGGGCACCGTATGCCTTGTCCATCGCATCACCAAACTCCGTCCACCCTACAACCTCATTGTTGGTCCCTAGAGATTGGCATCAAGCAAGGTCGCCAGGACACTTTAAAGTAACGTAACTCACAACGTCTAATGCTTAAAGCTTCTGGTTTGACGCCAAGTTCCTCAAGACGTGGGCGAAGACCCCATCGTATCAGGAGGCGTGAGACGTTGGGGCTGGCTTGAATGCCAGCGCCTACATCGCCTATGGCTAGTGCTGCTTCCAAGATAGTGACTTTGTGACCTGCCTGTGCGAGGCAGTATGCAGCAGAGAGGCCTCCTAGACCAGCATCCTATTACTACGATGTCGAGGGGCAGGGAAGCTCGCCTTCCTTGGTATAGATTGCCCGGCTGATGGGTCGAGTTAGGCCTAATGATGTTCCGAAGGTCAGTACATGGCTCGTTTCGATCGGTCCTACATTGTTACTGACTGATTTAGGTTCCTGGGCGTCCATATCACACAAAGAACAATATGAAGGACTCTGGTATGATAAAGGGAGTGTGAGCGGAGTGGACGGACCATTGATATAGGGTGTGAAGGAGGGTTTACTATTTTACCGCCCTGTTGTTCCCGTCAGTCAAGTCAAATACTCAAATCAGGACATATGCATGTCGATTCAATTATCAAAGTTCGCGCCTGTCTTCGTTCTTCTCTCCGTGGATTCTCAGCCCCTTGAATCGGAAGTAGGAACTGTTCTCTTACCGCTTAACGACGAGTATAGAATTAGAGGTGGCGTCAGACTTACTGTGGAGTGCCCTTTCGCAGTCACTAGCCAGATTTCCTTCAAGGTCTGCCGTGAAGATGAATCACTGGGAGGACCTTGGCGTTCGGGGCTTAAGCTCCATCTTTTGTTGATAAGAAACAGTCTGATTGAATATCACGTGAATGTCACTTGTTGTGAGAATTTACGTCGTGTTTACAAGCGTTTATACATGTCAAGACTCCCAGGCATGAGCTTCCACGGAGGTCAAGGACGTCTTGGCTCAGTCTCAGGACGCTTGCAAAGACGATGATATGATCGGCTTGGAACAAGATGGTCGCAGTACGGTTGCCTGACTGTCAGCCATTCGACCAGTAAACCCACACTAGACGAACTGGTACTGCAAAACAATACAAATTGGAAGAAATGAATTATAGTAGTGAAACACCATCATAATATGTCCGAGTGGCAATGTAGACAAAATCTTGAGTCTCTTCCACTGAAGTAATTAATCGGATATGGTCCGGCGTGTCGGCAAGCCCATGGAAGGTCCGAAGGATAAGCCGGAGCTCTTGTACGTGATGTAAGGCGAGCAGGAGATTAGTAGGCTAGATCGAACATGTGTGACTCGCGAAGTCGAACATGTTAATTTTTGTGCCACTTCCTGGCCCCGGGCCCAAGAAACCTATGCATGGCGTAGCAACGATCGAAATGGGCAGAGACGAGCTATTACCGAAGAGGCTGGCGCAGTCAGCCTGTTACAAGTGTTCAGGCTTCAGGTCACGGACCTTGAATCTTGGCAACTCCAATACCATCCAGACGTCCGATTAGACTTTGCACGCTCTTTTCCCACCGCGTATCCATATAACCAGAGCATATTTATGGTGTAATCGAGCCATCATGAGACAAAACTCTCGCGCCTACATGCACCCGTGAGTCCTGGAGACAAGTTTAGAGGCAGACGTCTAACCAAAGTCTAGATAGTAGCTAATCTTGATTCCAGATTCATTCTAGCGAAGACCTGTCGAAAGTTCACCTGACAAGGATTAATTTTGCCGCGGTCATGACGTTGCCAAGTACAAGAAACAAACTGCGGATTCCTCAGCACCTGTCAGAATTGCTCATGCCCGAGGCACACCTCGGGTGACCGCCGACGTGATAGCCATTCGGTATCTCCGGGCTTTTAACTCCCAACCGAGGATGTTAATGTAAATTGTGAATTAAGGATACCTTGCGTAGTTTGGCGAGGTATCTCTCACCATTCCCAGGTCATATCTGTCTCCTGGACAGACAGCGGCTACGATAGCGAAGAGCATAATGAGCATTGTCTTACCCGCATCTGCGCCGACAATTACTGAGCAGTCGAGGCCAAACACGAGCGCATCCGACGTCGAGTTGTCAAAGTATCTTTCCGCGGGTGTCATTGGCAGTATATTTATATGGCTCGAACCAATGCGGCAGTCTCACCAGACTTCTCGGCTGTTCGTTGATGGGATTCGACGCGGGAATGTACTTACAGAGGCAATGAGTGGAATTAAGATATACTAGAGGGTCGCACATACGGTATACCTCGTTTAACCCTGAGACAGATTCTAAAGACGTTGGCGGCTACGTTAGTTGTCCGTCATCCCATGAACGACAGTCGTTCAATGACAGATGACTCAGGGGAAGATGGGCCGTCAAGGGCGCAAGAGAACAATGTGGGATGATGTGACATGAAACACCGTGACATGTTGGGCAACACAGGTCACGTGAAGCGTAATGTTAAATAGCAGGGGTTCAACGTTCAGCCAGCGATGCCACCTTTAACGTTAACTCTTTGAGATTTTTGGGCTTTTGAACTCTGTGAACTCCTCGATCATTCGACATGCTCACCGCGATGAGAAGCAGCACGTCTAGTGCTTCAAGTTCCGGTGCGGCAAATAATCAAACACGAAACTGCAAGCATGCAATCTGGAGATGGGCTAATTCAGAAGTTGTCGTGACAAGGTCACTCAGAAACAACGATTGGTAGGCACATCGGCTGATACAACAGCTTTATCTGCACATGTATCTGTGAGTGCAGGAGGCGTTGTGGATGCTGACCGCACAAAATTGATTACAAGGCAAGCTCTTTCATACACAACTTGGCAACTGATGGTTAACGTTAAATGTTTAACTATTAACTTACTGATAGGCTTGATCCGTGTTCTGATAGTGTTCGGGTCAACCTGGTAAGCAAGTATTATGTCACCGGAATTCGGAGTCGGTCAGAAACATGAAACATGTTGTCTTTTGGTTGTCTTACTACAGTATACCTTCCATCTGGAAGCTTCCTTACTAGGACCCACTTCTGACCTGTATTTGTACTTCCTGCCAGCCATCGCATGGGGTCTATGTATGCAGTAGCTCCGCCATAGGGCTGGCTCTTTGCACTTCGGAGCTTTATGAAGCTTTGAAATTCCGGTCCGTCGCCGTATTACAATGCATTACCATTAGTAGGTCACTTGCAGCTAAGCATGTTAACGTGTCCTTATCATTATGAAATGTGTGCTAGCCCTGCCTGGCCATTCAGACAGGATTAGGATGGGATCGTACGAGCATGAACTTGGGTCGTGTTTCAGAATGTGCTTGGGATGGGTCCTCGATGATGCAAGAGGGATCATTGGATCATTGGATCGAGTTGGTCCAGCACAGTGAAGTATGAACTGATTCCTGCAATCCTCCAACGATGAAAATTTATAGGCCTACTATTTTCGTTGTGCCTTCACTCTCTGGATTCCGTCATAATTTCCGATTTAGACATTGTAATACAATTGCTTATCTACAACTTTAGATACAATCTCATGACCGTAATTGCCAACCCCTGGTTTCATCAGTAACGGGACAAGGCAGTGTGGAACAGATGGTCCTTGTTGGCAAGAGCGTATAGCCGTTCGAGAGCAGCTTTCGGCTCAGGATTAGCAACCATATTCCAATGAGCCTAGATGTGAGCAACACATCAGTACGTCCCCAAACCGGGTGGTTTGCCACGTACCTCAACACTTTGCCAACCGCCAACAAGAATAATTACATTTTTATCCTCCAGCGTAGGCCCAAACACGAGCATCTTCTTAGTGGAGTCTGAGATCTTAGTGAGGATATCAAACACCTCTGCGCGATGACTGGGGTTTTTGAGCGTGAGGAGGAGGACTTCCGTGACAGGCTGCTGGAGTGCGATGGGATGGCTGTTGAAAATTACATGGTACATCTTCGACCAGCCCCCGTAGGCGGGTTTCAGGAGTTCAAGCAGGCGACCGTATGAGGGAGCTGCTAGCATCGCCTGATGCTGGGCGAGGCTATCCCAGTCTGAAGCCAGGACATTACCGCCCGGCCCTTCAAGACCAGCGAAATATATAAAACATACTGAGGAAGACGTAGCCTTTAGCAGCGTTCTCGATCTGCAATCCAACGTAGGCGGGCCTGTCGCGAAAATAGTATGATTAGGACACTTCATGCTATCGCTGATATCTACTAGCAGGAGAACGATACGCACATGCGGACACCGTCAGCCTTTGAAACCATGTCGAATGCAGGGCGTACGATCGACTGATCTTTACGAAACGCCTCTGTAGTGTCGAAGATGACGAGCTCAGTGGTGGGGATAGACATGATTGCAAGTGAAGCTTTGGGGATCGGTGCTCTTTGCAACTGATCAAACTAAATATATAGGTTTATAGATTTCCAATTTTTGTATGAGGCTGGGTTGCCCTGGGTGATACTTATTGCGAAACTCAAGTTTCTGCATCATCACGGACGGCTCTCGGTGTTCCTCAGCGTACACATGATCAATTTTATTTCAAAAAGCGGTACGTACATAGTAGTTTGGATCGATAAATAGACGATGGTATGTGTGAAGATACTCACGGATTCAGGAAAAGCGCCTATGAATACAGGGCATGCCATTACTTTGATGTTGAACAATCTGGGTGCGGGGATTTATTTCGTCAACAAGTATTCAGGGAGGACCACGTACATCTCACAAATGGTGGCTGCCCTCAGAATATCATCTATAGTTTCAGAGTCCACTTTCAAGCTTCATGTTCTGCCCAGCCGCAGCCTTGTCCGCGTTACGGTAGCATGAGCCGGATGTAGTAGGGCTGCCTTGACTTGGTCGATGACCGCCAGCTATCGAATAAAGATCTATAGATAAGCCAGAGTAGGTCTTCACCCTTGTTCGTCAGATCCAGCTGCAATTGTTACCAGAGTGTCTCATATACTCGGCCATCGGAAACTCCTTGCACGCTATCGAACGCAGTCAATACACCGTTTCAGATAGGGTTAACACGGACCTTTCAGGCCGAGAAGCGGGAAACCTATCGGATAATTGAGCAGAACCTCAAGGCAAAGGGCTCCAATGGCTAATCAGAGATCCACAAGTTGTTAGTAACGGTACTGTGAAAATGATGCAAATCAGGACCGGAATTCGCAGGTAGCAAAGGTGGCAAGTAACCAGTTATTAGTTCATAAAGGCAACGCATGCGCTGTAGCCATGACCAATCATAGAACGCCGAGTGGTTTTGGTATCACTGACTTCATACTTTTTAAGCCAACAGCTTGAGGGGAACTAACGGACTGGTACAGACTCTGCAGAATCCGACGAACATTGCCTAGTGGGGTAACGTTCCCGCGCCACAGTGACTAAGTCTGTTAGCGAACATCGGTGAAAAGTTAAACGCCACTATCTCAGACCTTACACGTGTGTGCCCTTGTGTACCCCAGGTCCCCAGGTAAGTATTCCGGCTATTTGTTACCCCAAACTCCAAACCGACCAACGTGCGACGCGACAGTTTGCATTGTTTATTACTCATATGAACTACATGACGCATCAATCACTCACAGTCAAGACTTCTTTATCCCACACATTTAGTTTCGAATAGGTGGATGAGCTATCCACAAACTCTAGGATCTATTGCGCATACTTTACCTACCACTAGACTTAGTTGAACTACCACCTTATACGACTCGGAATGATAAGGTGAGCTGCGAGTGAATCATTTGTGTTCCGAACTTCCCTCTCCAGATGGAACCAACTTGTATGCAAATCTCCCTTCATCTGGGTTGTTCCTCCAATGATCCCGCTAGTGTCTCACTATTGGAGTTTTCAGCCCCTCCACATTGTGGTCTATAATTCGGTGCCTCCGCCTCGGCAAGAAGTGAGACACCCTCCCCTTCCTACATCCCTTTAGTTCAAAGTGAATTTGGCTAGCGTCATGATCGCCTTCCGTAGGCGTGTCTGAGCAAGGCATGGCAAGCATTGATAGCGAAGCCAGATGAGCGCAACAGGTATTCTTATTGGACCTTCTTAGCAGCTTGAATGACTAAAGTCTCTGATGCAGGAGCTTATAATATACATTTTTTTTTGCGTGGTATGCAACCTCAGTAGCCTTCACTATCAACCGCTCCTTTCATTGGTAAGGGGGTCAAGGTGGTGTGGGACACATGTTCCCGGTTGACTAGAGTTCTTAGGCGTTCCATCGGAGCTTGCAGCTCAGGACGAGTGACCGCCTCCAAATGAGCCTAGAAGTCAACGACAGCATCAGTAGATCCACAAACACGATAATTTCCACGCCTACCTCAACGCTCTCCCAACCGATAACAAGAAACATCAGATTCTCATCCTCCAGCGTAGGCCCAAACATGAGCATCTTCTTAGCGGACTCCTTGAACTTAATGAAGAGGTCAGACACCTCTGCGCGATAACTGGGGTCTTTGAGCGTAACGAGGAGGACCTCCGTGACAGGCTGCTGAAGTACGACTTGGATGGGATGGTCGCTGTTAAAGATCACATGGTACTTCTTCCCCGGGCTCGTGAAGGCGGGTTTCAGCAATTCACGCAGAGGGCCATGCGAGGGGGCCGCCATCGCAGCCTCGTGGTGCTCTCGGCTATCCCAGTCTGAAGCCAGGACATTAACATCGTTTTCCCCTCTTTCAGACTCGGATTAGCGAAATATGTAACACGTACTGAGGAATACGTAGCCTATAGCTGGGTCCTCGATCTGCAATCCGATGTAGGCAGGCCTGTCGCAATAATGGAGTAATTAGGCATCCCCGTGCTACCGTAAATATCTACTTGCAGGCAAACGATACGCACATCTGGACACCATCAACCTGTGAAAGTAGGTCCAACGCAGGGAGTAAAATCGACTTGTCATTGCGAAGCGCCTCTGATGCCCCGAAGATGATGATTTCAGTGGTTGGGATAGACATAATTGTGGGTAAAGCTTTGGGGATCAGTGCACTTTAAAACCGATCACCTATAGGTTTCCCGATGAATTTTCAATTTTCTTGTGACACTTGGCCAGTGTTCGTACCGCGTGCTTGATCTTCCTGCTTGTCATTTCGTTTATAAACCGCGGCAAGTTCAACGCATAAGTACATCGCGACACCTGACAAACGTGCCATGCACCTTTTACACACCTCCCAGTGACCTGTATACTAGTGACCAGCTCGTCTATGAGGCAGTATCGACGGGCTGGTCATCAGTCTAAGTGACGTGGTATGGCCCTAACGGCGGCACGTATGGTGGGACTGTCATACGTCACGTGGCAAGAAAATCAGTGAATTTCCAAATTCCAACTCAAACCGCCGTTCCGGATCCTTCACTCGATCTTCGTTGTCAATTGAGGATTCGTTCATCTTAGCGTCCGACCTTTTCTTTTGTTTACTCCATGTTCGTTGTCAATTGAGGATTCGTTGGCATACATCCTGATATCCATTCTATGGTGCGCGACACGCGTCACTTAGTAGCCACCAGTACTTTTGTTCAATATGCCTTGCCACGCCGAACGTTCAACAGAATTTAATTCATAATGTAGCATTACAGAAGGAAGCAAGCTACTTCACCCACAAACGACTCCCTTCGCTGGAGCCCATCGAAATACTTGGTGTTGAATTCAGTCCAATCGAGCTGGACGCCTTTGTCCACAAGATATAATCTTGATCTTGGGGTGTCGAACCGTGTGGTCCACCCGTGTGTGTCTCACGCGATTCTCGTGTGCCCTCCACTACATGACGCTGAACCTCCACCCTCCATGACGCTCTTAGTCGCACCTGCCGCATCCAACACATACTTACCCTACACCCGCGCCATTCTCGCAATCACAATCTAGGTATAACATATGAATACCCACCTCAGCCTCAAATTAATATCAATATGCTAGTCCAACCAGTGACTCGTATTGTTAGTACCTCGTCCGGACCCTCTTATAACCATGTGACAACCATTCTACGTGTCAGTCCTCCACTCACTGCTATTGAATACCAGGATCTTGTGGTAGTAGCCTCCAAGATCCATTCCGTCATCGTGAACAATGCTTACCGGGATCGCCACTACTTATTTTTGGCCTGGAGTTTCGCATGCTTTCGTCCCAGGTTCTGCATCCGGATTCATGTTTTTGATGCACCTGAAAATTACCGTCTTATTGGTATGAAAGAACCCGCAATCTGTAGGGATCGTATAGTCCCTGCTGCTCCCCGCATAAGCGTTATCCTTTACTAGGTCACCGAGCTCTGCCCGTCCTACGACGTACGATTGTTGACATCGACTTGTCCGGAGGCCACATAACCTTGTACACATTACAAGAATTCGATGGGTCCTCTCGGTGCCAAATCATCTATCTCCTTCACGTAACAGCCGCTATTTATATTTGCCATCGTGCGTTGTCCATGTCACTCCATCGTTCCAGGCCCTGCACTTCGCCCAGACCTTGTGCCAGGCTACGTGGCCTTTCTGGAGTCACAAATCATGATTTTAGAGATGCTCCTTTCCGTATCACCCAAAATGTTGGTCCATCGATATGAAAAGCCCTGCACTCAGAGACGCCTGTCACGATCCCCTGGTCGGACTGGGGACCCAAGCACGTGTGCTGCTTTCTACATCACGAAAGCCACCGAATCGATGTGTTCGGTCCGAAGCTCTTCCTCGATATCGTACCCCTACACCTGGACATAGCCTGGAAGCACTCTCCGCTGACGGTCACTTCTACGTGAACATCAGGACTTCAATCAGCGAGTCGTTGCACGTTCAAAAATATCTACGACTTCGACTCACCAGTCCATCTCATCTGCAGGCCTGGTCGACTAGCTCAGGCATATTTCATTGGAGACTCTACATCCTTACATTGCTACTGTTTCCCACGAGTCTTTTTCGACGCGTGACCTTCACGGATTATTCTTGGAGCAGGATCGGCTTGCTTTAACATGGGTAAGGTGTTCCCGTTGTGAATATAGCGATGATTTAATGTGGGCAAACTGCAGTTGCGAAGTAACGGCGCGGTTGATATTTGGGTCGTTCCCCCTGTACAGACGGAGGTTGGCATCCGATGGCTCGGAGTCATCATAACCACAATGCCGCACTGACTGAGACTCTCATCCGCCAAGAAAGTACCCCGTATTCAAGGACACGGTGGACTTTGAAGCCCAGGCAAAAAGAGCAGGCTATCGTCCCCCAAAAGAACCTAGAAATTTACTGTCCTGGCCAGTCTCCCAATCAGTACAACCATAAAACATCCGCGACTTAGATAAATCTTCTTCTAGTATCATCGTCACCGGCGACGTCTAGTTATAACCATTGAATTCTCCGGATATTTCTTACCCCAAAGTTCGAACTGACCAACATGTAGCGCGACAGGTTGTTTACTATGTTACTCACAGTCAGGACATCTTATCTCATATCCCACAAGTTCAATAGACTTTTGAGTTGTCCACAAACCCTAAGATTACTTATGGTCGACCAACTTTGCAAGTACAACCGTAATTATACAACTTGGAACGAAATGATAAGGTGAGCTGCGAGTGATTCGTGTTCTGAACTTCTCTCTGCAGAAGGAACTAACTTGTATGCACATCCCTATTCTCCCTGGACTTCTGTGTTGTTCCTGCAATCGGCTAGTGTCTCACTGTTGGAGTTTTTAGTTCCTTCGCATCGTTGTCTGTATTCCGGTTCCTCCGCCTCGTCAATTCCGCATGTAACCCTTTCTGTAACCCTTTAGTTCAAGGCGAAGTTCGCCTTCAGGAGGTATGATGCTCTAAGCGTCATTTACTACTTGAACATTCTTAGCACTTGAATGGATAAAGTCAGGAGCTAGCATTTATAATTTACAATTGTTGCTTTGTACACGACCTCAGTAGCCTTCACTATCAACCGCTACTTTCATTCGCGAGTGGTCAAGGCAGTATGGAACAGATGGTCCTTATTGACCAGAGTGAATAACCGTTCGATCGCAGCTTTCGGCTCAGGATTAGCGACCATCGTCTGATGAGCCTGAAATTCAACAACAGCATCAGTACATCCAAAAACACGATAATCCGCAAGCCTACCTCAACGCTCTCCCATCCGCCAAGAAGAGCAATCACATTCTCATCCTCCAGCGTAGGCCCAAACACGAGCATCTTTTTAGATAACTCCGTGAACTTGGTGAAGATGTCGTATACCTCTGCGCGATGACTGGGGTCTTTGAGCGTGACGAGGAGGACTTCCGTGACAGGCTGTTTGAGTGCGATGGGATGGTCGTTAAAGATCACATGGTACATCTTCCCCGGGCTCGTGACGGCGGATTTCAGGATTTCACGCAGATTAGCATACGAGGGGGCTGCCATCGCTGCCTGATGGTGCTCTCGGCTATCCCAGTCTGAAGCCAGGGTATTAATATCATCGCCCCTTTTCAAGGACTATTGAAATATGTAACACGTACTGAGGAACATATAGCCTGTAGCTGGGTTTTCGATCTGCACTCCAACGTAGACGGGCCTGTCGCGATGATTAGATCTCCCCGTGCTACCGCTGATTAGCAGGAGAACGATACGCACATTTGGACACCATCAGCCTTTGAAACTATGTCGAGCGCAGGGCGTAAAATTGAGCTGTCTTTGCGAAACGCCTCTGAAGTGTCGAAGATAAGGATTTCAGTGGTCGGGATAGACATGATTGCGAGTGAAACTTTGAGGATCAATGCTCCTTATCACCACAATATATATCATCGGATTTTCAAATTTCATGCGGAACAAGGTCCAATTGTTCGGCCAGTGCTCCTGCCTATCGCGGACGGCTTCATCAACGTTAATTTCAAGAACAAGCGGAACGTACATAGCAACTCGACTGACAGCGGGGAAACTGACATTTTACCACCTTTTGCCGCCAGTGAAATTACATTCGAAAGTTAATCTAGAGTGCTCTGGAACGCTCTAGGCTAGGTCTGGCATGCTCTAGCCAGGTCTAGATCTGCTTTTGATTAAAACCTTGCAAGAGGCAAAATGTTGAAACCCCCGATGTGTGAATATACAGAAACTGGTATTTATGAAGATACCTCACGGAATGACATAGATCCAAGAAAAGCACATATGAATACAGGCCATGCTAACTTATAATCATTGCTACTCGGATGGTTCTGAACATCATGGAGTGCAGAGATCATTCGTCCGAACATGCGTCGACATCCCACAGATGGCAGCTGCTCTGAAAATATCATCCAACGTTTCAGAGTTTACTTTTGAGCTTTTTCCTCTGCTCGGCTGCAGCTTGTCCACGTTGTAGCATGGGTCGTATATAGGGCTGCCTGAAATGAATAAACGACGACCAAATATCGAACAAAGACGTACAAGATAAGCCGGAGTAACCTCATCCTTGTTCATGGGCTCCAGCTGCACTCGTTTCCAGAGTGCCTCGTATACTCGGCCATCGGAAACTCCTAACGCACTATTGAACGCAGTCAATACGTGAAGCCGTACATGAATGGTTTATACACACCTGTCGAGGGACCAGTCCGAGAAGCCGAAGGCATCGGTTAGTCCAATAACATTGGGCAGAACCTCAAGGCAAAGGGCTTTAATAGCTAAACGGAGGTCCTGCGTAGGATCACCAGCACCCGTGTGACGGATCAAGCCAACCGAGAGGAGATCCACAAGGGCGCTCTCAGCAGTCGTTAGCAAGTACTGTGAAATGATGTAATCAGAATGTCTGCGGGAGGCAAAGATAGCAACTAACTAGTTTATAGAGGCAGCCGACAGCCTTCGCATCCTCCGAGGGCAAGGTTTTTACATTATTGATCATCTCGCCGACCTGCGCGGCAACAAAAGCCTCTGTTATTGCTTTTGCCAAGCGCTGGTTGGCGTTCGTATCGACATCTCCCGTTTTCGTGAAGTTCTTCATCATAAGAGCAGCACGCCACTCTAGAAGAAGGACAACGCTGGGGACATCCTGCCAAGTTGACGCGGTGACTTGTGGAGGGACCGCACTATTTGCAGACAAGTGACGTAGATAGATCGATGGAAGGGGAAGTTTGGCGACAGCCGAGGCCGACGAAAGCACAGCTTTGCATAACTTTGTGGCGGCACGTACCACCTGTCCGTCCAGAACGAAGTTTTCCCCTTCGTACCTGGGTACCTCTTCAATGTCATCTAACACCCAGAAGGTATAAAAAAACGCACGTTACGGCGGGGAGGTAATCAGCGTATAATCGGCCCAGCCCAGCAAATGCGCTGTACCCATGACCACCCATAGAACGCCGAGCGGTTTCGATATCACTGACTCCATGCGTAGAAACTAAAACTTTTAAGCCACACAAGAGAGCGTGCATCTCTGGAAGAAGGGAAGTGTCTCGATTCGCAAGCTGCTCCAGCATCACACTCAATGCTTTTTTCTAACCATGACGAACGTAAGTACTTGGATTAACAGATGGAGGGGCAGAACAAACCGTATACACCCCGAGCTCAATGAATACGAATGCCCTGGAGAGGATGGGCAATAAGCGGTAGTATGTTGAAGGGTACGTCAAGACTTGACGCTCGAGTCCCTTCGCATCCAGTTCGCCTTGTCTCCTGACAGTGGTGTAACGAATAGCAACTGTGGCAGCTGCGAAAGAATTAGGTTTGGAATGGCGCTGAATGATTAGAAGTGTACCTTTAGCTATGTTCCATCCGGCTGTTGGTATCATGCTAAAATACAACGTTAGTCTGTTGAGCAAGCCTAAAGATACTTGACAGACTTTGCCCTGATATACATCATCTATGCATATTCCGTCAGCGATGTCAATTGAAGGACGAATTAAAAACATTTACCCCTCCATAGCTGAGTTTTGCGTGAGGAGGTTGGATATAATTACCCTCCATCGTAACCTCAGCAAACTTCGAGAACATGTTAGTCCTGGGTATCCGTATGTGATCAAATCTCGCAAAGCCTTGATCAAGTGCAGCCGAGCCTGCAGCGAACACATCAGATTGGTTATTGTAGCTTAAGATTTCACTTACCTCCCCCAGCCTTTGGACCAATGTCGCCAACAGTGATTCCTGGGAGAGGTTTGTGATCCTCTGCAAGAGCATTTAGTACTGTCATAAATCGGGGACCGAACAGGCAAACCTAATGACCGCAGCTGCACGAAGAAGAGGTGAGGACCCATATCCTTCCCACCCGGCAAGATTAACTTCGCCTGGACAACGCCGTGAGTTGCAGACTTTCCCACAGCACCGATCCACCATTTCGTGCTTGTGAGACTGGGGGAGTTGATTTCGAACTCTTGAGTTTCAGGGATATATGTCGAAGTTGTTTCTAGACGAGCTACGTTTGTACCGTGGCCGAGTTCGGTCTGCAAGTAGCACCTGAAGACTTCCGGTGAGCTTAGTTCACGCAAAGATGAATTGAAGCCGATATACCCTTGAATGCCCTTCTCGTCCACCAAGTCCCAATATTTTTCCATCAACTCAGAAGATCCTTGACCGAGGAAGACGGGCTGGAATGCTTCGTGATTCATGAGTATTTAGTCAGTGTTAAGGACACGAGACTGCATACCAATGTCGTGCAGTAGGGTCGACATCCCTTCGGAAAGAAGTGATGTGGCTGTACTATACTCTTCTGCAGACCAATTATGAATCCGACGCAACTCATTGATCCTGTTTATGATGGCAGCAGCTCTAATATATTGATCTGTCCGCCCTAGAAAGTCCCTGAGAGACTACGTCACACGAAAGACAAGATAGTTGGCAACGACCTACCTCTGCTGTTTGTCGAATAATGGTTCTTGCACAAGAATCTTTTGCAGGCGTTCACGCAGATCCCACACTTTCTGTCCACCTGAGCGAAGTTAGGACGCTACAAGAACTAAGATACCTGAGAATGTTCACCATATAGATGGTTCCTAACGGTCTGTACGTTGATCGAGGTTCGCGAACGCGCTGCCTCCATATCAGCCGCTGTCTGTTGGTTGACATCCACTGTTGGCGCCATTGTCTTTGTGCTGGTAATTCAGGATTAAGGATGCTCCAATTGATGGAGGATACTTTATATCTCAACTATACGTGGCAGGATACGTGAGAGCCCGTGATTCTCGGTTGATCGCCGTAAGTACCGGTAGGCAATAGGATCAATATGATAGAAGAAGATTAGCGCATGCCTTGACCTTTATGTAAAAGCTCCGAAAATGGTATAAGTTGTAGTACAGTTTTCGGGAGCACCTTGTCTCAGCTCTTTTCAACTGGGTTGAATTACCGTCTAGAGGAACTGGTACTCGTTCATACTTAATAACCGAATAGGTAGCTGATGATTTTTCAGACATTTCATTGAAATGCGCCTTATCCTCGTCCATTCGTTACTCTTTTCCTTCGGCCTGGCTCGGGCAGCTGTAACTGCCTATGGTCCGCATGTCCAGTCACCATTTGTGACTACGACAGCTGCCTCTGCCTCATACACGGGTGCTGCTTCATATGATCAATCAACATTAGTTGCACCGGCCCCGCCTAATCCTCCCCCGCCCACTCAGTTCGCTGTAGAGCTGCAGACTGGAAATGCATCGGGACTCTCAATACAACAAGAAGGTTCATTCTTTGGCTTCAGTGTGGAGTTTAGTGTTACGACGCAAGTCCGTAAGTACTTCCCTTACTTGCATGTGTATCTACTAAACGTGTCTCGTAGTCGGGCTAAACAGGTAACAAACTCGGTTACTGACAAGTGGGAATGGTAATTAATTAATGATTGGCAGTTCTTTCCTTCAAGTGCCATTTCTCAACCTTATGGCCAACTTGCGACAACGCGGAGGCAGCGTCAAGGTTCGCGTCGGCGGCAATACTCAAGAAACCGCCACCCTAGTGAATAGCACCCCGGACGGTGCTGCTCTCGAGAAGGACTATGGAAGTTCATCTAACCCCGTAAGTGCAACTTTTATCTACTGAACTATCCTGAAATAAATACACCTTCAAGACGGCGACGCCGCCCCTTGTCTTCACAAGCGAGATCATCAAGATGATGGCCGAGATATCTGCACTCACCAACGTCTATTGGTACATGGGTATGCGATACACGATGATGCTCTTGTTATTCCTGAATTGACTTCTTGCACAGGTGTGCCGTTCAATGACACTCAGCATTGGCGTCTGCAAATCGCCGAAGTCGGAGAGGCGATGCTTGGAAAATATTTAATTGGTTTACAGGTATGTAATATGACGTATAATATGACCAATCTCTCATTGCTTTTGCTTTAGGCTGGCAATGAACCTGATCTTTACTCAAGACACGGACACAGGCCTGGTGTAAGGTTTTTCCGGGCTCAGTCTGTATCTCGTTGCTGATCTCGTTGCAGTCTTATAGTCCTCAGGATTACAAAGACGAGTTTGGTCTTCTCATCGACGCAGTGAACGCAGACTCTAATATTCCCAACAAAAATCTGCTCATTGGCCCCAACCTGGCTGGTGTATGGAGCCCACCTGACATCTGGCAAACCGGGTTCGCCACAGACTTCAACCAAAACCTCGCTGGATTGGCTGTTGAAAGGTGAACAATGAATTGCTTATCGCCGATTATCTTCCGGCTCACAACATTGAAGGTACCCCACTGATAATTGTTACGCCGAGTTCGGAATAGGCACTCCTCGTTATGGCCAAGAGATGTTCCCGACCTACCTGACGCATCAATCCGGTAAAGACATCGTCAATGAGTTCCCCGGTGCGCCTGCCTACGCACAGTCCGTCGGAAAGCCCTTCATCATGTCCGAAACAAATACGGCGTCTTGCGGAGGTTTCCCCGGGTTGAGCGACAGTTTCGGGGCCGCCCTGTGGGGAATTGACTATGCTCTCCAGCTAGCGTACAGCAATTTCTCGACTGTGCTTTTCCATGTCGGTGGACAGAGCGTATATTATAATGTATGTCCAACTTGAACCTTGTCGTTGTTCAACCTCTAATCATTGTCCCCTGCAGCCCTTTACGCGTTCGTATTGGTTGTCCTACCTGGATGGAGATTGACACTAACTCTGTCCTTTAGCACCTGTAACAAACCAGTCGTCATTCCATCAGTGGACCATCGGTATGAGTCACCTTGCATCATCTCTTCGTTGGGTGCCCATGAAGCTCCTTTTGCAGGTCCGATTTATTACTCGGCTCTGGTAGTCGCAGAAGTACTGGGCTCCTCCAATGTCGCGCAAGTTCTGGACCTGGATGCAAATAGTGGAAACGACTACACTCCGGGTTATGCGATTTATGAAAATGGTCAGCCAGTCCGTGTTGCGCTGACCAACTTCATCACGGATCCGTCTGGAGATAACGATTACACTGCGAGTATTTCGATCGGGGGCACAGTGCCTGCTCAAGTGACAGTCAAGTGAGTGATCCTGTGTTGTCGTGGATGGTTCTTTGCTAACGCTCACTCAGGTACTTGCTGGCTGACTCCGTCTCTCAGAGATACAACTTCACATGGGCTGGACAGGTGTGCATCGCACCCATTACACGTTGATCACGTAGACTGACTATCGAATAGACCTTCGGCGACGTATTCACGTCAGATGGGCGACTTGTCGGCGCACTCGACGTTCAGACCATTCCCTGTGATCAGATCAACAACGTCTGTCAAGTCAAAGTACCTGCTCCTGGTTTCGCCCTTGTATTCCTCACCGACGACGCACTGTCCGAGTCCGACCAGGGCCAAACAATGACCTTCCCAACCACGGCATATACAAAGATCACTCATGGACCGACCGTCAGCATTGACGCCTCCGTTCTAGCAACCTCGAACGGCGAGAAGGGATTATCCGGCGCGTTGGCAGGAACGAGCCAAGGTCGACCTGTAAACAGCGCTCTTGGATTTGCGCAAGCGCTGCCTAGCTTGGCCGGTATCCTTGCCGGCGCTCTCATGATCGCTCGTCTGGCCCTCGTGCAATGACTCTTTGCCTTCATCGTCCTGAGTCTAGTAAGTCAGGATCTTCCCTTTCGTTCATTCACCTGCATTGGCATCGGACTTGCATCGGACTCCCATTTACATGCATATATATCCCTGAATCCATCAATCGTCACTGCTGTTTGTAGCATAACATCCTTTCTTTGTCGTCTTCTTTGGCCCCTGGGATCTCGGACCTACGTACATTATACCTTACACTAATGGTACCTAACCACCGTCTTTCTGTCAATCACTTACCATTGCATTCCTTGACTGCTCGCAAATTGAATCGTTTGTTAGCATGGCGCTCAGAAGACAGGTGGCGTACGGCTGAATTTATTTCAAGACGCAACCGATCACGAAGTTCAGCCGAGGGCAGTCCCGGGCGGAGCAACTTGACGCCAGCAACCGTGATCCTTCTGCCGTCGATAGTGTTTGCCAGCACCAGCGGGCAAACTTCATTAGCATCCTCATGCTTTCTGGTGAGCCACCATCCTATGGGTTTGGATGTCAGCAGCATTAATCAGTCATAGCCTCCTCTCCGCGGGCCTCCCACTGACCAACGGGTAGAGCATTATCCCCGTCTGACAGTGCTTGCATAGCTATCTCATGCTTCTATGCTCCTTTCCTGACGCTCACTGCGCTCATGGCGGATCTTTGATGATTACAAGGATTCGAACTCGCATTCAGGTAGCTTGTGAAAAAATGCTATTGCTCGAGCGTATGAATACCAAATTACTCTGTAAACTGCTTGAAAGCTTCAAAGTAGCTAAGAAAGAGGCATCTATTATCAAGCGGTCTCATCCCTTCGTCCTTCAGCTTCTCGGGACATGGCTCAAATATCTTGAGCTTGCAAACAATGGTTTCTTCATCGGGTTAGTCGCCGCGCTCTACACATTGGCTGAGTTTCTTGGTGACCGTAATCTTGTAGAAGGACGGTGAAGTACCGATCATGATGATGCCGGGAATCATCCCCTTCGCCAAAGGCTCTTCCCCAGGCCTCTGCATCAGTGTATTGCCGTGTTGAATTGCCCCAATAGCTTCTGCAATAAGTTACGGTTCGACCAGGACTCTTGTTGTTTCGTCTTCAAGAGAGAGATTGGGTTTCGCACTGGTTTCCCCAGGCACGAAGAACGGGATCTGCTTCTGGAGGCGAATGACTCGGTCGACACTGTCATTCCCGAGTAAAAGAAGAGCTGTTGAGTGAATTCATCAACAGAACTTTCCTCCTCGGGTGGATCCGCCATCGAAAGTTTCAGATAAAAGAAGTTCTGAGCAGATTTATCTGATATCTCGTGAAGGGAATAGTTTGCGTTGTCCACAATCTCGTGATGGACAGATGGAGCAGACAAGTCACATCCAAAGAAGTCATTGGGCTCCTGCTCGTCATTGATGCTGATGTTGTGTGCACCTAGGTCATGTACTGTCCACTCAGATGGTGGCTTCTCTTGGCACGATCGGGGTCAGCCATTCGTGCTGTTGAACATATTATTAGATATACGCAGGAACCTAATAATCCAACGTACTAAAGGTGGGGTAGAGCAGATTGTCTGAACTAACTTGGCCGCGTTATCGTGTTCTGGGGTTCGAAAAGTAGCTCGTCAAGGTGGTTGACGGCGTGCACGCGAGAGTTCCGGTAGGAGACAAAGGGGCTGTGAGGAGACGTGGTGGCCCTGGTGCAGGTCACAGCAGCAAGAAATTGAGCGGATCACGCTAACAATCGCGTTCCCAGGATAAAAGAGTCAGCACTCTCGTGTGCGCAGGTGGGCGGTCACGCTCGTGGTCGAGGATGTGAGGGGCAGGATACGAGCGAGTCCTTGTGGAAACCTGAGGACGTCTGACGTGGACGTGGGGGTCGGAATACGAGGAGGTCGTTGTAGAGGCTGCAGTGGCGAGAAAGCGAGCTTATCACGCTAATGTTACTCCGCGGTCAGCACTTCCGCGCCCCCAGGGGCCAGGATCGTGGATTGCCAAGTACTCCAGTGCTCCACCACAAAGCCTGATGGATTACTTGCATTTCTAGTATATGATTTCAACAATAAATAAAATACCTTCGTCTCCTCATACTCACGTTCATTGATCCTATATCATGTATCAATTCATTCCCGACTTAAACACAGAGATACATACCAACTCCCCCAGAAGAAACTGCTTGAACGCCTCATAACAACTCAGGATGACAGCTCTGTTATTCAAAGGTTTTCATCCCTTTCTGGCTCAACGAAGCGAGATCTTCAACAGGCAGCACCAGTTTGTACACAATGATTGGATCTGCAGGACGTCGAACAGTGGTATGCGTTTGTGCATGTGAAGGCAGGAAAGATTCAGGCTACCATTGTACCGGTTGTACGAAGAAGATTGTGAGCAAAGTCATCGACTGCTGTTTCGTTGGGTGGAGGAGTCATCACGTCTGTCAGATACAGGAAGAAATCTCGATGATCTAGATTTTCTGATATCCCATCAGGGGGACATGTTTCATTGTCTAGAATCACCTGATGGATGGATGACTGAGGCAGATTGGGATCCCCAAAGAAAGCAGCGACATCCTGGGGAGTGACAGTGATGTTGTAGAAACGAAGGTCATTTTCTGTCCATGCAGATCCTGGCCTGGAGCATTGACTCGGATCCAGGATACCTTCAAGTTCAACTGCCATGGGGGCTGTTACACCTATCAGACACACAAAATCCAAAATACCGATATTGGCATACTAAAAGAGTTTATCGAGGTTATGAGAAAGTGGTTTGGTTTCCGTAGGTACTGCTACTTGAAGTGGACAGGAGGTAGGGCAAAATCGAGATGTAGCCACCTTATCTAATCTCCCATTTTATTTTCTGATATCAACAAATGAAATATTGATGCTTCCTTGCGAGCGCCCCAGCTGAGGCTTCAAACGAGCGCTTTCGTCTGCTGCTTTCTATTTTCCTGGATTATTTTCTGTTTATTACACATGTCTACAGAACCTATTGCAGCTTCTGAAGAGGAAAAACGGGTTGCGGGAGAGGATACGGTAAAGCATGAGGGAAGTGAAGATGAGAAGCTTCAGAACGCTCGCAAGCAGAGTACGTCTTTTATCTGTTATCTTTCTGCAGATGAATGATAATTGACTTCAATTGATGTCATAGTCGAGTTTTATTTCGCAGACTCGAACTTGCCATTCGATAAGTGAGCATAATCTTCATCCACTGCGCGCATGGCTAATATGGTTCAGGTTTATGTGGAGTCTGCACACATCAAATGCAGAACACTGGGTACCCATCAAAACCGTCTCTTCGTTCAAGCGCATGCGAGAGTATGCGTCGAACGGCCATGATTGGATAGTGAAAGCCTTACGAACAAGTGAGGAACTGGAAGTGGATGAAGCGGGCGAAAATGCTAGGCGTCGCACCGAGGTACAACCACCGAAGGGCCAGTTTGAGAGAAGTATCTACGCGGTGAGCCAGATCATTGAGGTATCGACAACTATGCTCATGTGCGGTACTGCAGAAAGGGTTTGGTGAGGAGACTTCCGATTTGCAGAAGAAGTTGGAAGAGTTTTTCAACCAGTATGGACAAACCAATGCTGTTAGGATGCGTCGTGTAGATGGGAACAAGCAGTTCAAGGCATGCTTCTACACTTAATCAAGACAAACTTATGTGCTCATGTTTTTGCAGGGATCAGTCTTCGTCGAATTCGCAGATATGAAATCCGTTGAAACATTCCTAAATGCTGACCCTAAACCATCTTGGGATGGCACTGAGCTGCTGATTATGTCCAAGTGCGATATTTCCCGTCTCCTGACTTCTTTCTCTAATGAACTCCAGGGAGGACTACTGCGACATGAAAATAAAGGAAAAGGGTCTTACTGGCAAGACTGCTGACATGCGCAAGGACAGCATCGCAAGCCGGAAGGGATTCAATGCGTTCAAGGAGATGGAGGACGAGAAGAAGGGGAAGGGTCCAAAGGGCAAAGACAAGTCCAACCCTGAGGTCTGGCTCGAGTTCATGGGGTCTAAGATTCGTGTGCAAGAGGAAGATGGAGGCAGCGTGAAGAGTGAAGATGTGCCATATATCAAGGGCGCAACAATGAAGTTCACGGGCTGTGGTGGGGATGCTAACTTCACAGATATGAAGGTGACTTGGTGTTTTCCACTCCGTTGTTTAAGTGTCTGACTTCCCGAGCCAATAGACTCCATTGAGGGAACGCTTTGCCCGCGTACCGTACATTCAATTCTCAAAGGGAGATGACTTTGGTCTCGTTGGATTTGACAAGGCCTTGACGGAAGACGAGATTGACTTCGTGAAGACCAACCTGAAGACCGTAAACTCCAAGGAAGTCCAGTGGTCGGTACCCGAAGGTACTGTCGCCCTTCATATTGTGCAATCTATGACTTACCCTTGTGATCGTGTCGCAGAGGAAGATGAAAAACAATTCCAGATAGATCGCGCTAACTTTGCTGCGCGGTCAGCCCTCTCGCGTTCTCAGGATCGAAAAGGTGGTTCATCACGAGGTGGTCGAGGTGGTGGTCGGGGTGGTCGGGGTGGAAGTCGGGGTGGAAGAGGAGGGGGCCGTGGTGGGAGAGGTGGCGGCCGTGGCGGAGGTCGTAGTGGCGATAAAAACAAGGACAGCTCGTCCGCCGTAAAATCCGAGGAACAAAGCGGTGAAAAGCGCAAACGCGCCGTTGAGCCCGATGGTGGCCCTGACACTGGTGTCCGTGGTCAGGCTATCCCCACGATTGCGCCATCAAAAAAAGCAAAAACGGATGGTGCCTCGTAGTGTTACCTGTACGAATAAGCTGTGTGTATTCTCTGTGCGCAGTTGTATTTTGGGCAATGTATTTCGTTTTGGCCAGTGCAGGCGTAATACTCCAGTGACTCGATGGGGCAAGGCTGTGCTGATTCAGCCACACGATGGCAACGTTGCTTTAGCCCACATCCTCTTCAACTACTACTCTAGCGCCACCTGAACCACAGAGAACTTCCAACCTTGCGCTCCGATAATCCTTTCGCATCCGTGCCCTACTTAGAAATGGATGACAGGTAAGCCCGATTTCTCGCTCGCTCAAACCATATTGTTCTGAGGACTTCTCCACTCAGCTCTCAACCCGCTTCAAAGGATATCCCGTTTCAGAAACCTCTCGATACGCAAAAGGAGAAGTTTTCAGGCATGAAAGGGGATAAGGAGCCGATTGTGGGCGAATTGGAGGAGGAAGAAATCTTGAATTCTGAGGAGGTTGCTCTTGAGGGCTTTGTTGCTAACCTTAACTTTACGCTGGTCTCGGTGAGCCCAAGTCATCAAAGTAGTATCTATCGCATCTGACCACATATGGTTTTGTCCCGCAATTCCACTGGCAGGCGATCCTGTACATGGTCATTTGCTGGACGCATATGCTGGGACAAGATTGCCCGGTTGGTCCCGCCACGCATGAACGCCAAACGCTACCTCCGCCTCAATGTGCGCTCTTACACAGAATCCTATTCGTGTGCGGCCTCCTGAGTCTCTGCGTCGCATTCCCCATCGTTCTGGGCAAGATCCTCATGGGCCAGTACAAGATCAAAGTGAGGCTGCCATTTTACGGCCCTCCTCTTCGCCTCCCCAAGTCTCAGAGGCAATTCTTACGTGGGATATCGGCATCCATGCCAACGTGGTTCATGCAGATTCTGAAGTCATTGTCGCTTGTCTTTCCAGCCGTCCAGTTTGTGATGACTGTGGTATTATTAGTTGCACGTTTCTATCTCACTGGGTAACTCGTCCCTCCAAATACTTCCTCTTCTTGCAGAGTCTTTGCCAATTATCCTTCCACTTTCTCACCGTATTTAACATAACGATGCGTCAGTTTCAATGTAGTTTACACACATTGGTTCTTGTATCGCCTTGGCCTCCCGCGCATGTCCCTTCCTTCATTTCACTACGAGCATGTCTGATGTATACGATGATAGTCATTCCCTCGACTTTGAAGCTTTGACTTCATCAGTGAACTGGTGAACCGATTTAAAGCAATATATTGCCGGGCATCGCAATAGTATTGCGTATAACGATTTTATGTTTACTGAGTTTCTACGGGGCTCCAACTCCATTTGCCTCTGGCACGCGCTCTGGGCAGCTCTGACCATCTACACCACACAGAGAACGTCCCAGCCCTTGCGTTCTGAAAATCTTTTCGCATCCGCGCCCCACTCAGTAGAAATTAGGGTACGGACGATAAGTCATCCGACTGTTATTAACCTATGTTAAAAATCAAGTAGGATGCGTAGGGTTATTAACAAGCATGTTATTAACATGTTATTAACAGTCACGTGACCTAAAATTTGAATGTCCTTTGAGTGTGGGGTTGTGCTGGGACTCATTAGGTTGATGTTTGGTGAGGAAGGCTTCCGCCTGTCGCCAGTTGCTTTGGATGTCCAAGAGAGTATAGGCTTGGCGCCAAAACGTCAGAATCCAGAATGGAAAAGGTTGTTCAATGTCGGCATGGGCATAGATAATAGACCGGCTACCACCCGATATTGCATGTTGCACCCCTTCTAGGAGCTTGTGCAGAACCGCAAGCTGGGGAAGTGGCTGCGTGCGGAGATAATCGAGATATAAGCTGTCCTCAGGTGGGGAGTCAGTGCTAAAGTATTTGCGCAGTGGCGGAGCAGTGGTAATTGAAGCTGACGGGAGTGAGAATTGAAGGAATGACGAGACAGACAGATTCTTGTCTGGGAGAATAATAGATTGCACTGATACAGGAATAATGAGAATATCATCTGAGGCTTTTGTGTCGACGATGTCAGCCATTTCGAGTGCTCGACTGGTGCAAGAGGGAGGGAAAACAAGTTGAAAACTTCGTTGCGAGACACTCGAGTCCCATGTCAGACAACAGCTTGCTTCTCTGCAAGATTTGTGTTGCAAACTTCTAAGTCAATGATCTGCGAGGAACAGCAGAAGGTCGGAAGGCGACTCACAAAGACTATGGGGGTCAATAGACTTATTAGCACCATGTCACCCCCCCACGGCCGTGTGCCTGTTATTAACATGTTAATAACATGTTAATAACACACCTTTCTTAGCAGTGTTATTAACAACCCACTTTTCGTCCGTACCCTAGTAGAAATGGACGATAGGCAAGCCCAATCTCTTGCTCGCTCAATTTATATTGTTCTGAAAACTTTTCTACTTGGCTCTCAAAGTGCTTCGAAGGATATTCCTTTTCAGTCTCGCGACACGCAAAAAGAGCAGTGTGCAGACATGGAAGGGGGTTGGGGAACCGATTGCAGGCAAACCGGAAGAGGAAGACATCTTAAGCCCCCACGAGGTCACTCTTGAGAGGTATATCATCCTCCTTAACCGGCTACTAATTTCGGTGAGTTCAAGTCGTCGAAGTAGTATCTGTTGTTCCATCCTCTGGTCAGAAATGGTTTTTTCTCGCAACTCCAGGTAGCATTTTTCACGTATGCTTGCTTGTCGAGTGCACTACAACCAGATGCCTTAGGAGCGTCTGTTAACATCGATACCACCACCCACCACCTACGACCCTCAAACGCCTTTGCCGCATTACGTCGTGCGCGGGATTCTATTCGTCAGCGGCCTACTGAGTTTCTGCGTTGCACTTCTCATTGTTCTGGGTGGCGTTCTCACGGGTCAGTACACGCTCAAATTGAGAAAGCCGAGTTCCTATTCCGACCCTCGTCCCCTCGCCAGGTCTCGGCGACAATCTTTACGCGGGATGGCATCGCTGCCGGCGTGGCTCACGTGGATTCTAACGGCATTGCCATTTGTCTGGGCACTCCTCCTGCTTGTGATTTGCATGGCACTACTAGTCGTCGGGAGTTTCTGTCCCACTTGTTAACTTACCCTTCCAACGCTTCGAACATACTTCCTCTGATTTCAGAGTCGTCGCCAACTGTTCTTCTACTTTATCAAACCGTGTTCAGCGTAGCAATGTTTCGTATTGTCCTTTTGTAACTCGCCTGCAATAGGTATTTGTCATCCCTCATTCATGGGGGCCTGAAGCATGTTGGATCTTGAGAGCGGTCACCTTTGCCTCCTGCGTACAACCCATCCCTTCACTACGAGACCCGAATGAGAGTTTCTTTCCACACAAGTCTGTTTCCTCTTACGGTTCGACGAGTATCATGTCCTCGACAATAGACCAAAAGGTTCGCAGTAGATCATTTGCCCTAAGATTGAGTGATTGCCTCCAGCATAAGTATCGACTTTAACCACGTAGTAAATCCTGACACAAATGACGAGACTTTGTTCTAGAGGAATAAGACATTATACGACAGAATAATATTGACATGATCGGCCTGAGAGATTGTATCTAAACGTCCTTGACTTGTTCCTCAAGCCAGTTCCAAAGCTCTGATCCCTGCTGTGCATCCTGTGCATCCGGATGTGAATTCCCAACCCGTGCCCATGGAATAAGATACTGTGCGAGAACCAAGATGAGTTTCAAGTTGCGTCGGTAGAGAAGAGGACTAGCCTTTCCGTTCAGCTTCGCTCCTTCTGCAGTGGTTCCAGCGTATAGCTGTGTGAGCGGGCCGAACGATATATCATGGAGGATCATGTTCTACAAATATTGACATTAGCCTCTAGAAGGTTGAATGATATGTTGTAACATACGCCAATCATTTGAGTGAAGGAGCCATGATGACGCGCAAGCTCGGTCTTGATACCACCAGGGTTGAGGGCGGTCGAAATTATACCCTGGCTGCCATATTGCCTAGCTAGCTCAGCCGAAAATATGGCATTCCCCTTTCACGTCCGAGTTTAGTGGGGTCATACGATGGAGACAACACTTACCATCTTGCTTTGGCCATAGAGAACCATGGAACTCTTCTGTCGCCTGGCAGGAGAGTCCTTGAACGTGTTGTAGTCGAGACTGCCGAGCCAGTGGGCGTTAGAAGACGTGTTCACAACGCGTGCAGTGCCATCAGGTGACTGCGCAGCGGCCGCTATAAGTGCAGGCATAACGAGCTTTGTGAAGTAGAAGTGTCCCAGGACATTTGTCCCAAATTGCAGGTCATAACCATCGTCCGTTAACGTCTCTACAGGTGGAGTCATGACCCCTCTGAATGACACGTGAGCAGACGACGAGATGTCAAGTTAGGCAACACTCACGCATTGTTGAACAAGACGTGCAGTATGGGTTCCCGTCTGAAGGGAAGTCGTTAACTGCTTTGTTGATCAGCCAATGCAATGCAAACGTACCGCAAAAACTCTTCTCCAGAAGCCTTGACGGACTTCAAGTTTGCCAAGTTGAGTTGCAATAAAAATGCATCTTTCCCAGTGCTCTGCTTGAGGTCGCGAATGGTGGCTTCACCCTTGGCTTTGTCACGACAAGCAATGTACACTTTCGCGTTTTTTGTGAGGAGAACCTGAGAATGAGCGCGTCAGTATGAAGCAATACCGACGCGTCGATGGAACACTGACTCTGGCGGTCTCTTTGCCTATCCCTGCATTACCACCTGTGACGAGAACAACTTTCCCGGACATGTCTGGAATGTCGGACGCGTGGAATTGCGTTGACGGAGGATAGAGCTCGCGAACATATACTGACCAAACATGACCCATGATGAATGAAGAATTGAGGGCAGTGACTGCTTTAAAACTCAAGGAGGTCAAAGAAGATCGTCGAACTTGTGGGTGATTGTGGTGACTGTAATTGCAGGACTTTTATATCTCGCATTGCGCATTGACAAACCTTAGCGCTTAGCGCTTGCCTGCCGGAGACATACGCGGCATCTAGCTCCTATCAGGGTGGCGTGGACTAATTCATATGATGAATTGAATCGTCACGCTCATTGTCTAATGGGCCGATAACGTCTACGTACATCGAGTGCTGACGCAAAGAAGATCACAAAATCACGGTTAAGGACGACTGCGCGCATGGAGCGATGTTACTGCAGTAACGTACAGAACGGAGTCTGGACCTTCCATCGACTCGAGTGGAGTTCATGGTACCCTGTTATCACTCGGACCCTTTTGGGCCTTCCTCGGTTCCTTCAATCCCTGAGGAAATAAGGTACGAACACGGAACCTTACGGATATCACAAAAGACCTCGACAACCGCAATAATCAATATGTAGCTCCCAATGCTGACTTTGACTTTTCAGATCGGTAATGTGCTTTTTCCTCGCGAGCTTGGTCCTAATGTACCTACCCACTCATTGGAATCTAGAGCATTCCTTATTCTCGTGTGAGTTATCATCCCGCACCGCCGGTGAGGTTTTATTAGCCGCTCGTCTTCCTTATTTTTTAACTTCGGAATACTTAGGCGCTGGTATTCTCGTTCCAGTCAACTTAACCCTCCGCTCGACACCTTTACAGCCATGAGTAGGCTTCGCCCCCCACCTCCCCTTAAGCTGCCTTTTCTATCCTAGTTGTCTTTCCACCACACTTGTGTTGTTGCCAACGTTGCACTCGGTCTTTGGACGATTTTGTTTGTACGCGTTGCATTAGCTTTTCTACTCAGTGCAGACCATGTTTATTTTATATATGTATTGCAATAAATCCAGTGAACACTTATCCAAACAACCCTCGTGCTTTTTCACCACCGCAATCGACTCGGAAGGCACTTGAAGACACCGACATACAAGGCCTCCGAGGCTTAGAGTTACGGCCTGGCACGGATACTTCCAGTAAGCTCAATCTCTTTGCGAACAATACCCAAACACTCGCGCATTATAGCCACACCCAATGGACACACTGGCCGTGCTTCGAGCAACACTCCCCGTTCAACGCCGCAGCATTGGTGCATTCTCAGCGAGGCGCCGTCGGTTCCATATGTTCAACTTTGAAATATGCGCCACCCAAACCTCAATCAACTCAGCCTACAACAAGACACTCTGACCCATTTTACAGCCACGAGCAGGCTTCGCAGTTGTGTGCTCGCGTTATCGCATATCTCTTTGCTTGTCCCGTTTTACAGCCATGAGTAGGCTTCGCGTTTTTAAGGAATCAACTTGATGTATTCATCAATGTCACTTAGGCTAGGATACAAAATAACACAATGTCCGAAGATGATTAACCCCCACGTCAGTGACTGAACAGGAAACACCACATTAGCAACGAGAGATCGTTGGTAATGAAAACAATACGAAGTTGTAGGAGAGACGTTAACGAAGGAAAGACAAAGTCACCATAAGTCACGGAGGAGCAAGCATGTGCGGAGGATATGTTGAGGCCGTTATATACCCGCTCAATGATAGCTGCAACATTAAACTGAAGCGAACATGTCGAGTAGAGTCTGGGGTCTTTTCGTCGTGAATGCCGTGAGGGTGTTCGGACTTTGTTTGCTCAGGGTTTGAAGTTGTTAGAAGGAACCGAGGAAGGTCCGACTGATAACAGGGTACCGGAAACCGTGCGCGCATGCAGCGATGTTACTGCAGTAACGTACAGAACGGAGTTTGGACCTTCCATTGACTCGAGTGCTCGTGTAAGGGTCACGGCAAATTTGAAGCTTGACTGATGAGGGTCCGCTGAGCCTGCGAAATTTAACTTTCTATCGACTTCCAAAGACAGTGTCCACCTTAGATTTTGTGTAACAGTAAGTGTGTGCATTTGATACAATACTACAAGTATAGTGCATAAACTTCACGAAGATGGCATCCCCGGCTTTTCCATCAAGTCCTCGCCACGTTCCATCCTATCGCTCGAGCTCGTATTCACAAGTTCAATCGTCCTGTCCAGCAATTCAGTATGCAACATGTGGCTTTCTGCAATGACAGAGTCCCACTCTCTGAGACTGATCGCCTCGGGTTCCCTCGGTGATTTCTTCCTTGAGAACTAGAAGGAAGATTCGAAAGTGACGAAACAGAGATCAAAACAAGACACATAATAGCGTATGTAGCGGACGTCATGATGATGACAGCTCCGATGAACGATAGTATCGAAGGAACAGTGGCAAAAAATACGTATTCCAGGACTTCGGCGAATAAGAACTGTACATATTGTCCCATAGAGCCACGTGTAGCAGTCTCACGTTGATAGCCCATCGTAAGTAGAGTCTGTGAACAGCTTCCAGCGGCCAAGATTAAGGAGCAGGGACAACAGTGTACCTGCGCGGTAAAACCAGAGAGTCCAATGAAAATCAGCATAGCAGCCCACTGCCATTTTTGAGGGTAAATAATCGGGATCTTCATGAAGTAGATTCTGCACACCATTAGAGGAGCTCACAACAAGAAAACACAGTAAAGCTCACGCAGAAGAAGCCACGACTGAACACCATGCAGATAAGAACGTCATAAGATGCATCGCATGAGCGCGGTTTGCCTATCGCACGTATCGACAACACTGCAAAATACCGGTTATGAAGCAGCTCCCACTGTCCACAGGTCAAAACCGACGTACTGGAACCAGTTTCTGCAACAACTCCAGAAAGAGCAACACTGTGGGGAAGGTCGAAGCGGAAAGGACTTTACGGAGGATAGAAACTTACCAGACAAGCCCATATCCTGTCTGCCGCGGTAGCTCTGGAAGCCACATCACCACTGCCCAAGTCTACGCTGGGAGCACTGCCAAACAGAAAAGGCTGGCCGAGCGATCAACATAACACCCAGCAAGCTAAATACCAGAGCGACGAGACATCAGAAGTTAGGTGACAACAGGGCTGTCAAAGAATAACTTGCAATAACTAGCCGCAAGTGCAGTCATGTTTTTTGAATAAGGCTCCTTTAAATAAGGTATCCACCCATTGCGACTGACATAGGCGAAGGAAGCGCAAGACGGTCGCATCCGCTACTGACAAGTACTCCAGGGAATAGAACATTCCGAACAGACCAAAGAAACTTGAGGGAGATTCAGCAGCTGTGTTAACAACGAAAATAGGATCAGAACTCACCCGCAGAGGCCCCTGTTCACCAGTAGCAGCCTTACACCTCTGGGGCCAATGAACGGATCTGGGATGTTCATTATAACCCTTCCCAAACGTATATGAGAATGGATGAAGCGCGCTCATTCAGTAACGCGCATGTATAACACATAGCAGATGAAGGTGACGACCTGATAAATTTCGAATAGCTTAGTTTCTATCTGCCAGCAAATGTCACAATACCAACCATGCGGACTGCGATGAGCTACAAAATAACTATAAGCCCGATTCCACAGGTCTCGACAAGTGTACATACCTCAAGGGTGTGCACGGGTACATCAGGTTGGTCCCGACGGAGGATACACGCGATGTCGTCTTTTGCCATGTATCTGCATACTCTCAAGCAATCTAGGCTTCCAGGAGGCAAATACCTGACTCCGTGTTGGCATCGCGTTAGAAGATGCTATATCATCCCAATGAGCTTCACCCTTCGTCGGGTTCTGGGACAGAGCGATGTAGGCGTTGGTCGTGCTCATTGCAGTCGGATTCAGCTGGATACCACAAGCGGAACAGAAGGTGCTAGCCTGGGGCTCCAGACCCCAGGCACCTCGTTAAGTAAGTATGACTCGGAACTTGTTCGATTCCCTCTGGCAAAAGGGACGGCATTCCACACACCCGAAACGCCTCGAGGTAGGATGTTCGTTTCAAGTTCAATAATCTTGTCAAGATTGAGCTATTAGTCACCGAATAACGTTCCTGCTATACGTACTAAGCTTACCTTTAGCCATCAGATGATGTGAGGGCATCTCTCGGGAGCCCCTTCCTCTGGCATGTAAGCTGACAGTGAGACGCGTTCACTCGAAGGATCTAAGCACATACTGTATCGTCCAAATATCAGTCAGATCCTATTTCGTCGAGAATTGAATGATTCGGCAGTCTCTACCAGTCTGAGTTTGAAATGCACAACTTGTATGACATCCCACCCAAATCCTGCCAGTGCCAGCCCCGAGTCTCTGACATTTATGTTGTACTAAAGTGACCACTGTTGAACCTTGCAGATCATAAGACCTAAACGCAAAGTCCAGCCTCTGAATCAGAGAGAAGATTATGCTGACGATTCTGACAGTTTAATCCTCCGACGACACATCGCACGCTGAGGTGACAAATTGAAGACTAGGAGGACGCCGCGTCCACCAGTGTGTACGACACGTAAGAAGAGTCATGACCGACGAAGATGATGACGCGATTGCAGTCAACAGTAGTCATCCAGTGCCCATGCACGTCAGTGCTGTCGAGCCGATGCGAGTCGCGCTCCTGGGGTGGTAGTATGACAGAGTCCACAGCGCGTGAAAAATGTTTTGGCGCAACAAGTTTGACCCCTCGCTCGACGTCGAGGGACGTGCACAACGAGCATGCGAGGTAACCATTTGTCTTCAAAAAGCTGCTCGGAGTTGAGTTGACAGATTTTAGGTCTGGATCTCGGAAATTATGACAACAGACTCCAGGAACTTCTCACGCATCTACCGTATCCCTCGCACAGCGAGAAAGAGGCTGAACTTCAACGCATCGTATCACGTTCCAAACTTGACACAAGTGACGCCCGGGGGTGATGTTGTTCACACATTTTCGTCCAGTTGGTTCCCTAGAACAAGGCCACGGAATTATCCGAGGTTAATGCGATTCCGCAAACTTTAAGTGCTCGGTGGGTACCACCACCCAAGTAGAGGATACAAACTAGGTATTATCACGCCTTGCACTTATCATTGCTGATGATGATGTGATTTCCTTCAGCATCGGTACTGGTGTTCTCAGGGCGTGGAAAGCTCGTCGAGAAGCCATCACACGGTGATTATATCGCGTCGAGCTTATCTTGGAAGTTTGGCCGAAGTCTATTCCATATACGTTGATAACTGGTTCCCAGGTACATCGCGAAACCCACCAATCTTAAGACGAGTTGGAGTATATGCAGTTATACATAAGCCAAAAACTACTACTAGCAGTTGGCTCGTGGATCATCATGCGGCAGAATACTCCAAGATGCATGCTTCAGCAAGGTCCCAGACCTTCTCCAGTTTCAGACCAGCAGCCGTGCTATTTCCCAATCAGGTGAGACCAAGGTAGCAACCAAACTTTACTCACGAGAGTGTGAGGCACTCTTGCAATGTTCGCTCCTTCGCGTTGTGTGCCAATAACATGGTCATGTCTTGTTGATACATGCGCATATTTCCAACGCCAAAGTTTGGAAGGAGCGGTTCAGGAGCCTATGTGCGTGGATGAACTAAGATGAATGCAGATCAGCGAACACAGCTTACCACAACAACTCCCAACATTGAAGCTTCAACTGCTGCCTGCTTGCGGCTAAGTTGGCGGAGCACATAGTCATCTAAAATTTGTCAGGGTGCGGACAACAGGTTACCTTACATTTGACGTACGGATAAGGACGCGGCTGTTTGGACCCAGCGCCTTGCGAACATTGTGGAGGATGAGCTTAGACTCGTGGTCAGGCCAGTCGTGAATGATATTTCTGAGCTGCGGTCACTGTTAACTCCACTGGTCATCGCCAACAGGGTTTTGCACTCACATAATAGATGTCCTTGCCCTTTACGGGCACTTGTTCGAAGAAGTTCAGCCCCTCGAACTCAACTCTGTTTTCTGCCACAGCTTCAGGGCACTCTCTTGCCCAGATCTAAATTTCGTCAGTTTGGTAATAAACACAACGTCCCGATGACTTGCGTCTCTCGCCTGAACCAATGCCTCTGGAAGATCATGTATTGTAATTTTTATGTTCTTGTGCATTTTGGCCAATGGCAGGGAAAATGCGCCGATACCTCCTCCAACATCGACAACGGTTGAGTACTTTTCGAATGGGAAATCTACCATCGGGTTAGCACAGATTCCCCCTGTCTTTGCGCACCCCAGCACTTACGAGTCAGGACAGCAAGAGAGCCCATGATGCCACTCATACCTCTCATCGAGCAATGATAACTCTGTTATAGATGTCAGAAACCTCTCGCGCGCAGTGACCAGCATCCCTACCTCACGTCGATCGTCCTACGGGTGAATGATATTAGAGGACTAATAGTGAGCAGCATTTACAAACATACGTCCTGCCTCATCCAGTCGAAGAACGTTCCTTGGATGCCCTCTTTGTTGTTGGCATACATTATCGGCGCATCCGTTGGTTCATACGAGTACCCAGTCCTCGGGTCTTTGAGAGACTCGTAGAACACTGATGCTCCCTTGGCACATGACTCCACATGAAGCGAGACCATGTGTCGGACAGGGTTCTCGCTGTGAAGGATCAGAGACAGACGGTTATTGGCAAAAACGTCCGTGTCAACTGGCGGATTCTGAGAAGAAATCGAACCAGACGACAAATGGCTCCTTACCTTCATTGTAGCAACCTCGCGTAGCTAGGAGACGCATCATCCTGGCCAGTTTCTTCGGCTCGATGTTGATAATTTTGGAGAGCTCATTGGCGTGAATACCCTCAGGGTAGTTCAACAGAACATTTGTAATATTTTCCCGAACAGCTACTCGCACACAGGCGTAATCGTACACTTGGACAAGCTGCGTGCGATCAAATCAGCGAAAGCAGAGTGCCTTTTATTATTCAAGTTCTTACGTTTATTGCAGTATGGGCAGGTGGAGCAAGTGTCGTGCATAGCTGAGCACAAGCACCTTCAAGTGTACGAATAGAACTCTTCAAAGCAATGTGGTCGACAGCATCGTCCAACGGATGGGGTTCCATCTGGTCAATGGAGGGTACATCACCGTGCTGCTCGTAAAGAGCGATGGCATCTCGTGCAGATTTAGTAATCAGAGTGAGAAGCGCCTCAAGTTTTGCTTTGTTGGCCATCGTCGTGTTGATAAGGGGGGCTTGCGGAAGGATGAAATAAGGTGATAAGAGGGCTGAGAAAATATTCGCAAGCCTTTATAACTCTGCCACAGGAGATTAACCAGCAGCTTCACTTCTTTAAGGTTTCCCTTGTGATATTTCCGTCTGATAAAAGACTGCTAGGGCCTAACACCTTTTGATGCTCTCAGGAGGTGGCCTACCCCAACCATCTAATCAGACGAATCCCACACGCTCAATGGCTTATCGGAAGATTAATAGAGTAAACCTTCGCGCAGCACTGGACTGTCCCCATAAGGTTGTCGGACAGTGAGACTCGCAGATTTGCTTCGAAGCGTATGTCTGAGTCCTCCTGAGAATTGATAAGGTGGTGGACCCTAGAAGTCTAAATTAAAATAGTCTACGGACCGCCGGCGAGATTACCACAACTCAGCCGGTCCGCGGCTGTTCGACATGCAGGCCTATGCGCTCGACATAAAGTAAGTGTGCGGGGTGCTGGCCGTTGGATACGCTATCAACTTTCAAGGGTAAGGAGAAGAACAACTGGTAGACGTGTTACACTCGACCTTCTGTCAGAGTCCGTAGCAACCATACGACCAGAGTTTCGCGGCATAGATTCTTGGGGAAGTTGCACCAGTCGTACTTCTCCATATTCTATGGACAAGTACCAGTGCTCGGAAGCGGTCTTGCTCGATTTGAAAACGAAGCCGACAAACAGTCTGGAACTGACATTTCCGCCTTAGCGTCGTCGTACACATCGCATGTACTGCAAGTTTGTGTGGTCCTCGAACTGTCCTCGCATGTTGGGAGTCTTTATGATCAACTCGCTGTGCGCGCATGAGTATATCGGGATGGTGCTCCTTTGCGCTGAGGATGAAATGTGAGAGTGTTGTGATAACATATATCATGTTGACCCCGTCGAACCGATCCCGACTTCTGAACGACTTGAACAATGTCAAGAAGACTGGAAATTGCTGAGGATGTCCCATTCAGGGATATGAATAGACTGAAGGAACAGCCTTTGGTCCTACATAGTAATAGCCTGAGTCTCTCGTTGTAGTCAGACCTTGAAGAAGTCTCTTGCCTTCTCCGGAACCAATGAACGTTTGAACCCAAATGCGTCAAGTTATTTTGGGCACGTAGTGCCACGCACTGCAAGCCGCACAACAGCAGTGACTAATAAGAATACCTAGCTACGCGCGGTCGACATTGTGAAAGGTAATCGATGATGTGTTGATGTCATGTGCTACTGTTGTTTCAACCCCCCGACACGATGTATGAAAGACGCGAAAAGATACAGTCGGTTTGGGATAGTTTGGGATACAATGATATATGTACAGCTTCCCGGGCCCAAATTAATTAACGAGCCAATTCTTAGGAGGAAACGCGGTGAGAACTTCATATCGTAGTGCCCACTTGATCAGGCTCCAAGTTGGTCCGCTCTCGCCCAAGTTTAGGTGTCATCGCGGCTCCATCCCTATTGTATGCTGGGCATGCGAGATGTAATTACTGTTTGAACATTTCCTGGCGCTTACGGGCAGGCTAGTTGAAGTCGACGGTCGTACCAACAAGTATATATATCTCCGTCTCGCTCAAGATATAAAGACAGCCTATGATAGCCTTGTAACATCAAACCGTCAAGAGGTTACCGTGACCAACATTGATATTCTGAAACCCACATCACATCTCATCGTCAGGACTGTGGTCAACTTCGCCAGAGAGACTTTCAGTTGAACTCCCCGACTCTTCTTCGTCGGATATCGTCTTCGCAAGACAAACTTCTATCATGCCTGCTCGGCGCAGATTGGCCTCCGTCGGATGCTCTACATCTTCCAGGATCTCACTGACAGAGGCTGAATGATGACCCAACCACAAGAGTTGCAGTGCGCCTATGTTTGGGATGGCAGCCTGACTATTGCGCGATGCACAGAATGCTCTTGTCATTCGTAGTGCCAATACCAACATGATCACCGAGGCAGACGCCGCAAATGATAACTAGAATGTTGTTCGATAAATGTTCATCACGCAGATACCATTACGAACTTACAGGGAGAAGGTTAATCTAAGAGATGTTTCATTAGCCAATTCATAAAAGGGTTTCGTGTAGTTTAAACTGACATTGAGGCGAAGGGCAATTAACTCCTCATTGACATTGGCCGTCCCATTGCCAGGTTGAAGTCCATTGGATGTGTCAATTCGTCCCGCTGAGCATGCGAGACAGAATGAATGAGAACAGGGTAACACTTGAGAAAGTCAAACATAAAGTGATCCTTTACCTATCCAAATGAGCTGTGAAGCTGCTTTCGCAACAGCTAGCTCCAGTTTATCCGGTCTCATAACGGAATTAGGGAGGGGAGGAGCACCACCACCACATTGTAATGCTTCAGCAGTGAGATTTAAGCCTACCAACGACATAATATACCTAGAAGTCAAATCGTGGGTAAGGCATTGCAGCAGGGCAGTCAAGACAAGGTTTTAACTCATCCGCGATAGAGGGTTCGAGATGACGTCCAGTTGCATCTGTAAATATATTCCCGCTACCGACCGGGATAGAAAGAGCTCTGCCGATCTGGAATAGACAGTGGATCACTGGACTTTCAAAAGCCATTGAACGAGTGCTGTATAACGTACTTCTGCTTGCCAAGGACCATAATCCTGATCTGTCCATTGATGCATTTCCCACTGCGCGGATGGCTGCCAGATGGGCATGGGACTAAGTAGACTGTTACTTTGTATGTCAACAACACCGTCTGTAGGATTGGCTGATAGCGAGCACAGCACAAAATACACCGGAACAACGTAAGACATATTGTTAACTGCAGAAGATTTTGTCATCGTGGCCACATTAGAAACAAGAAAACGCACACCAAGATTCCCAAGTCATGTTTACAGCGACCTCCTCTTGTACTGAAGGCTCGATCTCTAATAGTGTAGAGACCATAAGTAAGACACCGGAGACCGGATCTGCATACTATTGTGCAAACTGTCACTCAGCTTCTCAAGTCTACACGAAGAAGTCCTACCTCTTGAAGGATTTGTATCATATCTGACCCTGTAAACATGTCTCAGCATGATGCACAATCACCACAACCACAACGACGCACAGGGGGGGCTTACACTCATCGGGATCTGAGAATTTTTATCACCAGGAATCAACTGGACAGTTGCTGTGCTTGTATTTACGGAATATGTAACATTGGGAAGCAATCCGCAACGTGAGGTTACGGTCGTTGCATTCACAGTTACATTCCCTACTACCGAGCTTTTTTGGGCGGTGTCGTAGATTGTGGTGTTGGATAGCCCTACAGTCACCAGTCCAGACAGTTGATTGACAACTGGTAATGATGCGGTAACGGATTCCCAGTTCACGCTAGATCCATATGATAGGTCATCTAGCCATCCTAGTGTTGTTGGCACGGAAGTCGACATAGAAACATTGAATGTTTGAAATTGTAGGATGGTGGAAGACGTGATATGCAACACGGATATGCTAGTAAGGTAGGCTGTCACAGCAGAAGTCATCCACCACGAGGCAGGGATGTCAGTTTGTCGCCAGACACTACTGAGTGCAGAGCCGAGGCCCGCCCACGCGCCGGAGATGTCGTGAATGGCAGTCAATTTCAGACGCCGTACGAGTGTTCTTGAAATTGCAAGTCGTTGAGTAAGGAAGAGTAGAACAACCGTGTAGATCTAGATGAAGTTCTGTAACTGGTGCATAATTGACATGACATAACAGTGGACACGCACGGTGTAAAATGCTTGTAGTGAAGCACTCAGTATCACAGGCAAAACATTGTTGTTCGTTGGTGTGAATGAGAGAGTTATACGGTGTTCCCAGTGACGGATATACAAGATAAGAAGGACAATGTGTATCATGACCAACATGCAATGTAGCATGTAGCATGAGCGCGCAGAGAATGATCCATCACTTGTATTTTCTGAGGGATCGTTCGGGCGAGGCTTCCAGGACACTGAGGCAGGGATGTAGTTGTTGGCATGCAACAGCAGGGAGTCAATTGACATGAAAACATACCGAGCCAAGTCCTTGGCCGCTGAACAGGAGGATCCTTGCCATTTGTGGCTGAGATGAACCCCCTTTCGAAGAGATCTGGTAACATTGGTATCAGCGACGAGGTGTGCCAGGTAGAACGCAGGAGCGACAATTCAGAGCGACCTGTTACATATCGTTCCCAAATCTGAGAAGAAACGTACTTATCAGCAACAAAGTTTTACTTGCCCTGATATCACTCAATCGAACGTTACATTTGCGTTACATACTCATTTATATAACAGGCGTGACGTTGCCGCAACACCACCTTTCCAAATTCCAACAAACTTAATGTCTACCCGCGCCTGTATATACGTATACAAAGACCTTCGCCTCAACTTGAACTCGGATACAGTAGTACTGTCGTGCTTCTCATGTTCTGCCCTCCTCCAGCGCTGGACCTGATTATACCCCCCTTCGCATCATGATCCACTAATTTAAAGGCAGGCTGTCACCTCGCACCCATGAGTTCATTGAGCGCCTGCAATTTGATCACTTTTTAACTCCGTCCTCGGTTAGGACTTCGGCCTTCGCCTCGACGCACCGACCTAGATCTACGGCCACGAGTAGGCGCCTTAACTGTCTCTGAATACCTTCCTTCATCCCACTCCGATTCCCCACTTCGTTGCATATATAGTATACGTCCTATACTTCCCAAAGCTGTTTTCCTCTGTCACGTTCGCCGCTCTGGTTCTCCTCCACTTGAACGCGGCGCACTTCCCCACCGCTTGGGGATCTTCGGGACATCAATTATTTGACCTTTTATGTTCGCCGCCAAGACACTGACGTAAATAACTACAGTTGTCTCGTGAGTCCACTCGCTGAGCGCTTGCACAGAGCTCCGGGCTAATCCTTACATGTCCCTTCTCTGGGATAATTTGATATCTTTTCTCGGGTCCACACCACTATCTAACACTCGCTTTCTGGCCATCCGCCTGCCTATGCAAATGTCACCGCTGCCGCCGATGCCATCTCCTCTCTCGGCCTCCACCCCAACCTCCTTAGACTCGTGCCCATCCGCACACCCTAGTTATCCTCACTAGTGGATGCATCAACCAGAGAGGGCATGCACAGTAAGTAGTTAGTAGGAAAAATGCACATCAATGCATCGAGGAGGCCAGCCATACCTTTTTATTAAGTCGTTTGTATAGCAACAGTGTCAAGCAGTCTGCAAATCCGTGCGAACTACCGACATCCTAAGTCCTCAAGCTTGGCCCGGTCTGGCAAGGTCGAAAACCAACAAGGTGTTCACCACATGTATTATGTAGCACTGTCTCCAATGGCAACACTATTGCTGGAGTGAAGATGGGACAGCAACTCGTGAGGCATACATTGTGGGACATCGGTACGAGGAAAGTCATCGCTAAATGTCGGACAGAGCACACTAATACTGTGTCGTCAGTGTATTGAAGCTCAGATGGTGAGCGAGCCGTGAACGGTGACCATTCGCCTCCCCTCGTGCAAAAAGATGAGGGGTTCTGTGCTTCTGCGCCGATACTCAAACGACAGCGGAAGACCTTCCATCAATCCTGGCATCTTACCACTCCGTACTACACATTGGCGCCTCGCAGGGCAACGCAAGCTTCGCAATGTTCGCATGCTAGTTTCAACCTCATCTCTCCTCTCCGTCTGTCGAGTCTCAACCCAAATCCATCCTAACACCAGTCAGCGCCACGACTGCCACTGCACATGCGCCTGACTCGCAGCTTGCGCTCAGTTCCAGTGTAATCCCGGAATCAGCATTCTTACTTCAGTATTGACTTCGGGTTCATGTGTTATGGATTATCGAGTATGTTCCCCGCATATCCCTCCCACTCGAGATCAACTGAGAAGTTAGCACGTTGAGTACACTGCATGGAGAAACAGGACAGTAGATTATAGCATAATACCCGCCATTCGGCCCAATTTTTCATCACGCAAGTCGAGAGTACATGTCGGAAAAAGTCTATGGCCCACCTCTGATGCTGAAACAGCTTCTTCATAGGCCGCGTCATCTCTCTACTGCAAGAGTAACAACACTGGGTAGTTTGGCGAGGGCATGAATGCCACAGAGTTGGGTTTGGTGTTGTATGATGGTTGATGTCGAAGATGTTGTATCGCAGCGACCACGATAGATTGACTTGATGGGAGGGTTTCCAGAACTAATTGAGAATCTACAAGCTAACGCTAGCGAGGCTAAAGGCATCAGGATCCAGGTAAGTGGGGATCGCAAAATAGTCGAGTTGAGCGTGGATGGGCTCCTCGAGGTCTTGCATAGGCTTGAAGGAGTAAAGTCACGATATCTGCTCGGACTTGAAACTGTTAGGAACCGAAATATTTCGGACGAGTAGTAACAGGGGACGGTAGACTCCATTCTCAAACCTGCGTGCCGAGTCTGTAAATTAAAACAGGTAGCTATCGATTGGACGACTCAACGAGTACATTCGGAGGCACGTGTGAACACGTCAGATGGAAATAGCGGGTATTTCGGCATACCCGGGAGGAGATGGTTAGTGTTTTTCACGGCGGAAAGGAAAATCGGACCGTCATGCTGATATGATGCTGTCGGGTCGATGGAGACGCTAGCGCTAGGCGAGTTTCTGCAACGGTCATACGAGGCAAGTTCTACAGGACTTGTTTAGAAATTTCATTGTTGTGCCATGAGACTTTGCAATGAGACTTACATTCGCAATTTTGAATCTGGAACATTGCCAGCGTGTTTCACGTCAAACTCGAGTTTCTTCATACTTTCCTCTGAAATTTCGTTCGATGCTCTTTCCGTTTATCTGCTATCCTTGCTCGTCTTCTATCTTTCCCCCAATGACAAGCATTTGAGAAGATGCAGGGCACCAAGGCAATCGGTTGCGACCGAGTTGCGACGGAGCAGAAATTGTGCATCATCCTCTGCGGGAGGTGGAGTAGTGTGTCCAAGGAAGAGGCTACTGCGGCCTGCGGCCTGGTCTTTGCCAATGGCATGATTCATACACAGCCAGAAGTGTAAAGCCTATGAGGTCCTGCATATCATAGAGCGTGAATGTCACTCGATAGCGTGAAGTTGAACAAGACGGGCATTCAGGATCCCAGTGCATAATGGTTCATCTGTTACTACCTTCTCAAATACTAGGAGGGCAGCTCAGGGTGCGCGGATGTCGCCCGAAACTGGATGGTCCTGGAGTGCGTTCAGACCTCGATATCTGGTTGGTCGAACTCCGGCATAAGGCCGGCAGCCTCGTGTCTTCCTTCAACCAGGCAAGCGCCCACTCGTCTTTCAGCTGCATTCCACTACCATTCAACGAGCTGAACATAGTCCTACAACTGATTTGAACATCCATCCATTCGATCCAAGCAGCCTTGAAACATTACTATCACTCCACAGCTTGATCGTTTCCGAGCTGCCTAGCCTAATACCGTTGAACACACTGGCTGGACAGCCTGACGCCCAAACATAGCTTCATTGAAACAATTCAAGTTACAACTTAGACTTTGATTCTTCAATCAAGCGTACGTCCCTCGTGATAGCCGTCGCCTATAAGATGTCCAACTGACACACTGTCGAACAAAGCTAGTATTTTCCCGACGATTGCGTCACGTTTTACATCATCAATCTCTGTCGATGAGTGACCAGGATCAGTGTCAGTATCTCCTTCTCTTATCTCCTCTCGTGGTCTGACCTCATTATTAACAGTTCCTCGATCGTCTGAAGGGCCTTGGGAGAAGCTGTCTCGGGTTGCTGTCCCGGGTGCCGAATTTAACTCCCCTGAACGCCAGCCACATCCAAAATGTTTGGAAGGGACCCGGGTGGACCTTCTCGACTACATCTACAGATTGGTAGACAACCGAGAGAAGAGTCAAATCATTTGGCTGCATGGCACGGCAGGCGTCGGGAAGTCTGCTGTTGCGTTCACTGTAGCTGAAAGGATGAGATCTCTTAAAGTGACGGAGGAGACGAACATCGAAACACGGCTCGCGGGGACATTCTTTTTCTCTCGCAAGCACACACAACGCAGCACGAGTGGTCATTTCTTTGCGACGCTTGCCTACCAGCTTGCGAGCAATTTTCCCAGCGTCAAGACGCACGTCAATGGAGCTATCCGCACGAATCCTGCGGTTTTAGACCCCAGCAAGTGTCTTCACGACCAGATGAAGGCGTTATTTCGCCAACCTCTCTCGAACCTTCGATCGAGACTGCGCGAGTGTATGCCTCCGATGTTTGTTATCGATGCCCTTGATGAATGTAAACCCGAAACTGTCGCTGAGCTGATCTCCCTGCTTGGCCAAGCTCTTCGTGATCCTGATCTTCCCGTGATCCACATTCTGCTCACGAGTCGCTTGGAAGAGCGTATCCGTAAAGCCATTCAAAACGACGAGATGCGCTCGCTGGTGTGCGAGATACCGGTGAACACTTCTGGGGAGGGCGTTTTTGGGACCATCTCATTAGACGGCGCAGATGTCGACAACGACATCTATATTTTCTTGCAGCATTCCTTCAGAGACCTGCAAAGTCGTCACCCCGATTTCCCGCAGCCCTCCGCAGATGAGCTTGCACGCCTGGCAAGCCGAGCAGGCAGACGTTTCATCGTGGCGACTACGATGATGATGTTTATTGATGATGGAGATAATGATCCCAGTGACCAACTCGAGCTCATGCTCGAGCTAACGAGCAAACTGCTACCAGGAACGGAGGTGTACAAGTTATACGATGCTATCCTTTCCACATGTGCCGACCCCAAGCAGGCATATCTGCACTTATCTGTTGTTGCTGCCCTGGTTGACCCTATGTCGATCTCACAAATTTCTAAACTCCTTGGCCCTGGTCAGGGCAGCGGTGTCGAGACAACACTAATGCAGCTACGTTCTGTCATGGATATTCCTACCAACAGCAATCTCCCCGTGAATATATACCATTCATCCATCCGTGACTATGTTTCCGACCCCTCTAACTGCACCCTCCCCCAAGTACGCGGTATTCCATCACCCCATTCGCTACTCGTTCATTCCTCTCTCCGTTTGATGGTGAAGAAAATTCCGGAAAGCACAGCCCTCCTGGATGCGCTCTTAGAATTGACGGAGCACAGCCAAACTATGCAAATCCATGATCCCCAGAACTTACAACAATCATTAGCCTTTATTGTCGAACCACCAGAACCACTGCACGTTTTTACGGGTCTGCTATGGCTTCGGGGAGTTCGCGGTCCAGGTTCGTGGTCCTGGCTAGAAACCCCGGATGGATGTGCATGGCTGCAGACCCAAGGAGGGGATGACTGGTTGCAGACGGAGGAGGGGGGGAACTGGCTGCCCACTCGCAAGGGGGGGAACTGGCTGCAAACGCACGCGGGGAACACATGGCTGCAGACCGAGAGCGGGAGAGCGTGGCTGCAGAGTGGGAGAGGGTGGATATGGGCTCAGAAATGGCGACATGTCACTGGACACTCTGGCAAGCCAAAATGGCTAGACAACCAGAGCGAGCGAGAGTTTCTGGAGACCAATGGAGGGCAAAAGGGGCTGGAGACGCGGAGAGAGTTGCTGGAGACCAACGAAAGGCAAGAGTCACTGGAGAGCGAGAGAGAGTTGCTGGAGACCAATGGAGGGCAAGAGTCACTGGAGACCGAGAGAGTGTTGCTGGAGACCAACGGAGGGCAAGAGTCACTGGAGACTGAGAGAGAGTTGCTGGAGACCAACAGAGGACAAGAGTCACTGGAGACCCAGAGAGAGTTGCTGCTGACCAACGGAGGGCAAAGATGGCTGGAGACCTATAGAGGGCGACAGTTGCTGGAGACTGAGGGAGGGCAACAGTGGCTGGAGACCCACGGAGGGCAACAGTGGCTGGAGACCGAGAGAGGGCGACAGTGGCTGGAGACCGAGGGAGTGCAACAGTGGCTGGAGACCGAGGGAGGACAACAGTGGCTGGAGACCGAGGGAGGGCAACAGTGGCTGGAGACCGAGGGAGGACAACAGTGGCTGGAGACCGAGGGAGGGCAACAGTGGCTGGAGACCAAGGGAGGGCGACGGTGGCTGGAGACCGAGGGAGGGCGACGGTGGCTGGAGACCAAGGGAGGGCGACAGTGGCTGGAGACCAAGGGAGGGCGACAGTGGCTGGAGACCGAGAGAGGGCGACAGTGGCTGGAGACCGAGGGAGTGCAACAGTGGCTGGAGACCGAGGGAGGGCAACAGTGGCTGGAGACCGAGAGAGGGCGACAGTGGCTGGAGACCGAGGGAGTGCAACAGTGGCTGGAGACCGAGGGAGGACAACAGTGGCTGGAGACCGAGGGAGGGCAACAGTGGCTGGAGACCGAGAGAGGGCAACAGTGGCTGGAGACCGAGAGAGGGCAACAGTGGCTGGAGACCAAGGGAGGGCAACAGTGGCTGGAGACCGAGAGAGGGCGACGGTGGCTGGAGACCGAGAGAGGGCAACAGTGGCTACAGACCCAGAGTGGGGGAGAGTGGCTGCATAGTACTCCAGGAGGGCAAGACTGGCTGCGGACCCCAAGCGCGCGAAAGTGGCTGGAAAAAAGCAGCGCGCGAGAGTGGCTGGAAAAAAGTAGCGGGCGAGAGTGGCTACAGACATGGCAAGGGCGAAAGTGGCTGCAAACACAGAGCGGGCGAGAGTGGCTACAGACGCCCCATGGTCAAGTATGGCAGATGACTCCAGCAGCATCTGTCTGGGTAACAATGGATGAATTCTCGAGCACATTGGAAGCCATCAGCGAGTACACAATCATCCCAGAAATACCTTTACGGCCAGCTTTTCAAGTCATCGAACAGTTCAAGAACTTGCCGGATTTCTTGGGCTTTCCGGCATTCGTGGCATTTCAACCCCAGGATCACTCCACACATGTGTTCCAAGAAGATCGTCGTTTACCAGACATAGAGGTCATCTATGCTATGACGGCGTTTGCAATTTTTGCAAAAGAAGCACGGGAACAAAGCCGATCAGCCTCTGACGCTCTGAAGTACGCATGTCAAAATTGGTCCTTCCATCTCTCGCGAGTTCCTAGTCCATGGGATGACAGGCTCAACACTTTATTCAACCTCTTTTGGGATCGTCACTTGCTCGCCTGGCTCGAAAGGCAGTGGTGCATGAAAGGCTTGCGGTCTTGTCTCCTTATTTTATCTGAAGGGCAGAAACTTGCAAGGGTGTGTGTTCTCGATGATTTTCGTGATTCAGCACCTGACCTGCGCATATAGGAACGCCTCCAAGCTCCACCGGGGCCATCTCGGTCATGAATCTGAAGCTGTCAATTTTGTACATCCCGTCACGCCGTCCTGTTATTGCGCATTGATTATTTTCATATCATTCTTTTATGTTGCTCCAGTGTCTTTAGCTTTCATTGTATTTCCAGCAGATCCTCCGTTTCCAAGTCATTGGGCGAGAGAAATAAAAGTGTTGCTTTTCGTCATCCCTTCTGACTATAAATTGAACAGTATATCAGGACTACTTGTTGGCCAGTGTGGGTGTATAGAGCACCTCACGACACACCACGACTGTCAGCGTACGACAGGTTAACACTAACGGCACCAATAGATTGTGTAAAGGTAAAATGTGCACTAAGTAGATTGTCACCGCCGTGAGGCACGCGCACTCCTCGCACGCTGGTTCTCAAACTGTTGTTTGATTCCTGCATAGCCTGCCCGGTCAACTCGATGTAGATAATACGAGCCACCTCCGCTTCCCCATGAAACGCTGCCAGAGCGGTCGGATAGTTCAGAGACGTCAAAGATCGCGTCCACCTGCGAAATTCACATGAGATAAAATGTATGAAGAAGATAGGCATCGTCACTCACGTTGCGTTCAGTAACGCGTGAGTTGAGAGAGGAAACGAATGGCTTCAAGGAAATAACAATGGCACCCTCTTTTAAATCAAGAAACCGCGGGCATAATGCTTCGTTTACTGTAATATGATCAATATTTTGAAGCACAAATAAAATTCACTGACGCGACTGCTGGAACACCTTATTATTAACCAGCACAACATCCGCCTAGGGTAGCAACTCAGTGACTCTCCGACTAGTCAGCATGTCTCCTTCTTCTGACTCCACCTCTCCTATCGAAAGTCCCTACGTCCTACACCGCTTCTTAATTTGCCTCAGCTGCTCTCTCCCCACCTCCGCGGGAGTAGGCATCAGCTCAATTCCGTAGATTCTGCAGCACGTTTCCAGGCTCGCCTGCACGAGCAGATTTCCCACCCCACATCACATCCCAAGTCCAAAAACAAGGAGTCTTTGTGGAGATGTGTAGCAGCAATGATATCTGAGGTGAACGAGGGTAACAGCTCGCCGTATACGTCGCTCGAAAATGCTTCGTAGCGGTTCAACTTCAGAGCATGCGGGCCTACGGAGCGTTAATAGGTTTCGTCGATTATGGGCATCAGCACCAGGTTGGGAATCCCGCCTGATGGCCAAATTTTGATGGCCTCTATAAGTACATTCGGAGGGGCTGGTGTGAACAGGTCCGATGGAAGTGGCAGGTATTTCAGCGCACGGAGGAGCTGGTTAATATTTTGCATGGTAGAAAGGAAAATCGGACCGTCACGCCGTCGGATGGAACGCTGGAGGATACGCAAGTGATTTGTTCCGCAAAGGTCGTACGAAGGGAATTTTACAGGACTCGATTGATCTGAATCACCCGAGAGCTGCGTGAGCGGTGAGGATGGTGGCGTATTATCGACATCTTGTAGAAAATCTGTGGGTAATGTTCCAAATAGCGCTTGCTGCGCGGGCGTAATGTAGCTTGGTATTGTATCAGAATCCACGCTTGTAACTGGTGATGGTAGTAACGTACATTCGAAGATAGTATACAGTGATTGTTCTAAGCACATGATTGGGTTGTAGTGATCTGGGTCCTTAGGAGCCGGTAAATAATAGCTGCATGCGACGTGAATCAGCAAAAAGTAGAATAAGACACCGCGCGAAACGCACGTCTCATAGGCATTAGCATTAGAATACTCGAGTTCAGTAGCAGGATAAGATTTAGCTTCAAATGACGTGTCGCTGGGATTGTCCGAATTCTTGAAATCTGCAAGGGATGCATGGACTCTCACAAGTCTTGTGTGATCGCGACAATGTCTTTATTACAGACACGGTACTGACAAAGTTCTCACCTGGTAACCCGTCTTCAGTTATCCACAACTGTCGATGACGAAGGAGATCAGCCGGGGGAAAAGTTGACGTTGATCGAGAACGACTATATAGACGCCCATCAGGAAAACCCTCTGCTACAAATTAGGCTAAGTATGTCAAACTTTCTCTAATTCATGATAATTTCAATAAAATAGACAACTTAGCGGTTTAGAGAGACTTTTTTACTGCCCAACTTATGTAATGCATGCTAATTTAGTGAGGATTATCTTATTTATGTGAATTTGCAACTAAGGCCGAACCTGGAACCGGACTGCGGCAGCACTAGCCCGAAGTTGTTTTCCTCTGTCACGTTCGCCGTTCTGGTTCTCCTCCACTCGAACGTGGCGCACTTCCCCACCGCTTGGGGATCTTTGGTACATCAAATATTTGTCTTTTTATTTCGCCGCAAGACACTGACATAAATAACTCGTGAGTTCACTCGCTGAGCGCTTGCACAGAGCTCCGGGCTAATCCTTACATGGATAATTTGATATCTTTTCTCGGGTCCACACCACTATCTACCACTCGCTTTCTGGCCATCCGCCTGCCTATGCAAATGTCACCGCTGCCGCCAATGTCATCTTCTTTCTCGGCCTCCACCCATACCCCCTTGGACTTGTGCCCATCCGCACACCCTAGTTATCCTCACTAGTGGATGCATCAACCAGAGAGGGCATGCATAGTGAGTAGTCGCTAGGAAAATGCGTGGCAATGCATCGAGGAGGCCAGCCATACCTTTTTATTAAGTCGTTTGTACAGCAACAGTGTCGAGCAGTCTGCGAATCCGTGCGCACCACCGATACCCTAAGTCCTCGAGTTTGGCCCAGTCTGGCAAGGTCGAAAAACAAGAGCGAATGATGCAAGGTGTCCACCACTATGTATTATATAGCACTGTCTCCAATGGCAACACTATTGTTGAAGTGAAGATGGGACAGTAGCTCGTGAGGCATACATTGTGGGACATCGGTACGAGGAAAGTCATCGCTAAATGTCGGACAGAGCACACTAATACTGTGTCGTCAGTGTATTGAAGCTAGATGGTGAGCGAGCCGTGAACAGATTCTGGGACAGGACAGCGAGAGTGTGGGATGTTCGGAGCAACGAATCCGTCCGGGCATTCAAGCTTCAGCTACTCGGTATGTACTCAGGCGTCTGACGCAGTGGATCCGTGTCTGTGTTTCCTCGTTCGTCTTGAATAGTCTTTTGCAGCTGCCCGCCGCTCCTTCTCTTAGCATACAGACAACGAGATTTTGCTAACTTCTTTTCCTTTTCGTATAGGCCCCCCACTTGTGTCAATTTGTTTGTCTGCAGAGTCATGCATTCATTTCCTGGGTGTCAAGCCTCACGCAGGGTGACCTGATAGGTGCCCAACCGCCCATCACACTGAAACCCTAGGTTCAGGCCATGCCCCAGGCCGAAAAGCCTTACTGCCTACTCGATATCTCACCTGTTTCTCTCTAGATACTTCCTGTTGTCATACCCCAACTCATTCATGCAATATCATTCGTTTCCCGCCACTAAGCTACGAAAGGATGGATCACTAATCAGGACGACTATGTCTTCGCCGCACTGTGCTGGGGCTTCCTTTTGAAGGGGGCGTGTGTAATATGATCTAATTGACCACAAAAGTATGGTCTTTAGCTTCCGGTCGCCCCTCCTTGCCTCGACAGAATTCTCGGGTGATTTTTTCATGAAAGGGGCCGGAATTATAGCACGCGGACTTTCGGTAAGTCTTTCGCTTCCTGTCGCCCTTCCTCGCTTTGACGGAAATCAAACGTCGTAACTTAATGCGTGCATTGTGTAGTCAAATTTTACCTAAAATCGCCCGTCACTGGTCAGCAAGACCCTGCCCCGCACCTCGTGGGGCTTCCTTTTGAAGGGTGCATGTGTAATATGATACGATGACTCCAGAGATAGGGTCCTTCTCTTCCGATTTTTCTTCCTGATCGGTGACAGCTGGTATGTTCAGGTGACCTCTTCATTTTCGCTTCTAGTCGCTCTTTCTCGCTTTGATGGAATGTTCAGGTAAACACCATACAATGGCGAACAACATTCCCGGCCGGTTCATCGGGAATGACGAGAGCTGTAGTCACAAATGTCTTCCTCGAGTTCATTCAATTGGATACGTACGTGCACCAATTGCTAGGATGGTTTAGTATTGATTGATCACCTACTCGGAGGAGTGACTGGGTTGCTGGGTCTGAATCACGGGTATAAAGGCAGGGCATCAAGATCACTGGCCTCATCATTCTATCGCACTGACTTTTCCATCTCATCGTCGACCATGTATTTTCCTGAACCCGACAGAATCTATTACCTCCAAAGTTCCAACATACCGGATTGTTATGCTACCATCATCCCAAGCGATACAGCACTTCGTAGAGTACCTCTCAATCCCGACAAGTTCTACCAGAAGGTAAACTCAAAGATTGTCAAACTTTCCTGCCACCCTGAGCGCTCACGTCAAGAGTAGTGGCTCCTGAAGTACGTTGACAATGACGGCGACTCCGCCGACAACTCTCAGGTATTCTGCACTTTCACTGAGGTCACGGGTGCGCGCTCATTGGGTGTAAACTCCGTCGATCAAGTAAGTGACCAACTGTACGATTTAAATGGATGCTTAGATATCATATGTAGTTCGAACCTGTCTACACCTTCGACAACGCGCAGACCTGGATCCTCAAGAAGTCTCTCGAGGGTTACACGTGAGCAACGATCGTTCTTGTGTTGATTCTTCGTACTCAAACTCAAGGGTCGTAGTATCGGTCAGCGCTCTGGGGACAGTGAATTTGTTTGGACCGCCAGAAAGGAAAGCGAGCCGGTGCGTGCATTTCCCTTGTTCGTAAAGTGTCTCTGATTAGTCCAGTGCAGATTGTGATTGCCAGGGGCATTGTGAATACCGAGAGCTGGAGGTTTGTACCGGCACCTGAACAATGAGCAATGGAACACGGAAGCTGCGTCGCGTATTCGCTTGTTTCTGAGATCAGGTAGTAGTTAGTGTACGATTGGTCTACGCAAATGCAAGCGTGACAGGCGGTGCCGAATTCTTTCAATTCATTTGTTTTCCATTGAGAAAAGCTAGGTACAAGATTCTACTAGTAAGCAAGATCGGACGTAACTTGAATCGAGCAACCGATGGGGGTAATTTATTTCGTCGTCCTAAGTAATCTGACTCCAGCTTGGCTGGCCTGGGGTAAGAAGCACATTGGAACATTCTTCATACGTAAATAGCAAAGAATAGAAGGGTAGTAACATCACGATGACGTAGTTTATCGACGTGGAAGAAGGTATTCTACTAGTAGTGTGTCATCGCGTCGAGTTTGATGAACACGTGAATGCCTGCAGGTATGCGGAAGGAGGAGACATGAAGATTTTGTCTGAAAAAATAACAACTTGTAGATAGAGCGTGAAGGACACGAATCAAATATCCAGGTAGAATGAATTGACCCGCCTTCAAGCTTCGAGTCCGATAGATTGGCGTTCCAAGCTACAGGGCACGACAGTGCGAGTAAGCAAACGAACAAGGGAGATGGGCTGGATATGGGCTGAATGGTAGACAGAATGACTAGTGGGACAAGTCGGAGAGTATGCATACGAGAAGTGTGGATGAAGTTTAGGCGAGAGGGAGAGGAGAAATGGGAGAGGATGCATGATATGCTGCATGTGTAATTGATGGCTTGTCCACACGATGGATGCTGGTCCTGATTCCACTAAGCGCTAAGACCAAAATATGAGACTAATGGCAGCGGGAGAGCCTGTGCTAAGGGGCGAGCGATGTCATGGTCAGTCATCAGCGGGGGTGGTATCATGGATCAGGCTGCTGGAGCGAACATGGGAGTTTCATGCCAGTGGCGCCTTGCGACTCTTAGGATACTAGTTGTATCACTTATACCAGCAATATAGCAGACTGCAAGGTAATAATAGAATCCGGTGTATTTCGTAGTGCATATACCGAGTCCACAGTCGCGAAAAGCGAATCCGGTCTGTACGAGTTCGACTGAGCTGCCAGTGATACTACGGGAGAGAATGACCGAGAGCGTCGTGGAAACAAAAGCGACGATTCGCGCCAGTATGACAGCTCAAAAGTAAGATGAGAGCCTGCATACTTATGCAGCAGCTAACACGATGAGTGATGAAGAAGGCATGACTTGAAGCAACAGTCAGAATGCGCAGAGTGACTCACATGGTACCTATGCATCCTGTTGGCTTCAACGAGCTTGTGTCTGTCCTTGAGGCCTGAGGTGCAGGAATTGTACTTCCACGCTGTCGTCCGACGCATTTTTCACTTGCATACGCGGCTGGCAGCGAGACGCGCGCGACTTGGACTTTGCAGTGTAGTGGTGACTGGGGTCGAGGATCGGCTTACTATAGTAAACGTTATCGAGCATCAAAGACGTGGCTTGCAAGGACTTGCACAACCTACAGCGTTGGACTGAATTAATCGCGTGCACATTCGCATCACCCGTTGATCCGCTAAGGCAGACTATCATCCGGGTCTCAGCCACAACAGAGACACACTCGTTTATTTTTATTTTTATTGGAAGTTTCATTGTATTTGTAAATTGCAATAAGCGCTTGCAGTTTTGTTCACTTTTAATTTCGTCCTCGGTAGGCGCCACCCAAGCCACACACTCGGCCTTCAACTCGATGCACCAACCCCTTCTACGGCCACAAATGGGCGCTTTCGCTTTCCCGTTTAATACCATCCTTCGTCCTCCCACTCTCTTCAGGCCGTTCTGCCTTGCTTTATCAGAATATTCAGGTAAACGTTGTACCCATGTATGTCATTCGACGACAAACAACAATTCTGGCTAGCCTGAGTTTATCAGATACATGGCGAGAGTTGCAGTCACATCTGTCCGCCTCGCGTTCATCCCATTGGACACGCAAGTGGACCAATCAGAGGGAGTGAATGAATTGCTGGGTCTGAATCATGGATATAATCATTAATGGCATTCAAGACCACCGGTCTCATCAACTTGTCATCAACCATGTCTTATCCTAAAGCCGGCATCTATTACATCCAAAATCTCAGCACATCGGATTGTTTCGCTGGCACTAGTAATATCTCCCAGGAAGGAGAAAGTGTACTTCTTGGATAAGCTGAAGGATTTTAGGACCCTCCTGTCACCCTCAGGAACGCTCACGTCAAGAATAGTGGAGCCCAGTCTATGTTGAGCAATCCGAGGACCAGGCACGCTGTGTTCTCGAGCAGGCTGGTGTTACATTAACATCAGGTATAAAATCCGTCCAACTAGTGCTGCCGTGGTCCAGTCCCGAACCACAGTTCGAACCTGACCAATGGTCAGGTTCGTCCTTGGTTCGGTCCATGGTTCTGAATTTTGCGCGGACCGAACCGGAACGAGGTTCGTGGTCCGCTGTCTCCCGAATGGTTCAGACATAGGTTCGGACGTTCCTGAACCATTCCAAACCCCAAACCGAAGGTTCCTTGCGACATTGGCGAGGCACACACTTATGGTCATTTTGACTTCTGGATCCTCGAGATTTGCACCGACTTTGAATTCTGTCTGGTTCCCCATGGTCACTTTGACTTCTGGGATCCTTGAGATTTGTATTGACTTTGAATTCTGTCCGGAGGCTCACATCCCGCACCTCCTGCTGTCCAATAAAGCTCAAGGTATGAAATTTGAATTAACTGTCAAATCAAGCGCAATAAACTCAATAAACTAATAAGGATGCCAAGGATATCGTCTTTTACAACAATCCCGACAATAGTGTGTGGCGATCAGTTAATGCTTATCGCAACTATCCTAACCCCTGACACAGGACTCTGCACAGCTCATGGCACCAGAAGAGGGAACCGACAAGCTTCCAAGCGTGACCTCTGCCCATGCTGATGTATTTTTGACAGACCCGTCCCCCTCTCACGGTGATCGAAATGTGAGTGAGCGGTCTTGCGGAATGCCTCGTACTTCTCAAATCACCCAGATCAAGGTCAGACAGCCTGTGGCGCTGAATCAGATGTGCGTGATACAAGTTTCTTTAGCCTGTTCATAATGCAGAATATGCTATGACCAAGATTTCGCAACCCATGCGACCAGCAAGCCTGACTCGGAAGCGGTAGATGCAGCTCGCCTAGAAGCTCAAGAGGCTGTCTCTGAGTTAAAACCTGTTTTTGGGCCCGTGCAAGCTGTAGTGTCAGGCATCAATAACGCAGCGATTTTGTCATTAACGTTGCAGCACAGATCCATCCATACGCCAAGGCAGCATGGGGTGTTTTGTTGGTTGTTTCTAAGGTATCCAGCTACAGTGTACCCAATATTTCCGACCGCATGCCTGACCAACATATATTTCTGACAGACAATCATCTGTCAGACAACTCGTGACGACTCTATCAGCCAGCTCCTTTCAAAAATGGATGAAGTCTACATATTTCTCACAGAGAACGATCTGGTGGTATCATATCAATGAAAAGTGTTGTTGTGCGAATATGTCAGCAGACCCTCGAGTGTTCCTATTTTCTCCATGATTACTCCAAGAGCAAGAATTTCTGTGAGCCGACAAACTACATTTGGTTGTCGGTGAGCTCACGCTAGCTGTTTTTGCAGGGTCCAGACTCGGCAGAAACGTCGTATCGGAAGCCGATGACACAGTGACAAGATACAACGCCATGTTTGATGACCTCATGAAACAGTTTCGGGATAGGGCAGCACGAGATACGGTGGTGGTCATGCACCAGATGTTGGAAGGTGTCCAGCAGTTGAGTAAGTGCTTGATGCAGTCGAATCTTCATTTTTTGACATCCGTGCTCCAGGTGAGAGCGTGGACCTGAGCGAGATGAAGGGTGCAAAAGGAGCAGGATTGGACACTAGAAAGAAGTGTTTACCAGGGACGCGAGAGGACATCCTGGATGAGATCATGGCTTGGATCAACGACACTGCGGATGATGCTCATACTGTGTCTATGTTTTTTTTTTTGCTAGCTGTAAAAAAAATTGGGTTCGGTTCGCATTCGAACCGAAAAAAAAACCGAACCTGACCATTTTGAACCGTTCGCAAAGGTCCAGTTCGAGGTTCGGCGAGTCTAGTAGAACCGGACCTAGGTTCGGTTCTCGGTTCTTGCTCAACCCTCTATGAACCGGACCAAACCGGAGCGCGGCAGCACTACGTCCAACCTGTAAGTTGTCTACTGTAAGATTGAAATCGGTGCTTAGATGCTGTCTGTAGGGTCAAACTGTCTACGGTTTGGACATCACGCAGATCTGGATCCTCACGGGGACTGTAATGGGTTATACGTGAGCGACGATCATGCATGTTTTTGACTCTTCAGGCTCAAGCTAAGATGCACAGTATTGGCCAGAACTTTCACGACCCAGATTACTGTCTTGGTACCTCGGGAACGAGAATCAGTCGGTGCGTGCACATCCCTTATTCGTAAAGTGTCTCTACTTAACCTGGTGCAGGTCGTGATCAACATCGACGAGCACAGAGCTGGCAACTCGTGTCAGTATGAGAATCTGCATGTGATACAGAAGTCGCATCGTGTTACATGTATTCGCTTATGACACGTTCAAGGTTAAACGTTAATTATTCAAGGATCTCGTGACACGCCAGCAAATCAGAATACTGTGGTTAGATGTGCGAAGCGCCTAAAACTTAAAGAGTCTCTGTCATCTACTGCGGCGTGACCTGCTGACTTGTTGCTGGCTACTAAAGTTACAGAACACGCCAATTGCCGGAGGATGGATATGGTTCTCAGTATGTATGTAGAGTCTCCTCTACTACTACACTTCTCTCCTTATCCAGTTCCTCTCACACCTCGTCAGCGTCCAGAATGAATCAGAAGGACATCAAAGAGTTTGTTGAAGTAACTGGCGCTGCCTGCCTCAAGTTCACACTTACATTAATGTCATACCTCAGAATAACCTCAAAGACAACGGCTTCGTCATCTTCATCCGGACTTCACCGCCTTGCTACTACTCCCAGCAAGCTCTGGACTTCTTGCAACAACACCCGGAGCTCCATGGTAAATCAGTCGAGTAAGTGATTCGCTTGATCGGACCCTCAATAGCTTGACAAGTGCGCACAGCCTTAGCGAAACCGGGGAGCAGCAGGCCATAATCGGCTACCTTGGCAGCCTCCCTGGTTCTGCGGCCACATTCCCTCGGGTTTTTGCTAGTGAGTTACAAACCATCTAGCCTGTCCCGCTTCTAGGTGGTGCTGACGACATGATCTCGCGAAAGACAAGGAATTAATTGGTGGTATGCGCATATTTTTAGGAGTTGTATTGCATGAAGGCTGATTTATCCCACTAGGCTATTCGGATTTGGAGGGCTTGGGTGCATCTGGTGTAAAGGCCATTCTCCAGAAGGCGTGAGTACGGACAGCCTATGTTAGCAACGACAATGCTTAATGAGACTGCAGTTCAAGATTGTGACCACGTGATGTCGTACAAGCAGTTTACTTCTGAGATTGGGCAAGTAGATCAAGTTGTACGATTGATCTACACAAATACTGGCGTGTCAAGCGGTACCGAACATTATCGAGTTCACTTGAAGAAAGACATGGTCAGTGACTAGGTACGACATGCAGGACGAATCTAGATCAACAAAATCGATGAATGGAGTGCACGGAATTATCCAAACATCTCAAGTTCCAAAATCTGAGAAGAACATCTTATCAGCAACAGAGCTTCATGTACTTACCACTGAGTACTACTGTTATCACCGGATGTTACCTGCCAATCTATTTCCGCGACACACCCAAAGTCCGAACATGGATGGTCTCCCCCTAGCCAGACCAATCGAAGCAAGATAGTCGTTCCTTCGCATTAGAACACGGACCCACGTGCCTGAGTATTACGGACCGGGATATCAAACTAATCTCTACGAAAAATGTTGACCCATTACTTATTCGTTCACATCCTGGCTGATCCAGCCTCGCTCGCCCGTTAGCATCACCCGACTATCCGCTGGCAGGCTATCAGATATATCATACCGTACCCATGAGTTCGTTAAGCGCCTGTAATATGGTCTGTTCTAAACTTCGTCATCGGTAGGCGCCACCCAAGCCACACATTTGCTCACTATGTATACGAAGCTGTCATTCTCCTCCACGTTCGCCGCTCCTGTTCTCCTCCAGTGCTTGAAAGTGCACTTCCCCACCGCTTGGGGATCTTTGGGACATCAATCATTTGTCTTTTCATGCTCGTTTCCAAGATATGGATGACTTCACTTGATCACTGGTATATTGAATCCAACCTTTCAGCCTTTGTCTTCCGAGCTGATTTTGCTTCATCTCATTTCCGTCCTGCACAGACTCTTAGTGTTACGCCTGCACTCTACGACTGCCATCGCCTGCTTGAAGACCCGTACGCACGGGCGTCTGGGCAGTGGGTCCTACTCCGCTGTCTCACAACTCTATGCCCGTTCTTCGCAAATTGACATGCGTGAGGTGCGGCATCGTCGGTTCCGCGACACTTCGGTTACGATCTATCGAGAGTCGAGACTGCGTGTACTATGTTTTCGTGCGGTGAGGCTTTCTATCAGCAGAAGCCGAAAGCAGGGACTAGCATCATTTTGCACCAAATATTGCGTCATCCTGGTTTCGGCAAGCATGTACAACGCCTTTCAACACAAGGGAATGGTGGAAACCATGAACGGGTGGGAAAGATAGATCCACGATATACGTCGGTAGATGGGTAAATGAGAAGCACATCGCTCACTGAAGAGCTCATTTAGGTGACGCATGTGATGTTCTACAAGCCGAGGATCAGTTCTCAAATCACGTATGCAAGTCCCTGGATGCATTACAGGATCACGACACCACCCCACGCTACAGATTTCTTGGTTGATAGGAGTCACATGGTTGATTTCCAGCGTCTCGTCGCGCTGAGTTTGAAGGACACGACAATGCTTGCGGGTTGGAAGGAGGGATCATTGACTTCCAAGCTACCGGGCATGATGACGCAATTAAGAAAACGACGAGGGTGAACTGAGTGGTGGACAGAATGAGTAGGACAAGGGTATGCGGTGCATGTTGTCGATGACTTTTCGACACGATAGACACTGGTCCTGATTGCACTAAGCGCTGAGACCAAAAGACGAGATTAACGGCAGCGGGAGAGCCTCACACAAGTCGTTTAGCGCGCTGTAAGGTAATGGATAGAATCCAGTATATTTCGTAGTGCGTACAATGGGTCCACAGTTGCGAAAAAGCCGATCCAGTCGATATGAGTTCGACTGAGCTGATACCTTGGAAGAGAATGATCGAACGCGTGGTGGAAACAAAAGGAACGGTTCGCGCGGGTGTGACAGCTCGAAGGTAAGCCTAACGACTCATGCAGCAGATAATGCAACAAGCGACAAAGAAAGCGTGAGCGTGTAATGCGACTCGGAGTAAACGTGTAAAGAGAACATACCTAGGCACCACTGTTTGCTGCAACGAGCCGGCGTCCGTCCCCGAGGTGCAGGAGGTGTACTTCCACGCTATCATTCGGTGCATTTGTTGGTTCACCCCACTTGCATGGCTGGCAGCGAGACGCACAGAGCCATAAGCTCCAGTGGTAGTTGGTTGTGGCTTGGACTTTGAAAAAGTCAGAGATTGGGTACAGGCTTCGATGGTGTAAATGAAGCACTATGGGAGTCATTCGGGGGAGCGGCTGGAACGAGTATTGGAAGGACGTTCGTACACGTGTTTTAGTAACGTCGAGGGACATGTGCACATGCTTAGGAAGTGTTGCTAGGACTGGACAGCGGGAGTGGCTCAGAGCTCAGGAACATCGACTAGTGAGTGATCAAGCATTTTTTTGATGCGATGTGAATGGACTGAAGGACTGTGGCAGCCTCTGAAGTTCGTTGTCTACTTTCGTAGTAGTCACGGTTACTGTCGGGCTTCGAAGAAAACAAGTTGCTCCTGCTCCCCAGTCGATTGAACTCAATCGAATGTCTTCAAGAAGCATAAATGCCAGGAGCATAAGTAATATCAATATGAAAGCAGGCCTGTATATCACGAGGAACTTCAGATTCCCAGACAAGCGGCTTGGTCATACATAGCACATGATTCATGCCTGTCATTTCAACGTCCCGACTTGGGTCCTCAGCTGGGCTAGATATTAATCTCCAAGGGCTTGAAGAGCCCACAATTGCAACCAGCAGGAAACGCAGCCACTCGAAGAGAAGAGTCATTCACTGTCGTCCCAGTTCGCTCTCGAGCCAAGTTGAAGTAAGTATGTCTCTCAATGTTCATATTCATCCTATCGTTTACTTAAAATCTATGTTGTCCTTACTTATAGTCTCATGTTCAACTCACAGACTGAGGTTACTACGCAACAAATGGGTAGAGCCTCAGTCAAGAAGATCATGTTTGCCTTGCACCTTGAGGCTGGAACTTCCTTCAATGAAGAGTGCGTGGTGTAATAGATACAATGACTACAGAGGTATTGCCCTTCTCTTCTGTCCTCTCTTCCTGAACTCCTAGCATGCACGCTTTCTGTACTTAAGTAAGTCTTTGGCTGTTCCTCGGTCGCTCTTCCTCGCTTTGACGGATATATGTTCAGGTGACTTCATGAAAAATGCCCGAACTGTTGCATGCATATTTCGGTAAGTCTTTCGCTTCCAGTCGCTCTTCCTCGCTTGACTGAATGTTCAAGCAAACATGCACCCATGTGTCAACGGCGGACGATATTCCCGGCCGGTTCATTTAATCAATTATGGGAATGACGAGAGTCGCACGAGATCATGCCAATGTACACGCAAGTGCACCAATCGGAGGGAGAAATTGAATTACTGGGTCTGAATCACGGGTATAAAGGTAGGGCGGTCAAGATCACTGACCTCATCGTCCTATAACACTAACTCAGGTATTTTTTCAATGTCTGGATCATCATGGGCCGATCGCCAGTGTGATCTTAAAGAAGGCATCTATTATATCCGAAATTCCAGCTTGGATTGTTATGCTGGCATTCTCCGCAATGGTAGTGACAACGCACTTCGTGGAGTGTCCAATGATCCCAAGAAGTACTACATGAAGGTAAGCCGAACAACTGTAGGACCCCCTGTTACCCTGAGCGCTCATGCCAAGAGTAGTGGCGCGTGGTTGATTCTGTAGATTGGGGCACCCGTAAGGTCTACTCGATCACCGAGGCCGATAGTGGATTCAACTTGGGTCTGGATGACTCGGACCTCAGACAAGTAAGTGGTGTACTGTAAGATTGGAATTACTGCTTAGAAACCGTCCGTAGAACAAACCTGAGGCTGTCCAGCGCAGCCGATACAGCGGCATCTGGTACTTCTCGAAGACTGACACAGGTTACATGTGAGCGACGATTATCCTTTTGTTCACCGTGCTCAAGCTCAAGGATCGCAGGATTTTTGACGGTCGTGACAAGGTGTGGAACCTCGACAAGAGAGGCGAACCGGTGTGTGCATTTCCCTTATTCGTAGAGTGTCTCTGCTTAATCCGGCGCAGATCATACTCTCCGACAAGGATATCTTCGGCGAGGGTGCCTTCAACAGAAATGCCATCCGCAGACGTGCCCTCGAAAAATATCCGAAACCCCAGAGCTGGCAATTCGTGCCAGCCAATGAAATCCCATCCATCATCGATTATCCCACAACCGGCGTATATTACATCCAAAATCTCAGCAAATTGGATTGTTACGCTGGCGTTCGCAAGGATGACTGCGCACTTCGTGGAGTAGCCAATGATCCCGAGCAGTACAGCGTGAAGGTAAGCTGATGGACTTTAAGACCTCCTGCCACTCTGAGCGCCCGCGCCACGAGTAGTGGCGCGTAATTTATCTGCATCCCAGTGAGGACGATCCAGACTGGCACGCCCACCGTATCATCGATGTCAATGAAGTATGCGGTTTGGGCATGGGTGGTGGCGTCGGACAAGTAAGTGGTGTACTGTAAGATTGAAATTTCTGTTTAGACATTGTCTGTAGAACCCAACTGTCCTCCCCGAGCACCACCTTGGGTTGTGGTTCATCAGGAAGACTGGCACGGGTCACATGTGAGCGACGATCATCTTTGTTTTTACTCTTCGTGCTCAAGCTCAAGGGTTGCAGTATTTCTCCGTTCCATGACGACAAATACACTTTATACCTTGGCAACAAAGACGAGCTAGTGCGTGCATTTCCGTTGTCTATAAAGTGTCTCTGCTTAATCCAGCGCAGATCGTGGTCTCCGACGAAGCAGATCCCCAGAGCTGGCGATTCGTGCAGGCTGAATAACACCGTGTTGCTGAAAGCAACCGCATTGGGAGAAGGTTGGGAGAGGGCAAGTATTACCACCCTGAAACAATAAGAATGCAGTCCGTCGTTTCGAGTGCGTAATAAGTTGTTTGCAGGTGCTGAAGATGAGATTGGGCATGTTGTGTATCGTTGATGCGGACTAGAGTGGTGGTGGATGGTTGTACTTTGATAGGTATAAAAGAAAGATGACTGCCACATCCTACTCCAGGTTATTTACTAAAAATCTATGTTGTCCTTAAGGTCTCATGCGAGGGTTAATCTGAAGAGCCCTGCCAGTGTGAGAGGAACATTGTTGGCATGTTCCCGAACCTCAGCTTTTACCCAGTGAAGTCGCCGAGGCCCCCCACGCTCTCAATTGTTCAGGCTGTAATACACCCACAAGGTTCAGCTAAATTGGAGCTAAAATGGTTAGAGACTCGTGTCACTAGTCAGGTATTTACCCCGCACCTCGAGGCTGGGGCTTCCTTTTGAAGGGTGCATGTGTGACCTACAGATGTAGGGTCCTTCTCTTCGGATCTCTCTTCCCGAACAGTGACAGTTGGACTCCAGTTGATGCCGACTTCTGAATGAAAGGGGTTGGCATGCACACTTTTGGTATGCAAGTCTGTAGCTTCCAGTTGCTCTTCCTCGCTTTGACGGAATGTCCAGGGAGTAAACGTCGTGGATGCATAGTCGAGTTTTACCTCACATCGCCCCTCACTGATCAGCAAGACCATGCCCTGCACCTCGCTAAGCCTTCCTTTTGAAGGGTCCATGTGTAATATTACTACAGATATGGTCTTTATCTTCTGATCTCTTGTCCCGAACAGTGACAATTGGTATGTTCAAAGTGGCTTCTTTATGGAATGGGCTGGAATTGTCACATTCATATTTCGGTAAGTCTTTTGTTTCCGGTTGCCGTTCCTCGTTTTAACAGAATATTCCAGTAAACTTGTACCCCTGTATGCCCTTCGGCGAACGATAATCCCGGCCGGTTCCAATCAGTTACGGGAATGACAAGAGTCGCAGTTGTAATTGTCTGCCTCGAGTTCATGTCATTGGATGCGTGAGGGGACCAATGAGAGACAGTGATTGAATTGCTGGGTCTGAATCACGAGTATAAAGGTAGGGCAGTCAAGATCACTGACCTCATCGACCTATCACACCAACTCACAAATGCATTATCCTGATATAAGGTTCAATTATCGTATCTACAGGGCCACCCCAGACCCAGAGCATTATCGCGTTACCAGTGCCTGGGCCATTGGCGAGGAACACAAGGTTATAGCACTGGAACCCGATGTCTTCGACGAAGGCTCCTACGATAAAGTAAGCAGAAGGATTTTATGCTCCTGCCACATTGAGCGCTCACGCCAAGTGTAGTGGTCGTTCACATATATTAACAATGATGACGACGACACTCGGAGATTATGCACCATCACCACATCCGACAACGAAAAGACCTTGGTTGCATCTGCGAGTGTTGTTGGTGTAAGTTGTTTCCTGTAAGACTGAAATTGCTGCTTAGACACCAACTGTAGGACCCAGATGTCAGGGCCGAAGACGACGAGAGTTACCAGCCGCGAATCTGGATCCTCAGAAGGACTCCAGCGGGGACATACACGTGAGTGACGATAATCTTTGTTTTGACATTTGTGCTCAAGCTCCAGGGTCGCAGTATCAGCATGCTGCCCTGGAATTCAGATGGCCCTGAGTACAGTTGGTACCGCGAGGACGACAACAGGGTGTGTGTATCCCCTTGTTCATAAAGTGTCTCTGCTGAATCCAGTACAGATCGCCCTCAGGGTGAATGAGGAAGGCGTGGCGGCCCAGACTTGGGAAATCACACAAGCATAATAAGCGCTGGGATACAGAGGTCGTACCACGTATTCACTTAGTTTCTGAGATCACGTAGTTTTTGTACGATTAGTCTATGCAAAGTTGCCTCCCATTGAGAGAACACATGGTCACTTGTCACGAAATGCAGATCACTAAGTGCTAGGTTGAACATAACTTAAATCGGAGTAAAACGTCTTCAGCAATCTCAGCTCCACTGGGGTACGGAGCACGTAATTGAAACATTCTTCATGGGTGACTGCATGCCGAGTTTATCCTGAAATAACGAAGAAGGATGATCGAGGCGGAGGAAGAGATGTAATAAATGAACGAAGCGGTACAGAATGATAATCAAAAATGCGCGAATAAAGAAGAAATCAGCTCCCTGTCCCATGGCCTTCAGCACGAATGACTGACATATAGACGGAGCTCTCTGACGAGAAAAGCATTACCACACCGGAGATGATGAAGTCGACTAATTTCATTCTGCATAGCACTGCCAGTACATACCTGGGCGAATGGGTGGCTTGACGTCCGCTGTACATCTGAATCCTCAGGAAGACTGAAGAAGGTTACACGTGAGTGATGAGCGTCCTTGTTTTGACATTCGTACTCATGCTCCATGGTCGCAGTCTCGGCAAGACGTCCAAGGATTCACCCGAGTATACTTTGTACCGCGCCGAAGACGAACGCGATAGGGTGCGTGTATCTCCCTTGTTCATAAAATGACTCCGCTTAATCCAGCGCAGCTCAAGCTCCAGAAGAACGACGAGGGCACGGAAGCCCAGACTTGGGAATTTGTGCGAGCAGAATAAACAGAGGTCATGTCATGTATTCACTTACTATTGGTTTCTGAGATCATGGAGTTGTTGTACGATTGGTCTGTGCAAATACTGGCGTATCACTGCAAATTGTTCGGTCGCTTCCCGTTGATGAAGACGTGGCCAGTCAACGCCTACGACATGTAGGATTCTAAATCAGTACGGTCGAACATGTTAAACTTGAATCGAGCAAACAGGAGTAAAATGTCTTAAGCAATCCTCAGCTCGGCTGGACATTCTTCATACCTATAGCATGCCGATAACGTAGTTTATCCTGAAAGAATGAAGTGGAAAAAGCAATGTACTTTAAATGAACGAAGCGATCAAAAATCAGGTCCAGAATCATAATTGGCTCGAAGAAAGAAATCAGCTCACCTGTTCCACATCTTTCTTCTCGTAGAGAGCCACTTGACTAGAATGCACCATCTCATCGGTGAAAGTGCGTAAAGATCGGAAGTGTGAGAAGGCGAGGGCTTGATGGAAAAAAATCGAGTAATAGGCTAAAGACCGAGGGGCCAGCGCAATCCGTATTACAGTTATATCTGCGACACACTTGTGTCAACCTACATATTTCTGTAGTTCACATTGAGAGAACGACTCCGTATCTAAATCGAGACCGCTGCCGGAAAACAAAAATAAACATAGTACGGACCTCCGCACCAGAGCAGGGTGGATCGTGGAAAGACGAAAGACATACGACCCATAAATAAGCTCGCGAGCTCTACTCGTAAAACGGATCAGCGTAGGCCCTCAACCCTCCACCCACCATGTCATCCATCGCCGTCATTTCTGCAGGAGCCATGGGCTCCGCAGTAGCCAAACGTCTCGTCACCGCAGGATGCACCGTCTACACAAACCTCGACGGGCGCTCAGAAGCCGCTCATCAACGAGCACGAGACGCAGGAATGGTAGATGTATCTTTGGAAACATTGGTATCGAAATCAAGATGGATCCTGAGCATAGTACCCCCACGCGAAGCGTTTGCTTTCGCAGAGAAGATACGAGGAGTCGTTGATCGGCGTGGAGAGTCACCGTCCAATACCCATCCCCGCGTATTCGTCGACTGCAACGCTGTTAATCCGGAGTCTGTGAAACGTATTGGAGGGCTGTTCAAAGGGACGTCTATGAAATTCATCGATGCAGGTATAGTGGGAGGACCACCACGACCTGGGTTCGACCCCACTTTTTATGCTTGTTCAGAAGGGGAAGAGATGCTGGAAGAGTTCGCCGCGTTATCGCAATACGGACTCCGGGTGTCCTTGTTGAAAGGTGACGGTGCTGGAGTTGGTGATGCAAGTGCTTTGAAACTTTGCGAGTCGGTGAGTGATTCGTTTCGGTAAAATCAGACGGGGCTTACGATCCTTGTCATGATAGATGATGAAAAAAGGCTCTATAGGCCTCTTCATGACGATGATGTTAAGTGAGTCCCTCTTTTGAATCAATTTGCACCTTCATAATATCTGCCGTGCCATGAACAGCTGCCCATCGCTCGTCACCTGCGACTGCCAACGCCCTAATGAAAGAACTCAGCATGTCACAACCCGCATTGATGGGCAGGCTGATCCAGACTGTGCCAGAAGGAATTCCAAAGGCTTACCGATTCGGATACGAGATGGAGGGGCTGGGAGAGTTTGTCGGAGGTGGGGAAGCAGATATATTCAAAGGTTTTGCCAGGGTATTCGAAAGAGTTGCGGGATCGCTGGCAGGAGACAAAGCGGACATCGAGACTCTAATGAGAGGCGTAGAGAAAGCTGTGGAACTGCAAGAGACGTCGAATTCAAAGTAAACGTCGATTTCCTCGTAGTAGCACAGCGCGCTGAGCACTAGAATGGCTCTCGATATCAATATCAATCAATATGACTTTGCAGAGACCAGAGACCAAATGCGCCTCTTTAGTGGCAGGCTTCACTGGCTACCTGTTACTAGTTAGTAAGTACTAGGTTAGACAGATTTGTGGTCAGCACACTCCTTTGGCGCGGTCGCCATGAATGTTTCAGGCAGGAAGACATACGCACCGAGTACTATCACATAGTACGCAAAATGCGTGTCAAGGCTATCAGGGACGCGAGATCAATGGCAGATCACAGAAGAACGATGTATTGAGGTCAGTCATATTATTGAATAACTTCCCATAGGCAAAAATAATGCGACATAGATTATAATTTCACATTTTAGGAAGGTGTGCCGCGATGCCGGTCGTTATTTCGTCACCGTTTGAAATTCAACAAGGATCCACGATCATCCACCCTCGCATTGCCTTTTCTACGACTTGCACTTGCCGCCAAACCACCCATAGATGTAACTCTATGCCAGATTCGGGCAGCTGTACGCCGGCACTCAACTTCATTCCGTTTGTCTGTGCAAAAGGTATACCCTGTTTGTATTTTTCCACTCTCCCCAAAGGTGCTGGAGAGGTTCACAATGCTATACATAATACTTAGATCACATGTCGTCACTAATGTCATTTGTTCATCATTTATCGCAGTTGCATTGCGGTTTCGACACTCCAGCTCTGGTGGCCAGGAAATGCTGGGCAGATAATTGACTATACTCCATTGACCTATGGTTTCGTATTTTGCATAGATTAATACTTTTTTTTTGCTCATTTTGCAATTCGTTTTTGAACTCCGGTAAATGTTAATCCGCCTTATTTAGCCGACGGGAAGTCATATCTACCAAAGCATGCAAATTTCAAAACACCACCTGTGACATCGTCCACCAAAAACCAGAGCAGTGAATAAACGGGGATAATGTGTCACTAATGAGAACGTAGGTTACTCTGAGGGAAAGAGAGAGAAAACGAGCGAAAGAATTCCGAAGCAGGAGCAAGTAAAAGAATAAAATATACCCAACAAAAACACTAGCAGTCGAAGTCCAGATTCATATGTAGTAAGATCATAGTATCGAATAAAGAAATCAGTTATCTTGTTCCATCGTTTCTTTCTCGTATTTCTTCTTCAACGAGCTCACTGGAGATCTGTCAGTACAGGTTTGGACGAGAGGAATACAGCATTGCGTACCTTCTCGTGATAGTTGACCCGAGTTCAGCCATCCAGTTGGGAAAGCTGCCACGATCTGCGCGAATGAGCAATCTTCTGAGGTTTGTCAAGGAGAACATACCTTCTGATAGAGAATCTTTCTTGAACCCTGTTCACTAACGAGCGCATTGCTGCCGTCTAGATCACTGAAACTACAGTCAAACACAAGGGTGAAACTAGATAACCATGACGCCTTACTTCTTCTCGTTCTCAAGCCGACAGCATTCATTACTGAGCATCACGAGTTGCCAGACAATAGACTTCATCTGCTCTGTCAGACGATACTTTTGTGCCGGGGGATGCGCATCCCTAGTACCATCCGCCTTGCCTGTTCCTGGCGCATTGTCACCATCGGCACCGCTACCGGCACCGTCGTCATGGTGCTGTGCATCTGCGGCACTAGGCGTTGTTGATGCGGCGCCCGCTTCCGCAGATTCGTTCTTGGCTTTCTCTTTGCGACGCTCTGCGGGAAGGAACATGTCAATGAACAGGGATAAAAGCGTGGACGGACGGGACGCACCCCAAGCAACGACGCTCTTTTCCCATTCCTCTTGAGCTTTCGAGAAGCCCTCTTTCGTGAGTACGGCGAGTTGCTGGAGCAGCTCGTCTTGTCTGTCAGTCAAAATCTTGAAGTGGTCGGTAAAGATAGTGCGTTTGATGAGCTTCTGTGAAATAGCGCATTGACGCGTGAGTGTGAAAAGCGGGCTTTATAATATTGCGAACGTACGGTCATAGTGAAGCGATTGTAGGGGAACAGCACAGGCATAAGATTGAAAAAGTCCTCGTCGTACTCGCCAAGGTTTACAGCCTTTAGGGCGACGTCGGCGAGTATGGGCTTTACTGAGGGTGGGAACTTGCCCTTGACATCCCAAGATTCTGTGACGACATAAGACAAGCAAGCGTTGGTAGTGAAATATACGTACCCTTAGATATGGCAACCTTCAGGTCTTCAATGGCCAACTGAAGCTCAGCATGGAAGTCGCGCTGTTGCAAGTGAGTGCACGGGCATTGGGTAAGTCGACACACGTACGATATCCACAACCTTCCTCTTCTTACCATTCTCCTCGACCACTGTATAGTTCTTGCGTTTCTTGCTGGCCTTGTCTTCACCAAGCAAGCTAATGGGATGCTCCTTGGTGCCGTCCTCCTTGGTAGTAGGACCTTTACTTGGACCTGCTGTAGCAGCTCCTTCAGCAGGAACTTTCTTGGATTTGGGCTTCTTGGGCGTCCTGCTGCACAAATGAGATGAGCAACGAAGGCACATCATATCACATTACAACGCGTACCTGTCTTTCATGAGGGCAACTTCACCACTCGACACGTAAAAACCTTGTTGCTTTGTTTGGGCAAAATGTGTGCGATTGTCGATGTTCAACTCGGAGTCGTCGATAAAAGGGTCATTAACGTCGTAATATTCGGATGTGGTATGTTTTTTCTAAGAGCCCCTTAGTGTTGATCGAATACCCCTTGTAGTGGTGCGAATTACCTTCTTCTTTTTTGGTTTGTCGTGAGCATCGTGGTCGTCTTCGCCTTCGCTTTCGGATGTGTCAGCTTTCGGGGGCGGTGGAGTGGGCTGACGTTGACCGGTTGTCTTTGCCATGCTAGCAATATCGACCTCATAATTATCTGGACCTCCAAGTTTTATTTGAAGTCGAACAGTTTGAAGAGGGGGTGGCGGAGGAGGCGGCGGAGTTGGAGAAGGTGAACGAGGACGAGGCGCTTTTGACTTTGGTTTGATGGCAGTTGCGCCTATGGTAGATACAGGCTTGGAGCCGGTAGCCGATAATGACGACTTTAATTTCTTTGACGGTGGAGGTTTGATATCGCTATCGTCAATGTTGTTGTGTACGTCGCGGTCTGTTAGGTAGTCGAGAGAATTGTCACGACTGTTGTTGTTGATAATGTCATTTGGAACAGAAATTGAAGTGTTCCGACTTGAAATTTGAGGATGAGGATCATTATCATGCATTTCAATGTCTTCAGACATGATTTTTTTCAGTGTTGAGGACGTTGGAAGGTGGGTACGAGGAGACGACGATGTTGCGGTGGAAGTTGCCTAAAAAGGAACGTCTCAGGTGTCGTTCTTCCCCTTTTCTCAGCATCTTCAGCCTCCATTTTTTTCCAAGTGCGAAGCAAAGGGAACTGCAGTTGGCCTGGCAAGACAATCCGGATTGCTGACTAACAATTTCCCATCACCTAAAATCTTTCATTCCGGCATCTCCCGGTGGCGCAAAACGACATGTTCTCCTCCTCCCCTCCTTCCAAATTCTACGTGCAGTGTCTTGTAGAAAAATCTACGGGTGTGTCTCGTTCTTAGTAGTAATTGATGGCTACATGTCTTCTTACCTTCTATTCAATCGCGGTCCCAGTTTAAGCTTGTTATCAGCCAATCGAAACAGCTCGAGGTTCCTTAGAGTTCACGTGCCATATTCAGCGTCAACATCTCTCCTCCTCCCACGTAGATCATACCCGAACATTAAGACGACATTCGCGACACGTCAGAATCATACAAGTACTAGCGATATGGCTTTACTCCAGCACACCGGTTCATCAACCTATTACACGGAATTAGTAGAGCTTCCGGTTCCTGTATCTGCCGATTTCGTTGGTGGTGATGGTGCGTCCATCAACACAATCAGTAGTCGTTGAGAGTAATATATAGACACCTGCCCAGTTGTACGAGTCACTTATTCTGTTCGCGATCACGAACGTAACATCAAGCGATCTCTTACCAAGACGTTCCCCGTCATTACTTCTGATGATCAGATAACCTCTGCCATCACCCATGATTCATCTGAAGTCAAGGCGTTCACAACGTCTCCCTCCAAGTCTCGTCAGGCAATCCTACGAGAGGTCGGTAATGGCACACATACAAAACGATTCGTCGAGATCTGGGCAGGCACCCAGATGGAGGCATCCTTAGATGTCACCAAGTACCATGATGTCTTTCATACAGATGGTAAGTTGAATGAATAAAGGCCCCCAAATACCTGCTCATCAGATGCCAGATGTTTTGTCGTCGCTTTCTTTCTCACCATCAGAGACATCCCTGCTATACACTGCCGAAGCAAATGTCAACGGCGACGACGACGCTTCAGACGATCCTTACCCAAAATTCAGATATACCCCGAACTTTGGAGAACCATCTCGCACCAAGAAAAGACCCACTATCTTTCTATTCCGCTGGACACGGTCCACAGCGTTCACCAGGGCCGCTAAACAAGACATGCTACTTTTGACCCTTTCAATGGCGCAGCCTACCCAAGTACCTGTCTTATTCGGACAAGCTACTTTCGCAACAGAAGATGTCATCTTCGCCACTGGACACGACCATACCAAAGACGGTCGACTACTTGGGGTTAAAGGGTGCTTCAACCGTCCAATGGGCATATGGGAACTCAGACTTCCCGAGTCCGCAAGCTTGCATGGAACCCCCTTCGGCACTACAATCTCGTGCAACTCTTTGAGGCTGACACCACCAGAACGCTCTTGCCGTTCGCCTCGTGTGTTTTTTGCTGACAATCAGACACCCTATAAACTCTTTTGGTTCTCAAACCCCGTTGGTGGTGCTCATGCATCTTGCGTTTCTCTGGAATCTCGCGATCTCATCACTGGTACCCACAAGGTTCTCGTGGACACCGTCATGGAGCCTGCCCCCGAAAACAACTTTCCAGGACTTTATACCGAGTATAATATACCTTCCAGCCCCTTTCTACGTCGCGGAGACAATGTATTCATCGTGCTACAGTCCTTATGGCGCTCGCGCACAACGGTGCTCTTCATTGATAAAGAAACGGGAGAAATCACAGACGAGACAAAAATGCGCGACAGCGAACCCATGTACAGTTGGAACGTACTTGCTACAGATGGCAAGACGCGCTTCATCTGTTCGAGGAGCACGCCTACTACCCCATCTGAGGTATTACTGGGATACTTTGATCCGCATGGCAACCTTAATTGGAAAGTCCTAGATAAACCAACGATCTCTGTAGAAAGTACGTTCGAGTCAATTCGAATCCCTTCCAAGTCTCATCGTGCCTTTCAGCTGAGAAAGCGCTCAGCGACCTTGCTGCGTCAATTATACCCATCGGTGCACGTCCTCCGACAGAGACTCTCGTCATTCAGTCAACGAAGCTCTCATCAACGCCTGGTCCCAAACCTGTCTGCGTAACCGTTCCACATGGAGGACCTCATGCAACGTCGACGACAGGATTCTCTCCAGCCACCGTCGCACTAGCCCTAGAAGGATGTAAGCCCCTCTTCCAAGCTATTTTATTACTGATACTACCAGCACGGTCACAGATACCATCTCTCTACCCAACTATACCGGCTCCATGGGATTCGGCGAGAAATACATAACAAAACTTCTCGGGCATTGCGGGTCGATGGACGTAGAAGACGTGGTAGAAAGCGTCAACGAGCTCGTCCGACTTGGCATTTCAGAGCACGGGCGACAAGTCGTCCAAGGTGGAAGTCACGGCGGTTTCCTCGCTGCGCACCGTAAGACCCTTTCACCAACAATGACGCCTTTCTCACACACTTCACACTTGCAGTCATAGGACAATACCCAAAGCTATTCAATGCAGCAGTCATGCGCAACCCTGTCATTTCCGTAGGTGAACTCACAGGGTCCGACATCCCCGACTGGATCTACGCCGAATTCGGACTCGAATTCACCCCCCAGTCGATCATGACGCCCGCCACGTTCAAAACGCTATTCGAAGCATCGCCAATCGCGCATGTCGATCACGTGCGTGCACCGGTTTTGTTACTACTCGGGGAAGACGATATGCGTGTGGTTCCAACGCAGGGAATGCGGTTGTATCATGCGCTAAAGGGGAGAGATAGGGCGAGTGGAGATGTTGACATTCCCGAAGGAGACGCATCCGCTTGAGGGGGTTGAGGCTGGGAGGGTTTCTTGGGAGGCTGGGAGGGATTGGTTTAAGGCGTTTGCGGAGGAATGTTGACCGCGTAACGGAATGCCTGAATTAGGTTAGCCTACATACCTCAAGACTGAAATTACAAGCTGTGTAATATTTCGCTGAATAAATTTTATCCCGAACAGTCACGACTGAGGTGAGTATATCCTACCAACACTTGTAGAACTTTACTGACAAGTATTAGTGTTTCGCATTGTTACTAGTCAGTACTTAAATTTCAGTTGTTCCGCTCATGACTGAGTGTTCGCGTTGTTAGGTACCCAGCGCATCCATGGATCCGAATGAACTCGTTCGTCTCATGGAGCTTTGTTAACAGAGATGATCCTCATGCCTTAGATGAAGTAATATCTCTTCACTACGCTGCGTTAAGACACTACAGCACGGAACATCCTCAGCGAGGGCAATTGCTGTGTAACCTGGGTTCCGCGCTGTTGACTCGTTTCAAGCATCGAGGCAATGGCCAAGACCTTGATGAGACCATGTTACTTGAGAGGGAGGCCCTGACTTTGTTTCCTGTCGGTCACGCAGCTCGGTTTTGGCCATTACATAATCTGGGTTTCATACTGTTCACCAGCTTCCACTGCACCGAGGCAACGTCCAAGACTTGGATGAGGCTTTTGTGATTCTCAGCGAGGCGCTGGGGTTGTGCACGATCAATCACCCAGATCTATCCAAGTCATTGAATAACCTTGGGAATGTTCTCTTCGCCCGCTTCCAGCTCCGAGGCAATGGCCAAGACTTGGATGAAGCTATCACGCGTCACTAGCGAAGCGCTGGCTTTGCAGCCCGTCGGTCACCCGCATCGATTCATGTCAATAAATAACCTTGCAGAACGACTCTCCACCCGCTTCGACCACCAAGGCAATGATCAAGACTTGGATAATGCCATCGTGCTTCACAGCGAAGCGCTGGCTTTGCACCCCATCGATCACCCGGATCGGTTCATGTCATTTAATAACCTTGCGCGTATTATCTACAACCGCTTCCAGTACCGGGGCAATGACCGAGACTTGGATGAGGCTACTTCGCTTCAGAGGGAGGCACTGAGGCTGTGCCCGGTCAGTCGCCCAGATCGGTATCCGATATTGAATAACCTTGGGGGTTTTCTCCGCGACCGCTTCATGCACCGAGGCAATATCTAAGACTTGGATGAGGCCGTCGAGCTTCTCCGCGAAGCGCTGGCTTTGCGCCCCGTCGGTCACCCAGATCGCTCCGGGCCATTGAATAACCTTGGGGGTTTTCTCTCCACCCGCTTCGATCGGCGAAGCAATGACCAAGACTTGGATTATGCCATCGTGCTTCACAACGAAGCATTGGCTTTGCGCCCCGTCGGTCACCCAGATTGCTCCGGGTCATTGAATAACCTTGGGGGGGTTCTCTCCACACGCTTCAAGCGCCGACGCAATGACCAAGATTTGGATTATGCTATCGTGCTTCACCGCGAAACATTGGCTTTGCGCCCCGTCGGTCACCCAGATCGCTCCAGGTCATTATGTCGCGTTGCGGATTGTCTTGTCACTCGCTTTGAGCACCGAGGCAATGCCCAAGACCTCAACGAGTCTCTCGAGAAATACCGCTATGCATTAACTCTGTTGAAGCCAGGCAATCCTTCTCAATCACATGTCCATGTGTCAATAGCTCGGGTCTATCTGCTGGTCCATCAATCAGGACTCGATGGCATTGGCGAGGATATCGATACTCTGAATGCCGCAATACGTCACCTCAAGGCATCAATAAATATTATCTCTGGAGGTTTGCGATTTCGCTTGAGAGCAAGTCTACTCTGGGTTCTCCTTGTTGATCGACATACACATGTCACTCAACTGGAAGCGTATGCAACTTCCATGCAACTTCTGGACGCTTACATGTCTGCGACAGCTTCGGTGTCATCTCGCCATCATGCCATGAAGGACTTCCCACACACACTTGCAGTCGATGCTGCATCGTGTGCTCTTCGTCGTGGCGATGTGTACCGCGCTGTGGAGTTACTGGAACAAGGCAGGACTCTTATCTGGACCCAGATGGCGCGATTCCGCACACCTCTTGACAGCCTCCAGGAACACGGAGATCACCCACAAGCACTGATGAAGAAATTCCGAGACCTCTGTTCCCTCCTCGATAAACCTCCTGTGAATGTTTTAGAAGGAATGCAAAGAGTTGATGTAGAAGCAGAAACTACCCGGTACAGACGTCTGGTGGAGGACTGGAATACAACCGTGGGAAATGTTCGGAAGGTTGAGGGCTTCGGTCGCTTCCTCCTTCCCCCCTTGTTCTCCGATCTTCAAGATGCAGCTTCTGATGGGCCTATCATTGCTCTCGTTGCAAGCAGGTTTTCTTGTGATGCCATCATTATCCCGCACAAACAACCTCCTGCTAGCATTCAACTCCCCACCAACTTAGAAAACCTCGGGAAATTGGTGAACGCACTCCGAAAGACGGTTGAAAAGCAGACCGGTCCCAAAGAGACCCAACCGGTGCTGATAAAAGCTTTGCGGGAGTTATGGGATGACGTAGTCAGTCCTGTGGTCGAGAACCTGGGTAGATTTGCACGACCAGGATCCCGAATATGGTGGTGCCCAACTTTCGTCTTCAATTTCTTGCCGTTGCATGCTGCTGGCGAATACAAGCGTGGTGGAAAGTCCCTTTCGCAGCTATATGTTTCTTCATACACTCTATCCCTCACCACGCTGATCAGGGCTCGCAGAAGTCACGACATATCCTTGTCCGCGTCTTTTGCTGCTATCGGCCAGAACCAACCTCCAGGATATTTACATCCTTTGGAAGCTGTCGAGCCTGAGCTAGAATTGGTGCAGAGTCTTCTACCCTCTTCCCCGACCATTTCCTTCACCAAAGTCACAAGTGTCGAATCGACGAGATTGAGAGTCCTGCGCATGTTGCAAGGTCATCACTGGCTCCATTTTGCTTGTCACGGAACACAAAGTTTCGAGGAACCATTCAGGTCGGCTTTTCTCATGCGCGACGAACCGCTTTCACTCCTCGGCATCACACAAATGGATCTTTCTCGGCATGAATTCGCATTTCTTTCCGCCTGCGAGACCGCAGTCGGTGACCCTAAGACTCCTGACGAAGTGGTACACCTAGCAGCTGGCCTACAGTTTGCTGGGGTGAAGAGTGTCATTGGTACATCATGGAAGGTCAAAGATGCCACTGTGCAGCGCTTGGTTGATGCATTCTACAAAAGATTTTGCGGGGGTGGCACAATGGATTCAGGAAGAGCTGCCCGAGCGCTGCACCAAGCGGTCCAGTCGTTAGCTTCTGACACGGACATGCCCTTGGACCATCGCATCGTGTTTGTGCATATTGGAGTATGATCATGTTTTGTGCGTCATTTCACCGTATCGATCAAGGCGGCCTTCTGACGACCTCACGTGTAACATCCAGCTGAGGCTATCGTGCAGCCTGTGGTGAAGGAATTACATGCTGATATTTCAGACTTTAGCCTGAGGACTGTACACCGGTACCTAGTAATCAGATATGTACACCTAATCTCGACTTTTATTTGCATTTCTCAGTCTGTTGCCTCAAAGCCTGTGACCGTGCCTACCGTATAATGCGTAGATAAGGCGAAGTTCGAAGTTGTAGTATACCATGTCTGGCAAAGGTGAAAACGAAACACGGTGGAAATGTAACATGATCCATGCGTAGTTGAGACATTAGGGTGGCTCTTAGCTTGAGCTTTAATTGTTAAATGACTGCAGGATAAATGAGGATGCAAAATCACTGAAGGATCGTTGGAGGCACTCAGGTCGGTGGCGCCAGGCGGCCAATTGGATCATGTTCCGATCTCTCATACTTTTATACAACGAGGGCCTACAACAATCCTTCGGTGATTTAACATTCTGCACCCTCATTAATGTCCTGCAGTCATTTAACATGCCACCCTAGGCATGTTGTCTCAAACTCAACTACCCATGGATTGTGTTATATTTCCACCGTGTTTCGTTGTCACCTCTGCCACCCTGCTTTTTCTCTTATGCCCACAGTGTGACCCGATTAAGCCTTTCGAGATCGTCTATCAATGATATCTTAGCGCCAGTCAAAAGGTATATAAGGATGTTCAATGATAAAGGCTCTGCCCATCATCTTAAAGGCTCCGTTGCTTTCCAACATCGTTGGGATGAAGTACGCGTCACGAAAGTTCATCGACCTCATTCAGGGCGCTGCATCTAAGTGGGCCAACTGGGATCCACCAAAAAAAATTGCAGTATGTAAAGACTCTGCTACTCGGCTTCAATTGAGCTAACACAAAACACAGGTGGGTGACTATGGGTTGATCGACAACAAAACCGGAGAATTCGAGTGGGAGGGGAACATATATCGCCCACATTTCCAGGAGCAACTCAAATCCTCAAAGTACAAGATCGACTTAGATCTAGCGGATCCGGCACTTCAACCCCAAGAACAAGAGAGGGGATGACCAATTTATCATCAAATCGCGGGGTGTCACTACCAAAAAAGTCAATATGTCTTCTGAAGTGTAGGTCCTATTGCAATACTTGGCTCATATATCTGACTGTATTGCAGTGGTGTGCAGAGTGTACTGAATGTCGCCTTTGAAGCCGATTTGCAGTTTGATGGTAGAAAACGAGCAGCTGTGCTGGTTATGCACGAGCCAAGATACAGCAGCCTTCCGAATGACGAACGCATCATCGAATTACTCAAGTCCATGCCTGATATTCTCAAAGGGAAGTTCATCGTCACCGAAGTGATATCTTGCGCAGCGTATATGATGCATTTGTCTGAAAAGAGTAAGTCTGGTGTGCGAGTTCAAAATGTCTGCGCTGTGCTCACTTGGCGTAGAGGCGTATAGCATTTCTGCAACACTCAAAGCCAATGTACCTGTCGCGCCACCTGCCACTGCTGGAGGTGCAGTCGGTTTCGCCTGGTCTTTAGAAACTACCAATGGCGTATCTCGTCAAGGAAGCGACCCGGCTGCAAAATACGTACCCTTGTATAGGTTGAAACAGCCTCGTTCTAAGTTCTGGCTGTGGCCTTATGGTCACCGCGGGGATGAGAAAAATGACGATCCGATCGACAGGTGAGTTCAAATTGTCTCGTGACTCAGTGGTGCAATATGGGAACTTCTATGCAGGTGGGAGGATGTCGAGCCACCTTGGGACCCTCTCGACGACGAGGGCGAAGAGGACGAAATATATGATGCAGTATGTTTTCAGTTCCGTTTACTGGAACCTGATTTGATCCGTCTCACTCCAACAGGAGATGCATGGCGACTTCGGCGTTTTCAATGATGGCTATCCTGAGTAGGTGTTGCTCCTGCACAAACCTTATGTGTCTTATGTACCTCTCGTAGTGACGATGACGACTACTCACCAATACCTGGGGCTCTGATGCATAACAAACTTTAGAGGGCACCCGAGTCTATAGGACCTCTTGTACATCAATTTGCTATATTATACACGACTCGCTCGGGTTCGGCTGGTATTGTTGGAATATGGAATCATTCACGCTGTCGCAGACGAAAACAGAACACGCTGAACCTATTCAACACGAAAAATGCTGTCTGTAGCTGAAGATTTTTGTGACATACGTGGCACAGCACTCGTCTATCGAAAGTCTCCAGATGTTCTAGGAACCAGAATTCCGAAGGTCCTGGAACGTATGGTTCGAGGTTGATACATTGCGATAATATCAAAAGAAAGAAATATCAAAGGGGACTCGGATGAGCACATAAACTCAAAGTTTACTCTCCAACAAAACAGGCTCTCTGGTTTGCGTTCGTAAGCACACATTTTTGGTTATGTGTTCAGCATCTCCACTAATCGCTACTGAAGTCGTAAGCGTTCATTTCAGTGGTTTTGCAGATGTGGGACACACATAGTTTATTGCCTCCGTGGTAGATGGCCAAATGGATATCCTATCAGCACCCTGACGAGATGTAAGTAAGTACCGTACAGGTTCGAAACGCGCCTGCTTCATCGCCAAACACAGACTACTAGTGATAGTATTCGCCAAATACGACATTCTCCGGTGTCAGATTTGAATGTGACTGCACATCATATCGAGTCGTGCGTGCGTGCGTTTGCGTCTAGCAAACCATCCCCCGTGCTCTTGGTGACTCTCTGCTCGTCCCTGTCGAAAGAATTCAGAGCACAATTTGAGCATTGACATCAATGTACCTGCATGGACCACCATCCTTCCAAGACTTTACCTTCTGCCAGTCGCCCACCAAGTGCAGAAGTGTCTTAATGTGCAGCTAGTCGACTCGGAACTCACACCCGTATGAGTATCCTATACAGACGGTTGGCAATTCAGGGGCTTGCTCGCACCTGGGGATGCACAAACAGCGCACATACATGCACAGCGGTCTGGAAAGGGGTAATAATTCTCCGAGAATTGGCGATCATGCATAGAAAGAACCACTGGTATGGTGTCGAGGGGAAGCACTCCATGTCAGGATCTCTGTATCCTGCAGGCGAGATGCATGTACGAAGGCGGGTCCGAAATACCCCATATCGAAGAGAGAGCTGGATGTATAGGAAAAGATAAGCAAAAGTATCATTACTAGGGCGTTGATGGTGGCGGGGTTCATAGACTTTTCATCAGCGGGTCAGCAGATTGGAGTTGTAAGCGACTCGGTCGTCAGACATGATGCGAGTAGCTGTAGATGATACTTACCATTCTACCTCGCCATTATATGCATAACACGAAGACAATACAGTAATCTATGAGGCGATCAGAACTTCAGAAGGTGATGGCGCTATTGAACGTTAATTAGCTATGATAGGGTGTAGACGCCTGAGCCATTCTTAATGTGACTGTGATGAGAGTGGAATCTAAATGATCGGGCTGCAGGTATCGATGAGCCATTGGAGTCCAAGACAATGTGAAAGCACGAAGTTGATCCATGCCATCATGATCGACTTCCATGTGCCGTCGTTGGCAAAATACGGCGCGGGATGGGGAGGCCCGACGCCGACTGTTCGAAAAATTCAACCTGAGCGCACATGCGTCGTTGAAACGTTGGCCTGAGGCGGTGATACGGTGGAACGCGAAAGCAAGCAACAGGACACGAGGTGCTTTCGAAACTGAACTTTAAAAGTGAATTTCTGCGAAATTTCAAATGGTTCGACGTACAGGTACATACTGGAAGTTAATCTTGGCTACAGACCCTGCTATGAGGCAGGTAGAGATCTGCCAAGACTCAAAGCGGAGTCGTAAACGCAAAAGAAAACACAACGGACTCAAATTCTATACGTGGTAAGAGCCAGGTGTCCGACGAGACCGGAGGCGTGTTGATCCCTGCAATCTACATTGCACTATTTTGCACTTCAACAGAGCACATGCATCGTGATATAGAGCGCTCCGTAGCGGTAAATCCTTTGAAAGCCGGCAGCAAAGCGGTTTCGAGACCAAAGTGAGGCGAGGATCGGGCAAAGACTGGCGAGGAGGGATATGGGAAGAGGATTACTAGGGGAGGAGGATGGAAGCAGTTTCAAGCCGATGGAAGCTGTCATCATGGGGATACACTATGTAGCAGCCCCGACAGGAACCCATGTGATATCGCCAAGAAAACGATCAAATAAGGGAAAAGGACATCGACGAAGCCCTGCGAATAATCTGCGGGATGTCACGGTAGGTGAATGACAATGCGAGGCTTCTATTGTCAGAGAGCGAACGTGCAGCCAGCTTGACATTTCTTCCAAAAGAAGGTCGTTATCAAGGAAGATGGAGTGACGGAGGAAGAGATGCAGGCTTCGGAGCTGCGTGAAACCAGCGAATTGAGTAACAGCTGCCAAAAAGAAGTCTGAGGGCTCCTGAACTCCTGGATCGTAGACCACCATAGAAATGTGTTCAAGGGTCTGCCATGCTTTGCACTGGGACAGTGCACGAAAGAGCTGCTCAGCCTCTGTCCAAGGCAATGCAACGACAGCCATCTCGAACCTTTTCAGCGCGGGGAATACCGAGTGTTGCAGGACTGTCATGATGTACGCGGCCGTATTCGTATATGATGAGAGAGTCGTGAGGTTGAGGAAAGGTGCGAAATTGAGATTATTGAGGTTCGAGAAGGCACATTGCTCCCCCCCTCTAATCCTAATTGTGAGAAGGGTAGGAATGTTGGAAATATGCTCCCATGCTGCCCAGTCGAGCGATGGACCAGATAAAGTTACAAGCTGCTTGTACAACGGACACTGTCAGACAGCAGGGGCAGCTCATCGTCTACGCTGAAATAAGAAGAGGGCTTGATGGATAGGTCCTCCAAAGCAGCACAGCGGGTGACAATATATTTCAAGTGCGGAGGAACGGCTGGTAGGGCACAACAACGCAACGTGGGGGACGGGAATAGACGCAAGTATCTGCTTGAGTCTAGAACGGTTATTAACGACAGCAACCCCAGGAACATGCATGTCTCGATGAGGAGGATTGAGAGAAGGTGAAAATTTTGATCAGATTCCCATGATAGATTCAATGAGCAGACACGGGCGGCATGACGCAAAAATTGACAGGTCTTATGCTCAAATAATGGCTGGAGGTCTCGAGAGTGCCATGACTGCATTTAATAGATGCTCGGTGAGTCAATGAACAGAGCGCGAATAGGTCGCACTGACCGTAGACCATAAATCGTGACGATATATGATGATCGGATGTAGCCTCGGTACACAACCTAGCAGCAGTGGGTTAATTCATCTATATCAGCCCAGAGCAAATCTGTTGCAGGCTCGTGGAATAATTTGCACGTTCTGGCAAGTGCGCAAGGGACCTCCGGGACAATGATTTGTCGACAGTACCATACAAGGCACATTTTCTGACATGCACGAATACATCGAGGAGTATTTCGGAAACAAGTAGAGTGCGATGCATCACGAGTAGTAAACGTTTAAACAAGTAGTATGACAACAGGAGTCCTAGCGCAAAACGCACAAAACAGACACAAACAACCTTGCAAGCCCCAGAGCAAATCTATTATCACGGCAAACTCATCTGACTGGCATGCTCCCACGTCCACTTTTCTTCGTCGATGACCGGGTCTCCGGTTTTGAACTCCTTGAACATGACGCCATATCGCGGCTGAGGTGCATCATGTGTCAATGAATTTCTTTTTAAAAAAATGGTACAGTAACCTACAAGGACATTGTCGCTTTTAGTGACCTTCAAGTGGTACGTCTTGGCATTGCCTCCTACAGAGTCATTGACAGTGATTTGCAAACTGCATCAGACAATCATTATGTCCACGTCAGTAGTCTGAGATAGGTTTGAATGACGACCTGATACACACGGTGACCCTTTAGATATTTCGATTAGTGTTCCACACTGCCAATCAAAAGTGCCCGCGGCGACCATTTTCAGTTTCGGCGGCAAGTTAACCTGTAAAATCGGTGAGATTCGAATGAGAATACTTTATAGGCTCTCAGACAGACTGACTCGGTCATTCCATCCGAGGTAAGGATTAGGCTCGCGAGGCTCGGTCACGATTTCCATCGGCCCACCCACTTCCATGGTTTCGGTGTTAAGTGGCGCCCTCCACTATTGATATCCCTTGTCAGCACTAGGCTCGGAACATTTCTTCCATATAATAGCCACGTACTTTTTGATTTTTCTTGTCTGTGGTAGGCGGGGCTACAGTAACCTCATTGTTCTGCAACGTTAACACGTAGCCGGAGTACTTGACGTTTGTAAGAACACCCTCGATCACGAACGACATGACGCTACTTGATTCGTTGTTGGAGAAATTGGAGGGAATGCGAGTGAGTTGGTCTTCAAACCTATGATTGCAACATTACATATATACGTCCTGGCACGCAGGCTCGGCATTCTGCTATCCCGGCCGAGCACCACACGCGCCCCTGAATCATGTAAGTGATTCAATCCAGGTGAATAACTGTAACCCGGATTTGCTGTAACTCATCGCCTGGTGATCGGCCATTGTGATGAAATTGGTAAATCACCCTGGCACTTCCATTGCAAAAGAAGTTACAAACATTCCTCCTCTTCGCTTGCGAGGAATGCGATACGAGAGGATTGTTACAGAGATCCACCGATTTCTCGGCGACCACTACTAATACTATAGGGGACTAACGTTCATTACAAAAGAGGTTACAAACATTCCTTGATCGTTTTCGCTTGCGAGGAATGTTTGTCATGGTTTCTCGGCGGTACAGTGTTAGCCTATCGGGAAAAACCTCTCGCGTCTAAGGGCCAGCTAGATAGATGTAGACCCAGTCACTCAGGCCAGTCTCCATAATACAAAACTACACCCATCTATATAACAATTAATGAAAATGTATTACATTCTTCGAGGACACTGCTGCTCGTCCAATGACGAGCCGTGACTAGTCCGAACAGGTGTATACTTGCAAATATTTGAAACAAGGATTGCACTGGCAACTCTCTCAAACGAATGAAACGAGGAATTTTGTACATGCCGCATATAACATTGTAGCGCATGTCAGTGATTTATATCATGTGTCAGCAGTACGTTGGAATATGGTGGGGGCCGACGGATGTGATTAATGAGTAATGATCTACCTTGTTCGTCTCCACCTCTCTCCCTAACTTGGAATCTAAGGTATAGATTACAAACCGCAGCAAGATGTCAGCCAAGATCCGCAGAAGAATTGGGAGATTCGAGATGCCTGTTGACATCATGCCACGCGTACCGGATGTAGCATCCAGGGAGTATAGGGAAGATGATATGAGCGACGGCTTCGCTGTCCGCTACGTGAGAGGAGCGCACATCCAATGTTTGTAGGGATGTGTGTTGGAATGACTGGAGTCCAAGTAGTTCTGTAAGGATTACCCAGGAACTGCAAATGATTTGAGCTGCCGGTTGATTTCGTCCCACACCAACTGGCTTTCACTGTTGCGATAGCGAACCACGGAAACACGAGGAAGTACCGAGGAAAGAGTACACATCCAGCATGTGTAGGGTGGGATGTTGAAATGAATCAGCTGTAGGATCGATGTATATTAGAGAGCTCTTCCGTCACCGTAATAGAGCTTGAAATGTAGGTTCGAACTTCGTGGCGAGTCAGTCACGGTGTGGTTTACCATCCCGGACGGTCCCGCAGTCAGCCCGTCAGAGTCCACTTTAAATTTCTAGTAAAACCCCCACATACCTTTCTTCGGTTTGGAGCAAAGGCAGACGAGGCCTAGGACACGCGCTCATTAATCAACCAACTTCACACTTCACAGTCATAGGACAATACCTCGACCTATGCGATGCCGCTGTCACATTGCAACCCAGTCATTTCATACCCCCCAGCGGCTCATGACACATCTCCGATCGCGCATGTCGACCGCGTGTGTGCGCCAGTTTTATTGTTGAAGATGATTAGCGTGTGGGTTCGCGAGTTTTCGAAATTTCAACATTGGGGTTCGATGCTGGTACAAGTTAAGTATCAGCTGCGAATCCCAAAGCCCAAAATCGGAGAGAGAGATGGCATGCATAACATGTTCTGGTAGCTCCCATCATGACTAGGGAGGTCTCTAAAACTGCAGACCTCCCCATTCACGACAGGTCTTCAAACCATAATGCATGAGGTACGAACCCGGAGACCAAGTTCTGAAGTGGTCAGTGCTGAATTCAGAATGTGGGGTAGTAGGGTACCGGAGTTTGTAAATTTTCGTCTCGTTTATTTCAATTTGGTCTCGAGGGCTTTTCAAAGTCTGGCTGCGAGTGGGGGGCAGCAGCGGGAGGCCCGCCCGGAACTTGGAGAGAGCCTGAAGGATCTGAGAACCTGTCAGTCAGCAGCAGGGCGTTGAAGGCGACCAGCGAGGCCTATTTTCTGGTCAAAGAATCGCCAGGAGAGCTGGGGGTGGACATGGGTGAGAGAGAGAGAAGTGGGGGAGAAAGACAAAATTCGAAGGTGCCAGTGGGTTTTTAAGAGGGACGCCGCTGCTGCTTCTATCAGCGCGAAGCGCACGCAGCGAGGATCCGCTTTCACCATCGTTGCGAGACGTGGCGGTTCGAGTCAAGAAGCCACGGCAAGTGCCGTGCACCACGTCCCGCCGCCCGTTCTTCGGCGCTCGTTCCTTCACAACCTAGGGCCTTTTCTTTCTTTTTTCAATTTGGGCATGCTCGAAGTTTGAACTCAAGCAACGCGTCCATTTCGTGTCCTGCCATTTATATCGGGTATCTGATCTGACTACTGCTAATAGTGGCACTGTGCAGTACTTACGAGCAATGTTTCACATGTCCCAGCTCTGTCCGACAACCGACAACTGCAATCACGGGAATACAACAACGAGGCCTCATCCCGAAGAGGCTGCGGACATTACTCGGGAGTTTCTTTCGGAGAACCATCCCCAGCATTTCTTGAACTTTAGATAGGTATCACGGTTGCAAGGTAGCGTGTCACTGTTACATTATACCATCACTTCAAATCATAAATGACCCTACTAGAATGTGACTTGCTTGCGCTGCCACATGATCAATGTTCCTCCGCAAACGCCTTAAACCAGTCCCTCCCAGCCTCCCACGAAACCCTCGCCGCCTCCACCCCGTCAAGTGGATGCGTCTCCTTCGGGAACGTCAACATCTCCACTCGCCTATCTCTCCCCTTGAGCGCATGATAAAACCGCATCCCCTGCGTCGGAACCACACGCAAGTCGTCTTCTCCAAGCAGTAACAAAACCGGCGCACGTACGCGATCGACATGCGCGATCGGCGATGCTTCGAATAGCGTTTGGTACGTGATGGGCGTCATGAGCGACTGGGGGGCGAATTCGAGTCCGAATTCGGCGTAGATCCAGTCGGGGATGTCGGATCCTGTGAGCTCGCCTACTGAGATGACTGGGTTGCGCATAACTGCTGCGTTGAATAGGTTTGGGTATTGTCCTATCACTGAGTGTGAAGTTGGTTTATTAATGAGCGCGTCGCTGTTGGGTGGAGAGAAGGGGTCTTACGGTGCGCAGAGAGAAAACCGCCGTGACTTCCACCTTGGACGACTTGTCGTCCGTGTTCTGAAATACCGAGTCGGATGAGCTCGTTAACGCTTTCTACTACGTCTTCTACGTCCATCGTCCCGCAATGCCCGAGAAGTTTTCTGATGTATTTTTCGCCGAACCCCATGGAACCGGTATAGTTGGGGAGGGAGATAGTATCTGCGGGCGTGCTGGTAGTAATCAGTAGTCGCATAGTTTGGAAGAGAGACTTACATCCTTCTAGGGCTAGTGCAGCATTGGCTGGTGTGAACGCTGTCGTTGACGTTGAATGAGGTCCTCCATGTGGAAAGGTCACGCAAACAGGTTTTGGGCCGATCCTCGACGAGAGCGTCTTTGACTGAATAACGAGGGTCTCTGTAGGAGGACGTGCACCGATGAGTATAATTGATGCAGTGAGGTCACTGAGCGCGTTCTCCGCTGAAAGACAAGATGAAACATTGGCAGGAACCGAAATGACTTGAACGTACTTTCTACAGAAATCATTGGTTTGTCTAGGACTTTCCAACTGAGGTTGCCATGTTCATCGAAGTATCCCAGTAATACTTCAGATGGGGCAGTAGGCGTGCTCCTCGAACAGATGAAGTGTGTCTTGCTGTCTGTAGCAAGTACGTTCCAGCTGTACATAGGTTCGCCGTCGTGCATTTTTGTCTCCTCTGTGATTGCTCCTGTTTCTGTGTTAATGAAGAGCACAGTTGTGCGCGAGTGCCATGTGGAGTGGAGCGCGATATATACGTGGTCTCCGCGACGCACAAAGGGCCTGGAAGGCATGTTATACTCCGTATAAAGCCCTGGGAAGTGATTTTCCGGGGTAGGCTCCATGACGGTGTCCACGATGATCTTGTTGGTACTATTAGTGAGATCGCGAGATTCCAGAGAAACACAGGATGCATGAGCGCCGCCAACGGGGTTCGAAAGCCAGAAGAGCTTCACGGGTGTTTGACTGTCGTCGTATAATACACGAGGTGAACGACAAGATCGTTCTAGTGGTGTCAGCTTCAGTGAGTTGCACGAGATTCTAGTGCCAAAAGGCGTTCCATGCAAGCTCGCTGACTCGGGAAGTCTAAGCTCCCATATACCCGTTGGACGATTGAAGCACCATTTAACCCCCAGTATTCGACCATCTTTGGTGTGGTCGTATCCAGTGGCGAAGATGATATCTTCTGTTGCAAAAGTAGCTTGGCCGAATAAGACAGGTACTTGGGTGACCTGCGCCAGTGAGAGCGCACAAAGTAACATGTCTTGCTTAGCGGCCCTGGTAAATGCCGTGGACCTTGTCCAGCGGAATAGAAAGATCGTGGGTCTTTTCTTCGTACGAGATGGTTCACCAAAGTGCGGGGTATATCTGAATTTTGGATAAGGATCGTCTGAAGCGTCGTCGTCGGCGTTGACATTTGCTTCAGCAGTGTAAAGAAGGGATGTCTCCGATGGAGAGAATGAGAGCGACGATAAGACCTCTAAATCAGATGAGCATGTATTTGTGAGCCTTTACAAAGATCGTTCAACTGACCATCTGTATGAAAAATGTCATGATACTTAGTAACATCCAAGGATGCCTCTATCTGGGTGCCTGCCCAGATCTCGACAAATCGTTTTGCGCCTGTGCCATCGGTGATCTCTCGCAGAAGTGCCTGACGAGACTTGGAAGGAGACGTTATGAACGCCTTGACTTCAGAGGAATCATGGGAGACGGCAGGGGTTGTCTGTTGGTCAGACTCAGAAGTAATGATGGGGAAAGTCTTGGTTAGAGATCGATTGGTGTTACGCTCGTGATCGCGAACAGTAATAAGTGACTCGTGCAACTGGGCGGATGTCTACTATTAATGTGAAAAGTCACTGATTGCTATGTTGACGGACACACCATCACCGCCAACGAAATCAGCAGTCACAGGAACGGGTAGCTCTGCTAGTTCCGTGTAAAACGTTGATGGACCGGTGTGCTTGAGTGAAGCCATGTGTGAGTGAGTGGTATTGGTAAATGTATGATTCTGACGTTTCACGAATGACCCGTCGGTATTCGGGTATGATTTACGGGGGAGCAGCACAAGACATACTGGCGCTGAATTTAGCACGTGCCATCTAAGCCTGAGGAACTTTGAGTTGTATCGATTGGCTGATAACAAACTTAAATTGGGACCGCGGTGGAGTAGCCGGTAAGAAGATGTGGATATGATAGATGCACCACAGAAAGACGCACCTAGGCCTGTAAATTATATTTATTCTGCAAGACACCACACATGGAAGGAGGTCAGGAGGCGAATGCCGGGAAATGCCGGAATGCACCCGAACATCATTAGACTTTATTGAACTTCATATGTGACATTGTGATTGCTGTGCAGCGCTGCACAACGCTGCACATAGGGTTAGGGTTTTGCTGATGTTCTGGTAAACCCCCGCATACCTTTCTTCAGTTTGGAGCAAAGGCAGATACTGCAGACGAGGCCTAAGTAGTTGTGCCGCGGCCTGGCTATGGCTGACTCAGGCTCGGCATTTACTGGATAGGCTACCGGCAGTTCGGCCAAACAGGTGAGCCAAGTCACCAGTAAGCTCTTTAGATTGGTTCAAAGTGTTAGTCAGCCATGCAAACCAGCTATGAATCGAGAATGTATGAACACTGGCTTAAAACGGCTTAAGCCATTTTAAGCCAGCTCCAACCAACTCACAAATGTGTATGAAAACATTTTCTCGTTCCCTCAGGCTCCAGGACTCAAGATTGCAGTGTTGATTGGATTGTGTACCATGAGTAAAGTCCCTGTTCGAGTCGATGGAAGATTTAGACTGGGAGATGTTCTGGGATCTGGTTCATACAGTATGTAACTATGTCATTCATATGGTGACTATGTTGATTCAGACGGATTCTCACTTAGCTGTCATGTACTGTGCATGAAACATCATAAATAATGATGTAGTTGCCATCAAACTGGAACCCATTGTCAACAATTTGTCTTCTCTGCAGCACGAATACCACATTTTGAAACAACTCGAAGGTGGGGTTGGCATACCCCATGTACTTTGGTTCGGTAGAGAGTTGACGTACCATGCTCTGGCTCTCAACCTCCTTGGTTCATCACTGCATGATATATTCCTCATACACAGTCAGAAATTCAGCCTTCATACTGTCGTCAATCTCGGTGACCAACTGGTGAGTTGGTCTGTGGTGGGTTGTTGCAGAGGCTAATACATTTACTCAGCTCTCACGTTTCGAATACATTCACTTGCACAATTACGTCCATGGTGATATCAAACCACAGAATGTCATGGTGGGTCTCAACGATTTGAGGCACACTGTCTTTATTATCAACTTCGGTATTGCGAAGGAGTACTGCAACACTTCAACTAGAATGCACATACCATTTCACCATGATCAATGTCTTACTGGCACCCTCGCATTTGCCTCAATCAACAACCACTTAGGAGTCGAGCCAGGTCCCCACAACGATCTCGAATCACTGACATATATGTTGATATATTTCTTATGTGGCTCCCTCCCATGGTTATCTGATGGCCATGAGAAGCTTTCTAGCGCTGCCATACTCGAGCATAAAGTAAACACTACCATTGAAGTCTTGTGTCATGGAATTCCTGTCGAGTTCGTGAGTATTCTCATTTACTCGCGCTCTCTTGCATTCTCAGAGGATCCTGACTATGACTATCTTTGTTCATTACTGCATGGTATTCGTGCCACATTGCCCGCATCAGCTACGTGCTTGCTCGATTTCAGCAAGCCCAATGATCTTTCCACACATACTCCTGCAATCCCTGATGAATATCAGGTGACCGAGGTGACACCCCCATATCCACTGAAGGCAATGCCTCTTTGCCGATCAACTCGTATGTGAGTAGTCCATTTCATCTCACTTGTGAACTGAAGTTCAAGTTATCTGGAAGTTTACATCCACATAACAGCTCCCAACCACATGCCCCAACTTCAACTCCATGCAGCAAAAGTAGCTGACACTGTTGATGGAACACATGTAGCTACTAGTACTTATATGTACATAAAATGAATGCATGTATTCATGTTGCTACAGCCCCAGTGAGTCTCGTCTAGTCTGGGCTGTAGGATATTTATTATTAGCCAATTATGAGTCTCCCACCACCATGCTCTAATTGACATTGCGCAGTTATGGAACCTCCATGAGGTACTTGCCATTAAACCAATGAGTCACTTCCCTAAGTTCCCTTTCTGACTTTATTGCAATGTGATATAGATCCAGGCTAGTGTTGCTGTCGAACTGAAGTGACCTCAAGGTAATTCGGGTTTGGTTTGAAATTGAGGCAGTTCGATACAACTTGATTTGTTTACACCTCATTGTAGATAAGCATTGAATTAGGAACGAACTGCCAAATGAAATGCTAAATCTGGCCTGTGACTTGGTGATTTGTTAGAGTAGTACTCCATCAACCTCACATCTCTAGCATTTCCTCAATGTATTCTGCTCCTCCGTTTCCCATCCTCGAACCTTTTGGTCTAGAACATGATTATACATATTTTCATCAGACCGCAGTACTGCTTTAGCACCAGAGGACAGGCACCTGCAATGCTGTACAATACAAATGTTGAGCAATCCTCCAGCGTGGTTAGGTGACCAGTGTCTAGGTCATTGTATAAATTTGTGCGTTGTACTGTGAGTTTAGTATTGTATTCACCAAACATGAGTTTTCACCAGTGGAACAGTTCTGCAGCTTCTGCTACTAGTATCTCTTCGGCATCTGAGCAACAGCATCATCACTCTCACCCAGGCTACATGAGTCTGCCATGGTCCGCCGCTCATGCACATCCACCATTTTACCCTCAAGATGCTCTGCATGAGCTTGAGCATTATGAGCGTGAACCAGTCACATTCAATGCGGGCGAGCGTGTGACTGATCTTGTTCGCTTCTGGGAGGTGAGCTCGACTTTTCCTTCACATAAGGAAGGCGCTAAAGTCGATTTCAGTGCATGGAAAAAGTCTATCCACTATTTTTCTGCATTGCTATGGATGTCCTGCCAGCTCAGGCATCCTCTGTGCCGTGTGAACATGTATTTTCATCCAGCAAAGAAACATGCACACTCCATTGAAGCAGACTCTCACCACAAGTATTGGAAGCACTCCAGATTCTCAAGTTTTCTTACAGACAGGAGAGACTATGTTTCACTAGGGATTTGATTGCAAAAGAGGATGACTATCGGATTTCAGGGCCTGTGACATGAAGGGCTGCAGAGGAATTGATACATAGTTACGGGGAAGTTCGACGAGCTTGCTGATCTATTACAAAATGTTGATGATGATAACATAGAATGAAACATAGCCACTTCATATCTACTTCACTTTACAAACACTTCTCATTGGCTGGAGCTTTGAGCTGTATTCATTATACTTCAGTTCATTTCACCTCGACCCATCAAACCTAGAACAAACTCCCACCTCGTTTCGATTGGGTTCAGTTCGTGGCAACACTAATCCAGGCTCATCCAGCACTCAATCAATCAGCGGCTATGTTCTCCACCCACTACTTCTCTTGCACGATGACCATCCCAGCAATACTACAGTGATATCTGGATACTTAGAAGTTTTTTCTACCTTCCACCTTTGCTCGTACCTACTGCCTACATACTGGTTCTGGGAGAGCTATATGCAGGGGCGTTGAACTTCAACTTAGTATGAATGACCAGGAAAAGTGCTTACTGAGCACTGAGCGGTGGTTGAGGTCTTTGCCTCTGATGTAATCAATTATTGATGGGGTTCACTTATATCCCACCCTGCAGTAGTTACTGCGGAATGCTAACAGGGCACCATATATTCCACTCGACATCGATCATGGGCATCTGCTATGGCTAGTCAACCAATCTGTGCGTCGCGTTTTTATCAGTATTGGGTAGAAACATTTTTCACTCACATTTCCTGCAGGGAATATCCAATCAACAACACTGTTAGGTACCGTGCCGGCTCAAGAGGCAGAGGGGTCGGGGCTTGACTTCAGCTCTTGCGCTGCGCCCTTAGCCGAGTATGTGCCCCAAATTTGGAGCGGGTCCGACGTTGTCCGACGATAGGACGAGTGGACCGCTTTGGTCCGCTTTGAGGGTCGGGGAGTAAGAGCTGCTAGCGGTGGGCCGACTAGGAACGGAGCAGAGAAGATGGGGGATGATGCAGAGGGTGGATAGGAGCAGGGGAATGTTTGGCAGGGGCGGAGAAGGCGGAGGATGATGCAGAGGGACGAGGGAGAATATTGGATAGGGGCGGAGTATATGGGAAAGACTTAGAGCACAGCTCTAAGTCGGAGTGGGGGATCAGAGGGTCGGAGGGGACGACAAGTTGAGACTTGTGTCCAGGGGAGGCAAGGTCCTACTGAGAATTCTCACAAGATGTAACTGTGAGAAGACAAGTAATATTAAGACTAAGGAAAAATATCTAAGTACATGATATGTTATATACTTTTATGTATGAGGCAGTGACCAGGATAACTATGTAGTAAAGCTATGTACCAAGGATATCATTTGTAAGTACTTTACATAGGAAAGACATAAGTCGGGGCGGATATCAATATGTACACATCGGATCAGTGATCGAGCGGTAATAGGAATTACCGGTGATCCGGAAGTAATGGTCTAAGTACTGAAAAGGAAAGGCATATATCTAAAAGGGGAAAGAGGTCCAGTTGAATGGAGAGGTTTATGGAAGGGGACCAGTTGAGTGGTTGAGCGGAAGCGTAGGGCAGAATGCGGACTTGTGATAGGACGGAGTGGAGGATGAATGGGGCAGAGGGGTCAGAAAGCAGAGCGGATATTAGTATCGGAGCGGTCGAATCAGGTATATGACAAACACCTTATGTCTAGTTTCAGCACTCAATGAACTGATCGGTTGATCATGAGGGTGAAGGCACGACCCAGGAGTTGCCATGCTGTCTAGACTCTGGCTCTTCACCTTGTACGGCCACCTACACCCTATTGCTCAGCACCCTTTGAACTTTACAAGTAAGTGGTCCAGAACTCCATACTACTTTCTACAGTACTCATTGATATTTTTCCATTTATATAAAGAGGGATTGCATTGTTGGGTCTTCATTACTACTAGTCTACTACAGTACTACCAATATGCCACTTCGCCGGTGTGCACCCAAGGTCATTACTGCTGCTCCCATTCCCACTCCAATTGTCGCTACCCCCACTGCTGCCGTCACCGCTCCTATACCCATTCCCACTGCTGTTGTCGCTGCTCCCATCTTGGCCCCTGCCGCCATCATCCCCATTGCTGTTGCAGGATTTACAAACCCACATTGAGACCGGCAGCTCCCTTGCAGATATCGAGATGATGATGCAGCTTGTGCTGGTCCAAGTCACACAGATCCTACAGTGGAAGAAGGGGAGTCTTTCAACCTTGAGGATGTCTCTGCAGACAAAGAAACGGACAGCTTGCCTGCACCTACGGTCAGGGCACCTACAGGCCCTAGCCCACTGCAAACTGCAAACTGCAGTCAACACCATCCATTCCACTACAACCGACCCTTTGGCCACCGGTGGTCGCGCCAAAAAACCTAAAAGCTCTGACAACATTCTTTTCTTTTTTAGGGAAGATAAAGTTGCTAAGCGCAGGATCTGCATACATTGCGAGTAAGTATCACGTCTGCGTCAGTGCAAGACATTTTTTCTTTCTTACATTCTTTACCAGGCAAATGAATCAAGAGGATGCCTCATACCCAGCAACATCATATGCTAACTCTACTGCCTCTGGAGGTCGTTGAATGCACATTTTCAATTGTCACACTGACCTTTACTTAGAAGAGGCAGAGCACCATGAATGGCAGATACAGATCAAGTCTTTGAATGATCTTTTTGATGAAGGTTGGACCCTTGCAATGATCCGTAGATGGTTGAAGAAGGATCCGACTTGTACCATTGATTCCCTTGGTTCACCCTCTGATTGTGATGACATGCAGCTCAGGCAGTTAGGACCTCTGCAAGATGAATTACCCGACTTCACCATTGATGAAATGCATTGACAGCTTGTCAAGTTTATCGTTGTTGATGACCAGGTGAATCACTGACTACTTTCTACAAGCTATCATTACTAATGTCTTCAGGCAATCAATCTCATCGAATGCCCTGAATTTCATCGACTGATCTGTCTTCTGCAACCGGAGTTAAACGATTCTGACATCTGTCACTGCACCAAATTGCGGGAATTGATCCTTGATGCTTTCAATGACTACTTCGAGGCCTTAAAGAGCGACCTTGCGGTAAGTGTATTACTGTCGAGAGTCCCATGAAGTGTCTTATATTTTTTCAGAAGGCGCAAGGAAAGATCTCGTTTACCTCCGACCTGTGGTCGGATTCTAATCTCTGTTCATTTATGGCAATCACTGCTCACTGAATCGCCAAAGAAGATTGGACTAATGTGCTCATCTTAAAAGCAGCACTAATAGCTTTTCACCATACCCAGGGAGTCATGCAGGAGATAGCCTGGGCTCATCCATACTGGGCCTCCTCGATCGTGCCAATGTAACAGATAAAGTAAGTATCTAGTTTTTTCAATGTGACATGCACTGACTTCATTTAGTCAGGTCATTTTACTCTTGATAATGTGGGAAACAATCATACTTCCATGCAAGAGTTATCGTGTCTATTGGAGTCACGCGGGATACATTTTCATCCTGTCGAACAGAGGATCCCGTGCTTTCCTCACATCATCAACATCTGTGTGAGGCATGTTCTCAATGACTACTGGAAAGCCGACTTTTCAGGTGTGGTTGACAGATGGGTAGTTGAGGGTAAGACCATTGACAAAGATACGTATGTTGAAGCCATCCAAGGCAAAGCCCTGGATTGGGCGAGGCTCCTCATACACACCATCCGCACATCAGACAAACAACATAATAGTTTTAGTGTAATCATTACCACAGGAAACGATGAGAAGTGGTTCCAAGACAACTCAGGTGCAATCATCCAACTCCCTGTCGTGCAACTGCTACATGACGAGCCCACAAATTGGGATTCAACCTATGTCATGCTGAACTGTTTATGAACCCTTCGCCAGGTAAGCGTCCACCCCACTAAATACATGGACTAACAGAGAACTAGGCCGTGGATTTATTCTGTGACTCCCCCCTTCAACACCACATGATCGACAAGAAGTTGAGTCTGATGGAATGGCTCGTCCTACAGGATGTCGAAGTGATTTTGGAGGTCAGTACTTACATGTTTGAAACTTGCAATCTGTTTTAGCATTTTATATTAGGTGCCGCACGCTGCTCAGCAAATGATGTCCAGTGAAAGCACTCCCATACTGAGTGGTGCAGTTCCCACTTTCAAGAAAATGATCCAGCACTGGAACAAGTTGGTCCTAATACCACACCTTGCGCCTTTAGTTGACATAGGGTTGGATTGGACGGACAAGTATGATGATCACATGAGCGCCACGAACACCTATGCTGTTGCAATGTGTCAGTCCTGTGTACTTTAATCAAGTTTAACTCTCATCATTCCTCTCATAGTCATTGATCCTACAATGCGCATGTCATGGATGGAAAAACACTGGGGCCAGCAGCGAGCCAAGGATGCCAAGAAGCACATAATCAAACTGGTACGTCTATTTCACCAGTAACAGTACAACTCTGAACTTATATCCTGCAGATGCATGGAAAGAGAGGGACAAACACCTCTGGCTCTGCGCCATCTCCAATTACTGAAGTGCCACAACAGCCAGGCACACTAGGTGCACACATCTACGGACTTCCTGATATGGAAACACTGTCAGATTGTTATGATAGTGTCCAAATGGTTGATCAGGAGTTCAAGGCTTACAGTACGGCTACCTACAGCCCCAAGGGAACAGATATACTATCATTTTGGAAGGTAAGCCTTACGTCTCTCTTGCACTTTTGTCATTGACCATGAAGTGTCAACCAGGCATCTCAGGGCATGTTCCCAACTATTTATGCTGTTGCGATGGACTACCTCCCGACACAGGCATCCACTGTTCCATGCGAGCAGGTGTTCTCATCGAGTAGTGAGACATACACCAAAAAACGGAATCGCCTCAGCCCAGTCCTGATGGAAGCGCTGCAGATCATTAAGTTCATCCTCAAAAAGGAGAGACTTAACTTTACCAAAGGATGGGCGGCATCACAGCGAGACATGGAATATGCGCTGCTACGCAAGACAGGGTCTGACTCTGATGGGTCTTTCACACTTAACACCAGTGGAGTTTCAGGCAACAGTTCTGCACATGACACTCTTCTCAATGCTATTGCAATCCAGGAGTGCGACAACATTGAAGATGCTGCTATCATCTATGGCATATTACATTGATTTTTCTCATTTTCATCAGTTCTGATCTCTTGCTTCTTGTTTACCACTACCTTTACTTGTTCTGGTGCTTGTCCTTTTTATGTTCTCCCGCCCTTGTTTTTGCGACATGTTCTCCTGCCCCCGTCTTCACAGATCTATGTCCCATTCTCCTTATCTCTGCTTGTTCCGCTTGTATCTTACGAGCATGATTGAGACTACAATACAACTAATTCGACTTAGCTTTCCGAACATTGGATTAGAAGATTCACTTACGTCAGCTTGGGGACCCATCCTGATTCATGATCGTCAATATCAGATGTGATTTTAGAGTATGTCTAATATATCTAAGGATGAAACATTTGATCCCATGGAACCAATTCACATGACTCTCCTGTCTGCGCTCCACATGAGCTCCACACGCTGTCTGATTTGCTTGAGCGCTCACTATCGTTGTGCACTCAGCAGTCTCCTATTTGCATTGGCAGTTCGCTTTCTCTCATACTCATCGTCAGAAGCAGTGCACTGTGTGCAACTGCATATAAACATGGATGGACTGCTCATTACATGTTTGGAATACCCATAACCGAAGACAGTGTGGCCCTACATTCCAACATCCATCCCTTTTCCGCATGAGCTGATCTCATTTGAAATGCAAGTGCAATCATATGGGATGAATTGCTGATGACAAATAAAGCTGCATGACAGTGTGTCCACGACTTATGCTGTTGAATCATGAATGTCTATGACAAACCTTTCGGTGGAATTCCACTCATCGGCTTGGGCGATTTTCGCCAAGTACAGTCATTGACTGTCATTTGAGTTCAAAATTTTCGGATGTCTACCACAACACAACCCGACACAATCTCGAAAATTGCTTTCGGGGATGTCATGATAGATAGCTAATCTACTTCAAACAAAATTTTGAAGAACATCAAATGAGACATTATTCCGCAATGAAAAGTGCATAAATCTTGGTGTTATCATACGTTCACCATCATTTGAGTTCACCCAAAAAGGCAGATTTATTCCCTAGTCGCGCAGATTAATATTCTTCCTTGCTATCATTTGACTCATCCTCTTCCTCGTCAATGTGGGTGAGTGCTGGCTTTGGGAGTGGGGCCTCGAGTCTCCCAAGCTTCAGTTTGACATGTGTCATGCGTTGTCTCTCCAACTTTGCCTTTGCTCGCTCTTCCTCCCACTGCCTCAACTCCTCCTTATATTCTTGCCTGCGCACTTCATTTCTCTCCAGCCACTTTGCATCCTCTATGGCATGAGCAATGGCTTTTTCTCGTTCATGAGATGCGAGCCATTTTTTCATCGAGACAGACTGTGCATGCTTGGCCATCTCGAGTGGTGAGTAAAGGTTGATGGACTGAACAGCACACTCATGGATTGCCACTGTGTTACTACTGTACTCAACAGACGTGCATGAAGTACACCTGTATCAAAGCGCGACACGATGATCCTTGATCATATATCAAGTTCATGTTTATCGGATCTCGCTTATTTTGCTTCGGTGACACTGATAAGATACTATTGAGACACTCTGCACCGGCAACATTCTGGCAACACACACACTCATCAGCTCCCTTGCGGAATAGAACAGTGATGTGCTTGAAGGTTGTTTGCATGTATTTCTTCAATTTATGAATCCGATTCTAGTTGTTTTGCTTTCAGGGACGTATAATAGTGAAAATTTCACAACAAAACATAACATCGCACAGTTGTTCGAGGTCTTTTATACCTATCATTACTGCCAATATGTAGTTAGGCATATAACTTGTATGATAGAACAAAAATGTTACATGGGATAGTATTAAATTCGAGTGTCATACAAGGTAAACGCAAATGATGGTGAAAAATCAAATGATGGTCAATGACTGTAGCGCCTGTCGTGAGCATTGGAGACCCGACTTACACCAACTTCATTGATACATAGGGAGAAGACTGCTCAGGTGTACGTCAATCTCTGGACCTCATCCATCGTGTCTCCAACATTAACGATGCTCTCAATTTCCTCTTCCCTCCTCACATTCTCGATGACCCCATGGCTTGCCTCCAGCACGCCTTTCTATCTCTGCGGAACGTGTTTGTAGCTGAAATCAACGAGATCATGTTAGTTGCCCTACCTGGAGATTATGGTGAGCATCACTGCAACCTGACAATGAAAAAAAAGACTGAGGAACATCACAGAATCGTACTTCAGTTCGGACACTCTCAAAGAAGCAGACCAAGCTCCTCCAGACACTCCAGAGCAGACTCCAGACTATCTCGCAATGTTGACCCATCCGAACACACCCCCTCATCGATTAGATCTCAAAGTGAATGCCGTGTGTGCAATACAACATAACATGTCAGTCGAAAACGGATTGGTGCAAAATGCGCGTGTTCGGATCACCGCTCTTCATCGCAGATTTGTCGAAGTTTAGATTCCTCATACCGGAGAGATACATTGCTTGCCTTGGATCACGTTCACCTTCAATCTAGCACGTTCAAGCTGGACTGTAATTCGCAAACAGTTTCCTCTGCGACCTGCCTATGCAACAACATTCAACGGATGTCAAGGGCTGACGCTAGAGAAAGCCGTGCTTGACTTGCGCACAGATTTGTTCGCACATGGTCAGCTATACACTGCATTATCGAGAGTGTGATGTTGACGAGACATTCAATCGCTGTTCGGAAGAGAGGGAGAGGAAAAGACAACAGCAAACATAGTTTACAGACATCTCTTATTGTGATTGATGATGGAAAATGCCCAAAGGTGTAAGGAACACTTGTATTGTGTAGTATCAAGGATCAAATGGTAGTGTTTCCTTTTTGGGCATTTGACCCTAAGTATTATTATTACCAATGTATTTATAATTAAGCGCAAATATATATTCTAATTTTAAAGCTGGCTTGAAGCCTGTAAAACAGGTCCATTGACTGGACCAAGCCATATATTACATAAGCTATAACTAGGTACACAGCTCGGCTAATTACAGCTCCACCCACAGCTAAAGCCAACAAAAGCTGGAACCGCGGCAACACTACATCCGTTCACTCATATAATTGTTATGACCAACATCCCTTAATCTAACTAGTAGATGTTTGGAGGCCGATTCACACCACAGGACTCGTCTGAGAGAAGAATAACAAGGGGGTAGTATTGAGAGGGAACGTCTAGGTCTACGATGACGTAAGAACGAAGAGGTTAAGTCTAAGGAGTACTACTGACTACTACCTCTACTATATACTATACTTGTGTCGGAGATATCTGAGTATGAAAGGTGGTAATGTATCTATATACGGTCATAACATTGCACCTAGGGTATGGGGTTTCTTACCAACCAATCAACTACAAGAAGGGGTTCATAGGAGTTAGGGTATCGGTGATTAAGCAGGGTCTCAGGGTACTGCTTCTATTCAGGGTGAACGGATATGAGGGAGTGAGAGAGTTCTGTGACAAGAAGTCTCGAGCGGTGATTTAAGGATCTCGATAGAAGGTAGGGTCTGGAGATGCATCGAGTACGATTGGATCTAAGGGTTTCTCCAGGGTTTTCGATAATGAGCATGCTTCTTTATGAGTGGCGCTTCTGTGATAGGAGTTCAGGGTTTTAGTTGTGACTGTGCAACAGGTTCCAATGTAAAAGGTTCGGTGAATGACAGAGGTAACTCTTAACGTGTCATGTGTGGGACGTGAAGGTATGCGATGTGAAGAGGTGATGACTTTGAGAGACGGCTCATAAGGGACTCTCGGTTGTGGTTCGATCATAGAGGCATACTGATGCTTATGATGTAGCCGGTGCCTGATCGTAGGACTTTTAAGGATGTGATGAGCGTCGGATGTCTAGGGTTTCAGATATAGATGGATGACGTCGATATAGTATAGATGTGAATTGAAGATAGTGATCGTTAATCGGTTATCCATCTTATCTTATCAGGGATCTTATCTAATCTAATCTTATCGGATAGATGACTTAGGTTTTGATAATTGAATTTTAGATGCAGTAGGGAGCATTCATGACATTAATACAGAGTTAGGTCACTGTAGTATGTGGCTGAGTTTGCTTCTATTTTTGCATGCAGTTTTCATTTACGCAGTCCAAGCTTGTTGATGCTTTCATCAATCAGAACTAGATGTGACCTGTGGTCAATCAAAGCATCAATGCATTCAAAGAATTGGAAGAGGGTCCCATCAAGAGACAGGGCCATATAAGGTGGGCGGTTTCAAAAGGGGCTATGCACATATCATCTTCAGAGTCTGACCCATCATCAAGTACTGATGACAGCATAACAGTGCCTACAGCTCTGACAGCAGCCATGGTCTTAGTCTTTGGTTTGGCTGTGATGGCATCAGATTCCATAAGTGTCTTGTAGGAGGATGCTTCAGGCGCACCATCAGTGCATTCCTTCAACTAATGCAAGACATAGAACTTTTGGCACTTGAAACAGCCTTTGTGTTTCATCAGCAAGGTGCATTAGGCTTCTGACAGAGTCCCTAGACAAGAAGATGATGGGTTGTACGTCTTTGAGGATGTCATTTTGTTGGAGGATGTGGTACACTTTGAGGACTTGTATAGATCCTTGTCAATCTTTTTGTGGGAGGCAAGATCCTCAAGACATTTGTCGTCAAGATGCTTGACCTCCTTGATCCATTTCTTAAGAGTCAGGTTGTCAACGAGTTTTTCTCTGAGTACGGGGATAGTGAGCTCATCACAGATGTTAGCTTTGAGTTGGTTGTGTAGTTGAACGTTCAACAGGTGAGCTGTGTTGCCATACAGTAGCACATTCTGATTCTGTAGCTTTAAGGCCCATTCATAGAATGTGCAGTTGCCTTGTTGTGATCCCAGAACCTTCCTGCAGAGCTTGGTATCCCAGTGGGTTTTGAGCCAAGCATCTTTGAGAGCAGCCATATACTCAGCAAAAGTTCCAGCATCTAGAACAGCTCACTGAGCCAGATACTAAGTGTGTAGATGTGGGTCCAGCATTCCAAATGCTATCATCTTCACTTGGTCTTCAGTGTTGATTCCTTTGTGCATGAAATATGTAGCACAAGCATTGTCCCAGTTGCGGGTGACCTCAGGTGTAAGTTCACCTGCCAAGAGTTTTGGTGGCTTGCTGGGAGCAGACTGTTAGACACTAGCAGATCTAGTCATCTTGCAAAAACAAGAATATGGTATATGCAGGTTGTCAGGCTCTGAGTCTAATGAAGAGTCACAGTATACAGTTGTAGGAGTGACATGCTTGATGGGCATGTTATCCAAAGATATAGACATTAGAGGAGACAAGGGTGGATCTGGGGGAGGTGGTTGTTTTTTGTTCTTCGCATGCTGTCACATGCTCAAGGGTTCAGAGATGGTAGGTTTCCTTCGTATGGAAGGCAGTTTGACAGGTCAGGTAGTGGGCAGGTAGCCTGGCAGTTGAGAAGTAGTCATTATAATGAGTTTAGGAGATCAATGAGTTTCATTTCTGTTAAAAAAAAAGTGAAACCTTGTCAGGGAAACGACAAGGAACACTAAACAAATCAGATGAAAGTAACAGGACAAAACTGTGGATTCTTTGAGTGTTGTACAAACAAATATGTGATGGTAGGTAGGAGACCCAAGTCTAAACCAAATGGTACAAAAGTGGCAGAATATAAGGGGATGGGTCACATGATATATGATAAGGTAAGCATGTAGTAAGCAGTCAGCTTACAAATGCTCACTTAAAATGGGAGTGGTTCTGACATTTGACAGCTTGTCACACCTTGGCTGTATCATCACCAAAATTCCTCAACCCAGACATGGCTATACATAGCAATGTCAGACCTACCACATCTGCCACAACTATCTGGCGCAAGCCCTCAATGTCAGACAATGTTAGGAAACTCAACTCTGCCATTCCACCTGTCATATGACAATACCCTGGCATTAGGCTGGTGTCCCGATATATCAGACATTGCTTGGTATATCAGGCATTTCAATTTCACTCAGATTGATCAGACATTGCAATCTTGTTCCAATACAACAAGGCATTGCATTGAATTAATGATGGTACAAAGAAGTGAGATGCAATTGAGTACATTGTTCCAAGCCTATGTATGCGAATGCAGGAAATCAAGAGCAAATACCAGAACCAGGAAATGTGCAATCCATCAGTGGGTTAATGATACAGGCAGCAATTCAGTAGCAAATGAAAGCAAATGTGCATTGTGAATACATGAGGTGTGGACAGCTACTTCCTTGAACTTCTTTGCAACTTGGCATGCACAGGCGCGGGTGCCTTGCACTTTGAATGGCCACCAGCCTGCGGTTCAGGATCCTTCAAATTAATTGGAGCGTGGACTCTTGCTAGGTGACCTAGGTCATTATCCCTTCCTTC